CCCGATAACTTCCTCACGCATTGATGCCCGAAGCAAACGATATCAGAGGCCCATCTCCCCCCATCTCGGTCTCTTCCTCCCTGGTTGCACCCCTGATATCCCTGGTTGTTCCCCTGATGGTCTCTGTTGCTCTTCAATGCTGGCCCTCTATGCACTGGTGGCAGAAGCTGTGCCCACAGTCGAAGCTCACAGGCTCTGTCATGGGCTGCTGGCAGATGGAGCATGTTGCTTCCTCTCTTCCTCTTGTTAGTTGGGGCTGAGGCCATGGATCTTCCTGTAAAGCTCCAAGTCGAGGTGAGAGGCAGAGATGAAGTAGACACAATTCTTCACACTGAAGGACATGCAGGGACCTGGGCTTTCTATCTCCCAGCCTGGAAATCTAGTTGGAAAAGAAAACTTTTGAGGAGGGAAGATGCTCGCCCTGTGGATGCCTTGTACAAACACTGATCCCCATCACATCTGACCACTAAAATAGAAGTTATTGAAAAAGTGATAGTATTTAAATTTCAGCTTTTCAGCCCATGAGCTATGTGTCACTGGCGTCATGTCAGCCCAGGGATAAGGCTCAATCACACCCAGACACACCACGTCCCCTCACAGCAGAGACTCTCCTTGGGGAGGAGGAGAGAGAGACAGAGAAGAGAGGACATGACTCACAAACGTTGCAGCCGGAGAGAGATCTCAGTGAGAGGGGAGTGAGACTCTTTCCTACTGGACTGAATGTCCAGAGAATCAGTGGCCCGAACCGTTTCTCTGTGAGCAGTAGGGCCACTTAGGACGGGGGTCTGTGCGGGTCCAGTGAGACAAAGTATATCTGACCTACTGACCTCCACACTCCCGGGTCTCCTGCCCCAACTCACACACCCACAGGACAAAATAAACAGTTTCCCGAAGTGAGATAATAAACTCAACAAGACAATGCAAAGCTTTTTGTCCTTCTGTCGTTTGTGTGCAAGGGGAGAGAAACAGAACTGGAAACAGTGGGAAGATGAGGTGGTGCTGGGGCCGAGCTCCAGGACACCCCGGGAGACACCTGTCCCTTCTGAACCATGACTTGTCCCCAGAGCAAGGGAGGGGAATCCAGGGTTGGCACCACCAAGGCGTGGGTAGGTGGGAAGCAGTGGGGGACAGGTCTGGTTGGGACATTAGGGACTGGACCCCCTAGATTCTCACAACCCGCATCTGAGAGCCGGACAGGAGAGCAGGAACAGGAGCTAAGGGGCCTCCTCCCCCAGCCCCTGCTCAGGGAACATAGTGTGCCCCCCCTCCCTGCTGTGGGTTGTGGGGAGACAGTGGAAATGGGGAAACTTCAGCAAGCTGTTCTGTGAAGTGACAGTGCTCTGAATGAAACACTGGAAACAATCAACTAATTACTTATCAGGCTCCGCCCCTCAAAGATCAGGATGACCCTCTGCCTCCACAGAGAATTTCTTCTAGAGACTTTGATCCTTGATGGGTTAATCCCCAGTCCCTTGCCCCAGGATGTATCAGCCTTCTCTCGGTGCCAAGGGGCACTGCACTCCTGCACAGAGCTCTGTGTCCAATGAACCCCGGGCTGGAGTGGTGGCCTCCACTCACCTTATGACCTGGATCTTCTGAGGTGGGGCCTGTGGTCTGTGAAAGAGGAGAGAGAGACAAGGGGAAGCCATTAAAAGCAAGTTCTGACCACTTCAGATTCCATGGCCACCCTCACTGCCTCCCATAAAACACACACACACACACACACACACACATACAAACCCACGTTAGCAGTTTTTTTTTTAAAACGTTGGCCTAGATTGGTCACTACCTTCACCACAAAGCACAGTCCCAATTCACTGCAAGCCCCTCTACACTGTGATTTCTGGCAGTTACAATGAAGAAGTTAACTTGGACTGTAAAACTCAGAAATGAAAAAAATCAGGGTCAGACTCTACACATGAGAGGAATCTAGTGGCTTTGCCTGTGTGTTGTGTCTCAGCTTGCCAACAGAAGTGGGACACAGTAGAAATGATGCCCTTCATTTGTAGTAATCGAAAAATGTGACTACATAGTGAGCAAGAATCTTCTGTCACAAAACGCAGAGATTTAAACGAACATCCAGTGGACTGTAAACTGAACATCTTTCAAATAAATGAAATTGACCAAATACGTGAGGAGACATTCCATGTCCACACACTGCGGGTTCATACTGTGAAGCTGACCATGCTTCCCTAAGCATCACACAGTTTCAGGGCACTCCCTATATATAAAAGCTGTGGTTTTTTTTGCTGTTGTTGTTACTTTGCTGTTTTATTTTGTTTGTCTTTGTAACATCAGCCAAATCATCCTAAAATTCATTGAAAAATCCAGGAATCCAGGATAGTCAGAAATAATCTTGACAGAGATCAACCTTGCAAGAGTCACAGGTGCAATTTCAAAGGTACATGGCTACAATGGTCAAGACTATTTAAAAAGTGTTAGCATAAAGATATACATGTAGATCACTGAAATACAATAGCCTAGAAATAAACCCATACATCTTCTCACACCCCCCACCTCTGGCCTGTACCCCAGTTCTTGTATACATAAATCAATATATCTTCAAAATAAATAAAGACTGTAGAAAAGGTAAGTCTGGCATCGGATGTAAAGGTAAATGAGTGTGACTAATAATTGATTTTATTTTTGAAAACAAATTAAGAAGCGGAAGGCAGGCCTCCCTGGTGGCGCAAGAGTAAGTTAAGAAGCAACCTAAGAAGCTGTCCCCAGCCTGTGCAGCAAGACTTCGATCCCCAGCCAGGGAGCTACCCACCTGGTGCAGCAGAGACTCTTCTGTCTCCCTGGCCACTGCCCCAGAAGTGTATTTCAGTCAGTCTGCCTGTTTTGTTCCCACTCTGTCTCTGGTGAATCCTCTCACCTCCCCCTCCACCTCTAGCCTGTACCCCAGTTCTTGTATGCATAAATAAACAAATGTTTAAAAATATGAAAAAAAAAAAAAAAACAACAAAAAACCAAAATGAGGTAGAAGGCACAGCAACAAAACTCTAGAAAATGAAACCGAAAGAAAATAAAACCAAGAAATGACCAGGGTATCTGTGAGCTGCACCACCCGCCCGCCCTGTGTACAGGACAGAAAGAACATGAGGAGAAATAACAGCTGGAAACATATGGAGAGAATGAGGAGGGGTGGGGGGGAGTTTTATTTACAAAAGTAGCTAGGGAAGGCAAGGGGGGTGAGTAGAAGGGGGAGGGGAGAGAGTTCAGGAGGGGGAGGGGAAGAGCTAGGGGGAGGGGTTGGGATACCAGAAGTGGAGGGGGCAGGAGGGAGAGCAGATGGCAGAGGGGGGAAGGGAGACAGGGGAGAGATTGGAAGGGCCTGGGAGGGGGAGCAAGAGGGAGGGGTGGAGGAGAGACAGCAGAGGGGCAAGGGGGGGAATGGGGGGTATGAGGGAGGGGAGGGGGAGGGGGAGGGGAGAGCAGAAGGTAGGAGAGGGAGAGGGAGGGCAATACAGGGAGCTGGAGAGGCGAGGGGAGGGGACAAGTGAGGGGGAGGGGGAAGGAGGAAGGGGGAAGGGTGAGTGGGAGAGGGAGAGGGAGAGAGGGGGAAGGCAGGAGAAGGGGAGGGAGCGGGCTCTGCCCACACCTGGGCACACACTCTCCCTCCCGCCCACCTGTACCTGGCACCTGCAGAAGCAGCATCTCCCGGGCTGGAGACCACAGTCCTCCAGAGCTCAGGGCCACCCGGAAGTCCCCGCAGGGCCTGCTGGGAGCGGTGACTCAGGCCGGAAGGGGGGGGGCTGGGGGGGACATAGAGGGGAGGTGCAGGGAGGAAGAGATTTGTGGTCCAACTGCACCCCGCTTGAGGGGGAACCACATCTCCACTTCCTGGCGCTGCCGGCCCCGCCCCGTGTCTGGAGACTCCCCTGAAAGACACCCGTGACCCTCCAGGGCCTGATCAGGCCCTCCCAGGGCAGGGCTGTGCTGGAGGCCGGGGGCTTCCCGAGTTCACCTTCTCCTCCTCGTTCTCAAACCATCTGAGGGAGCAGGGAAATGTTGACTTTATCATGCTACTTTTTCATCTTCCACCAGCATCACCACAGTCACTGCAGAGGAAGCTGCAGGGGGAGGGAGGGTTCTCTGGCTCAGCACCAGCCTGGCCTGCCCCCTCCACCTCCTCTGCTCCCCAGGCAGACCCTCTCCCACCCCAGCAAGGACACCCTCATTACCTGCTCTTCACTCCCTCCAGTCAGACTAGCTGTGTTCCTTTTCCAGACCCACTTCTGGGGGCTGCAACTTGGGGGGTGCGTGGGGGCGGGGTCAGCACTGGGGCGGGGCTCCCAGAGGGCGGGGGGGGGGGGGGGCAGGGGGAGGAGGGTCCACAGGAAAGAGCCCCCAGTAGGCGCTCCCTGGAGCTTTCCTTGACCGTAGATGCTGGCAGTGCCCTCTGCGAGTTGTGGGGACTGGAAAGCGCAGCCCCCCCTGATTAAGCAGCCCCCGCCTCTGTGCTCTTGTTTCTCATCTGCCGGCGTCTCCTCAACAACTGACCATCAGTGAGAGAATCACCCGAGAGCATGGTGGGTTGTTCTCAGACAAGAGCCAGTCATGACAAGCGTCTTTATCAGAGATCAACTTGCCCCACGGCCTTTCATCACTTTAGTTTCCAGGACGATGTCGCTGACAATGCCAGGGACAGGCTGTCACTGAAATTCCTGCATCCTCACAGGCAACACCCTTGTCAGCTCATGGGCTGTGCAGAGCTGGATTTCATCCTCTGCCACGGTTTCCTGTAGATGGAAGTGGGCACTGAGGTCAAAGACAGCCCCAGGCGCTGCCCTGCCACCATCCTGCTCACCTGTGGCTCAGGAATGTCCCCACCTCTAGGCCCAGGTAAAAGGCACTATCCTGGGTGTTAGCTTGAATGTCTGCAGCACCCACAACATGTACACAGGAGGTGCTCTGTTGTGGGTGTGTGTGCTCAAATCTTTCACCTTACTCCCTGGGAGGTTCACATGGACCTGTGTAAGGAGAAAGAAGTGACCATGGGCACCACTTCTGGGAAAAGAGACCCTCCGTGTCCCTGTGGAAGCTCCACTACATGACAGTCCTCTGCCTGGGGCCTCTTCACAGCCTTTTGAATATGTGAGGCCCAGGCTGAGGGTCACTGTGTTATCAGGCAGCTTCCCAGGTGACTGGATACACAGAAAGGGACAAGGACTTCTAATCTGGGCTAAGTCCAACCCAGGAAGGAATCCTTTCCTCTGTCTGTTCTAACTAAAGTTCCCTCTTTTCTGGAGAAATGGATCCCAAAGAAGGGAGAAAATTCCCCGGGAATCCACAAAGATGAAATGATGGTGCCCAAGGATCCCTCATTAGCAGGTCACACATGTGAAAGTGCTTTGCATCTTTATATGCATTAACACCCCAAAACCCTTTTCTGTGCTCTATGCCTCAGGGTTTGTGCCTCAGCACTTCTCACAACCACCTGGGAGTAGAGCCCCAGTATCATATGGAAGAAACCAAGGCATGGATGGATGGTGTCACTTGTCCAGTTTTTTTTTTTTTTTAAAGGTTTGTTTATTTTGGATACAAGATCTGGAGTAGAGGCCAGAGGTGTGAGGGGTGAGAGGATTCACCAGAGACAGAGTGGGGAGCAGAACAGGCAGATTGACTGAAATAGACTGCTGAGGGGAGCAGCGGGAGAGTGAAGACAGGTCTGCTGCACCATATGGGTAGCTTCTGGGCTGGGGATCGAACTCATGCTGCAGAGGCTGCAGATAGTTTCATAGGTTGTGTCTTAACCCTTTGGGCCACCATGGAGGCCCCACTTGTCCAGTTTTAAAGAAAATCAAAGCAGACATAAACCAGGCTCTGCATTGGAAGATGGAAAAACTTATTTTTATCTCCATCTAATATCTTCATCAGACCCAGCATGTCTATCTCACTAAAACCAGCGCTCAGGAGTGGTAGCTGCCGCGGACCAGCACAGCGATGGACGATGAGACCGTCTCAGGGTTGAGAGATTGCGCAGGGTGGTCAGGGATTCGATGAATAAATGACACACAGACACACTTCAAGAGAGTGAAAATCTGAGTGCGTCTTTATTAAGTTAGTGGTCAGTATATATATGTTTTTCTAAAAGCATCAAAGAGATCAGTTTGCTCATAAATTTAGCTTAATTGACAGGGCAGTGATTTATGTCCGAAGTTACATCTAGCCTCATTCCTAATTGGATAGGCTATAAATTCTTTTTACTATTCTATATAATTATTTTCTAGTTGCACTAACTATCATAATTAATTGTCATGGGTGAATTTATTTTATAATGCAGTTAATATCAAAGGTACTAAAGTTAAGCACATAATAGAAAGATTATTAAACTAACAATTCTATTATAACACAGTGTTTAGTAATGTTTCATTTGCATTAGCCTAATTATTAAATTAGGTATGTTTTTTAATTAGCAATCAATGACCAGAAAAAGGAAAGTTTTTTAGAGAGACAGTTGTAGCAGAATAAAGTTTATGGGCCTTGAGAAAGCGAGATAAGGTTCCAAGTGGTCAGCATTTCTTTTAATCATCTTTGTGGCAGCTTCTGGTGGTCATTATTTCTTGACAGGCATTCGGCTTCTCTGCATCTTAAGGAGTTTGCTGTTCTCCCCCTGCGCGCATGGTTCCTTGCCCACGCCGGACCTCAGGGACCATGGTAACAGCCATTAGCCCTGAGGGTCACTGCAGGGGGAGGTGCAGCAGGTCCCCCTTTGATTTTAGAACGAAGTTGGTAAGCATACATGTCACACTGGATGCGGTAGATGGACCTGTGAAGTGAGCGGACACAGAAGGGAATAAACAAACAGAGAAGCAGGACAAGTAGGGAAAGAACAAGGAAGGAGAGAACAAGATGATACCAGTGAGTAGGAGTTAAAGATTGGAGAGTGGAAGCCAGAGAATGGGCAAAGGAAGAGACTGAAGTATCTAGGTGAGATTTACTGACAGCAGAGATTTCAGACTGAAGAGATGCAAGGTCATGAGAGAGGTCATTGTCATGCCAGATGCCCAATAGGTGATGTTTAGTAAGATTCCAATGTAGAGAGGAATTATAACGCAAAGGTGTAACACAAATGAAACGAAAGTGAACGTGGCAGCGAGTGGATAATTGCTGCTTAAGCAGCTGAACTTCATCTCCAATGGCAATAACAATTTCTTCCAGGGCATTTATCTTTCTTTCTAACTTGTAATCAATGTCCCGCTGCACAGAGAGTGCCATGGTCACATTTTTGGTAAGGTCATTTACAAAAGAAGCTGTCTTAGTTTCCTGAATTAAAGCAACAGAGGAAGTAGCTAAGGAGGTAACCAGGGAAATTAGAGCAGCAATTCCTAGAATAAGGGTGGCAATAAAACGTTTAGGACGAAGAAGGGCATGTACTTCATCTAAAACTTGCATGGCAGTATTATCATACCAAGGCATATCATGTAAATCAACAGGTAACATAACATAGGGGGGTCTTTTAAGTAAGACCACCACAGGATATATACGAGCAAGAGAGGGGGTGATACAATTAGTAATAACACAGCCAGAACAATGTACAGAGTAAGAAGTCCCACGCAATTGAATGCGTGTAGCTGTGGCATTTCCCAGAAGTAGAGCAAAGGGGTATCCAACGCAGGCACGCACTGGGATCTTAGCAGTGTCCTGTCCAGGTTGTCTGAAAATTACATCATCAAAGGCAGCGAAGAGACGAAAAAGTTCAGGCTGTAAATAAGTCTTATTGTGATGATTAAAAGCATACATAGGTGGCACCCATCCAACAGAGAACCTTCTATAGGGAAGGGTTGGAACAGCAAATGAAAAATCATATACAGTAAACTGAGACATAAGAGGGGATATAGGCATTGCTTGAGAAAAACCACAGTGCAGCCAAACTGGGTAGGAAATAAGTGAATCCCAGTATTGGTCAACATCCCGGTATTTTTGAACACAGTTGGGAAAAGGGGGAGTAAAGGGCGGTGAGGAGAAGGTGCGGATTTCATCGTCTGCTATTAATTGTTCCAAGGCCATGAACGTTAAATCCCAGACGACACGGTCTTTGTTGTTTGTTTGATGGTTTTTAGGGGGAGTGCGAGGTGGTGCATCAGTGAACATGAAAACATAATGTAGCATCATACAACCAGGAAGGGATACAGAGTTAGCATAGGCACAAAGTGGAGGGTCATCAGATAGACCGTCATAATCAATAGGGGAAGAAACCATGTGTTCAGAGTGAAAATCAGCCAAGCCACCAAGAAGGTTGGTGTCATTTACATAAACTTTTATGACAGAGTTTTCTGTCCAGGGAACTGGGTGCAGAAAAGGTGGCTCGGGAACATAAGCCCAGAAATGTGCCGCTTGTACGGGCGTAGACTGAGTTGCCAAAATGGCAATAATTGCCATGAAAATTGATAAGGCAGTGCGTGGAACATTATTTTGTTGCACCAGGTGTTCAGCCATCATCGCGAGGGCCTTTATATGACCCCAGGTTGGAAGGCGGTTGGGATGCTCCCGCAGGAGTTGAAGGCGACGCATCCTCCTCGTCAAACGCGCCATCTGCCGTCGGTGGCGGATAGCCTGAGCTCTCGCTCGGGACCGGGACCGACGGGCAGTGGCGGATGAGTCTGTCCGGAATCCAGACAGGGGAGTCGGCATCCTGAGGAAAAATACAAGCATAACCTCGCCCTGAGGCAAGCAGTAAATCTGGGCCTTTCCAGGCTCCAGTGAGGAGGTCTTTCCATTTGACCTGAGGCAAATGGGAAACATCAGTGTATCCCCAATGCCGCACCGTAGGGGTGACACCTTTGTCATCTGAATTAAGATGATTAATTACAAACAGAGCATGTTGCAAAAGATGTTGAGGGGAATAAAAACGGGCTACATTTTGTAGACGGTCAAGTTGAGTTTTTAATGTTTGGTGAGTTCTTTCTATAATACCTTGACCTTGTGGATTGTAAGGGATGCCAGTAACATGAGCAATACGCCATTGGGCACAAAATGACTGAAATGATTTGGAAGTATATGCAGGAGCATTGTCAGTTTTTAATTTTAATGGCTTACCCAACACCGCAAAACATGCAGTAAGGTGTTGAATAACATCCTTCACTGCCTCACCAGTACGGGCAGTGGCATGAACTGCATGTGAGAAGGTATCAACAGTTACATGAACAAAACAAAGTCTCCCAAAAGAGGGGACATGAGTTACATCCATTTGCCAGAGAACTTGAGGCTTTAAACCTCGAGGATTAACTCCTAGTTTGGGAGGATGATGAACATCCGGACAAGAAGGACATTCACGAACAATTTGTCTGGCTTGTTCTCTAGTAATTTGAAAACGGTGACGTAGAGCATTAGCATTTTGGTGATGAAGAGCATGGCTCTCTTGAGCCTGAGCCACCGTCATGACAGCTGAAGATTTTGTAAGTAAATCAGCCATTTGATTACCTAAGGACAGGGATCCAGGCAGATTAGAATGACTTCTAATGTGGCCAATAAATAATTTTTGTGTTCTGGCTCGTAGCAGTGTTTGTAAATGAGCCAGTAAGGAAGAAATATGGGATGATCCAGATATCAAGGCAGTTTCAATTGCCGGAAACAAAGAGACAACATATTTAGAATCAGAATATAAATTCAAAGGACATGTGTAATGCTCTAAAGCAAGTGTTACAGCAATGATTTCAGCCTGCTGAGCAGAAATTCCTTTAGAGAAACGCTGTATAGGAGGCTGATCAGGATGATATACTGCCGAAATTCCAGAGGAGGAACCGTCAGTAAAGACAACGGCAGCTCCGGGCAGAGGCTGCGAGGAAACAATTTTTGGAAAAGTTAAAGCAGTTTCCGTCGCAAATTTTAAAATAGGGTGCTGTGGCAGGTGGAATTTGACCTGACCAGGAAAATTGAGCAAGGCTATGCCCCAGTCATCATCATTTTGAAGCAGAAATTCAAACTGTGTTCTAGTATATGGGACAACAATAGTGGCAGGAAGTCTGGCAAACAGTTCTTTGGAACGTGTCAATCCTTTCATTATCAGAAATGCACACATAGATGTATAAGATGTAACCATTTTTGTTTGATTGTGTGCTAAATAAAGCCATTCAAGAATACCTGATTGCCACAGGCAGGCAGTAGGGGTGAATTCAGTTTTAAGGACAAGTAATTCCCATGGTGATGAATAATCAATTTGAGAAACTTTAGCTTCAGAAAGTTTTTGTTCAACCAAATGCAGTTTTGAGAGAGCCTCGGGTGTCAAGGACCTAGGTGATTTAGGGTTAGGATCTCCCTGTAATATCTGGAAAAGAGGGTGTAAATCACCTGTAGTAATTTTAAGATAAGGACGAATCCAATTAATGTTTCCAAGCAATTTTTGAAAATCATTTAATGTGGAAAGTTTATCAAGGCGGATTTGAAGATTTTGAGTCATGATGAAATCATCATGAATGGTTTTTCCCAGATAGTTAAGTGGTCGATCACGCTGAATTTTGTCAGGAGCAATGACAAGACCAAAGGAGGTCAGGTCAGTAATTACACATTGTAAAAGCGTCTCCACACCTTCCTTAGAGGAGTGGCTCAGGAGAATGTCATCCATGTAATGAATGATATATGCATCAGGAAATTTATGTCTGGTAGCTTGTAAAGCCTGATCAACAAATTTTTGACATAAAGTAGGAGAATTTTTCATGCCTTGAGGCAGGACTTTCCATTGAAAGCGTTGCCAGGGTTGGCTAAAATTAGCAGATGGAACACTAAAGGCAAACCGAGGAGAATCATCAGGGTGTAGTTTAATGGTGAAAAAGCAGTCCTGCAAATCGATAATTATGATATGATTTTGTTTTGGAACAGCTACAGGGGAGGGGAGGCCTGGTTGAAGGGCTCCCATGTCATGCATAGTGTCATTAATTGAGCGGAGGTCCTGAAGAAGCCTCCATTTTCCTGACTTCTTTTTAATTACAAAGACAGGAGTATTCCACGGACTGTTAGAGGGCTCTAAATGTCCTTTTTGTAATTGGTCAGAGACAATGTCATGTATAGCCTGGATTTTGTCAGATGTAAGGGGCCATTGAGGTATCCAGACAGGATCATTGTTTTTCCAAGCGATTTTATCAGCAAATAAATTTTCCTCAATGGCCCCTAAGAAAAAGCCTGTTCATCAATTAAATCAGGAGCGGTGAGAGTTAACCCCATAGATTCCATCACATCACGGCCCCATAACGAAAAGGGCAAGGAAGGAATCACATATGGCTGAAAGAGACCAGAATGCTCATTCATTTGCCAATGTAAAACCTGAGAGCTTTGAGCTACATTGTTTGCCATGCCTAAACCAATTAAAGTAGATGAGGAATTAGTAATGGGCCATGACGAGGGCCAGTCTTTGCCAGCTATGCATGACCTGTCAGCACCAGTGTCCAATAATCCCGTGAAGGGGTGTCCATTAACATATATTGTCTGTAAAGGTCTCTGTTTTGTAATGGGCTGTGTCCAAGCCACGACCTCGGTGGAGCCGAAACCACCGTCTCCCCGTTTGTCTTTTAAAACTGGGTTTGGGAGTTTGACATAATTTAAAATTAGAATTTGAGCTATTCTTTGATCTTTGTGAATTTGAATAGTTTCCTTTAACGGACGGATCATAACTTTGACTAGGCCTGTGAAATCCGCATCAACAATACCTGGCAACACCTCAAAATTCTTTTTGTAATTTGAACTCCGACCAATTATTAGTCCGACCGAGCCAGCCGGCAGCGGTCCCTTTAAATAAGTTTCAACTAATTGCACATCTTCTGTGGAAGACAATAAAACATCCTTGATGGCAGCTAGATCCAAACCAGCACTGCCCGGGGTGCCCCGGGGGAGGTCATAAACTGACACTTGGGAAGGGGAATTGGGCTTGGGGGGTTGTTGATGAGACCCTCTTTCTTTTACGGGGCTGAGGGCTTGCCCCTCTGGAAGTTTTTTGAGTCAATTGACTGTTTAGAATTAGGGGTTAATTTATGGCCATCCTTATGCCATTTAGAACGACATTCGTTGGCCCAATGAGTACCTTTTTTGCAACGAGGGCATGGGCCTGGTGGGATAGGGCGTTTAAGTTCAGCAATTACTTGGGCTTTGTTGGGGCAATTTTTGGAGGTGTGGTTTGGCTGGCCGCAGCTAAAGCATGAAACCTGATTGTTACGCCGCCCATGAGGCATTGACTGAACAAAAGCGGCGAAAGGTTGTCCTTTCATTGCTGCAGCATATGCAATGCCTTGAACAACCGCTGGGGAAGCATCTAAGCAAACTTTAATGTAATCTTGAAGTGTACCAGTTTTTCTTATGGGTCTAATTAATTCTTTACAAAGGGAATTAGCATTTTCCCATGCAAGTTGTTTAAACAACAAATCCCGTGCTTCAGAGGATGGAAGAACCTTATCCAGAGCAGTTTCTAATCTAGCCACAAAATCCTGGTACATTTCATCCTGGCGTTGGTGTATATCAGTGAGATTAGTGGGTTTGTGCTCAGGTGAAGGTAAATTTTTCCATGAGGCAACTGCTAGTTTATTAATTTCAACTAGGACATCTTTTGGAAGGGCAGCCTGTCTGCGTACATCAGTATATTTGTCTGTTCCCATGAACATGGAAAGAGAAATTTTCTCAGCCTTGACCATATCATCATGTTCCTTAAGGAAGGCATGTACTTGGTCCTCATATTCCATGCGAAATAATATATACATTTCTGAAGGAAGAACAGCCTTGGCAAGATTAAGCCAGTCATAAGGGGTCATCCAAGTGGCCGATAACATGTCAATAATTTGATAAGTATAAGGGGAGTTATGTCCTGTAGTCTGAACAGCTGATTGTAATTCTTTAAGAGTTTTTATAGGGATGGCCTCCCATGCAGGGCCATCGTCATGGCGAGTCAAGACCGGAGGTCCAGTCACGGGAAAGGCAAATGAAAAATCTCCTGTTTTACTGGCCTCTCTTGCTGATCCCAGAATGCCACCTAGGGGTCCTTGAAGGACACAATCATGGGGAAGATTTTTAAGTAATGCAGTTTTGGGCTTAGTAACGATTGGAAAAAGAGTGGCAACTGGAGGGAGGGTTTGTCATTTTTGAAAGTTAATTTATCTAGCATTTCAGCATATTCATGATCATTAGGCTCATCCTCTGCATGGGAAAGGGATTCTTTTAATATAGGAGCAGAGGCTTGAGCGAGTAATGGTGTTATTTCTAGGTTTTTGTTGTTTTTAGGATTATCCTGAACCTCTTCCTGTTTACTCTCCCACAATTCTGCCTCAGTGTCATCAATCAATAAGTCTCTAATTTGTACCCACAAGGACAAAGTCTGTGCGGGGACTTGAGATGGCCCATGAAGGCCAAAAATTCTTTTACTTCTTTTCCTACCTTTTTCCAAGTTTCCAGTGACAGACTGCCTTGTTCTGGAAACCATGGGCATACCCGCATTATGAATTCATAAAGTTGTAACAAAGCCTTTTTATTTACTTTAATTCCGCGTGCTTCAATCATATTTTTCAGTATAGAAAGAAAAAGATCTCTGTTTTTGGTCTGTTGTTGACCCATGACCTCGTGGTGCTTTGTTCACTCAGACAAGATCTTTATTTCAACTGTGCTGTCCGGCCCGTGTCCCTCGCGGGAACTTGCGGAGGCGTCTTAGCTAAGGTCTGTCCGTATAAACCCCGGACCAGGCTGCTCCAAGGAGCAGATGACCGTTATGCCTTATGACGTCCTCCACGGGAACCGCGGGTGCAGCCCACTCAGACTCCGTAGCCCTAAGGCCGTGGAGCCGTATTCATGCACTCTCACACACACTCAGCACCACGAGTATGTTTTCCAGTTTAGAAAAACTTCTCACTGTCTCAAACTGATCACCCTTTATCAGCGAGCTCCGGACGCCCCAGTGAGGATTCTATCCCTGACTGTCTAAAAAAGAAGGGTATTTTAGGAGAAATTCACTCACACACTCACACAAGAAGGAGATAGCTTACCCAACGCAACCTCTTCGTTACTTACCTCTCCTTTGGGTGAAAACAATGAAATGAAGGTCGTGCCCCACGTTGGGCGCCACCTGCCGCGGACCAGCACAGCGATGGACGATGAGACCGTCTCAGGGTTGAGAGATTGCGCAGGGTGGTCAGGGATTCGATGAATAAATGACACACAGACACACTTCAAGAGAGTGAAAATCTGAGTGCGTCTTTATTAAGTTAGTGGTCAGTATATATATGTTTTTCTAAAAGCATCAAAGAGATCAGTTTGCTCATAAATTTAGCTTAATTGACAGGGCAGTGATTTATGTCCGAAGTTACATCTAGCCTCATTCCTAATTGGATAGGCTATAAATTCTTTTTACTATTCTATATAATTATTTTCTAGTTGCACTAACTATCATAATTAATTGTCATGGGTGAATTTATTTTATAATGCAGTTAATATCAAAGGTACTAAAGTTAAGCACATAATAGAAAGATTATTAAACTAACAATTCTATTATAACACAGTGTTTAGTAATGTTTCATTTGCATTAGCCTAATTATTAAATTAGGTATGTTTTTTAATTAGCAATCAATGACCAGAAAAAGGAAAGTTTTTTAGAGAGACAGTTGTAGCAGAATAAAGTTTATGGGCCTTGAGAAAGCGAGATAAGGTTCCAAGTGGTCAGCATTTCTTTTAATCATCTTTGTGGCAGCTTCTGGTGGTCATTATTTCTTGACAGGCATTCGGCTTCTCTGCATCTTAAGGAGTTTGCTGTTCTCCCCCTGCGCGCATGGTTCCTTGCCCACGCCGGACCTCAGGGACCATGGTAACAGCCATTAGCCCTGAGGGTCACTGCAGGGGGAGGTGCAGCAGGTAGCATCATGTAAAAACAACCAGCCCCACACATTCCCACCATCTCTGAGAGTTCAGGGCTGGAAGAACAGAGAAGTAGGAGAAGGAAGGCTGAAATACAAGGTCTGCAGGACGGAGCAGTCTGAAAACTGAAGTCCCTGCCTGTGAACAGGAATGGGTCATTATAAAGAGAGGGATGAATTAATCAAAATTTACCAGGACTGACATGCACCTGCTAGAATGAGTAGAAAAGGACTTTTAGGCAATTTTATAACTGCATTCCATGTTTATAAGTCACACACACACCTAAGAGGAATTTTTTTTCACAGATTTTATTCATTTTTTTGAGTAGAAGAACTGGGGTATAGGCAAAAGGTGTTGGGGGGGTGAGAGGTTTCACCAGAGACACAGTGGGGAGCAGAAGAAGCAGGTTACTGAGGGGAGCACCAGGCAAGACAGGAGAGGTCTGCTGCGGCATGTGCGCCCTAGGGATAGAACTCAAAATATCAAGAGGGAACATCACTGTCATAGTGCTAAGACTTAACCCTTAGGCCACCAAGGAGGTGCTAAGAGGATTTTAAAAGACCCAAAGTCAACTTCTACGAAAGGAAACCATGGCATATGACAGAAAGTTACACGATGGGATCAGTGACTGATTAGACACTGCAAAAGAAACAATGAGGAACTGGAAGGCACAGGACAAAAAAAATATAGAAAATGAAACCCAGACACAGAAAGAGAACACAACAATGATCAGTGTCAGAGAGCCGTGCCCCTGGCCTTGGGGATGCAGAGGAAGCTTGGGCAAGGAGCAGAAAGGATGTTTGAAGAAATAACAGCTGAACATGTTTAAATTGGGTGGAAACTCGAAACCTACTAATCCCTGCATATCAGTGAATTCATGTCAGAGCATGGCTGCACTGAGGGGGTGCGGCTCATTCTTCCTTCAGTTTCATCGTCCCCTATTACTTTTGAGAACAGGCTGATCCAATATAGTGACATGTTAATTTTTCCATCTAAGAGCGTATCTGCAGGTTTGCATGACATGAGCGTTTGCAGTTCCCATTAGAAATCTGTCAGAGGAGAGCCAGTGACTGCAGACCAAGGCCACGGGTGGGAAGGGTAGGGGGTTCTCTGGCTCAGCATCAGCCTGGCCCCCAGTTGGGAGACTTCCTGCCCTCTACCACTCCCCACAGCACCATGGGGGTCACTCACCTCTCTTCTCTTCCATGTAGTCACACCTGCAGTCCCCATTGATCTCCTGCAGTTTCCTTTAGAGTCAGCCATTTTCTCAGAGCTTTCATTTTACTAAGGAGCAGAAAAGCCTCCCTGGAGACACTCAGGACATCCTCGGGGAACTACCTCCAGCCCCTCTAGGTGAGGGCGGTGAGTGGCCTGCCAGGTGCAGGGACGCTGGGTCTGTGCAAGGGAGCTGGCCTGTCACAGGCACCAGAACACAAGGACAGACACCCTGGGTGTCTGGAGGCTGTAGGGGGCATTTGGAAGGGACATTTAATATATTGTGTACATTCCCTTCCTAGAGTAAAATCACCAAACTTTGCAGGTAGATCAATATCACCTCTTCCCAGCACCAAGCCTTTCCAAAGCCAATCACTTTTCAACTCCTGTTGCCATTATTGAATTGGACTCTGCACCTTTATGCATGCAGCATGTGTTAGTTGTCAACGTTTTCTTCCCCTTCTTGAGTCAGTTACGTCAATCTTTTCAGAAGCACTTTACCATGGGTTTCAATTTAATTTGCAGTTTGTTCTTCAGGTTACTCTCAAAATTGTAATTTCCAGTATATGCTCTTGTATGCTTCTGGTTTTCCCTGTGCACTCCTTGTTTAAAAAATCTGTGGGTAGCCAGGGATTTACCTATAATGAGAGAGTTCTCCCGTAAAAGACCAATAGGGCCTGTTTTTCTTTCTATAATTTGCCTGCAACAAATAATTCTAATTTTCCCTTTACTGTATTTTTTGGTATGGTTTTAAAGAATGGTTTCTATTTTCCTTGTCTGAATGATTTCTTTACCATAAATTTATTTTGTTGTTCAGAATCTAAATGTTGATGGGAACATAATTTCCCCTGCAGACAGTAATTTGCATTGGCCTGCCCAGAGGAGGGAGCCACCCCTGGCTGGGGAGGCCACATTTGGCTGAGACAGGACCCAGGACACCAGGAGGGGAAGGAGACTCAGAGAGTTTCTAGAGCTGGGAGGTGGGGCCTCTCAGCTGTGTCCATTTGACCTCCAAGACACCCAAACGGGTGGGGAAAAAGCCCCCACCTGTGGTGTCAGCCATGAAGTGTATGTGGTCGTGGGAGCGCAAAGGAGAAAGTGGGGACTTTTCCCCAACACAGGTGCCTCCTGCACGGACACGAGCCCTTAGAGGAAAAGCTCTATGGGTTGGTTATAGCTTTAGCTGAGAGGGCATTTTCAGTAAAGAATGTAATTCTTTATTTATACACTGACAAGACAAATGACTTTCTTTGTAGATGGGGCATTACGGGAAGGTGCCTCTGTGGGGAGGACGGCAGACAAGGGTCAGGGTCAGCAGGTGTGTTCTGTGGCTGCCCCTGGTGTGGTCTCTGGGCTGAGGAGGGTCAGGAGGTGTCTGGTGATAACTTCTGTCCTTCTGGTAAGAAGAGATGATGACATCATACAAATGTATTTCCACAATTCAGCAGCAGGAAGAGAGCAGAGAACGTTTCTTTATCTGACTTTTCTCAATAGGCTTCATTCAGCCCAGCGATTATTCTGTGTCGAAAATGCATATTGGAGGGGTCCGTTCTGCAATCCGTCACTTCCAAGTCACAAGCTGACCCTAGGAACATGGCTGGAGACCTTCTAATGCTGGGGATGCAGGTGATAGCAGCATCGATGCAATGTCTGGTGACTGCACCTGACATCTGGGGTAGAAGGTGGGCTCTGTGTGTGTGTGTGTGTGTGTGTGTTTACTTAATTACTTATTTTTCAAATTTATATGTTACATCATTGTTCATTTTTAAACAATATTTGCTTCCCCCACTCCCTTAGGTGTAGTCCCCATAGAATTTCCTTCACCAATGTACCCGTGCACCATCACTTCAGTCCCCTGTGCTCCTATCTCCCTCCCTCTAATACCTCTTCCTCCTCCTCCCCTGCAGGATGTCTCTGGTTTATAATTGTCTGTTTCTGTTTACATGTTGTGTTATCATTTTTTTACAGATTTTTTTCTTTGACTTCACTACCCCTTTCCTGGACTGATGATTCAGAAGACTTCAATATCAAAAACCATTATAGTAACATTTGGCAACTCAGTTTTTATTCTGTCATCACTGATGCTGTGTGATCAGGCTGACTACACCACTGTGCTGCTGTCCTTTGCCAAATCAGGTCAGGAAATTTAGGTGTGACAAAGGCCTATATGATCATATCTTTATCATTAAAAGACTGTGAAAAATGCCACAGATGTATGTTTGAGGTTTTCTAATAATTCAAGATAACTGGCACTAGCAAAGTCTGGCATAGAGCGACTACTTTTCTCATACTGAGACCTCAACAAACTTCATTATTTATCCATAATCTCCCCTCATCAAGACCCTCAAGCTAAACTCTGTAAATCTCTTCCACGTCACTCCATTGTTGCCCAATAGACTTGCTTAGTCTGGTTGTTGTCTGCACTTGGGAGTTACCCAGGACTACAGTTCAGATTAACCATCTACATGGCAGTAGTTAAAAGAATCACCACCACAGGCTTATCCTGTTTTTTTTGTGGTTGATGGAGGCAGTTACCACTTCACCTCCTCCCATGCATCTTTTTTTTTTTTTTTCAAGAGTTATTTATTTATTTGTATGAGCACTGGGTATAGTCAGAAGCACGGGAGGGTGAGAGAATTCACCAGAACCACTACAGGGAGCAGAGCAGGCAGACTGACGAAGTACACTGCTGAGGGGAGCAGCGGGCAGCAGGAGAGGTCTGCGTGCCATGTGGACCCTCGCCAGTGACTGGGGATCGAATGCGCACTGCAGAGACTGTGGGCAGCTTTGCAGCCCAGCACTCAACTGCTGTGCCACCGGGGAGGCCCCCAACCCCACATCTTTTATTTATTTATTTCCATTACATAAATATAACATCTTCTTTATTTTTTTTGACATTTTATTTATTTTTATTTTTTTTAAATAATAAATTTTATTTTTATATTCCCCATACAATTGCAACCCCCCCTTTCTGATCCCAATCCCTCCCCTCCCGCCCCCCCACCCCCCAAAAGTGTCTGTTTCATATTTTTTTGTTGATTCTGATTTTCACTTTCTTATAGTTATTCATTTTCCTGGTCCCTTATTTAAGTTTGCTAGATTCCTGCTATGAGTGAGACCATCCGGTATTTTCCTTTTTCTTTTTGGCTTATTTTGCTGAGCATGATCCCTTCCAGCGCCATCCATGTTGCTGCAAATTGCATGTGCTTATCTTTTTTGATTGCTGAGTAATATTCCATTGTGTATATGTACCACATCTTCTTGATCCAGTCATCTATTTTTGGGCATTTGGGTTGTTTCCAAAGCTTAGCTATTGTAAACAGTGCTGCTATAAACATAGGCCAACCCCACAACTTTTAATGGCATCAAACACCATGGGAACACTTAGCCCTCCAGGCCGCTGGCTACCCTGTTGTTCAGAGAAGGACCCTTGGAAATGAGGCCTCTGACCCCACTGAAGAGGGACGGAGAGGACGACGTGTGATCATGGCTTGTATCTTGCTCCCCCCAGCACAGGCTTATTTTCTACAGCATTTTGAGTCTTCACACCCATTTGTCCATGCAGATTTATTTTTTTATTTTTTAAAGATTTATTTATTAATACAAGAGCTGGGGTACAGACGAGAAGCACGGGAGGGTGAGAGAATTCACCAGAGACAGAGCAGGGAGCAGAAAAGGCAGAAAGTTGAAAACACAGCTGAGGGGAGCAGTGGGCGAGTCAGGAGAGGTCTGCTGCGCCATGTGGGTATCTCCCTGGCTGGCCATGAATCAAACCCGCGCTGCAGCGGGTGCGGACAGCTTCACAGTGCTGCGCTCAATCCGCTGTGCCACCTGGGAGGCCCTCCATGCAGATTCATTATTGATTAGTCGCTGACAGCTCAGCACTGTCCCAGGTAGAGGGAAATCAAGGAAAGAGAGCAAATGAAATTTCTGCCCTCAAGCGGGTCAATTATATTCACAATGAGGGGTAAGGCAAGGTTCAACAAAGAGAAAACCAAAGATTTTACTCTTTTCCTGATGTTTCTGGTGGAGGCAGGAATAAAGAAGAATGACTAACCCTGTAAAAGGCTTGGAGAATATCATGGAAGGAGGCCTATGCAAAAGTTTCGATGTGGGCCCCAGATGTCATGTCCAGCCTCACAGTCCAGAAAGATCCCCAAATCTGGCATGGCTCTCGAGCAAGAAGAGAGGGTGCAGGACCAGTCAGGTGAATGTGGTCATTGTTTGTGTTCTTGATGGCCCAGAAAGCAGACTGAGGCTCAGCATCCCCTCTATGTCCCTGGGCACATCCTCTAGACAAACTCCCAAATCACACTTGGCTCCTTCTCCCATGTCCACTGCAAAATAATGTCTCTTTGAGGTGAAGCCCTCACAGCCCAGGACACAGGTTCACATGCTAAGCCTCCCAGAAGTGTGAAGCTTCTTGAAGGGTGTGTCCGTAAGTCTCTTCTGTCCAGTTCTCAGAGAGAGTTAGGTTATCATGAGCTGTGTCTTCATCCAGAGGCACACTGACTGCAAAAGTGAACAAACATAAACCAACAATGACATGTTTATCAGCTAACAATAGTTCACCTTAAATAAAACCAGTGTATGTTTAATGTAAGCTATCAGCTTCTTGAGCCTCATATGCTGATGCTCAGGCGTAACTACAGGGATCTCTACAGCCTCACCAGGAAACGCTGCACACAGAACAAGACAGTAACTATCTAAATGAAGCCTTTCTCCACCTCCTATATGTAGAAAGTTGTCTGTGTCCACCAGGACTCTCTTCCAGAAAGCTCCCAGGATCCACTCCCAAATTAGTGGGGCACAAACCCACCACCCACATCAAGGTCACCAGGCAGCCTTCTTTTGCTGACTGCTTTGCACTAGCACACTGCAGGAAAAATATAATCTGGTGGTCTCTGTGCCAGTTTTGGGAATCTGTCACATGACCTTGCACATCGTGGTTTCTCTAATGTTAGACACATGTGGACTTAAAATAGGCTGGCACATGATGGGACAACTGTATTTACAGCAGGGGCCATCACAGCAAGGGTGAATAGGGATGAGATTCTCCCTGAAAGTGTATATGGACCATGGGATTGTATTTTAGGGAAACAATATGATCTAATTTTTAGAAGAACGAGAGGATGAAACTTTTATTTCCGGGTCACAATCTTGGGTATCAACCTAAATAACCATAGATGTGAGCGTTGACCTGAGAGCAGGTGCTGCTACAGGAGTCTGGGACGCTCACTCACCTCAGAGCCCGGACACACATCTTTGGCAAGGACATGGTTGTGTCCACTGTGCTGGGGGGACTGTGCACAGCTCCTGCCGATGGGCTGCCCAATGTCCTCACACAACAGGGGGAGCTGCTCACACAGCTTCTCACCCTCTACCTCCCTGGGGGCTCCCCTCTCAGCATCTAATGGGGTTTCCATTTCAAGCTGGAGCTTCCATATGATTTGCTACCTCACACCAAGTATAGTTGAAGGGCGGCCTCCTCCACCATAGTCACCTCCTCCTTGGTCTCCCCGTTGTCCCTGGTTCCTACCCTGTTTTCCCTGATTCCTCCTCTGACGTCCCTGATTCCTCTTCTGATGCCCCTGATTCCTCCTCTGACGTCCATAAATCCTCGTCTGACGTCCATGATTCCTCCTCCGACGTCCACGAATCCTCGTCTGACATCCCTGGTTGTTCCCCTGAAATGCTCCAAATCATGGTTAGAGGCAGAGAAGAAAGAGATACAATACTTCACAGTGAAGGACAGGCAGGTGACCTGGGCCTTTGTGCCTCCACAAATACTGTTTAATTGATTACACTTTATTGGAAACAATTATGTAGAAGGAAATGTTTTAATAATGAGGGTTTTTAAAAGAGTAAGAATTTTTTAGGGGCGACACAAGCTCATTTCAGAAATACACTGAATCATAATGTAATGTGTGTGAAAGATAACAGTGAATAAATCAGTGATAAATCAGCTCAGTGAAATCTGAATAGAGTTACATCAGTTCCCACTTTTCACATCCATGTGTCTTTGTTGGATCAACTCAGAGATACTCTATTTTAAAATGGTGGTGGTATTCACATATGGGACAGGGAAGAGGAATCACTGACAGGTTCATAATCCCTTATCTGAAACCCTTGGGGCCAAATATAAAAATTCACAATATTTTTGAGATTATAATGCATAATGCACAGAACCTCTAAATTATGTGCCCACCCACACTAGGGTCTGCCAGAGCCATGAATCGATACATCAATAGTCCTGCACCAAGTAGGATTAATAAAGATGTTAAGTGGAGTCAGATGAGTGCAATTCAGGGGGAACCACAATGGAGGAGGACTCCAGGGTGTTTGCATGATCCCTGCCTCTTCATTTTCCCAGCCTTGTAAAACTCCTTCCATTTGGGCATGGGCATAAGCTGATACTTGCCTCTGAGCAATGGCAAAAAAGATGGGATGTACCACTATGGTCGTATTCCCTTACCTAGGACCTCAAGTAACAGTTGACTTAAAGACTATCTCCTCAGCTCAGCTCACTTTAAAGAAATAACAGGCCGTGTGGAAGGCCCATGTGCCATGTGATGAGTGGTGGCTTCCTGAAGCTGAGGCAGCTCTCAGGTGACAAGAGTCAGAGCCTAAATGCTGTACCCACACACACAAAAAGAAATCTGCAAACAATTGGTAGAAACTGGGGAGAGGATTATTCCCCACATGAGTCACCAGATGACACGTGGCCCAGCCAGCACCATAACCGCTCTTTGTGACCCCACCTGAGCTGTGCCCAGATTTTCCACACGTGATTCCTTGAGAAAATGTGTGTCTTCAACTTAAAGCCCACGAAGTGTTTTACAGCAACATATAACTGAATAAGAAAGCAAATATATTCTGGTTAGGGTGAATTTAGCATATGAGTCAGGGGGAAACACTGAGATTTTTGAGCCTTACAACTCCGTAATTGTGGTTGAGGGATTTGAAAATGTCATTTGGGTCAAGGTCCTAAAACTATTTGCATCATCTACCTTTCTTGCATTGTTCTCAGACTTACTGAAATATTAACAGTTAACTTTATGGCCCAGTTACTGCACTAAGATCCTTACAAAGGGTGATGCACTTAATTTTTATAAAAACCGGTACAAGGGAAACTGGAATCAAGGACTTGATTCACTTGGGGACACAGCTAATCAATGGGCGAGCAAGCATCTCAAGGATCCCTAGAGGTCCCCAGTATCCTGTGTCCCTGAGGAAGCTCTAGAGCATCCTGATATCTCCACTGTGAACGTGGTTAACACTGAAGAATTCTTGACTTTCCATACCTTCGTTGGTCTTTAACTTTTTGCTCTCATCACTGTGGAGCTCAGAATCATTGCAGTCAGTGTGAGGCTCCGAAGATATGGACTCTGGAACTGAACTCCTAGACTCAGAAGAGGACGTATTTCTTCAGTGGGACATCCCATGAGCTCTATGTACTCAGACCCCTGTCCTCCAAATAAGGATAGCGCTTACCTGGTCAAGGTGTTTTTCATGTCCTACAGAGACACAAAGACAAAAGGAGAGTTAGGGAATCCCCATGTTTCACGGGGCTTGTATGAAGCATGTTTTCTGTAAACCCTGTATCCAAAAAGGAAAGGAGTGAGTCCCATCTGGATACTGATGGATGCCCTGGTGATGAGTCAAATCCCCATCCCCGAGGGACCAGAGCACGGCAGCAAGTTGATCCTCCCAGAGCCCAGTAACCTGCTCACTGTGATTGTGATCACAGCAGCGTGTGGGCTGCCTGAGGAGGAGGCCGGGAGACCCTGTGCTCCCCCTGCAAGATGTTCTTTTAGGGACCTGCCTGCCTTCAGAAGAGTCTCCATTAAATCACTCATCACACAGGCCTTTCCTTTGTGAAGAATCCACACACGGCTCATGAGAATGGGCCACTGCGGTGGTGACAGGTGGCCTGTGCAGGTGGAGCAAGTCAGGAGACATTGAAACCTTTCCTGGGGACTGAGTGGCAACTAAAAGAAACAGCGCCTGCAATTAATGTTTCTGGATTTGATCCCTCATGCCTTGGAGAAAGGTACAGGAAGGCCTTTGGAGCAAGAGAGTTGTTCACAAACAAGGGAGGAAGTTCTCATACACGAGGCTGCTCAACAACTGCAGTTGCACCAGCCATCACCAGAAATCTCTCAGGAGAGAGTCTGACAATCAGGGCTCTGTGCATATGGGACTGAGATGTATCCTTAGGGTAAAAAAAGAAAACTGTTCTGTTTGAAAACATGTTTCCATCTAAGTCATCTAGTTCAAAGAGATCATTGTGTCATGGTGTAAGGTAAATGGTGTTCAGGCTTTTCTGCCCTCCCACCATTACGATTGCCCTGCCTGATGGGGCACCTGCAGTCATTACATTGTTGTAAGCTGTGTTGTTTAATTCTGTGGGCCATGGCTCAGTACTGAGATATTCTGGAGAGAACTAGAGGCAGGAGAAAGAGGCAGGAGAGAGAAGAGAGATGCCCAGAGTGAAGATGCTGGCCCCCTGGCCCCCGGCACCCCTGCCTGCCATTTGCCTGGTTGCTGTACTATATGTAAAAGCTCAGCATAGGAAACAGAGACAAGACTCTCCCCATCCTATGAAAGTCCATATGGACCATGGGATGTGTTTTGGGGAACTAACATGAACTAATTTTCAGAAGGATGAGTTGATGAAAGTTGTATTTCTGAATCATACTCTTGCGTTTTAGCCTGAATAACCTTAGATCTGGGAGTTCTGCCTCAGATCATGTGCCGTTGCAGGATCGGGCCCCTCACTCACCTTTGAGTACATACACGCATCTGTGGCGCGGACATGTTTGTGTCCTCTGTGCTTGCGGAACCGGGCACAGAACTTGCAGATGAGCTGCCCGGTGTCCTCACAGAACAGGCGGAGCCGCACTGCGTGTATCTCACAAAGTTTCTGACCCTCTAAGTCCCTGGGGGCTGCTTTGATGGCTTCATCTAAATGCTGCATAGCCACCCTAAGAACTGATTGCTGAATCGAAGGATGGTAAAAGGGACATCTCCTCTTCGCTGATTGCTCCCCTGACGTCCCTGTCTGCTCCTCTGATGTCTCTGGTTGTTTCCCTGACGTCTTGGCTGTGGGAGCTGAGGCCGAGGCTCCTCCTGAAAAGCTCCAAATCGTGGTTAGAGGCAGAGATGAAGTAGACACAATTCTTCACAGTGAAGGACACGCAGGAGACCTGGGCCTCTGTGCCTCCACAAATACCGTTTAATTGATTATAGTTTATTTGCAACAACTACATAGTAAGAAATGTTTTAATAATGAGGGCTTTTAAAAGAAAAATAATCCTTTATGTTCGACAGAAGCTGATTTCAAAAATACACTGAACCATAATGTAACGTCTTATGTAAAAGATAACAGAAGATAAATCAACTCAGTGAAATCTGAACACAAGTTACAGCAATTCCTTCTTTTCCCTTCCATGTGTCTTTATTGGATCTGATCAAAATCAGAGATACTCTATTTTAAATTTCTGGCGGTATTCACTTGTCAGGACAGGGGAGAGAAATCACTAACAGGTTCATAATCACATATCTGAAAACCATGTGGCCAAATACAAAATTCAGAATATTTTTGAGGTTATAGTGGTACAATGTACAGATCCTCCAAACTATGTGCCCAACTCCAGCAGGGCCTGCCATAGCTTTGAATCAGCACATCGACAGTCCTGCACCAACTAGTACTAATAAAGATGTTAAGTAGAGTCAGATGAGCACAGTTCAGTGGTGACCACAACGGAGGGCAACTCCAGGGTGTTGGCATGATTCCTGCCTCCTCATTTTCCCAGCCTTGTAAAACTCCTTCCATCTGAGAGTGGGCATAACCTGAGAATTGCCTCTGAGCAATGGCAAACATGATGGGATGTGCCACTATTTCCTTATGTAGGACCCCATATTATGGTTGACATGGTTGACTTAATTTAAAGACTATCTCCTCAGCTCAGCTCACTTTCAATAAATAACTGGCCATGTGGAAGGCCCATGTGCCATGTGATGAGTGGTGGCTTCCAGAAGCTGAGGCAGCTTTCAGGTGACAAGAATCAGGGTCTAAGTCCTACACCCACAAAGAAATGATTTTCCAACAACTGGAAAAGATGGGAGAGGATTTTTACCCCCACAATGAGTCACCGCATGACATGTGGCCCAGCCAGCACCATAACTGTTCTCTGTGACCCCACCTGAGCTGTGTCCAGGTTTCCCACACACATTCTCTCAGAAAATGTGTGTCTTTAACTTTCAGCTACTGAAGTGTTCTTCAGGAACATATAACTGAATAAGCCAGCAAATAATTTCTGGTTAGGGATAATTTTAACAGAGAAATGAGTTAGGAGGAAACATTGAGCTTTTTAGAGCCATTGAACTCTATAACTGTGGATGAGGGATTTGAAAATGTCATTTGGGTCAAGGTCCTAAAACTATTTGCATCATCTACTTTTCTTGCATTATTCTCAGACTTGCTGAAATATTAACAGTAAACTTTATGGCCCAGTTACTGTACTTAGCTCCTTACAAAATTTGAGGCACTCAATTTTTATGACAACTGGTGAAAGGGAAACTGGAATCAAGGAATTGATTCATTTGGGGGACACAGTTAATCAATGGGCAAGTAGGCATCTGAAAAGTCCCTAGTATCCTGTGTCCCTGTGGAAGCTCTGAGGCATCTTCCACTGGATGCCTAAACAACCTGTACTGCCTAAGCAACCCTCCACTGGAACTAAACTACCTGTACTGTCTGTCTGTCACCCTGTCCCGGGGTAGGTTGTGAACGTAGTTAACACTGAAGTTAACTTCCATTCCCAACACCAACAATTCTTGACTTTCCATACCTTGTTTGGTCTTAAATTTTTCCTTCTCATCACAGTGGAGCTCAGAATCGGTGCAGTCAGTGAGAGGCATTGAAGACATGGACTCTGGGACTGAACTCCTAGACTCAGAAGAGGATGGATTTCTTCAGTGGGACATCCCATGAGCTCTATGTACTCAGACCCCTTCCCTCCAAATAAAGATAGCGCTTACCTGGTCAAGGTGTCTTTCACATCCTGCAGAGACACAAGGACAAAAGGTTAGGGAATCCCCATGTCATGGGTTTGGCATGAGGTATGTCTCTGTAAACTCTCCACCCAAGAAGGAAAACAGTGAGTCCCACCTGGATAGTGATGGACGCCCAGGTTTCTTGAGTCCCATCCCCACCCCTGAGGGCCTGATCATGGCAGCAAGTTGATCCTCCCAGAGCCCAGTAACTGCTTGCTGTGACTGTGATCACAGCAGCGTGTGGGCTGCCTGCGGAGGAGGCCGGGAGACCCTGTGCCCCCACTGCAAGACGTTCTTTCAGGGACCTGCCTGCCTTTAGACAAGTCTACATTAAATCACTTATCACACAGGCTTTTCCTTAGTGAAGAATCCACACACACCTCATGAGAATGAGCCACTGCGGTGGTGGCAGGTAGCCCATGCAGGTGGAACAAATCAGGAGACATTGAAACCTTTCAGTGGAACTGAGTGGCAACTAAAATAAACAGCACCTGCAATTAATGTTTCTGGGGTTGATCCCTCATGCCTCAGAAAAAGGTCGAGGAAGGCCTCTTGGAACAAGTGAGCTATCCACAAACAAGGGAGCAAGGTCTCATACACGTGGCTGCCCAACAACTGATGGTTGCTGCAGACATCTCTAGGAATCTCTCAGGAGAGAGTTTGACAATCAGGGTCTATGCACATGGAGCTGAGATTAATGGTAGCAAAATTTTGCTCATGGTTCCCTTTGGCCTATGAGCCATCCACATGCACCCACACTCACTGGAGTGTATTTACTCAGATCCACATGAAGACAGTAACCATCTAAAAGAAGTCTTTCTCCACCTTCTATATGTGGAAAGTTGTCTGTGTCCATCTGGACTCGCTTCCAGGACGCTTCCCGGATTCACTCCCAAATTAGGAGTCTTCTTTTGCTGACCTATTGCCCTGGCAGACTGCAGGGGAAATAAAATCTGGTTTCTCTCTGCCTGTTTTGAGAATCTGTCCCATGTCTTTAAACTCATGGTTTCTACACTTTTGCATACATGTGAAGATAAAACAGGCTGCATGTGTTTGGATAACAGGGAGTGATCACAGCAAGAGTGAAGAGGGATGGGCCTCTCCTGGTGGCACAGGTGGTTGAGCACCTTGCCGGGAAGCTGTCCACAGGCTCTGCAGCACCTGTTCAATCCCGGCCGTCCAGCGAGGGTCCCACATGGCGTGGCAGACCTCTCCTGTCTCGCCCGCTGCTCCCCTCAGCAGTGTATTTCATCAGTCTGCTTGTTCTGTTCCCCGCTCTGTGTCTGGTGAATCCTCTCACCCTCCCGTGCATCTGGCCTATACCCTGGTTCTTGTATAAATAAATAAATCTTTAAAAAAAAAAAGAGTGAACAGGGATAAGATTCTCCCCATCCTGTGAGAGTCCATATGACCTTAGGAACGTGTTTTGGGGAACTACCATGAACTAATTGTCAGTGAATAAGATATTGAAAATTTTATTTCCTGATCACAATCTTGGGTTTTAACCTAAAACACCTTAGATCTGGGAGTTCAGCATGAGAGAAGGTGCTGCTGCAGGAGTCTGGGGCCCTCACTCACCTTGGAGCCCTGACATGCATCTGTGACAGGGACGGGGTTGTATTCCCTGTGCTGGGTGGACAATGCACAGTGCTGGCCGATGTCCTCACTGAATACGCAGAGCTGATCTCCTTGTATCTCACACAGCCTCTCACCCTCTGAACCCCAGTGGGGTGCCTTGCTGACTTCATCTACATGCTGTGGAGTGTTCAAAGGCAATAATGTCTGAAAAAAATGATAGATGGAGGTCCATATACTCAGCCATTTTGTCCTCCTCACTGATTGCTCCCCTGACAGCCCTGGTTGCTCCCTTGATGTCCCTGGTTGCTCCTCTGATGTCCCTGGTCGTTCCCCCGACGTCTCTTGTTGGTCCTCAATGCTGTGCTCTCTGTACCAGTTGTGCCCGCAGTCGGAGCTCACAGGCTCCGTTATGGGCTGCTGGCAGTTGGAGCACGTGGCTTCCTCCCTTTTCCTCTTCTTAGTTGGGTCTGAGGCCATGGCTCTTCCTGAAAAGCTTCAAGTCGAGGTGAGAGGCAGAGATGAAGTAGACACAATTCTTCACAAGGAAGGACACGCAGGTGACCTGGGCCTTTGTGCCTCACAAGTCCGGAAATCTGTTTGGAAAAAAAAACTTGGGGATTTGGAAGATGCTCGCCCTGTGGATGCGTTGTACAAACACTGATCCCCATCACATCTGGCTACTAAAATAGAAGTTATTGAAAAGTCATAGCATTTAAATTTCAGGCCCGCAGCCCCATGAACTGTGTCCCTGGCATCATGTCAGCCCTGGGACCAGGCTATATCACACCCAGACACACCACGTCCCATCACTGCAGAGATGCTTCTTGGGGAGGAGCTGAGAGAGACAGAGAATAGAGGAGACTCCTCACAAATGTTGCAGGCAGAGAGAGATCTCAGCGAGGAGGGGGTGAGACTCTCTCCTACTGGACTGAACGTCCAAAGAATCAGTGGTCGGAACCGCTTCTCTGTGAGCAGTAGGGCCATTTAGGACGGGGGTCTGTGCGGGATTCCAGTGAGACAAAATATATCTGACCCTACTGACCTCCACACTCCTGGGTCTCCTGCCCCAACTCACACACCCAGAGGACAAAATAAACAGTTTCATGAAGTGGATAATAACAAACTCAACAAGACAATGAGAAGCTTTTTTTCCTTCTGTGGTTTATAGCAACGGGAGAGAAACCAAATTGGAAGGAGCTGGAAGTCGAGGTGGTGCTGGGGCTTGAGCTCCAGGACACCCCGGGAGACACCTATCCCTTCTGACCATGACTCATCCCCAGAGCAAGTCCCCGGGGAGGGGAATCCAGGGTTGGTACCACCCAGGCATGGAGAGGTGGCATGCAGTGGGGTGGGGGGGACAGCTCTTATGGGGACACTAGGGACTGGACCCCCTAGATTCTCACAACCCGTATCTGAGAGCCAGACAGGGGAGGAGGAACAGGAGCCAAGGGGCCTCCTCCCCCAGCCCCTGCTCAGGGAACCTAGTGCGCCCCCCTTCCCTGCTGTGGGCTGTGGGGAGACAGTGGAAATGGGGAAACTTCAGCAAGCTGTTCTGTGAAGTGACAGTGCTCTGAATGAAACACTGGAATTCAACTAAATTACTTATCAGGCTTCGCCCCTCAAAGATCAGGACGGCCCTCTGTCTCCACAGAGAATTTCTCCTAGAGACTTTGATCCTTGGCGGGGTTATCCTCTGTCCCTCACCCCAGGATATGTCGACCTTCTTTCTCGCTGCCCAGGGGCCCTGCACTACTGCACAGAAGTTCTGTCCAGTGACCCCGGGCTGAGGTGATAGCCCCCACTCACTTTATGACCTGGATCTTCCGAGGTGGGGCCTGTGGTCTGTGAAAGAGACAGAGAGAAGGGGAAGCCATTAAAAGCAAGTCCTGTCTACTTTCAGATCCATGGGCACCCTCACTGCCTCCCATAAAACACACACACACACACACACACACAGAGGCATGTTAGCAGGTCTTTTGAAAATGTTGGCCTGGATTTGGTCACTCCCTTCGCCACTCAGCACAGTCTCAAATTCACTGCAAGCCCCTCTACACTGCGATTTCTGGTGGTTACAATGAAGAAGTTAATTTGGACTGTAAAACTCAGAAAAAAAAAAAAACATCAGGGTCAGTCTCTGCACATGAGGAGGAATCTTGTGGCTTTGCCTGTGTGTTGGGTACTCAGCTTGTCAAGAGGAAGTGGGGCACAGTAGAAATAATGCCCTTCAAAATAATGCATAGAATACAATGAGCAAGAATCTTCTGCCACAAAACGTAGAGATTTAAATGAAGAGTTTAGTGGACTGTAAACTAAACATCTTTGGAATAAATGAAATTGATCAAATACGTGAGGAGACATTCCATGTCCATAAACTGCGGGTTTATACTGTGAGGCTGACCATGCTTCCCTAAGAGTCACACAGATTCAGGGCACTCCCCATACAAACAAGCTGTGGTTCTTTTTTGCTGTTGTTATTCCTTTGGTGTTTCATTTTGTTTTTGTCTTTGTAACATCAGCCAATTCATTTTAAAATTCATTGGAAAATCCAGGAATCCAGGACAGCCAGAATAATCTTGACAAAGTTCAACCTTGCAGGAGTCATGTCTTGCCATTTCAAAGGTATATGGCTACAATGGTCAAGATTATTTAAAAGTGTTAGCATAATGATATACATGTAGATCAATGAAATACAATAGCCTAGAAATAAACCCATACATCTTCTCACACCCCCCTCCTCTGGCCTGTACCCCAGTTCTTGTATACATAAATCAATAAATCTTTAAAATAAATAAATAAAAGACCCTAGAAAAGGTAAGTCTGGCAATATGACATAAAGGCATAAGGGGGAAGGGGAGAGGGGGAGGGGGAGAGTGTGGGGGAGGGAATATGAGAAGGGGAGGGAGGGGGAGGGAGGGGGAGGGAGGGGGAGGGAGCGGGCTCTGGCCAACACCTGGGCACACACTCTCCCTCCCGCCCACATGTACCTGGCAGGGGCAGAAGCTGCATCTCCGGGGCTGGAAACCACATTACTCTAGAACACACGTGGCCACCCGGGAAGTCCCTGCAGGGCCTGCTGGGAGAGGTGACTCAAGCCGGAAGGGGGGCGGGGCAGGGGGAAGGACAAGACTTGGGGTGCAACTGCACCCCATTGGAGCGGAAGCACATCTACACCTCCTGGCGCTGGCACTGCCAGCCCCACTCCGTGTCCAGAGACTCATCTGTATCACACCCGTGACCCTCCCGGGCCTGATCAGGCCCCTCCCAGGGCAGGGCTGTGCTGGAGGGCGAGGACATCCCGAGTTCACCTTCTCCGCCTCATTCTCAAACCACCTGAGGGAGCAGGAAATGTTGACTTTCTTTTTAATTGACGGGGGAACACGCAGGTTTGCATCACGCTACTTTTTCATCTTCCACCAGCATCACCACAGTCACTGCAGAGGAAGCTGCGGGGGGAGGGGGGGTTCTCTGGCTCAGCACCAGCCTGGCCCCCAGGACCCCGATTCTGTCTCCCCCTCCTCTGCTCCTGGGCAGACCCGCCCCACCCCACAAGGACACCCTCATTCCCTTCTCTTCACCCCCCAGTCACACTCGGTTTCTTCCTTTTCCAGACCTGCCTGGTGGGGAAGGGGGGGGGGCGGTAAAAGACAGCCCCAGGCACTGCCCTGCCTCCATCCTGCTCACCTGTGACACAGGAATGTCCCCACCTCAGGGGGCTCCATACAATTGCAACCCCCTTATTTTGACCCCAATCCCTCCTTTCCCCGCCCCCCTCTGGTTCATAGTTGTTTGTTGATTTTGATTTTCACTTTCTTATAGTTATTCTTTTTCCTGGTCCCTTATTTAAGTTTTCTAGATTCCTGCTATGAGTGAGACCATCCGGTATTTTTCTTTTTCTTTCTGGCTTATTTCGCTGAGCATGATCCCTTCCAGCGCCATCCATGTTGCTGCAAATTGCATGTGTTTATCTTTTTTGAATGCTGAGTAATATTTCATGGTATATATGTACCACATCTTCTTGATCCAGTCATCTATTTTTGGGCATTTGGGTTGTTTCCAAAGCTTAGCTATTGTAAACAGTGCTGCTATAAACATAGGGGTGCAGGTGCTCTTTGGGATTGATGTTTCTGTGTCCTTTGGGTAAATACCTAGGAGTGGAATTGCTGGATCATATGGAAGCTCTATGTTTAGTAGGTCCAGAAATCTCCACACAGCTCTCCATAGTGGTTGGACCAGTTTGCACTCCCACCAACAGTGCAGGAGAGTTCCTTTTTCTCCACATCCTTGCCAACATTTGTTGTTGCTAGTTTTTTTTAATATGTGCCATTCTCACTGGTGCAGGATGGTATCTCATTGTAGTTTTGATTTACATTTCCCTGATTGCAAGTGATGTTGAACATTTTTTCATATGCCTGTTGGCCATTTGCATTTCCTCTTCAGAGAAGTTTCTTTTTAGTTCTTCTGCCCATTTTTTGGACTGGATTATTTTCTTTATTTTTGTTGAGTCTCATCAGCTTTTTGTAGATTTTTTGTGATCAGTCCTTTATCATTAGTGTTGTGAAATGTTCTCCCAGTCAGTGGGGTTTCTCTTTGTTTCTCTTTGTTTTGGTTATTGTCTCTTTTGCTGTGCAGAAGCTCTTTAATTTGATGTAGTCCCATCTTTGCCTTCGCTATCACTGCTTTCTTCACAGCCTTTTTAATATGTCTGGCCCAGGCTGAGTGTCACTGTGCTATCAGGCAGCTTCCCAGGTGACTGGGATACACAGCAAGGGAGAAGGACCTCTAATCTGGGCTAAGTCCAACCCAGGAAGGAATCCTTTCCTCTTTCATTTCTAACTGAAGTTCTATTTTTTCTGGAGAAATGGATCCCAAAGAAGGGAGAAAATTACTCAGGAGTCCACAAAGATGAAATGATGGTACCCAAGGATCCCTCATTAGCAGGTCACACATGTGAAAGTGCTTTGCAGTCTTTATAGAATCAACACCACCAAAACCTTTTTTTGTGCTCTATGCCTCAGGCTTTGTGCCTGAGCACTTCTCACAACAACCTGGGAGCAGAGCCCCATTATTAGATGGAGGAAATTAAGGTCTAGATGGATGGTGTCACTTGTCCATTTTTTTTAAGGATTTGTTTATTTATGGATACAAGATATGGGGTACAGGCCAGAGGTGTGAGAGGTGAGAGGATTCACCAGAGACAGAGTGGGGAACAGAACAGGAGGATTGACTGAAATTTGTTGCTGAGGGGAGCAGTGGGCGAATGAAGTGAGATCTGCTGTGCCATGTGGGTAGCTCCCTAGCTGGGGATCGAACTCGTGCTGCAGAGGCTGTGGCTAGTTTCATAGGTTGTGTCTTAACCCCTTGCGCCACCAGGGAGGCACCATTGATCCAATTTTAAAGAAAATCCAGTAAGACATAAACCAGGCTCTGCATTGAAAGGTAGAAAACTTATTTTTCTCTCCATCTAGTATCTTCCTCAGACCCAGTGTGTCCATTTCACTAAAGCAGGCGCTCAGAAGTGGTAGCATCATGCAAAGCCAACCAACCCCACACATTCCCACCATCTTCGGAGAGTTCAGGGCTGGCAGAACAGAGGAGGAGGAGAAGGGAGGCTGAAATACATGGTCTGCAGGAAGGAGCAGTCTGAAAACAGAAGTCCCTGCCTGTAGACAGGAATCATAATAGAGAGGGAGGAATTAATCAAAATTTACCAGGACTGATGCACCTGTTAGAATGAGTAGAAAAACTTTTAGGCAGTTTTATAACTGCATTCCACGTTTACATGGCACACATACACCTAAGAGGATTTTTCCCCACAGATATTTATTCTTTTTTTTTTTTTTTTGAGTAGAAGAACTGGATGTAAACAAAAGGTGTTGTGGATGAGAGGATTCAACAGAGACACAGTGGGGAACAGAAGAGGTGGGTTTATGGAACTACACTGCTGAGGGGAGCAGCGGGTGAGACAGCAGAGGTCTGCTGTGCCATGTGTGCCCTGGGAATAGAACTCAGAATATCAAGGGGGAACATCACTGTGGTGGCGGTGCTAAGACTTAACCCCTGGGTCACCAAGGAGGCGCTAAAAGGATTTTAAGACTCAAAGTAAACTTCCACAAAGGGAAACCATGGCATATGACAGAAAGGTACATGATAGGATCAATGACTGATTAGACACTGCAAAATACACAATTAGGAACTGGAAGGCACAGGACTAAAAACTATAGAAAATGAAACCCAGACACAGAAGGAAAACTCAACAAAGAGCAGGCGTCAGTGAGCTGTGCCCCTGGCCTTGGGGAAGTAGAGGAAGCTTGGGCAAGGAGCAGAAAGGACGTTTGAAGAAGTAACACCTGAACATGTTTTAAATTGAGTGAAAACTAAAAACCTACAAATCCATGCATATCAGTGAAACCATGTCAGAGCATGGCTGCACTGAGGGGCTGTGGCTCATTCTCCCTTCAGTTTCATCATCCCCTATTCCTTCTGAGAACAGTCTGATCCAATATAGTGACATGTTAACTGTTTTCCATCAAAAAGTGTATCTGGGGCCTCCCCGGTGGCGCAGTGGTTGAGCGCTGGGTTGCGAAGCTGCCCGCAGCCTCTACAGCGCTGGTTCGATCCCCGGCTGCTCCCCGGCCACCGGAGGAGGGTCCCGCATGGCGCGCAGACCTCTCCTGTCGCCCGCTGCTCCCCCCAGCAGTGTACTTCGGTCCTTCTGCCTGCTCTGCTCTCCGCTCTGGCTCTGGTGAATTCTCTCACCCTCCTGTGCTTCTGACTGTACCCAGTGCATGTATGTATAAATAAATAAATAAATCTTTAAAAAAAAAAAAAGTGTATCTGTAGGTTTGCATGACATGAGTGTTTGCAGTTCCCATTAGAAATCTGTCAGAAGAGAGCCAGTGACTGCAGACCAAGGCCACAGGGGGAAGGGTAGGGGGTTCTCTGGCTCAGCATCAGCCTGGCCCCCAGTCGAGAGAATTCCTGCCATCCCCCACTCCCCACAGCACCATGGGGGTCACTCACCTCTCTTCTCTCCCATGTAGTCATAACTGCAGTCCCCGAATGATCACCTGCAGTTTCCTTTAGAGTCAGCCATTTTCTCAGAGCTTTCATTTTACAAAGGGGCAGAAAAGCCTCCCTGGAGACACTCAGGACATCCTCGGGGAGCTGCCTCCAGCAACTTTAGGTGAGGGCGGTGAGTGGCCTGCCAGGTGCAGGGACGCTGGGTCTGTGCAAGGGAGCTGGCCTGTCACAGGCACCAGAACACAAGGACAGACTCCCTGGGTGTCTGGAGGCTGTAGGGGGCATTTGGAAGGACATTTAATATATTGTGTACATTCCCTTCCTAGAGTAAAAGCACCAAACTTTGCAGGTAGATCAATATCACCTCTTCCCAGCACCAAGCCTTTCCAAAGCCAATCACTTTTCAACTCCTGTTGCCATTATTGAATTGGACTCTGCACCTTTATGCATGCAGCATGTATTAGTTGTTAACCTTTTCTTTCCCTTCTTGAGTCAGTTACATCAGTCTTTCCAGAAGCACTTTACCATGGGTTTCATTTAATTTGCAGTTTGTTCTTCAAGTTACTCTCAAGATTAAAATTTCCAGGATATGCTCTTGCCTGCTTCTGTCATTGCCTGTGCGCTCCTTGTTAAAAAAATCTGTGGGTAGCCAGTGATTTATCTATAATGAGAGAGTTCTCCCCTAAAAGACCAACAGGGCCTGTTTTTCTTTCTATAGTTTGCCTGCAACAAATGATGTCTAATTTTCCCTTTACTATATTTTTTGTTATGGTTTTCAAGGAATTGTTTTTTCTTTGTCTGAATGATTTCTTTACCATCAATTTTTTTTTATGTTGTTCAGAATCTAAATGTTGAAGGGAACATAATTGTCCCTGTGGACAGTAATCTGAACTTGGACTGCCCAGAGGAGGGAGCCGCCCCTGGCTGGGGAGGCCACAGTTGGCTGAGGCAGGACTTCAGGACACCAGGAGGGGAGGGGAGATTCAGAGACTTCCTAGAGCTGGGAGGTGGGGCCTCTCACTTCAGTTGTGTCCACTGAGTTGACCTCAAAGACACCCAAATGGATGGTGGAAATGTCCCCACATCCAGTGTCAGCAATGAAGTGTGTGTGGTCGTGGGAGCACAAAGGAGAAAGTGGGGACTTTTCCCAAATACAGGTGCCTCCTGCACAGTCATGGAGCCCTGGAGGAAAAGCTCTATGGGGTGGTTACAGCTTGGGCTGAGAGGGCATTTTCAGTAAAGAATAGAATTTTGCTTTTATGCATTGACAAGACAAACCACTTTCTTTGTAGGCGGGAGCTACGGGAAGGCGCCTTTGTGGGGAGGACGGCAGACAAGGGTCAGGGTCAGCAGGTGTGTTCTGTGGCTGCCCCTGGTGTGGTCTCTGGGCTGAGGAGGGTCAGGAGGTCTCTGGTGATAACTTCTGTCCTTCTGATAAAAAGAGATGATGACATCACACAAATGTATTTCCACAATTCAGCAGTAGGAAGAGAGCAGAGAACTTCATCTGACTTTTCTCAATAGGCTTTAGCACATCAATTATTCTGAATGGAAAATGTATATTGGAGGGGTCCATTCTGCAATCCTTTACTTCCAAGTCACAAGCTGACCCTAGGAACATGGCTGGAGACCTTCTAATGCTGGGGATGCAGGTGATAGCAGCATTGATGGAATGTCTGGTGACTGTACCTGACATCCGGGGTATAACGTGGGCTCTGTGTGTTAGTGTGTTTACTTAATTACTGATTTTTCAAATTTATATGTTACATCATTGTTCATTTTCAAACAATATTTGCTTTCCCCACCCCCTCAGGTGTAGTCCCCGTAGAATTTCCTTCCCCAAGGCACCAGAGCACCATCACCTCAGTCCCCTGGGCTCCTTCCTCCCTCCCTCTGATCCCTCTCCCTCCTCCTCCCCTGCAGGATGTCTCTGGTTTACAATTGTCTGTTTTTGTTTTGTTGTATTTTGTATTGTTATAACTTTTTCACATTAATTTTTCTCCTTGACTTCACTACCCCTTTTCTGGACTGATGATTCAGAAGACTTCAATATCAAAAACCATTATATTAACGTTTGGCAACTCGGTTTTTATTCGTCATCATTGATGCTGTGTGATCAGGCTGATTACACCACGGTGCTCCTGCCTTTTGCCAAATCAGGTCAGGAAATTTAGGTGAGACGAAGGCCTATCTGATCATATCTTTATCATTAAAAGACTATGAACAATGTCACGGATATATGTTTGAGATTTTCTATAATTCAAGATAACTGGCACTAGCACAGTCTGGCATAGAGCGACTTCTTTTCCCGTACTGAGACCTCAAGAGACTTCATATTTACACATAATCTCCCCCTCATCCAGACCCTCGCACTAACCTCTGTAAATCTCTCCCACGTCACTCCATTGTTGCCCAATAGCCTCGCTAAGTCTGGTCATTGTCTGTACTTGGGAGTCACAAAGGACTACAGTTCAGATTAACCATCCACAGGGCAGTGGTTAAAAGAATCACTGCCACAGGCTTATCCTGTTTTTTATGGTTGACAGAGGCAGTTACCACTTCAACTCCCCCCACACATCTTTTTTTTTTTTTAAATAATAAATTTTATTTTTATATTCCCCATACAATTGCAACCCCCCTATTCTGACCCCAATCCCTCCCCTCCCGCCACCCACCCCCCAAAAAGTGTCTCTGGTTCATAGTTTTTTGTTGATTTTGATTTTCACTTTCTTATAGTTATTCTTTTTCTGGTCCCTTATTTAAGTTTTCTAGATTCCTGCTATGAGTGAGACCATCCGGTATTTTTCTTTTTCTTTCTGGCTTATTTCGCTGAGCATGATCCCTTCCAGCGCCATCCATGTTGCTGCAAATTGCATGTGTTTATCTTTTTTGAATGCTGAGTAATATTCCATGGTGTATATGTACCACATCTTCTTGATCCAGTCATCTATTTTTGGGCGTTTGGGTTGTTTCCAAAGCTTAGCTATTGTAAACAGTGCTGCTATAAACATAGGGGTGCAGGTGCTCTTTGGAGTTGATGTTTCTGTGTCCTTTGGGTAAATACCTAGGAGTGGAATTGCTGGATCATATGGAAGCTCTATGTTTAGTAGGTCCAGAAATCTCCACACAGCTCTCCATAGTGGTGGGGCCAGTTTGCACTCCCACCAGCAGTGCAGGAGAGTTCCTTTTTCTCCACACCCTCGCCAACATTTGTTGTTGCTAGTTTTTTTAATATGTGCCATTCTCACTGGTGTAAGATGGTATCTCATGGTAGTTCTGATTTGCATTTCCCTGATTACAAGTGATGTTGAACATTTTTTCATATGCCTGTTGGCCATTTGCATTTCCTCTTCAGAGAAGTTTCTTTTTAGGTCTTCTGCCCATTTTTTGACTGGATTATTTCCTTTGTTGTTGTTGAGTCTCATCAACTCTTTGCAGATTTTTGTGATCAGTCCTTTATCGTTAGTGTTGTGTGCAAAACAAAAACTCCACAGAAAAACTAATTCAACTCATCAATCAGTTCACTAAAGTGGCAGGATACAAAATCAACACGCAAAAGTCAGCAGCCTTCCTATACACAAACAATAAATCTGAAGAAGAAGAAATAAAAAAAAACCATCCCTTTTATTATTGAAACAAAAAAAATCAAATATTTGGGAATAAATCTAACAAAAGAGGTAAAGGACCTATACAAAGAAAACTATAAAACACTGTTAAAAGAAATAGAAGAAGACACAAAGAAATGGAAAGACATCCCCTGCTCATGGATTGGGAGAATAAACATTATTAAAATGGCCATCCTACCAAAAGCAATATACAGATTCAATGCTATTCCAATCAAAATCTCAATGTCATTCTTCAAAGAAATAGAACAATTATTGATGAAATTCATATGGAATCACAAAAAACCCCGAATAGCCAAAGCTCTCCTGAAAAAAAAAGAAGGGAATGGAGGCATCACACTCCCAGACTTCAAACTCTACTACAAAGCCACAATCATCAAAACTGCATGGTATTGGAACAAGAACAGACATACAGACCAATGGAATTGAATAGAAAATCCAGAAATAAACCCACAGATTTATGGTCAACTAATCTTTGATAAAGGAGCAAAGACTATGCATTGGAGCAAAGAAAGTTTGTTCAATAAATGGTGCTGGGAAAACTGGGTCGCTACATGCAAAAGAATGAAGCTTGACCACTACCTCACACCATACACAAAAATCAACTCAAAATGGATTAAAGAACTAGACATAAGACCTGAAACCATAAAATACATAGAAGGAAATATAGGCGAAACACTACGTGATTTGCACATCAAAGACATCTTAAAGACATATCACCCAAAGCAGTGATAGTGAAGGCAAAGATAAACAGCTGGGACTACATCAAATTAAAGAGCTTCTGCACAGCGAAAGAGACAATAATAAAAACAAAGAGAAACCCCCACACATCTTTTAATGGCATCAAATAACCCGGAAGCACTCAGCCCTCCAGGCCGCTGGCCTCCCTGCTGCTCAAAGAAGGACCCTTGGAAATGAGGCCTCTTACCCCACCGAGCAGGGATGGAGAGGACGACGTGTGATCCTTTTATCTTCCTCTCCCCCATCACATGGTGGTCCTCTGTAGCATTTTGAGTTCTCACACCCATTCGTCCATGCAGATTTATTTTTTTATTTTTTAAAGGTTTATTTATTTATACAAGCGCTGGGGTATAGACAAGAAGCATGGGAGGGTGACAGAATTTACCAGAGACAGAGCAGGGAGCAGAAAAGGTGGACTCCTGAAAACACTGCTGAGGGGAGCAGTGGACAAATCAGGAGAGGTCTGCTGTGCCATGTGGGTATCTCCCTGGCTGGCCAGGAATCGAACCCATGCCACAGAGGGTGCGGACAGCTTCACAATGCTGCGCTCAACCCGCTGTGCCACCTGGGAGGCCCTCCATGCAGATTCATTATTGATCAGTCACTGACAGCTCAGCACTGTTCCAGGTATAGGGAAATCTAGTTAAGAAAGCAAATGAAATTTCTGCCTTCAAGTGGTTCTATTATATTCTCTATGAGGGTTAAAGGAAGGTTAAACCAAGAGTAAACCAAAGATTTTACTCTTTTCCTATGTTTCTGGTGGAGGCAGGAATAAAGAAGAATGACTAACCCTGTAAAAGGCTTGGAGAGTATCACGGAAGGAGGCCTATGCAAAAGTTTCTATGTGGGCACCAGCTGTCATGTCCAGCCTCACAGTCCAGAAAGACCCCCAAATCTGGCATGGGTCCCGAGGAAGAAGAGAGGGTGCAGGACCAGTCAGGTGAATGTGATCATTGTTTGTGCATTTGATGGCCCAGAAAGCAGACTGAGGCTCAGCATCCTTTCTACATCCCTGGGCACATTCTCCAGACAAACTCCCAAATCACACTCAGCTCCTTCTCCCATGTCCACTGCAAAGTAATGTCTCCCTGAGGTGAAGCCCTCATAGCCCAGGACACGGGTCACTTGCTGAACCTCCTAGAAGTGTGAAGCTTCTCAACGGTGTGTCCGTGCTGGAGACCTGCTCCAGCAGAATGTCGTGTCAGGAGTCCCTGAAGGGAGAGGATGGTGTCGGCAAAAACTGAGGGCTGATGGGAAGAGGGATGAGGAGACACAGACACTCTTATATTGGTGCAAGTATCTCCTGCTGAGGGTCTCAGCGGGTCTTTATTTTTACATTAAGGCAAGGGGTGAGATGACATCAGCATAAGCATTGAACCCAAACAAAGACAATCATTACATATTTTCTCATGAACATATAGAGACCCTCTTCATCTCATACCAAAAAGGCACTTCTTTGAGCAACTTAAAAAAACCATCAGGGATAACTGGTTTTCTTGGTGCAACTCATTTCCCATCATGATCAATTGTCTAAGACAGCACAATATTTGGTAACAATTAATCAACTTATTAAGCTTTCCTAATTTCAGAGTGGGCGTGAAAGTCCTATCCTATATTCTGTTACTAAAATCAACCTATCTCCCTAGCACACAAATAATCTAACTAATTTATCAATTACTTCAAAGTGGCCTAAAGTAACTCATCAAATCTATTTTAATCCTACAGAAGTCTAACTCTTAACTAGAAATACCTAACCTCCACACAGCCTGCAAACTATCGACTTTCTGCATACACCAGGAAATGTATTGCTGCCACAAACACGTACCCCCTGGGTTAGGTTACGGTTTCCAAGTGCATCTGGTTCACGGCAGTTTGTTCTCTATAGTTCTCAGGGCCAAAACATTTCTTTCCTGGCTACACCTTTAGAAATTTTACTTTCTTTAGTAATGATTCAAGTGTAAGAACAATAGGCCAATTAATGCCTAGGTCCAATTAGGTTTTTCACAAGTCAATTTATAACTAACTTACTTATGCATTAACCAAGAACAAACAGGAGAGCATTAGCAGGCATTGCCATGGAGACTCCCTTATTCTCTCCTTCTGGGAAGTGCAGGACTCCCCTGTTCTCCGGAGTTTCCCCCAAAGCCCGGCCCTTGTCAAGAGACAGCATGGGTAGCGCCACCTACCACATGTCTGTAAGTCACTTCTGTCTGGTCCTCAGACAGAGTTATGTTATCATGAGCTGTGTCTTCATCCAGAGGCACGCTCACTGCAAAAGTGAACAAACATAAACCAACAATGACATGTTTATCAGTTAACAACAGTTCACCTTAAATAAAACCAGCATATGTTTAATGCAAGCTATTGGTTTCTTGTGCCTCATCTGCTGATGCTCAGGCGTAACTACAGGGATCTCTACACCCTCACCAGGAAATGCTGCACACAGAACAACACAGTAACCAGGAAAAGAAGCCTTTCTGCACCTCCTCTATGTGGAAAGTTGTCTGTGTCTATCAGGACTCTCTTCCAGGAAGCTCCCGGATTCACTCCCCAATTAATGAGGCCCAAACCCACCATCCACATCAAAGGCTTCCAGGCATCCTTCTTTTGCTGACTGCTTTGCCCTAGCACACTGCAGGAGAAATAAAAGCTGGTAGTCTCTGTGCCTGTTTTGGGAATCTGTCACATGAGCTTGCACATCGTGGTTTCTCTAAGTTTACACACATGTGAACATAATATTGGCTGGCACATGATGGGACAACTGTATTCTAAAGCAGGGGGCATCACAGCAAGAGTGAATAGGGACGAGACTCCCCCCATTCTATCTAAGTCTATATGGACGGTGGGATTGTATTTTAGGGAAACAACATGAACTAATTTTTAGAAGAACGAGAGGATAAAACTTTCATTTCCAGGTCACAATCTCGGGTATCAACCTAAATAACCATAGATGTGAGCACTGACCTGAGAGCAGGTGCTGCTACAGGAGTCTGGGGCGCTCACTCACCTCATAGCCTGGACACACATCTTTGGCAAGGACATGGTTGTGTCTGCTGTGCTGGGGGGACTGTGCACAGCTCCTGCCAATGGGCGGTCCAGTGTCCTTACACTACAGGGGGAGCTGCTCATACAGCTTCTCACCCTCTACCTCCCTGGGGGCTCCCCTCTCGGCTTCCAGTGGGGCTTCCATTTCAGGCTGGAGCTTCCATATGATTTGCTACCTCACATGTAGAATATCTGAAGGACGGCCTCCTCCACTATAGTCACCTCCTCCTTGATTGCTCCCCGTTGTCCTTGGTTCCTACCCTGGTTTCCATGATTCCTCCTCTGACATCCATAAATCCTCGTCTGACATCCATGACTCCTCGTCTGACATCCATGAATCCTCGTCTGACATCCATGAATCCTCGTCTGACATCCATGAATCCTCGTCTGACATCCATGAATCCTCATCTGACATGCATGAATCCTCATCTGACATCCCTTGATCCTCCCCTGATGTCCCTGGTTGTTCCCCTGAAAAACTCCAAATCGTGTTTAGAGGCAGAGAAGAAATAGACAGAATACTCCACAGTGGAGGACACGCAGGTGACCTGGGCCTTTGTGCCTCCACAAATACCATTTAATTGATTACAGTTTATTGGTAACAATTATTTAGTAAGAAACGTTTTAATAATGAGGGCTTGTAAAAGAGTAAGAATTCTTCAGGGGCGACACAAGCTCATTTCAGACATACACTGAACCATAACGCAAAATCTTGTGTAAAAGATAACAGCAGATAAATCAGCTCAGTGAAATGTGAACGTGAATTCTATCAATTCCTGCTTCTCCCTTCCATGTGTCTTTGTTGGATCAAACTCAGAGATACTCTATTTTAAAATGGTGGTGGTATTCACATATCAGGACAGGGGAGAACAATCATGATGTTCATGATCTCTTATCTGAAACCCTTGGGGCCAAATATAAAAATTCACAATATTTTTGAGGTTATAATGGCATAATGTACAGAACCTCTAAATTATGTGTCCACCCCCAGCAGGATCTGCCAGAGCCATGAATCGATACATCGATAGTCCTGCACCAAGCAGGATTAATAAAGATGTTAAGTAGAGTCAGATGAGTGCAATTCAGGGGGGACCACAATGGAGGGCAACTCCAGAGTGTTTGCATGATTGCTGCCTCCTCATTTTCCTAGCCATCCATTTGAGCATGGGCATAAGCTAATAATTGCCCGAGCAATGGCAAGAACGATGGGATGTGCCACTATGGTCTTATTCCCTTACTTAGGACCCCATGTTACAGTTGACTTAATTTACAGACTATCTCCTCAGCCCAGCTCACTTTAAAGAAATAACAGGCCATGTGGAAGGCCCATATACCATGTGATGAGTGGTGGCTTCCAGAAGCTGAGGCAGCTCTCAGGTGACAAGAATTTGGGCCTAAGTCCTACATCCATAAAAAAAAGGAATCCTACCAACAACTGAAGATGATGGGAGAGGATTATTCCTCACATGAGTCACCAGATAACATGTAGTCCAGCAAACATAACTGCTCTGTGTGACCCCACCTGAGCTGTGCCCAGATTTCCCACACACGTGATTCCTTGAGAAAATGTGTGTCTTCAGCTTTAAGCCACTGAAGTGTTTTACAGCACATACAACTGAATAATCCAGCAAATAAATTCTGGTTAGGGTAAATTCAGCAGAGATATGAGTCAGGAGGAAACATTGACATTTTTTGAGCCTTACAACTCTGTAATTGTGGATAAGGGATTTGAAAATGTCATTTGGGTCAAGGTCCTAAAACTATTTGCATCATCTACCTTTTTGTATTGTTCTCAGACTTACTGAAATACAAACAGTAAATTTTATGGCCCAGTTACTGTACTAAGCACCGTCCAATGGTTGATGCACTTAATTTTTATAAGAACCGGTAAAAGGGAAACTGGAATCAGGGAATCGATTCACTTGGGGACACAGTTAATCAATGGGTGAGCAGGCATCTCAGGGATCCCCAGAGGTCCCCAGTATCTTGTGTCCCTGAGGAAGCACTGGAGCATCCTGACATCTCCACTGTGAATGTGGTTAACACTGAAGAATTCTTGACTTTCCATACCTTCATTGGTCTTTAAGTTTTTGCTCTCATCACTGTGGAGCTCAGATTCATTGCAGTCAGTATGAGGCTCCGAAGACACAGACTCCAGGACTGAACTCCTAGACTCAGAAGAGGACAGATTTCTTCAGTGGGGCATCCTGTGAGCTCTATGTACTCATACCCCTTCCCTCCAAATGAGGATAGTGCTTACCTGGTCAAGGTGTCTTTCACATCCTGCAGAGACACAAGGACAAAAGGAGAGTTAGGGAATCCCCATGTTTCATGGGGCTTGTATGAAGCCTGTTTTCTGTATACCCTCTATCCAAAGGAAAGGAATGAGTCCCATCTGGATACTGATGGATGCCCCGGTGATGAGTCAAATCCCCATCCCTGAGGGCCCAGAGCACAGCAGCAAGTTGATCTTTCCAGAGCCCAGTAACCTGCTCACTGTGACTGTGATCACAGCAGCATGTGGAGAGCCTGAGGAGGAGGCCGGGAGACCCTGTGCTCCCCCTGGCAGAACCCAGGCAGGTTCTTTCAGGGACCTGCCTGCCTTCAGACGAGTCTACATTAAATCACTCATCACACAGGCCTTTCCTTAGTGACAAATCCACACACACCTCATGAGAATGGGCCACTGTGGTAGTGGTAGGTGGTCGTGCAGGTGGAGCAAATCAGGTGACATTGAAATCTTTCAGTGAGATTGAATGGCAAATAAAATGAACAGCTCCCACAATTAATGTTTCAGGGTCGATCCCTCATGCCTCAGAAAAAGGTCCGGGAAGGCCTCTTGGGGCAATTGAACTGTTCATCAACAAGGGAGGTATTTCTCATACATGTGGCTACCCAACAACTGGTGTTTGCACCAGTCATCTCAAGGCGTCTCTCAGGAGAGAGTTTGAAAGTCAGGGTTTGGTACATACAGGACTGAAATGAATCCTTATTGTAAAAAAAGAAAATTGTTCTCTTTTAAAACATGTGTTTCCATGTAAGTCATCTAGTTCAAAGAGATAGTAGTATCATGGCTATTGCAATGTCTTACTAAACACAGAGGATGTCATAATCCTAAATGAAAGTAATGTGACGTGCATTTAAAAGAAAAAAATGTATTTAATACGATGTTTTCAAGGTCTAAAAGGGGGATATTAGAAAAAGTAAGAAGGTAAAAGCAAGTGTTAAAAGTCCAAAAGAGAGTGAGAGTGTTTAAAGAAAGCAAAAGCAAGTGTTGAAGATCTGAGAGAGAGGGAGGAAAAGAAATTTTAACAAAGTGTTTAAAAGGCCAAATCAAGAAGTAAAAAGACAAAAGCAAGCAGGTCTGAGAAAGAAAGGAAATTTTTTTTTTTTAAGATTTTTTTTTTTTTATAGAGGCATGTTTTTATTTATTTGTTTGTTTTTTTTTGTTTGTTTATACATGCACTGGGTACAGTCAGAAGCGCAGGAGGGTGAGAGAATTCACCAGAGCCAGAGAGGGGAGCAGAGCAGGCAGAAGGACCGAAGCACACTGCTGAGGGGAGCAGCGGGCGGCAGGAGAGGTCTGCACGCCATGTGGGACCCTCCTCCGGTGGCCGGGGAGCAGCCGGGGATCGAACCGGCGCCGCAGAGGCTGCGGGCAGCTTCGCAACCCAGCGCTCAACCGCTGCGCCACCGGGGAGGCCCAAGAAAGGAAATTTTTAAGAAAATGAAAGTGTTAAAAAGTAGTGTTGTAAGAAAGGAAGAAAAAGTAAAGCAAGCAAAAGCACGTGTTAAAGGAAAGTAAGAAAGCAAAGAAAGTGTTGAGGCTTGGGAGACGGCTCGTAGGGAAAACAAATGTGCATGTGCTGCAGTGAGTCGGTACAAACTGTAAAAAAGGACAAGGGATTCCAGCAGTTTATTTCATTAGCTCCAGAGACTGAACATGGCCTTGACGCCCTACATCGAGAGCAAGGAGACCATCAAGGCTGAGGAAAAAGAGACCAAAAAAAAAAAAAAAAAAAAAAGGGAGAAAGAGAAGAGAAGGGCCCAGTATGTGGCAGTTGGCACTGCCAGCCCCCTGCCACCTCAGACTCGCCCGAAGACTTATTGTCCCAGGCATTCGGGATCTCACCCCATTCGTGGGCTGCCAGCCTGCTTCGACTGCCAGCAGCCAGGACACCTTAGCCACGAATGTCTGAAGAAACCACCTCCACGCTGTGCCCTCAGTGCCACTGCACAGGGCATTGCAATAGGTTCTGTTCCTCTCTGATGAGAGAGACAGGGAGCAGCCCAAACCACAGGGCAAGATGGGAGGACAGTCTTAACCGTCAACTGTCTTTGACTAGAAGTAGCAGCTACAGGTTAAGAAGACATTTTCTAAAGAAGCCCAGAAGTGAGACAAGCGTCTGGTGACCCTAAAAGTGGCAGACAAAAAAAAACAAAACAAAAACAAACTCACACTCTGGTGAATCAGGAGCCACTTACTCTGCCTTTTTCTACTTTCCTTAGACTGGCCTACTGATGATTTGCCTGAGGCAGGACACCTTCATCCTTCTAGTCATATGAAAAAAAAAAACCTAAAGTTATTTAAAAAATCTGTATTACAGATGGCCTTATAGGCAGGACAAGGGTGAAGTTGGCTACTATCAATCTTGCCTCTAGAGCAGACCAACTTCTGTCCTACTTGTGCCTCTTTATGATTTTCTTGTTTGGGCCTTGCTTCCTCAACACCCTCGTCAGAATCATCTCCTGTCACCTCAAAGCCAGCAGGCGTCAGATGGTCCTTTAGACGGAGCCTGATAGGACGCCTCCACCATCCTTCCTCCCAGGGCCCTTAGATCGCCGCCCTACAGTGGAGCCCTGACTGCTCGCCCCGGTCACCATTTTCAGCAGGAAGCAGTGACTGTTCAGATCGACGCCCTCTGTCCTAACAGCAGTGAGAGGCTCCGTCTGTAGAAGGGGTACTGAGCCCCAGGACAAGTTAGGGTTAAGCAGGCAGCTGGAGGGCAGTGCAGGCCAGGACTTTAGGAGAGTTAAAGAGGCTTCTGAGACAAGGACAGTAAATTCTAAGTGCTAACCCACACATACACCAGAGGGGAGGTCAGTAAGGCCAAGAGGATGAAACAAAAACAGTACACTGGGCAGTGCCTGGTGACTGAAAGTAGTTTCTCTTACACACACGGGAACCCTAAAAATACTTGTCTTTGAAGGCTGCAACCTGACATCTGAGGACCCTAGATACAATGGATTAAAATTAAAAAGGGTGGAAATTAAGTGGAAAATGTCAGGCTGACCTGTGGATGAGCTCGTTGGGACAGAGCCCGCAGACTAAAAATTTTAGGTGCGTGTGCTCTGAAGGCCACACGCACCCTGATTCATGCATTCCCGGCTGACTGTATCCCTACATTTTGTTAATAAATACTCTGTAATCCAGCTGCTCGGGCTCAGATTTTGGAGAGAGATCTCCTCTGGGCTTGCTTGTGTGAAGCCTCCAGAGTAAATAAAGAGCTTCCCTCCTTCTCACTGAGTGTTGCCCGATTCCCTAATGAAAATGTGCCAGAACAGTTCATCCTTAAAAAAACAGGAAACTCTATGTGTTACAACGTGGATGATTCTGGGAGACACTACAGTCAGAGACAAAAGGACAATATTCTCATGACTATTTCAACCTAGTCAAATGCAAAAACAGAACGTGGGATGTGGGGACCAGGTGACAGGAGGGTCCTGGGGACGCTGTTTACTGGGGAGACTTTCAGGTTGGGGGGAGGAACCCGTTGTGCAGATGGAGAGTGGAGATGGGGCCTCCACAGTGTGACGCTGATGCCAGTAAAGACAATGTGTAAGATGGAGAGCAGGTACATTTGTGATTTGTGTATTTTACCACTCTCACCTATGCCCTCATCACACACACAGAGATATGTCTGTTCAGCAACGAAAACACTCTTCACATGAGTCCTTTGAGGTAGAAGTGTTAGGGGGAAAGGATGTCCTGAGCAAGCTCTATACAGGCTTTGTGGACTCTACTCCCACTCCATGAAGACACTGGGAACTACGAATCCCATGACTACCAAAGAGAGAGTTGCGAGGACCTGATGGCGGAATTAAGCAGCATGTTCTCCGTTTGGATATTTAACCAGTCAAGTGAGCAGGTGTAGGATTCTGAGCCTCATGGCCTGTGGGGTTTTAGCCAGCTCTCAGCAGGTCATTTGGGATTCCAGGTCAGTGGAACGGGTAGAATGCATTTATGAATTTATCTCCCTCTTTTTTACCGAGTTGTTCATTTCCTCATTTCCTCTTTCCTTGTAAATAAACTTTTTATTAACCTTTTGTGTGTGCCTGCAGTTTAAGTCCCCTTTAAAGGCATGGGTGAGGAACCACAGTGAGGTAACCCATTTTATATTGGGTTGCTCTGTAACAGAAGAATATCCAAAGTTTACAGCTCCTAAACCAACTGGGAGGCCCGACTTATATGTGGTAGAGGCTGTCATAATTCTTGAGGGTCACCAGAGATATTTCCTTCTTCTTCAGTCCAGATACAAAAGGACAAAGGACAGATGCTAGGCAATTTCATTGTGTAACTATCGCCATGGTCTAACACGAGATAAACCCAGGTTTTCTCTGAGATTCAGTCTCAAAAGATTACCATTCCCCTCATCTACTCGTTCTCTTTATTGGCATCATCTTCTCACTGTGTTGCCCCAGTCTCACTCTCCATCTACACAAATGGTTCATTCTTCTGGCATGAAACCAACCCACTAAACACAATCACTTGGTTCCTCTGCCCAACGTTATATAAATCTCCATTTCTGAGGGAGTGTGTGAAGGAAAGGCTTTGAGGCACATCACCAAGCAAGGCTGGTTGGTGACTCCCATGTACTGTTAGGGGAGGTCTGGGGGCAGAATTTGATCACAGTTACCAGCAATAGTCATCTCACAGCCAGAGTCCACTTATCATCCATGAGTTTAGACCAGCAGAAACAAAACCACCCACCTCGTGGGACTGGCTTTAATTTGGCAGATACAGAACTGCTACACTATCAGCTAATGCACTGTGACAGTGACTGGATATTGTGGTCATGGGTCATTGATGATGAAGTTTGGAATCTTTGAGGAGAAGGAGAAAACAGCTTGAACTCTGGTATTATTGTGGTTTACGTTCATGTTTATAACAATGGAAGTTCTCCAGCTACCCAAGACCTTATAGTGAGGGATGTGTGACTGTCCTTTGAGTGTGAACTTTAACATCAACACACAAGGGATTAGTGCAGAGGCTGGAAGACACCCCTGAGAGAGGAGGATGAATGACTAAATAGTCTGGAGCACTGACTGCCAACTGAGGGATGACCTCAATCTTTCCCTAAAGGCTGGCCTCTCTTCCAAGGAGATGAGCAGCTATGAAAGCGTTAGACACCCCCAGTGCGCATGAGCTGCAGCCAACAGTCCTCATCGGCACCTTATGAGTGGCAGGAACATGAACTCACCTGGAGGGACCCTGTTCTCACTGCTCACAAACAACAGTGTGTGGAACATGGGGGAGGCAGTGTGGAGGGCAAATGCAAACCCTGTACCATAGTGAATGTGTCAAAGTGCCACGTTTGCGGTCTTCAAGTCATGAAGTTACTTAACATTTCAGTTTTTTAAACTGAGGTATTTATAATGTGAAACCCATTGTGGGATGTTCTATGAAAGAAAGAACATAACTGTCTCTACAGCCTGAGCTGCTGGGCATCCTAACCAATCAATACTATAAGGCAGAAAAGAGAGAGAGAAATTCACATAGACACTAGGGATACAAAAAAAAAAAAAAAAAAGCATGTTCCTTTGGCTGTCATCTATTTCTCATGGGCTGGTGACACTAAACCATTAAGTTTATGCTCTGCCCAACCAAACCCTCTGTGTGTGTTCTGGGATGGAAAAGACTCAACTTCTTACCTCCTGTTCTCTTGTTTGTTCTCTTGACTTCACCTTCTGATTCAACCACTGGTCTAAACGTTCTCTCACTATTGTCCTAGTCTTCAGGAGTTTTTCCTGATCAAAATTGGGTGAAAAAGAAAGCGTTAAGGCGACAGTATCATCAGGTTCCTGAGAGGAATCCCTGCCTTCCAAGACACTAGAATGACATGAAATATCATTGAATCCTTACACTTCCAGTATAAGCGCCCTGAGGACCATGTTCAGAGATATAGGTGACCCTGTATTCCCAGAGCACGTGGCAGGATGGCTGCCATCATGTCTGCTGTAGAACTGGAGGCTGGGGAAGGGGTAACTAACCGACCCAAGGGCTATGAATACCAGCATCTTGAGCCACATTTCTTGACCCACTGGTAGAGCTATATGGACCTCTACAGCCTTGCCAGGAAACGCTGCACACAGCACATGACAGTAACCATCTAAAAGAAGCCTTTCTCCACCTCCTATATGTGGAAAGTTGTCTGTGTCCATCAGGATCTCTTCCAGGAAGCTCCCCGGTTTCACTACCAAATTGGTGAGAACTGAACCCACATGAAGGAACTCCAGGGAGTTTTCTTTTGGTGATGGGTTGAGCCTCCCAGACTTCAGAAGAAATAAATTCCGGTGGTCTCTGTGCCTGTTTTGGGAATCTGTCACATGACCTTGTACATTGTGGTTTTGCTAATATTACACACATGTAAAGATAAAAAAAGGCTGGTGTGTATTTTGACGACTGTATTCTACAACAGAGGGTGATCACAGAAGAATGAATAGGGATGAGACTCTCACCATCCAATGAAAGTCCATATAGACCACTGGATTGTATTTTGGGCAAATGTCCAAAAGCCAAGGGGTCAGCCCAAACCACAGGTCAAGATGGGACGACAGGCTTGACCATAAGCTGCCTCTGACTATGAAGAACCAGCTACAAGTTAAGAAGACATTTTCTGAACAAGCCCAGAATAAGACAAGCCTTGGGTGACCATAAAGGTGGCACACACACCTTTGTGAATCAGGGGACACTTACTCTGCCTTTCTCCGTTTTCCTTAGACTGGCCTGTTGATGACTAGCTTAAGCCAAGACACTTTAACCTTCTAGTGAGATGAAAGAAAACCTAAAGTTATTTAAAAATATCTGTATTATAGATGGCCTTACAGGCTGGTCAAGGGCCTAGTAGGCTACAATCAATGTTGTCCTCTATAGGAAAGCAACTTCTGTACTTGTTGGTATTCTTGCTGCTTCCCTCACTAATTTTATGATTTTCTTGTTTGGGCCTTGCATCCTCAACACCCTCATCAGAATCACCTCCTGTCACCTCAAAGCCAGCAGATGTCACATGGTTCTTCAGATGGAGCCTGATAGGATGCCTCCACCTTGCATCCTCCCAAGTTCCTTAGATCGCTGCCCTGAAGTGGTACCCTGGCTACTCGACCATGTCACCATTTTCAGCAGGAAGCAGTTACTAGTCAGATTGATGCCTTTTGTCCTAAGAGTAGTGAGGGGCTCCATCCGTAGAGCCCCAGGGCTGTAAAGGATAAGTAGGCAGCTTCAAGAACAGTGCAGGCCAGGACTTCAGGAGAGTTAGAGAGGCTTCTGAGACAAGGACAGTAAATTCTAAGTGCTAACCTACACATAGAGGGGGGGTCAGAAAGTCCAGGAGGATGAAGCAGAAACAGTACACTGGGCAGAGCCTGGTGACTGACTGTAGTTTCTCTCTCACACAATGAACCCCTAAAAAAACTGTCTTCAAAGGCTGCACACAGAGATTTGAGCAACATAGATATGATGGGATAAAATGAAAAAGGGGGAAATGAAGTTGAAAATGTCAGGCTGACTGTGGATGAGCTGAAGTCGGGACAGAGCCTATAGACTGAGAATTTTAGGGAACAGCAGATAAACGCCCTCAAGGCCACATGCACATTGAGTCATGCATTCCCAGCTGGCTGTGTCCCTTGCTTTAGTCAATAAATACTCTGTAACCTAGTTGGTTGGGCTCAGATTTCGGAGAGATATCTCCTCTGAGCTGCTGGTGTGAAGCCGCCCGGGTAAATAAAGGTGTCCCCCCTCCTCTCCGAGCGCTGCTTGCTTCCCTCATGACAATCTGCCAGAACAGTCAACCTTAAAAAAAACAGGAAACTCTGCTGTGTTACAACATGGATGAGGGGGGGGGGGGGGGGGGGGGTGGGGGGGGGGGGGTGGGGGGGGGACGACACACTACAGTCCTAGACAAAAGGACAGAATTTTCCTGACTGCTTTAACATAGTCAGATGTAAAACAGAATGTGGGATGGGGGGACCAGGTGACAGGAGGGACAATGAGGACACTGTTTACTGGGGAGAGTTCCAGTTTGGGAGGATGAACTGGTTGTGCAGATGGAGAGTGGAGATGGGGGCTCCACAGTGTGACACTGATGCCAGTAAAGACAATGTGTAAGACGGAGAGCAGGTACATTTGTGATTTGTGTATTTTACCACTCTCACCTATGCACTCATCACACACACTGAGAAAATTCTGTTCAGCCACAAAGACACTCTTCACATGAGTCCTTTGAGGTGGAAGAATATCTGAAGTTTACTGCTGCTGAATAAACTGGGAGGCAGGCACTTATACGTAGGAAAGGCTGTCATAATTCTCTATAGTCACGAGAGTAATTTCCCTCGTCTTCATTCAAGATACAAGAGGACAAAGGACAGATGCTAGATAATTTCATTGTGTAATTAGGGCCAAGGTCTAATACTAGGTAAACCCAGGTTTTCTCTGAGATGCAGTCTTAAAAGTTTACCATTCTCCCATCTACTCGTTCTCTTTATTGGCATCATCTTCTCATTGTGCTACCGCCACCTCCACTCTCCATCTGCACAAATAGTTCATCCTTCAGACATGAAACCAACCCACTAAAAACAATCACTTGGTTCCTCTGCCCAACTGGTATCCACCAGACAGGGTTATATAAATCTCCATTTCTGAGGGAGTTTGGGAAGGGAAGGCTTTTGATAAACATCACCAAGCAAGGCTGGTAGGTGACTCCCTTGTACTCAGGGGAGATCTGGGGGGCAGAAGCTGATCACAGTTACCAGCAATAGTCATCCCCATCCAGAGTTCACTTATGATCTGTGAGTTTAGACCAATAGAAATGAAACCACCCATCTGGTGGGACTTGCTTTAATTTGGTAGATACAGAACTACAGTTTCCATGGCTACACTATCAGCTCATGCAGTGTGACAGTGACTGATATTGTGGCCATGGGTCACTGATGGTGAAAATGGGAACCTTTGTTAAGGAGGAGAGAACAGCTCAAATCCTGCATTAACATGGTTTTCCTTCATGTTTGTAACAATGAAGGTTCTGCCCGCTACCCAAGACCCTAAAATGAGGGACCTGTGACTGTCCTTTGAGTGTGAACTTTAACACCCACACACAAGGGGTAGTGCAGAGGCTGGAAGACACCCCTGAGAGAGGCAGGTGACTAAATAGTCTGGAGCACTAACTGCCAACTGAGGGATGACCTTAATCTTTCAGTCAAGTCTGGGTTTTCTTCCCTGGAGAGGCGTGGCTATGGAAAATCTTAGACAATCCCAGTGTGCTTGAGCTGCAGCAGCTCTCTCCTCATGCCCAGCATTATGAGCCGCAGGAACATAAGCTCATCTGGTGGAACCCTGTTCTCACAGATCACAAAGAATGGTTTGTGGAACATCATGGAGGCAGTGTGGGGAGCAAATGCATACCCTGTACTGTGGTGAATGTGTAAAAGTGGCATGTTTGAGGTTTTCAAGTCAAGAAGTTATTTAACATTTCAGTCCTTTAATCTGAGGTATTTATAATGTGAAACCCATTGTGGCAAGTTCTATGCAAGAAAGATCAAAATTCTTTCCCTACAGGCTGAGCTGCTGGGCATCCTAACCAATCACTATTACTGAAAGGGAACCGCTAATCAAATGAAATCTTTCCTGTTACCTGGTAAAAGAGTCACAGGTCTGGTGCAGTAAATAATGCAAAGTAAATGTAAACAACAAGTTTTGCTTCTCTGAAGTCAATCTACATGAGATTAGTTAAGGCCTTGTAACATTTTAACAAGGCCAGACAGCTGCCAGGCTGATTGATCTCCCAGGGCATCCTTGAATACCTGTCTTTTGTCACAAACTTTTGTGCTTACTGACTGATGTTGTCAAGGTAAGATGGTTATGTATAAAAGAAACCCTTTGTCCCTAGATTGGTGTTCAGACCTTATGGGACTACCCAGTTCTGGGACCTCATGCATGAGTAATAAAGCTTCTCCCGACCTCACCATTCCTGAAGTACCGCTTGTTCTTCTCCTGCCTGGATAAAGGCTAGAATTTATTTCTGCAACATTATAAGGCAGAAAAGATAGAGAGGAATTCACATAGACACTAGGGGTATAAAAATTGAGCATGTTCCTTTGGCTGTCATCTATTTCTTATGGGCTGGTGACAATAAACCATCAAGTTTATGCTCTATCCAACCATGCCCTCCGTGTATGTTCTAGGATGGAAAAGACTCAAATTCTTACCTCTTGTTCTCTTATCTTCAACTCCAGATTCAACCACTGGTCTAACACTCTCCGTTTTGTCCTTAAATCCTGGAGTTTTTCCTGATCAAAATTGGGTGAAGAAAGAAAGCATAGTTGAGATGACAGACTAATCCTGTTTTTGAGAGAATCCCTGCCTTCCAAGACTAGAATGACATGAAATATCGTTGAATCCTTACACTTTCAGTATATGTGCCCCAAGGACTGTTTGCAGTGATACAGGTGACCCCTTATTCCCAGAGCACGTGGCAGGATGGCTGCCATCATGTGTTCTGTAAAACCGGAGGCTGGGGAAGGGGTAACTAACCTGCCCAAGGGCTATGACTACCGGCTTCTTGAGCCTCATGTGCTGACCCTCAGGCGGAGCTATATGGACCTCTACAGCCTGGCCAGGAAACGCTGCACACAGAACAAGACAGTCACCATCAAAAAGAAGCCTTTCTCCACCTCTTATATGTGGAAAGTTGTCTGTGTCCATCAGGACTCTCTTCCAGGAAGCCACCTGGATTTACCCCCAAATTGGTGGGGCCCAAACACACATGAAGGATCCCCAGGGAATTTTCTTTTGCTGCTTGGTTTAACCTAGCAGACTGCAGGAGAATTAAATCTGTTGGTCTCTGTGCCTGTTTTGGGAATCTGTCACATGACCTCACACATCGTGGTTTCTCTAATGTTACAAACATTTGAAGATAAAAAAGGCTGGCACATATTTTGACAACTGCATTTATAGTAGAATCATTAGGAACAAGACTGTCACTATCCTATGAAAGTTCATACAGACCATGGGACTGTATTTTGGGGAAACGTCTGAGAGACAGGGGGACCAACCAAGATGGGAGGACAGGCTTGACCGTCAGCTTCCTCTGACTATGAAGAACCAGCTACAGGTTAAGAAGACTTTTTCTAATGAAGCCAGTTGCTGACACAAGCCTCAGGTGACCTTAAAAGTTGCAGACAAAAAAAAAATCACCCTTTGGTGAGTCAGGGGCCACTTATAGTGCCTTGCTCCACTTTCTTTAAACTGGCCTACTCATGACTACCGTGTGACGGGACACCTTAACACTTCTAGTGAGATAAAAGAAAACATGAAGTTATTAAAAAAAACCTGCTTTACAGATGGCCTTACAGGTGGTAAAAAGGCCTAGTAGGTTACAAACAATATTAACCTCTATAGAAATCTATCTTCTGTCCTGGTTGCTCCTCTTTCTGGTTCCCTCACTAATTTTCATTATTATTTCCTTGTTGAGGACTTGCATCCTCAACACCCTTGTCTCCTCAAAGCCGGTAGACATCAGATGGTCCTTCAGATGGAGCCTGATAGGACGCCTCCCCCGTCCTTCCTCCCAGGGTCCTCAGATCACTGCCCTGCAGTGGAGCCCTGACTGCTCGCCCACGTCACCCATTTTAAGCAGGAAGCAGTGACTGGTCAGATCGATGCCCTTTATCCTAATGACAGTGAGGGGCTAGAGCTGTAGGATGGGTACTGAGTCCCAGGGCAAGTCAGGGTTAAGTAGGCAGCTTGAGGGCAGTGCAGGCAGGGACTTAAGGAGAGTTAAAGAGGCTTCTAAGACAAGGACAGTAAATTCTAAGTGCTAACCCACACATACACCAGAGGGGAGGTCAGAAACTCCAGGAGGACGAAACAAAAATAGTACACTGGGCAGTGCCTGGTGAGACTGTAGTTTCTCTCACACACACTGGAACCCTAAAAAAACCTCTTTGAAGTCTGCACAGAGATTTGAGCACCATAGATAGGATGGAATAAAAATGAAAAAGGGGGAAATGAAGTGGAACATGTCAGGCTGACTGTGGATGAGCTGAAGTCGGGACAGAGCCTGTAGACTGAGAATTTCAGGGACAACTGATAAGCGCCCTCAAGGCCACATGCGCCCGGAGTCACGTATCCCCAGCTGCTGTGTCCCTTGCTTTACTCCCTAAATACTCTGTACCCTAGTTGCTGGGGCTCAGATTGTGGAGAGAGATCTCCTCCGGGCTGCTGGTGTGAAGCCGCCAGAGTAAATAAGGTGCGTCCCTCCTCCTCTCTGAGTACTGCCTGCTCCCCTCATGACAATCTGCCAGAACAATCAACCTGAAACATGTAACTCTGATACGTGTTACAACATGGATGATCGTTCAGAGAGAAAAGGACTGTATTTTCGTGACTGTTTTTAACTTAGATGTAAAAACAGAACATGGAATGGGGGGACCAGGTGATAGGAAGGACCCGGGGACACTGTTTACTGGGGAGAGTTTCAGGTTGGGAGGAGGAACCCGTTGTGCAGATGGAGAGTGGAGATGGGGCTCCACAGGGTGATGCTGATGCCAGGAATGACAATGTGTGAGATGGGGAGCACGGGAAACTTTGTGATGTTTCTTTTAACATCTCTCCCCTACGTACCCATCACACAAACACACAGAAAAGTCTGTTCAGGTATGAAGATGCTCTTCACATGAGCCCTTTGAGGTGTTGAGTGTCTGACATTTACTGCTGCTGAATCAACTGGGAGGCAGGCACTTAGATGTGGGAGAGACCATTATAATTCTCTGTGGTCACCAGAGTAATTTCCTTCTTCTTCATTCAAGATATAAGAGGACAATGGACAGATGCTAGATAATTTCATTGTGTGGTGAATGTTTCAAAGTCCGTGTTTGAGGTCTTCAAGTCAAGAGGTTATTTAACATTTCAATCTTTAATCTGAAGTTCTTATAATGTGAAACCCAGTCTAGGATTTTCTATGCGAGAAAGATCAAAATTCTGTCTCTATGGGCTGAGGTGCTGGGCATCCTAACCGATCACCATTATAAGGGTGAGAAGATACAGAGAAATTCTCATAGACACCAGGGGCATAAAAATAAAGCACGTCATTTCTTTGGCTGTCATCTATTTCTCATGGGCTGGTGACAATAAACCATCAAGTTTATGCTCTCACCAACCACGCACACTCTGTATGCTCTAGGAGGGAAAAGATTCAATTTCTTACCTCACATTCACATGTTTGTTCTCTTGACTTCAACTTCAGACTCAACCACTGGTCTATCAGGTCTCTCAGTTTTGTCACAGCCTCCTGCAATTTCTCCTGATCAAAATCGGGTGAAGACAGAAAGCACAGTTAAGATGAGGGATTCATCAGGTTCTGAGAGGAATCCCTGCCTTCCAAGACTGAGATATTGTGGTCATGGGTCACTGACCACAATGAATTGGAGCCTTTGTGGAGGTGGAGAGAACAGAACGAACTCTGGCACTGATGTGGTTTCCCTTTACATTTGTAACAATGGAAGTTCTTCCCATACCCGAGACCCTAAAATGAGGGTCATGTGACTGTTCTTTGAGTGTGAACTTTAACAACTACACACAAGGGATTAGCGCAGAGACTGAAAGACACCTCTGAGAGAGGCATGATGACTAAACAGTCTGGAGCACTAACTGCCAACTGAGGGATGACCTCACTCTTTCACTAAAAGCTGGGTTCTCTTCCCAGGTGACGGGCAGCTATGGAAAGTCTCAGACACCCCCAGTGCACATGAGCTGAAGCAGCTCTGTCTTTATCACCAGCTTCATGAGCTGCAGGAACATGAGCACATCTGGAGGGACCCTGTTCTCAAAAGTATGGTTTGTGGATCATGGAGGAGGCAGTTTGGGAGCCAAATGCAAAACCTGAACAGTGGTGAATGTGTCAAAGTGATACGTTTGAGGTCTTCAAATTATGAAGTTATTAAACACTACAGTTCTTTAATCTGAGGTATTTATGACGTGAAACCAGTCTAGGATGTTCTCTGCAAGAAAGATCAAAATTCTGTCTCTATAGGCTGAGGTGCTGGGCATCCTAACCAATCACTACTATAAGGCTGAAAACATACAGAGAAATTCTCATAGACTCAGAAATTCTCATAACCATCAAGTTTATGCTCTGCCCAACCAGCACTCCATGTATGTTCTAGAATGGAAAGGACTCAACTTCTTACCCTCTGTTCTCTTAGCTTCAACTTCAGACTCAACCACTGGTCTAACAGGTCTCTCAGTTTTGTCACACCCTCCTGGAGTTTTTCCTGATCAAAATTGGGTGAAAAAAAGAGAGCATAGTTAAGATGACAGATTTATCTATTCCTGAGAGGGGTCCCTGCCTTCAAGAGACTAGAATGACATGAAATATCGTTGAACCCTTACACTTTCAGTATAAGCGCCCTGAGGACTGTGTGCAGTGATACAGGTGACCCCTTATTCCCAGAGCACGTGGCAGGATGGCTGCCATCATGCTGCTTTAGAACTGGAGGCTGGGGAAAGGGGTAACTAACCTACCCAAGGGCTATGTCTACCGCCTTCTGAGCCACGTGCTGACCCTCAGGTGGAGCTATAGGGACCTCTACAGCCTCGCCGGGAAGCGCTGCACGCAGAACAAGACAGTAACCATAAAAGAAGCCTTTCTCCACCTCCTCTATTTGGAAAGTTGTCTGTGTCCTTCAGGACTCTCTTCCAGGAAGCTCCCCGGATTCACTCCCAAATTGGTGGGGCCCAGGGCCTCCCTGGTGCACAGTGGTTGAGTGCTGGGCTGTGAAGCTGCCCGCAGCCTCTGCAGTGCTGGTTCGATCCCCGGCTGCTTCCCGGCCACTGGAGGAGGGTCCTGCATGGCGTGCAGACCTCTCCTGCCGCCCGCTGCTCCCCTCAGCAGTGTGCTTCGGTCCTTCTGCCTGCTCTGCTCCCCTTCTGGCTCTGGTGAATTCTCTCACCCTCCCACGCTTCTGACTGTACCCAGTGCTTGTATAAACAAACAAACAAATAAATAAGTCCTAAAAAAAAAAAAAATTGGTGGGGCCCAAACCCACATGAAGAAACTCCAGGGAGTTTTCTTTTGGTGATTGGTTGAGCCTCCCAGACTTCAGAAGAAATAAAATCTGGTGGTCTCTGTGCTTGTTTTGGGAATCTGTCACATGACCTTGCACATCATGGTTTCTCTAATGTTAATCACATGTGAAGATAAAAAAGGCTGGCACGTATTTTGACAACTGTATTATATAGCAGGGCATCATCACGGCAAGAGTGATTGGGCCGAGATGCTCACCTTCCTATGAAAGTCGATATGGACTTTGTGATTGCAAAGGAAACAAACGAGAGACAGGGTGTCAGCCCAAACCACAGGCCAAGATGGGAGGACAGGCTTGACATTCAGCCACCTCTGACTATTAAGAACCAGTTACTGGGCCTCCCCAGTGGCGCAGTGGTTGAGCGCTGGGCTGCGAAGCTGCCCACAGCCTCTGCAGAGCCGGTTCAATCCCCAGCCACCAGCAAAGGTTCCACATGGCGCGTAGACCACCTCTCCTGCCATGCCCACTGCTCCCCTCAGCAGTGTACTTCTGTCCTTCTGCCTGTTCTGCTCCCCGCTCTGGCTCTGGTGAATTCTCTCATCCTCCCACGCTTCTGACTGTACCCAGTGCTTATATAAATAAATAAATAAATCTTTAAAAAAAAAAAAAAAGAGAGCCAGTTACTGGTCAGATCAATACCCTTTGTCCTAACAGCAATGAGGGGCTCCATCTATAGAAGGGTAGTGAGTCCCCAGCTAGTAAGAGTTAAGTAGGCAGCTTCAGGGACAGTGCAGGCAGGAGAGGTACAGAGGTAAAGAGGAGAGGTAAAGAGGCCTCTGAAACAGTAAATTCTAAGTGCTAACCAACACATACACCACAGCTGAGGTCACAATGTCTAGGAGGATGAAACAAAAGCAGTACACTGGGCAGTGCCTGGTGACTGACTGTAGTTTCTCTTACACACACTGGAACCCTAAATGAAACTGTCTTCAAAGACTGTACCCAGAGATGTGTGCACCATAGATACGATGGAATAAAAATGAAAAAGGGGGAAGTGAAGTGGAAAATGTGAGGCTGACTGTGGATGAGCTGAAGTCGGGACAGAGCCTGTAGACTGAGAATTCCAGGGAACAATGGATAAGCGCCTTCAAGGCCACATGTGCCCTGAGTCACAAATCCCCAGCTGCTGTGTCCCTTGCTTTTACTCAATAAATAATCTGTAACCTAGATGCTTGGACTCAGATTGTGAAGAGTGATCTCCCCGGAGCTGTCTTGTGTAAAGCCCACCAGCTTAAATAAAATAAAGAGTGTCCCTCCTCCTCTCTGAGTGCCACCTGCTTCCCTCATGAAAATCGCCAGAACAGTCACCCTTAAAAAAAACAGGAAACTACGATAAGTGCTATAGTATGGATGAGCCTGGGAGACACTATGGTCTGAAACAAAACGACAGTATTTTCCTGACTGCTTTAATGTAGTCAGATGTAAAAACAGAACGTGGGATGGGGGATCAGGTGACAGGAGGGACACGGGGACACTGTTTACTGGGGAGAGTTCCAGGTTGGGAGGAGGAACCCGTTGTGCAGATGGAGAGTGGAGATGAGGTGCCACAGTGTGACGCTGATGCCAGTAAATACAACGTGTAAGATGGGGAGCAGGGGGAATTTGTGATCTGTTTATTTTAACACTCTGCCTACTCCCCATCAAACACACCCACAGAAAAGTGTGTTCAGCTATGGACACTCTTCACATGACCCCTCTGAGGTGCAGGAATGTCCGATATTTACTGCTGCTGGATACACTGGGAGGCAGGCATTTAGATGAGGGAGAGACCATTATAATTCTCCTTAGTCACCAGAGTAATTTCCTTCTTCTTCAGGCCAGATACAAGAGAACAAAGGACAGGTGCTAGACAGGTTCATTGTGTGACTAGGGCCATGGTCTAACACTAGGTAAACCCCAGGTTTTCTCTGAGATGTAGTCTCAAAAGTTTAGCATTCTCACATCTACATGTTCTCCTTATTGGCATCATCTTCATATTGTGGTGCTGCCATCTCCACTCTCAATCTGCACAAATAGTTCATCCTTCTAACATGAAACCCACCACTAAACACCATCACCTTTGTTCCTCCTCCTACCTGCTCCCCACCAGGTACAGGGATATGTAAATCTCCAATTATTTTTAAAGATTTATTTATATATGCATGGAAGAACTGGGGTACAGGACTGAGATGCGGGGAGTGAGAGGATTCACCAGAGACAGAATGGGGAACAGAACAGGCAGGCTAACTGAAATACACTGCTGAGGGGAGCTGTGGGCGAGACAGGAGATGTCTGCTTTGCCATGTGGGTAGCTTCCTGGCCAGGGATCGAACTCGTGCTGCAGAGGCTTCAGATTGCATCACAGTGCGATGCTTAACCCCTTGCGCCATCAGGGAGGCCCCATAAATCTCCATTTCTGATGGAGATTTTGAAGGGAAGGCTTTTGATGAACATCACCAAGCAAGGATGGTAGTGACTCCCATGTACTCAGAGAGTAGGTGTGATCACAGTATTTGATCACAGTTGTCAACAATAAGCATCTACCTAGCCAGAGCAATTTAGCATCTGTGAGTTTATGACCAGTGGAAAGCAAACCACCCATCTGGTGGGACACCCTTTAATTTGGCAGATACAGAACTGCAGTTTCCATGTCTACACTATTGGTTCATGCAGTGTGGCAATGACTGAGATATCGAGGTCAAGGTCACCGTTCAGGATGAATTTTGATGTTTCTGGAGCAAAAGGAGACAGCAGCTCGAACTCTGGCATTGAAGTGGCTTCCCTTCATGTCTATAACAACAAAGGTTCTCCCCATTACCTAAGACCCTAAAATGAAGGACATGTGACTCTCCTTTGAGTGTGAACGTTTACACCCATACACAAGGGATTAGTGCAGAAGCTGGAAGACACCCCTGAGAGGAGGATGACTAAATAGTCTGGAGCACTAACTGCCAACTGAGGGGTGACCTCCATCTTTCACTCAAGGCTGGGTTCTCTTCCCAGGAGAGGGGCAGCTATGGAAAATCTCAGAGACTCCCAGTGTGCATGAGCTGCAGCAGCTCTGTCCTCTCACCAGCCTTGTGAGCTGCAGGGACATAAGCTCACCTGGAAGGACCCCATTCTCACTGCTTGCAAAACAATGATGTGTGGAATGTGGGGGAGGCAGTCTGAGGGGGGCAGATGCAAACCTTGTACCGTGGTGAATGTGTCATAGTGCCATGTTTGAGTTCTTCAAGTTATTTATCACTTGAGGTCTTCCTGAAGTTATTTATCATTTCAGTTCTTTAATCTGAGGTATTTATCATGTGAAACCCAGTCTAGGATGTTCTATGCAAGAAAGAACAAAATTCTGTCTCCAGGGGTTGAGCTGCTGGGCATCCTAACCAATCACTATTATAAGGGTGAAAAGATACAGAGCAATTCTCAAGACACAAGGGACCAAAAAAAAAAAAAAAAAAAAAAGCATGTTGCTTCCTTGGTTGTCTTCTATTTCTCATGGGCTGCTGAGAATGCACCATCAAGTTTATGCTCTCCCCAACCATGCCCTCCGTGTATGTTCTAGGATGGAAAAGACTCAATTTCTTACCTCCTGTTCTCTTGAATTCAATTTCTGACTCTTAGAATGGGCAAACAGTTCTTGCAGTTCTGTCCTAGCCTTCTGGAGTTTTCCCTGATAAAAATTGGATGAAGAAATAAAGCATAGTTAAGATGATAGATTCATCAGGTCCCTGAGAGGAATCCCTGCCTCCCAAGAGGCTACAATGACATGAAATATCGCTGAATCCTTATACTTTCAGTGTAAGCACCCCGAGGACTGTGTGTAGTGATAAAGGTGACCCCTTATTCCCAGGGCATGTGGCAGGATGGCTGCCGTCACGTCTGCTGTAGAATTGGAGGCTGGGGAAGGAGTAACTAACCTGCCCAAGGGATATGACTATTGGCTTCTTGACCCTCATGTGCTGACCCTCAGGCAGAGGATCTTCAAGGGTCTATATGGACCTCTACAGCCTCACCAGGAAACGCTGCACACAGAACAAGACAGTAACCATCTAAAAGAAGTCTTTCTGTGTCCATCAGGACTCTCTTCTAGGAAGCTCCCTGGATTCACTCCCAAACTGGTGGGAACTAAACTCACATGAGGGAACTCCAATAGACTTCTTTAGCTGATTGGTTTGTGCGGCTGCCTCGGCCACTGAACACATGTGAACTTACTGGAAAGAGGGAGGCTTTTACTCAGACACATAAAAAGTCAGAGTAAATAAGACCCCCTTCCCCTGTGCGCTGGACTGGACAGTCAATGACGGGTAAGATCGGGGGCAGACTAAAGAAGGCACTGGCCAGCTGCATGTCTGCGACTCTTGACGACGTAAGACAGGCGCAGTCCCCGAGGGGATTCATCATGATAAACTTTGGCGTTCATATTAAATAAGACCTACATGCCTATAAGCCTAATCTAGGCACTAAAACTGCAGTAAAACCCCTCCTTGGCATAAGAAAATGGCTGCTGCAGATCAGTGCTTGAAAACAAGCTTGATGGAATTACCTACAAAGCAGTTTAACCATTAAGCAGATAGTCATTGTTCCTGAATAAGAAGCAATTTAGCAACCTGTCTGTAATTATACTATTTTTTTCACCTACTTTACTTTTTCTGTGTGCAATCAGTTTCAGAAAATGCATGATAAAAAAAAATAGTGTGTGGTAATAGCGGTTCCAAAATAATCATAATATTTTACACGAGTCAATACCACAAAAAATCAAAATGCTTACGTAGAAAAACATTTTTCGTGATCACTAAAAAGGAAAATGTAACAGTAAACAAAACAAGAAAAAACTAGCTTAAAGAATGCTGTGTTGTGTAATCCAAAATAATTGTGCAGACTTAGATTCCTGTAATCAGCACCTTGAGATTGTTTATTGTATCATGCCATGGAACATCGATCACATGTACATAAATGATGAAGTAAATGTCCTGTATATTACTAATCATCTCCTGCTGTGAAAAAATTATCTTGTATGAAATCATCCATTGTTAAAAAAGGTATAAAAGTGTATAATGATTTTAAGCACATTACATTCAGATTTTCACTCTTGAAGTGTGTCTGTCTGTCATTTCTGCACCGAATCCTTGACCACCCTGCTCAGTCTCTCATCCCTGGGTCGGCCTTGCTAATCTACCGCTGCACCGGTCTGCGGCAGGTTTGGCCCTGCAGACCTCAGGAGAAATGAAATCTGGTGGTCTCTGTGCCTATTTTGGGAATCTGTCACACAGCCTTGCGCATTGTTGTTTCTCTAATGTTAAACACACGTGAAGATAAAAAAAGGCTGGTGCGCATTTTGAAAACTGTATTTCACAGCAGGGGGTCATCAAGGAAAGAATAGGGTTGAGATTCTCAGCATCCTATGAAAGTCCATATGGACCATGGGATTTTATTTTGGGGAAAAGTACGAGAGACAGGGTGTCAGCCCAAACCACAGGCCAAGATGGGTAGACCAGTTTGACCGTCAGCCACCTCTGACTATGAAGAACCAGCTACAGGCTAAGAAGATATTTTCTAAAAAAGCCCAGAAGTGAGACAAGTTTGGGTGACCCTAAAAGCGGAAGACAAACAAACAAACAAACAAACAAAAAAACCACTGTCGTGGGACTCAGGGGCCACTTACTCTGCCTTGCTTCATTTTCTTTAAACTGGCCTACTACTGACTAGCCTGAGCCAGGACACTAAAACACTTCTAATGAGATGAAAGGAAGCTAAAGCATTTAAAAATATCTGTATATCAGATGGTCTTACAGGTGGGACCTGGGCCTAGTAGGATACAAACAATCTTGGCCTCTATAGAAAACAGCTTCTGTCCCTGTTGCTCCTCTTTCTGGTCCCCTCACTAATTTTCATTATTATTTTCTTGTTTGGCCTTGACACCCTCGTCAAGGCCCTCGTCAGAATCAACACCCTCGTCAGAATCATCTCCTGTAGCTGCAAAGCCAGCAGACGTCACATGGTCCTTCAGATGGAGTCTGATAAGACGCCTCTACTCTTCTTCCTCCCAGGGCCCTTAGATCGGCGCCCTGACTGCTCGCTCATGTCACCCATTTTCAGCAGGAAGTAGTGACTGATCAGATCGACGCCCTCTGTCCTAACAGCAGTGAGGGGCTCCATCCGTAGAAGGGGACTGTGTCCCCTTAGAAGGGCAAGTTACAGTTAAGTAGACAGCTTCAGGGACAGTGCAGGCAGGGACTTCAGGAGAGTAAAAGAGGCTTCTGAGGACAGTAAATTCTAAGTGCTAACCAACAAATACACCAGAGGGGAGGTCAGAAAGTCCAGCAGGACAGAATAAAAAACAAAACAGTACACTTGCAGTGCCTGGTGACTGGCTGTAGTTTTACTTACACACACTGGAACCCTAAATTAAAACTGTCTTCGAGGCTGCAACCCGAGATCTGAGCACCCTAGATACAATGGATTAAAATTAAAAAGGGGAAAATCAAGTGGAAAATGTCAGGCTGACCTGTTGATTAGCTGAAGTCGGGACAGAGCCTGTAGACTGAGAATTTCAGGGAACACCTGTAAGCGCTCTCAAAACTACATGTACCTTGATTCGTGCATTCCAGCTGACTGTATCCCTTGCTTTGGTCAATAAATACTCTGTAACCTGGTTGCCAGGTCTCAGATTTTGGAGACTTATCTCCTCCGGGCTGCTGGTGTGAAGACCTGCTGTGTAAATAAAGAGCGTTTCTCCTCCTCTCTGAGTGCTGTGTGAGTCACTAATAAAATCTACCATAACAGTTCAGCCTTAAAAAAACAGGCATCTCTGACAGGTGTTACAACATGCCTGAGCCGGGAAGATACTATGGTCCAAGACAAAAGGATAATATTTTCGTGACTATTTTTAACCTACTTAGCTTTAAAAACAGAATATGGAATGTTGGTACCAGTTGACAGGAGGGACACGGGGACACTGTTTACTGGGGAGAGTTTCGGGTTGGGAGGAGGAACTTGTGCAGATGGAGAGTGGAGATGGGGGCTCCACAGTGTGACGCTGATGCCAATAAAGATAATGTGTAAGATGGGAAGCAGGTACATTTGTGATTTGTTTATTTTAATATTCGTCCCTACTCCCCCATCACACACACACAGAAAAGTCTGTTCAGCTACGAAGACACTCTTCCCATGAGTCCCCTGAGGTGGGGGAATGTCTGACGTTTACTGCTACTGGATACTCTGGGAGGGAGGCACTTAGATGTGGGAGAGGCCATCATAATTCTCTTCACTGGCATCATTTTCACACTGTGGTGCCGCCATCTCCACGCTTCATCTGCACAAATAGCTCATCCTTCTGACATGAAACCCACCCATTCAACACCATCACCTTTGTTCCTTCTGCCACCTGTGCCCCATCAGGTAGAACATATGTAAATCTCCATTTCTGAGGGAGTTTGTGAAGGGAAGGCTTTTGATGAGTATTACCAACAAAGCTGGTAGGTGACTCCCATGCACTTAGAGTGGAGGTGTGGAGGGAAGAATTTGATCATAGTTACCGGCCTTCAGTATCTACCCAACAAGAGATTTTCAGCATCTGTGAGTTATGACCAGCAGAAAGCAACCACCCATCTGGTGGGACAACCTTTAATTTGGCAGATACAGAACTGCAATTTTCATTGCTACTCTATCAGTTTATGCAGTGTGCCAGTGACTGAGATATTGTCAGGTCACTGATCAGGATGAATTGGGACGTTTGTGGAAGACGAGTAGACAGTAGCTCGAACTCTAGCACTGATGTTGTCTCCCAGTACGTTTGTAACAATGTAGATTGTTCCCACTACCTAATACCCTAAAATGATGAAAGTGTGAAGCAAGAGTCCTTTGAGTGTGAACTTACCCACACACAAGGGATTAGTGCAGAGGCTGTCAGACACCCCTGAGAGAGGAGGATGACTAAATAGTCTGGAGCACTAACTGCCAACTGAGGGATGACCTCAATCTTTCGCTCAAGGCTGGGTTCTCTTCCCAGGAGAGGGGCAGCTACAGAAAGTCTGAGAGACCCCCAGGGCACATGAGCTGCAGCAGCTCTGTCCTCATCGCCAGCCTCATGAGTGGCAGGAACACGAGCTCATTTGGAGGGACCTTGTTCTCACTGCTCACAAAGAATGGTGTGTGCAACATGGGGGAGGCAGTGTGGTGGGCAAATGCAAATCCTGTACCGTAGTGAAAGTGTCAAAGTGCCATATTTGAGGTCTTCAAGTCATGAAGTTTTTTAAACATTTCAGTCTTGAATCTGAGGTATTTATAATGTGAAACCCAGTCTAGGATGTTCTATGCAAGAAAGAACAAAATTCTGTCACTATCGGCTGAGCTAATGGGCATCCTAACCAATCACTATTGTAAGGGTGAAACGATACAGAGCAATACTCAGAGACACTAGGGACAAAAAAATAAAGCATGTTGCTTCTTTGGGTGTCATCTATTTCTCATGGGCTGGTGACAAAAAACCACCAAGTTTATTATCTGCCCAACCATACCCTCTGTGTATGTTCTAAGATGGAAAAAACTCAACTTCTTACCTCTTGTTCTCTTTCTTGTTCACTTGACTTAAACTTCCGACTCTTAGACTGGGCTGAGAGCTCTCCCAGTTTTGTCTGAGCCTCCTGGAGTTTTTCCTGATCAATATTGGGAGAAGACAGAAAGTGTAGTCAAGATGACAGATTCATTAGGTCCCTGAGAGGAATCCCTGCCTTCCAAGAGACTAGAATGACATGAAATATCGTTGAATCCTTACACTTTCAGTATAAGCATCCCAAGGACTGTGTGTAGTGATACAGGTGACCTTATTCCCAGAGCACTTTGCAGGATGGCTGCCATCATGTCTGTAGTAGAATCGGAGCTGGGGGAAGGGGTACTAACTAGCCCATGGGTTATGACTATCGGATTCTTGAATCTCATGTGCTCACCCTCAGGCGGAGCTATATGGACCTCTACAGCCTCCTAGAAAACACTGCACATAGAATAAGACAGTAACCATCTGAAAGAAGTCTTTCTTCATCTCCTATATGTGGAAAATTGTCTGTGTCCATCAGGACTCTCTTCCGGGAAGAACCCCAGATTAATCCCAAATTGGTGGGGTCCAAACCCACATGAAAGATCTCCAGGGAATTTTCTTTTGCTGCTTGGTTTAACCTAGTAGACTGCAGCAGAAATAAAATCTGGTGTTCTCTGTGCCTGTTTTGGGAATCTGTCATGTGACATTGCACATTGTGGTTTCTCTAATGTTACACACATGTGAAAATAAAAAGGCTGGTGCATATTTCAACAACTGTATTCTACAGCATGGGGTGATCATGACAGGAGTGAAGAGGGACGAGACTCTCAGCATCCTTGAAAGTTCTTATGGACCACAGCATAATATTCTGGGGAAACGCCCAAGAATAGGGGGTCAGCCCAAACCACAAGCCAAGATGGGAGACAGGCTTGACTGTCAGCTGCCTCTGACTAAGAAGAAGCAGGTACAAGAGAAGACATTATCTAAAGAAACCCAGAGGTGAGACAAGGTTCGGGTGACCCTGAAAGTGGCAGACAAAAATAATTCACCATCTTTGTGAATAAGGGGCCATTACTCTGCCTTGCTCCACTTTCCTTAGACTGGCCTACTGAGGACTGGCCTGAGCGAGGACACTTTAACACTTCTAGTTAGACAAAAGAAAACTGAAAGTTATTTAAAATTATCCGTGTACAGATGGCCTTACAGGCAGGACAAGGGCTTAGTAGGCTACAATAAATCTTGGCCTCAATAGAAAACCAGCTCTGTCCTGGTTGCCCCTTGTTCTACTCCCTCACTAATTTTCTTTGTGATTTTTTTGTTGGGGCCTTGCATCTTCAACACCCTCGTCAGAATCATCTCCTGTCCCCGCAAAGCCAGCAGATGTCAGATGGTCCTTCAGGCGGAGCCTGATAGGACGCCTCCACCGTCCTTCCTCCCAGAGCCCTTAGATCGCCACCTGCAGTGGAGCCCTGACTGCTCAACCACATCACCCATTTTCAGCAGGAAGAAGTCACTGGTCAGATCGGTGCCCTTTGTCCTAACAGAAGTTCAGCCTCCTTCAATACAAAGAGAACTGAGTCCCAGGGAATGCTACGGTTAAGTAGGCAGCTTGAGGGACAGTGCAGGCAGGGACTTGAGGAGAGTTAAAGAGACTTCTGAGACAAGGACAGTAAATTCTTTTTTTTTTTTGGTTTTACTTTATTTTTTATTTATTTTATTTTATATACTTTTTCATTTTTGCACAATGTATGCATTTTCATCTTGGTGATAATCCCCATACAATTCCCACCCTCCTTATTATGACCATAATCCCTCCTACCCACCCCTACCCCCCATAGTGTGTCTGTGGTTTATAGTTGCTTGTTGATTTAGATTTTCACCTTATTGCAATTAGTCTTTTTCCTGGTCCCTTATTTAGGTTCTCTAAATTCCTGCTATGAGCGAAACCATCCGGTATTTTTCTTTTTCATTCTGGCTTATTTCGCTGAGCATAATCCCTTCCAGCTCCATCCATGTTGCTGCAAATAGCATGAATTTATCTTTTTTGACTGCTGAGTAATATTCTATTCCATACCGGGTGGTCTCACTCATAGCAGGAATTTAGAAAACCTAAATAAGGGGCCAGGAAAAAGACTAATTGCAATAAAGTAAAAATGAAAATAAACAAGCAATATAGACCAGAAACACACCACAGTGGGTGGTGGGAAAAGGAGAAGGATTAGGGTCAGAACAAGGGGGGTACTAAATGCTGGGTTCTCTTCCCAGAAGAGGGGCAGCTATGGAAAGTCTCAGAGACCCCCAGTGCGCATGAGCTGTAGCAGCTCTCACCTCATCGCCAGCCTAATGAGCTGCAGGACATGAGCTCACCTGGAGGGACCCTGTTCTCACTGCTCACAAAGAATGGTTTGTGGAATGCAGGGAAACCAGTGTTGGGGGCAAATGCAAACCCTATCTGGTGTTAAATGTGTCAAAGTGATATAATTGAGGTCTTCAAGTCATGAAGATTTTTTAACATTTCAGTTCTTTGAGATATTTATGACATGAAGCCAGTCTAGGATACTTAGGCTCAAAAGATCAAAATTCTGTCTCTACGGGCTGAGGTGTTGAGCATCCTAAGCAGTCACTACTTTAAGGCTGAAAAGATACAGAGAAATTCTCATAGACACTAGGGACATAAAAATAAAGCAGGTTACTTCTTTGGCTGTCATCTCTTTCTCATGGGCTGCTGAGATTAAACCATCAAGTTCATCCTCTGCCCATACACATGCCTCTGTGTATGCTCTAGGATGGAAAAGACTCAACTTCTTACCTCCAATTCCCTCGTTTGCTCTCCTGTGCTCAACTTCAGACTGTCACATTGTTCTGCCTGTACCCTCAGTTTTGTATCAGCCTCCTGGAGTTTTTCCTGATTAAAATTGGGTGAAGAAACATGGTAGAGTTAAGAACAGAGGTTCCTGAGAGGAATCCCTGCCTCCCAAGAGACTAGAATGACATGAAATATCGTTGAATCCTTACACTTTCAATATAAGCGCCCCGAGGACTGTGTGCAGTGATACAGGTGACACCTTATTCCCAGGGCATGTGACAGGATGGCTGTCATCACATCTGCTGTAGAATCGGAGGCTGGGGAAGGGATAACTAACCAACCCAAGGGCTATGACTGCAGCTTCTTGAACCTCATCTGCTGACCCTTAGGAGGAGCTAGATGGACCTCTACAGCCTCGCCAGGAAACGCTGCACGCAGAACAAGACAGTAAACACCTAAAAGAAGCCTTTCTCCACCTCCTGTATGTGGAAAGTTGTCTGTGTCCACCAGGACTCTCTTTGGGAAGCTCCCCAGATACACTCCCAAATTAGTGGGGACCAAACCCACAGGAAGTAAGTTCATGGAGTTTTCTTTTGCTGATTGGTTTAGCCTTGCAGACTGCAGGAGAAATAAAATCTGGTGGTCTCTGTGCCTGTTTTGAGAATCTGTCACAGGTCCTTGCACATCGTGGTTTCTCTAATATTGTACACATGTGAAGGTAAAATAGCCCGGTATGTGTTTGGACATCTACATTCTACAGCAGGGGGCATCACGGCAGAGGGAACAGGGAAGAGACTCTCCCCATGCTATGAAAGTTCATATGGAACGTGGGATGTGTTTTGGGGAACTAACATGAACTAATTTTCAGAAGGATGAGACGATGGAAGTTATATTTCCAGATCAACATCTTGCGTTTCAGCCTAAATAACCTTAGATCTGGGAGTTCAACCTCAGATCACGTGCCGTTGCAGGATAGGGGCCCTCACTCACCTTGGAGCGCAGACAGGCATTTTTGGCGCGGACATGTTTGTGTCCTCTGTGCTTGCGGAACCGGGCACAGAACTTGCAGATGAGCTGCCCGGTGTCCTCACAGAACAGGCTGAGCCGCATTGCGTGTATCTCACACAGCTTCTCACCCTCTAAGTCCCTCGGGGCTGCACTGATGGCTTCATCTAAACGCTGCATAGCCTCCCTAAGAACTGATTGCTGAATTGAAGGATGGTAGAAGGGACATCTCCTACTTGCTGATTGCTCCCCTGACGTCCCTGGCTGCTCCACTGATGTCCCTGGTTGTTCCCCTGACGTCTTGGCTGTGGGGTTTGAGGCCGTGGCTCCTCCTGAAAAGCTCCAAATCGCGGTTAGAGGCAGAGGTGAAGTAGACACAACTCTTCACAGTGACGGACACGCAGGTGACCTGGACCTTCGTGCCTCCACAAATACTGTTTATTTGATTACAGTTTATTTGCAACAACTACGTAGTAAGAAATGTTTTAATAATGAGGGTTTTTAAAAGAAAAAAGAATCCTTTATGTGCAACAGAAGCTGATTTCAGAAATACACTGAACCATAATGCAATGTGTTGTGTAAAAGGTAACAGTAGAGAAATCAACTCAGTGAAATCTGAACATGAATTACGTCAATTCCTGCTTTTCTCTTCTATGTGTCTTTATTGTATCAAAACCAGAGATACTCTATTTTAAATTGCTGGTGGTATTTGCCTGCCAGGACAGGGGAGAGGAATCACTAACAGGTTCATAATCACATATCTGAAAGCCTGAAATATAAAATTCAGAATATTTTAGAGGTTATAATGACATTATATTCAGATCCTCTAAATTATGTGCCCACCCCCAGCAGGTTCTTCCATAGCCTTGAATCAATACATTGACAGTCCCGCAGCAGGTAGGACTAATAAAGATGTTAAGTAGAGTCAGATGAGTGGAGGTCAGGGGGGACCACAATGGAGGGTGACTCCAGGGTGTTGACATGATCCCTGCCTCATTTCCCAGCCTTGTAAAACTCCTTTCATGTGAGTATGGGCACAACCTGAGAATTGCCTCTGAGCAATGGCAAAAATGATGGGATGAGCCACTATGGCTTTGTTTCCTTAGGAAGGACCCCATATTATAGTTGACTTAATTTAAAGACTATCTCCTCAGCTCAGCTCACTTTAAAGAAATAACTGGCCATGGGGAAGGCCCATGTGCCATGTGATGAGTGGTGGCTTCCAGAAGCTGAGGTTGCTCTCAGGGAACAAGAATCAGGGCCTAATTGCTATACCCACAAAAAAGGAATTCTTCCAACAACTGCAAGAAAATGGGGAGAGCATTATTCCCCACGAGTCATTCACCAGATGACATGCAGCCCAGCTAGCACCATAACTGTTCTTTGTGACCCCCCTCTGAGCTGTGCCCAGATTTCCCAAACATGATTCCTTCAGAAAATGTGTTTCTTCAGCTTCAAGCCACTAAAGTGTTTTACAGCAACATGTAACCGAATAAGCCAGCAAATATTTTCTGGTTAGGGCTAATTTAACAGAGAAATGAGTTAGGAGGAAATATTGAGCTTTTTAGAGCTTTACAACTCTGTCATTGTGGATGAGGGATTTGAAAATGTCATTTGGGTGAAGGTCCTGAAACTATTTGCATTATCTGCCTTTCTTGCATTGTTCTCAGACTTACTGAAATCATAAGTGTAAATTACACTTACAGTACTAAGTTCCTTACAAGGGTTGAGGTACTTAATTTTTATGACAACCAGTGAAAGGGAAATTGAATTGAAGGAATTGATTCACCTGTGTGGGGAAGGGGGCACAGTTAATCAAAGAGCGAGCAGTATTTGAAGAGTCCCCAGAGGTCCCCAGTATCCTGTGTCCCTGAGGAAGCTCTGGGGGATCTGGGGGATCCTCCACTGGAACAACTACACAGTCTGTCTGTCTATCGGCCTGTCCGGAGGTAGGTTGTGTATATGGTTAAAACTGAAGGATTCCTGACTTTCCATACCTTCGTTGGTCTTTAACCTTTTCCTCTCCTCACAGTGGAGCTCAGAATCGTTGCTGCCAGTGTGAGGCTTCGAAGACACGGACTCTGGGACTGAACTCCTAGACTCCGAAGAGGACAGATTTCTTCAGTGGAACATCCCGTGAGCTCTATGTACTCAGACCCCTTCCCTCCAAATAAATACAGTGCTTACCTTTTCAAGGTGCCTTTCTTGTCCTACAGAGACACAAGGATAGAAGGAGAGTTAGGGAATCCCCATGTCATGGGGCTTGGCATGAGGGGTGTCTCTGTAAACCCTCCATCCAACAAGTAAAGCAGTGAGTCCCACCTGGATACTGATGGATGCCCCAGTCTGATAAGTCCCATCCCCACCCCCGAGGACCCAGAGCATGGCAGCAAATTGATCCTCTCAGTAACCTGCTTGCTGTGACTGTGATCATAGCCGCATGTGGGCAGCTTCAGGAGGAGGCTGGGAGACCCTGTGCTCCCCCGTTTGATGTTCTTTCAGGGACCAGGCTGCCTTCAGACGAGTCTACATTAAATCACTCATCACACAGGCCTTTCCTTAGTGACAAATCCACACACACCTCATGAGAATGGGCCACTGTGGTGGTGGTGGGGGGTCCGTGCAGGTGGAGCAAATCAGGTGACACTGAAACCTTTCAGTGAGTCCAAATGACAAATAAAATGAACAGCTCCCACAATGAATGTTTTGGGGCCGATCCCTCATGCCTCAGAAGAAGGTCCAGGAAGGCCTCTTGGGGCAAGTGAACTGTCGACAAACAAGGGAGGAATTTCTCATACACGTGGCTGCCCAACAACTGGTGTTTGCACCAGTCATCTCAAGCTGTCTCTCAGGAGAGAGTTTGAAAATCAGGGTTTGGTACATAGGGGACTGAGATGAATCTTTATTGTAAAAAAAGAAAATTATTCTCTTTTAAAACGTGTTTCCATCTAAGTAATTTAGTTCAAAGAGATAATAGTATCATGGCTATTGCAATGTCTTACTAAACACAGAGGATGTCATAATCCTAAATGAAAGTAAAGTGACATATGCATTTAAAATAAAAAAATGTATATAATACGATGTTTTCAGGGTCTGAAAGAAGGATATTAGAAAAAGTAAGAAGGTAAAAACAAGTGTTAAAAGTCTAAAAGAGAGTGAGAGTGTTTAAAGAAAGCAAAAGCAAGTGCTGAAGTTCTGAGAGAGAGGGAGGAAAAGAAATTTTAACAAAGTGTCTAAAAGACCAAATCAAGAAGTAAAAAGACAAAAGCAAGTAGGTCTGAGAAAGGAAGGAAATTTTTAAGAAAACAAAATAGTGTTAAAAGTAGTGTTGTAAGAAAGGAAGAAAAAGTAAAGCAAGCAAAAGCACGTGTTAAAGGAAAGTAAGAAAGCAAAGAAAGTGTTGAGGCTTGGGAGACGCATCGTAGGGAAAACAAATGTGCATGTGCTGCAGTGAGTCGGTACAAACTGTAAAAAAGGACAAGGGATTCTGGCAGTTTATTTCATTAGCTCCAGAGATTGAACATGGCCTTGAAGCCCCACATTGACAGCAAGGAGACCATCAAGGCTGAGAAAAAAGAGACAAAAAAAAAAAAGGGAGACAGACAAGAGAAGGGCCCAGTATGTGGCAGTTGGCGCTGCCAGCCCTCTGCCACCTCAGACTCGCCCAAGGGCCTATAGTCCCAGGCATTCGAGACCTCACCCCATTTGTGGGCTGCCAACCTGCTTCTACTGTCAGCAGCCAGGACACCTCAGCCATGAATGTCTGAAGAAGCCACCTCCATGCCGTGCCCTCAGTGCCACTGCACAGGGCACTACAATAGGTACTGTTACACTCTGCGAGAGACAGGCGGGCAGCCCAAACCACAGGACAAGATGGGAGGACAGTCTTAACCGTCAGCTATCTCTGACAAGAAGACCTAGCTATAGGTTAAGAAGACATTTTCTAAAGAAGCCCAGAAGTGAGACAAGCGTCTGGTGACCCTAAAAGTGGCAGATAAAAAAAAAAAAAAATCACTCAGGTGAATCAGGAGCCACTTACTCTGCCTTTCTCCATTTTCCTTAGACTGGCCTACTGATGACTAGCTTGAGCCAGGACACCTTCATACTTCTAGTCAGATAAAAAAAAAAAAAACCTAAAGTTATTAAAAAAATCTGTATTACAGATGGCCTTATAGGCAGGACAAGGGTCAAGGTGGCTACAATCAATCTTGCCTCTATAGCAAACCAACTTCTGTCATGGTTGCTCTTCTTTATGATTTTCTTGTTTGGGCCTTGGATCCTCAACATCCTCGTCAGAATCATCTCCCGTTGCCTCAAAGCCAGCAGATGTCAGATGGTCCTTCAGAAGGAAGCTGATAGGATGCCTCCACACTCCTTCCTCCAAAGCCCCTTAGATGGCCGCCCTGCAGTGGAGCCCTGAATGCTTGCCCGCGGCACCCATTTTCAGCAGGAAGCAGTTACTGTTCAGATCGGCGCCCTCTGTCCTAACAGCAGTGAGGGGCTCCACCCGTAGAAGGGGTACTGAGTCCCAGGGCAAGTTAGGGTTAAGTAGGCACCTTCAGGGATAGTGCAGGCAGGGAATTTCAGCAGAGTTAAAGAGGCTTCTGAAACAGGACAGTAAATTCTAAATGCTAACCAAAGCATACAGCACAGCTGAGGTCATAAAGACTAGAAGGACTAAACAAAAGCACTACATTGGACAGAGCCTAGTGCCTGACTGTAGTTTCTTTTACACACACTGGAACCCTAAAAAAACCTGTCTTCGAAGGCTGCAACCCAATATATGAGCACCGTAAGTACAATGTATTAAAATTAAAAAGGGGGAAACGAAGTGGAAAATGTCAGGCTGACTGTGGATTAGCTGAAGTTGGGACAGAGCCCATAGACTAAAAATTTTAGGGAACAACTGATAAACGCCCTGAAGGCCACATGCACCCTGATTCATGCATTCCCAGCTGACTGTATCCCTACCTTTAGTCAATAAATAATCTGTAATCTAGTTGGGCTCAGATTTTGGAGAGAGATTTCCTCCGGACTTGCTGGTGTGAAGTCTGTCGGCATAAATAAAGACCTTCCCTCCTTCTCACTGAGTGTTGCCTGATTCCCTAATGAAAATGTGCCATAACAGTTAAACCTTAAAAAAACAGGAAATTCTCCTATGTGTTACAACATGGATGAGCAGGGGAGACACTATGGTCAGAGACCAAAGGACAATATTTTCATGACCTAGTCAGCTTTAAAAACAGACCGTGGAATGGTGGGACCAGCTGACAGGGGTACACAGGGACACTGTTTACTGGGGAGAGTTCCAGGTTGGAAGGATGAACTCGTTGTGCAGATGGAGAGTGGAGATGGGGGCACCACAGTGTGACGCTGATGCCAGGAAAGACAATGTGTAAGATGGGGAGCAGGTACATTTGTGACTTGTGTATTTCACCACTCTCCCCTATACCCCCATCACACACACATTGTCTGTTCAGCAATGAAAACACTCTTCACATGAGTCCTTTGAGGTGGAAGTATTAGGGGAAAAGGATGTCCTGAGCAAACTCTATACAGGCTTTGTGGACTCCACCCCCGCTCCATGAAGACACTGGAACTACAAATCCCACGACTACCAAAGGGAGAGTTGCGAGGACCCGAGGGCAGAATTAAGCAGCCATGCTCTCTGTTTGGATATTTAACCAGCCAGGTGAACAGGTGTAGGGCTCTGGGCCTCATGGCCTATGGGGTTTTAACCAGCTCTTGGGGGTCATTTGGGATTCCAGGTCAGTAGAACAGGGAGAATGCATTTATGAATTTATCTCCCTCTTTTTTGCCCTGAGTTGTTTATTTCCTCATTTCCCCTTTCCATGCAATAAACTTTTTATTAACCTTTTTTGTGTTACTGCAGTTTAAGTTCCCTTTGAGTGCATGGGTGAGGAACCACAGTGAGGTAACCCATTTTATATCAGGTTGCTCTTTAACAGGAGAAGATCCAAAGTTTACTACTACTGAATCAACTGAGAAGCACGACTTATCTGTGGAAGAGGCTGTCATAATTCTCAAGAATCACCAGAGTTATTTCCTTCTTCATCAGTCAAGATACAAGAGGAAAAAGTACAGATGCTGGACAATTTCATTGTGTAACTATCGCCAAGGTCAAACACTAGGTAAACCCAGGTTTTCTCTGAGATGCAGACTTAAAAGTTAACCATTTCCCCATCTACTCATTCTCTTTATTGGCATCAACTTCTTACTGCGGTGCTGCCATCTCACTCTCCATCTGCACAAATAGTTCATTCTTCTGACATGAAACCCACCCACTAAACACCATCACCTTCATTCCTCCACCCACATGGTAGCAACCAGGCAGAGGGTGATGGAAATCTTCATTTCTGAGGGAGTTTGGGAAGGGAAGGATTTTGATGAACATCACCAAGCAAGGCTGGTTGGAAACTCCCATTTACTCAGAGGGGAGGTTTGGGTCACAGAATTTGATCATAGTTACCAGCAATAGTCATCTCACAGCCAGAGTCCATTTATCATCCGTGAGTTTAGACCAGCAGAAACAAAACCACCCACCTGGTGGGACTCACTTTAATTTGGCAGATACAGAACTGCTACACCAGCAGCTCATACACTGTGACAGTGACTGGATACTGTGGTCATGGGTCATTATGATGAAAATTGGAACCTTTGAGGAGGAGGAGAGAATAGCTCAATCTCTGGCAATGGCGTGGTTTCCCTTCATGTCTGTAACAATGGAGGTTCTCCCCGCTCCCCAAGACCCTAACATGAGGGACATGTGACTGCCCTTTGAGTGTGAACTTTAACATCCACACACAAGGGATTGGTGCAGAGGCTGGAAGTCACCCTTGAGAGAGGAGGAAGACTAAACAGTCTGGAGCACTAACTGCCAACTGAGGGATGACCTCAATCTTTGACTAAAGGCTGGCCTCTCTCCCAAGGAGAAGGGCAGCTATGGGAAGTGACAGATACCCCCCAGTGAGCATGAGCTGCAGTGACGGATCCTCATCGCCACCTTATGAGTGGCAGGAACTTGAGCTCACCTGGAGGGACCCTGTTCTCACTGTTCACAAAGAACGGTGTGTGGAACATGGGGGAGGCAGTGTGGAGGGCAAATGCAAACGCTGTACTGTGGTGAATGTGTCAAAGTGCCATGTTTGAGGTCCCAAATCATGAACTTATTTAACATTTCAGTTCTTTAAACTGAGGTATTTATAATGTGAAACCCATTCTGGGATGTTCTATGCAAGAAAGAACAAAATTATGTCTCTACGGGCTGAGGCGCTGGGCATCCTAACCAATCACTATAGTAAGGCAGAAAACATACAGAGAAATTCACAGACACTAGGGATATAAAAACAAAGCATGTTCCTTTGGCTGTCATCTATTTCTCATGGGCTGGTGACAATAAATCAAGTTTATGCTCTGCCCAACCAAACCTTCCATGTAAGTTCTAGGACGGAAAACACTCAAATTCTTACCCTCCATTCTCTTAACTTCAACTCCAGACTCAACCATTGGTCTAACAGGTCTCTCAGTTTTGTCACACGCTCCAGGAGTTTTTCCTGATGAAAATTGGGTGAAGAAAGAGAGCGTAGTTAAGATGACAGATTCATCAAGTTCCTGAGATGGGTCCCTGCCTTCAAGAGATTAGAATGACATGAAATATCGTTGAACCCTTACACTTTCAGTATAAGCGCCCGAGGACTATGTGCAGTGATACACTGACCCCTAATTCCCTGACACATTGCAGAAGGGCTGCCTTGATGTCTGCTGTAGAACCAGAGGCTGGGGAAGAAGTAACTAACATGCCCAAGAGCTATGACTATCTGCATCTTGAACCGCATTTCCTGCCCCTCACGCAGAGCTATATGGACCTCTACAGCCTGGCCAGGAAACGCTGCACACAGAACAAGACAGTAACCAGGAAAAGAAGCCTTTCCCCACCTCATATATGCGGAAAGTTGTCTGTGTCCATCAGGACTCTCTTCCAGGAAGCTCCCTGGGTTCATTACCAAATTGATGGGAACTAAACCCACTTGAAAGAACTCCAGGCTCTTGTTTTTCTGACTGGTTTAGCCTAGCTGACCATAGGAGAAATAAATCCCATTGGTTTCTGTGCCTGTTTTGGGAACCTGTCACATAACCTTGGACATCATGGTTTCTCTAATGTTGCACGCATGTGAAGATAAAAAAGGCTTGTGTGTATTTCGACGACTGTATTCTACAGCAGGGGGTAATTACAGAAGAATGAACAGGGATGAGAATCTGACCATCCTGTGAATGTCCATATAGACTGTTAAATTGTATTTTGGGGAAACGTCGGAAAGTCAGGGTGTCAGCCCAAACCACAAGCCAAGATGGGAGGACAGGCTTGACCATCAGCCCTCTCTGACTATGAATAACCAGCTACAAGTGAAGAAGACATTTTCTAAATAAGCCCAGAATGACACAAGCCTCTAGTGTCCATAAAGGTGGCACACACACCCTCTTGGTGAATCAGGGGATACTTACTCTGCCTTGCTCCATTTTCCTTACACTGGCCTACTGATGACTAGCCTGAGCCAAGACACTTTACATTTCTAGTGAGATGAAATAAAACCTAAAGCTATTAAAAAATATCTTTATTATAGATGGCCTTACAGGTTGGTCAATGGCATAGTAGGCTACAATCAATGTTGTCCTACATCGGATACTAACTTCGTCCTGGTTGCTCCTCTTTCTGCTTCCTTCACTAATTTAATGATTTTCTTGTTTGGGTCTTGCATCCTCAACACCCTCCTCAGAATCACCTCCTGTTGACTCAAAGCCAGCAGACAACAGATGGTCCTTCAGATGGAGGCTGATAGGACACCTCCACTGTCTTTCCTCTCAGGACCCTTAGAACGCACCCTGCAGTGGAGCCCTGACTGCTCGCCTGAATCACCATTTCAGCAGGAAGCAGTTACTGATCAGATTGACGCCCTTTGTCCTAAGAGCAGTGAGGGGTTCCATTTGTAGAGCCCCAGGGCTGTTAAGGCTAAAGTAGGCAGCTTCAGGGACAGTGTAGGCAGGGACTTCAGGAGAGTTAAAGAGGCTTCTGAGAGGACAGTAAATTCTAAGTGTTAACCGATGCATACACCAGAGGGGAGGTCAGAAAGGCCAGGAGGACGAAACAAAAACAGTACACTGGGCAGTGCCTGGTGACTGACTGTAGTTTCTCTCACACACACATGGGAACCCGAAAAAAAAATGTTATCAAAGGGTGCACCAGTGATGTGCACACCATAGATGTGATGGAATCAAATATAAAAAGGGGGAAATGAAGTGGAATGTGTGAGGCTGACTGTGGATGAGCTGAAGTCGGGACAGAGCCTGTAGACTGAGGATTTCAGGGAACAATGGATAAGTGCCCTTAAGGCCACACGCAATCTGAGTCACGCATCCCCAGCTGCTGTGTCCCTCGCTTTACTCAATAAATACTCTGTACCCTAGTTGCTCGGGCTGAGATTTTGGAGAGAGATCTCCTCCGGGCTGTGGGTGTGAAGCCACCAGCATAAAGAAAGAGCTTCCCTCCTCCTCTCTGAGTGCTCCTGCTCCCTCATGACAATCTGCCAGAACAGTTCAACCTAAAAAACCAGGAAACTCTGCTACATGTTACAACCTGAATGAGCCAGGGAGACACTATGGTCAGAGACAAAAGGACAGTATTTTCATGACTATGTCAATGTAATCAGATTTAAAAACAGAACGTGGAATGGGGGGACCAGGTGGCAGGAGGGACATGGGGACACTTTACTGGGGAGAGATTCAGGTTGAGAGGAGGAACCCGTTGTGCAGTTGGAGAGTGGAGATGGGGGTGCCACAGTGTGATTCTGATGCCAGTAATGACAATGTGTAAGATGGGGAGCAGGTACATTTGCAATTTGTTTATTTGACCACTTTCCCCTACACCCCCATCACATACACTGAGACAGGTCTGTTCAGCTACAAAGACACTCTTCACAGGAGTCCTTTGAGGTGGAAGAATATCCGAAGTTTACTGCTGCTGAATAAACTGGGAGGCAGGCACTTATATGTGGGAGAGGCCATCATAATTCTCTATAGTCAGGAGTAATTTCTTTCTTCTTCATTCAAGATACAAGAGAACAAAGGACAGATGCTAGATAATTTCATTGTGTAATTAGGGTCAAGGTCTAACACTACGTAAACCCAGGTTTTCTCTGAGATGCAGTTTCAAAAGTTAACCATTCCCCCATCTACTCATTCTCTTTATTGGCATCATCTGCTCATTGTGGTGCCACCATCTCCATTCTCAACCTGCACAAATAGTTCATCCTTCCAACATGATAACAACCCACTAAACACCATCACTAAGTTCCTCCACTCACATGGTATCCACCAGACAGAGGGTTATATAAATCTCCATTTCAGAGGCAGTGTGTGAAAGGAAGGTTTTTGAGGAACATCACCAAACAAAGCTGGTCGGTGACTCCCCTGTACTCAGAGGGGAGGTCGGGGTTGTAGAATCTCATCAGTTACCAGCAATAAACATCCCCCAGTTAGAGTTAACTTATGATCTGTAAGTTTAGACTAGCATAAATGAAAGCACCCACCTGTTGGGACTCGCTTTGTAAGATACAGAACTTCAGTTTCCATGGCTACACTATCAGCTCATGCACTGTGACAGTGACTGGATATTGTAGCCATGGGTCACTGATGACAAAAATTGGAACCTTTGCTAAGGATGAGAAAACAGCTCAAACCTTACATTAATGCAGTTTCCCTTCATGTTTGTAACAATGGAGGTTCTCCCCGCTACCCAATACCCTAAAATGCGGGACGTATGACTGTCCTTTGAGTGTGAACTTTAACACCCACACACAAGGGATTAGTGCAGAGGCTGGAAGACACCCCTGAGAGAGGAGCATGACTAAACAGTCTGGAGCACTAACTGCCAACTGAGGGATGACCTCAATCTTTCCCTAAAGGCTGGGTTCCCTTCCCAGGAGAGGGGCAGCTATGGAAAGTCTTAGAGAATCCCAGTGTGTTTGAGCTGAAGCAGCTCTGTCCTCATGCTCAGCACTATGAGCTGCAGGAACATGAGCTCACCTGGAGGGACCCTGTTCTCACTGCTCGCAAAGAATGGTTTGTAGAACATGGAGGAGGCAGTGCGTGGTGGGGTGAGGGGGGCACATGCAAACCCTGTACGTGATGAATGTGTAAAAGGGCCACGTTTGAGGTCTTCAAGTCATGAACTTATTTAATATTTCAGTTCTTTAAACTGAGGTATTTATAATGCGAAACCCATTCTGGGATGTTCTATGCAAGAAAGAACAAAATTCTGTCTCTGTGGGCTGAGGTGCTGGGCATCCTAACCATCACCCCCTCCCCCCTGCCCCCATTATAAGGCGGAAAACATACAGAGAAATTCACAGACACTAGGGATATAAAAACCAAGCATGTTCCTTTGGCTGTCATCTATTTCTCATGGGCTGTGATAATAAACCATCAAGTTTATGCTCTGCCCAACCAAGCCCTCTGTGTATGTTCTAGGATGGAAAAGACTCAAATTCTTACCTCTTGTTTTCTTAACTTGAACTCCACATTCAACCACTGGTCTAACAGGTCTCTGCATTTTGTCCTAAAATCCTGGAGTTTTTCCTTATGAAAATTGGGTGAAGAAAGAAAGAGTAGTTGAGATGACAGATTAAACCTGTTTCTGAGAGAGGAATCCCTGCCTTCCGAGAGACTAGAATGATATGAAATATTGTTGAATCCTTACACTTTCAGTATAAGCACCCCAAGGACCATGTGCAGTGATACAGGTGATCCCTTATTCCCAGAGCATGTGGCAGGATGGCTGCCATCATGTCTGCTGTAGAATCAGAGCCTGGGGAAAGGGTAACTAACATACCCAAGGGCTATGACTACCGGCTTCTTGAGCCTCATGTGCTGACCCTCAGGCAAAGAGCTACATGGACTTCTACAGCCTGGCCAGGAAACCCTGCACACAGAATAAGACAGCAACCATCTGAAAGAAGGCCTTCTCCACCTCCTCTATGTGGAAAGTTGTCTGTGTCCATCAAGACTCTCTTCCAGGAAGCCCCCAAGATACAATCCCAAATTGGTGGGGCCCAAACCCACATGAAGGATCTCTAGGGAATTTTCTTTTGGTGCTTGGTTTAACCTAGCACACTGCAGGAGAAATAAAATCTGGTGGTCTCTGTGCCTGTTTTGGGAATCTGTCACATGACCTTCACATTGTGGTTTACTCTGATGTTACACACATGTGAAGATAAAAAAGGCTGGCATGATTTGACACCTGTATTCTTCAGCAGGGGGTGATCACAGTAGAATCAACAGGGACGAGACTCTCACCATCCTATGAAAGGATGTACAGACCATGGGATTTTATTTTGGGGAACTGTCTGAGAGACAGGGGGACAGACCCAGATGGGAGGACAGGCTTGACTGTCAGCTGCCTCTGAGTAGGAAGAACCAGCTACAGGTTAAGAAGACTTTTTCTAATGAAGCCCAGAGCTGAGACAAGCCTCAGGTGAACCTAAAAGTGGCAGACAAAAAAAAAAAAAAAAAAAAAAATCACCCTTTGGCATGTCAGGGCTACTAATTCTGCCTTGCTCTATTTTCTTTAAACTGGCCTACTCATGACTACCGTGTGCCAGGACCCCTTAATACTTCTAGTAAGATGAAAGAAAATGTGCAGTTTTAAAAAAAAAATTTGCTTTACAGATGGCCTTACAGGTGGGACAAGGGCCTAGTATACTGCTACAAACAATCTTAACCTCTATAGAAATCCATCTTCTGTCCTGGTTGCTCCTCTTTCTGGTTCCCTCAGTAATTTGCATTATTATTTCCTTTTTGGGCTTTGCATCCTCAAGACCCTTGTAGCGCCAAAGCTGGCAGACTTCACATGGTCCTTCAGATGGAGCTTGATAGGATGCTCCACCGTCCTTCCTGCCAGGTCCCTTAGATCGCTGCCCTGCAGGGAGCCATGACTGTTTGTCCGAATCCCCATTTTCAGCAGGAAGAAGTTACTGGTCAGATCGACGCCCTCTGTCCTAACAGCAGCGAGGGCCTCCATCTGTAGAAGGGGTACTGAGCTCCAGGGCAAGTTACGGGTAAGTAGGCAGCCTCAGGGACAGTGCAGGCAGGGACATCAAGAGAGTTAAAGAAGCTTCTGAGATAAGGACAGTAAAGTCTAAGTGCTAACCAACACATACACCAGAGCTGAGGTCAGATAGTCCAGGAGGACGAAACAAAAACAGTACACTGGGCAGTGCCTGGTGACTGACTGTAGTTTCTCTTAAACACACTGGAACCCTACTAAAAAAACTCTTCGAAGGCTGCACCCTGAGACCTGTGTCCCATATATATGATGGAATAAAATTAAAAATGGTAAATGAAGTGGAAAATGTCAGGCTGACTGTGGATGAGGTGAAGTCGGGACAGAGCCTGCAGACTGAGAATTTCAGGGAACAACGGATAAGCGCCCTCAAGGCCACACATGCCCTGAGTCACGCATCCCCAACTGGCTGTGTCCCTTGCTTTACTCAATACCCTGTAGCCTAGATTCTTGGGGCTCAGATTGTGGAGAGAGATCTCCTCTGGGCTGCTGTGGGTGTGTAGCCAGCCAGTGCCAGCTTAAATAAAGAGCTTCCCTCCGCCTTTCTGAGTGCTGCTGCTCCACTCATTAACATTTGCCAGAACAGTCACCCTTGGGCCTCCCCGGTGGCGCAGCGGTTGAGCGCTGGGTTGCGAAGCTGCCCACAGCCTCTGCAGCGCTGGTTCAATCCCCGGCTGCTCCCCGGCCACGGGAGGAGGGTCCCACATGGTGCGCAGACCTCTCCTGCCGCCCGCTGCTCCCCTCAGCAGTGTACTTCGGTCCTTCTGCCTGCTCTGCTCCCCGCTCTGGCTCTGGTGAATTCTCTCACCCCCTCACGCTTCTGACTGTACCCAGTGCTTGTATAAATAAATAAATAAAAATAAATAAATCTTTAAAAAAAAAAGTCACCCTTAAAGGAATGGAAACTCCTATGTGTGTTACAACATGGATGAGCCAGAAAGACACTTTGGTGAGAGAGAAAAGGACCATATTTTCATGACTATTTTTTACTTAGTCACATGTAAAAACAGGAATTGGAATGGGGGGACCAGGTGACAGGAGGGACGAGGGGACGCTGTTTACCGGGGAGAGTTCCAGGTTGGGAGGAGGAACCCGTTGTGCAGATGGAGAGTGGAGATGGGGCTCCACAGGGTGACGCTGATGCCAGTAAAGACAATGTGTGAGATTGGGGAGCATGTACATTTGTGATTTGTTTTTTGCCACTCTCCCCGACGCCCCCATGACACACACTGAGAAAAGTCTGTTCAGCTACGAAGACACTTTTCACATGACCCCTTGAGGTGGAGGAATGTCTGACATTTACTGCTGCTGGATCAATTGGGAGGGAGGCACTTAGATGTGGGAGAGGCCGTCATAATTACCTATGACGAGAGTAATTTCCAGCAGAGTAATTTCCTCCTTCTTCAGTCAAGATACAAGAGGACAAAGTACAGATACTAGATATTTTCACTGTGTGGTGAATATGTAAAGTGCCATGCTTCAGGTCTTCAAGTGATGAAGTTATTTAACATTTCAATCTTTAATCTGAAGTTCTTATAATGTGAAACCTAGTCTAGGATGTTCTATGCAAGAAAGATCAAAATCTTGTTTCTACGGGCTGAGGTGCTGGGCATCCTAACCAATCACTATTTTAAGGCTGAAAACATACAGAGAAATCCTCATAGACACCAGGGCATAAAAATAAAGCATGTTTCTGCAATTTGCAGCAACATGGATGGAGCTGGAAGGGATCATGCTCAGTGAAATAAGCCAGAAAGAAAAAGAAAAATACCAGATGGTCTCACTCATAGCAGGAATCCAGAAAACTTAAATGAGGGACCAGGAAAAAGAATAACTATAAGAAAGAAAATATCAAAATCAACAAACAACTATGAACCAGAGACACTCTATGGGGGGTGGGGGGCAGGGAAAGGAGGGCTTGGGGTCAAAATATGGGAGCTGTAATTGTATGGGGAATATAAAAATAAAATTTAAATTAAAAAAATCAAAAAAAGTTTACACTCTAGTTTTCACAAATAAAACATTTAGTCACTTTCTGTTCTTAAAAGCAAAAAAAAAAAAAAAAGCATGTTTCTTTGGCTGTCATCTATTTCTCATGGGCTGGTGACAATAAACAATCAAGTTTATGCTCTCACCAACCACGCACACTCTGTATGCTCTAGGAGGGAAAAGACTCAATTCCTTACCTCACATTTACATGTTTGTTCTCTTGACTTCAACTTCAGACTCAACCACTGGTCTATCAGGTCTCTCAGTTTTGTCACAGCCTCCTGCAATTTCTCCTGATCAAAATCGGGTGAAGACAGAAAGCACAGTTAAGATGAGGGATTCATCAGGTTCTGAGAGGAATCCCTGCCTTCCAAGACTGAGATATTCTGGTCATGGGTCACTGACCACAATGAATTGGAGCCTTTGTGGAGGTGGAAAGAACAGAATGAACTCTGGCATTGACGTGTTTTTGTTTCATGTTTGTAACAATGGAGGTTCTCCCCATACCCAAGACCCTAAAATGAGGGACATGTAACTGTCCTTTGAGTGTGAACTTTAACATCCACACACTAAGGGTAATTGCAGAGGCTGGAAGACACCCCTGAGAGTGGAGGATGACTAAGCAGTCTAGAGCACTAACTGCCAACTAAGGGATGACCTCCATCTTTCACTCAAGGCTGGGTTCTCTTCCCAGGAGAGGGGCAGCTATGGAAAGTCTTAGACACCCCCAGTGCGCATGAGCTGCAGCAGCTCTGTCCTCATGGCCAGCCTCATGAGCTGCAGGGACATAAGCTCACCTGAAGGGACCCTTGTTTTCACTACTCGAAAGAATGGTTTGTGGAACGTGGGGGAGGCAGTCTGGGGGGTAAATGCAAACCATGTATGGTGATGAACGTGTCAAAGTGATATGTTTATTTATGACATGAAACCAGTCTAGGATGTTCTATGCAAGAAAGGTCAAAATTTTGTCTCTACGGGCTGAGCTGTTGGGCATCCTAACCAATCACTATTATAAGGCTGAAAACAGACAGAGGAATTCTCATAGAATCAGCGACATAAAAATAAAGCATGTTTTTTGGTTGTCATCTATTTCTCATGGGCTGATGACAATAAACCATCAAATTTATGCTCTGCCCAACAAGCCCTCCACGTATATTCTAGCATGGAAAAGACTCAACTTCTTACCCTCTGTTCTCTTAACTTCAACTTCAGTCTCAACCACCGGTTTAACAGATCTCTCAGTTTTTTCTTATCCAAATGGAGTTTTTCCTGATGAAAATTGGGTGAAGAAAGAGAGTATAGTTAAGATGACAGATTCATCAGGTTCCTGAGAGGGGTCCCTGCTTTCAAGAGACTGTGTGCAGTGATACAGATGACCCTTTACTCCCAGGGCACGTGGCAGGATGACTGCCATCATGTCTGCTGTAGAAACGGAGGCTGAGGAAGGGGCAACTAACCTGCCCAAGGGATATGACTACCAGCTTCTTGAGCCTCATGTGCTGACCCTCAGATGGAGGTATATGGACCTCTACAGCCTCGCCAGGAAATGCTGCATGCAGAACAAGACAGTAACCATCTAAAAGAAGCCTTTCTCCACCTCTTCTATGTGGAAAGTTGTCTGTGTCTGTCAGGACTCTCTTCCAGGAAACTTCTCAGATACACTTCCAAATTGGTGGGAACTAAACCCACATGAAGGAAATCCAGGGAGCTTTCTTTTGGTGATTGGTTAAGCCTCCCACACTGCAGGAGAAATAAAATTTGCTGGTCTCTGTGCCTGTTTTGGCAATCTGTCACAAGACCTTGCACATCGTGGTTTCTCTAATGTTACACACATGTGAAGTGTGTAACACACATAAAAAAGGCTGGTGTGTATTTCGACAACTGTATTATATAGCAGGGTGTCATAATGGCAAGAGCAAATAGGGCAGAGACACTCACCATCCTATGAAAGTCCATATGGACCCTGGGATTGTATTTTGGGGAAACGTCTGAGAGACAGTGGGTCAGCCCAAATCACAGGGCAAGATGGGAGCACAGGCTTGACTGTCAGCTGCCTCTGACTATGAAGAACCAGGTTCAGGAAAAGAAGACGTTTTCTTTCTTTTTTTAATTTAAATTTTATTTTTATACTCCCCATACAATTACAGCCCCCTTATTTTAACCACAAGCCCTCCTTATCCCGCCCCACACCCCCATAGAGTGTCTCTGGTTCATAGTTGTTTGTTGATTTTGATTTTTTCTTTCTTATAGTTATTCTTTTTCCTGGTCCCTTATTTAAGTTTTCTAGATTCCTGCTATGAGTGAGACCATCCGGTATTTTTCTTTTTCTTTCTGGCTTATTTCACTGAGCATGATCCTTTCCGGCTCCATCCATGTTGCTGCAATTTGCATGTGCTGATCTTTTTTGAATGCTGAGTAATATTCCATGGTGTATATGCACCACATCTTCTTGATCCAGTCATCTATTTTTGGGCATTTGGGTTGTTTCCAAAGCTTAGCTATTGTGAATAGTGCTGCTATAAACATAGGGGTGCAGGTGCTCTTTGGAATTGATGTTTCTGTGTCCTTTGGGTGAATACCTAGGAGTGGAATTGTTGGACCATATGGAAGTTCTATCTTTAGTAGTTCAAGAAATCTCCACACAGCTCTCCATAGTGGCTGTACCAGTTTGCACTCCCATCAACAGTGCAGGAGGGTTCCTTTTTCTCCACACACTCGCCAACATTTGTTGTTGCTAGTTTTTTTTAATATGTGCCATTCTCACTGGTGTAAGATGGTATCTCATTGTAGTTTTGATTTGCATTTCCCTCATTACACGTGATGTTGAACAATTTTTTCATATGCCTGTTGGCCATTTGCATTTCCTCTTCAGAGAAGTTTCTTTTTAGCTCCTCTGCCCATTTTATGACTGGATTATTTTCTTTGTTGTTGAGTCTCATCAGCTCTTTGCATATTTTTGTGATCAGTCCTTTATCATTAGTTTTGTGTGCAAAAATGTTCTCCCAGTCGGTGGGGTTTCTCTTTGTTTTTGTTATTGTCTCTTTTGCTGTGCAGAAGCTCTTTAATTTGATGTAGTCCCAGCTGTTTATCTTTGCCTTCACTATCACTGTTTTGGATGATGTGTCTGTAAAGATGTCTTTGATGTGCCTATCACCTATAGTGTTTTGCCTATATTTCCTTCTATGTATTTTATTTTATGTCTCAGGTCTTATGTCTAGTTCTTTAATCCATTTTGAGTTGACTTCTTTATGGTGTAAGGTAGTGGTCAAGCTTCATTCTTTTGCATGTAGCAACCCAGTTTTCCCAGCACCATTTATTGAACAAACTTTCTTTGCTCCAATGCATAGTCTTTGCTCCTTTGTCAAAGATTAGTTGACCATAAATCTGTGGGTTTATTTCTGGATTTTCTATTCGATTCCATTGGTCTGTGTGTCTGTTCTTATTCCAATACCATGCAGATTTGATGATTATGCCTTTGTAGTATAGTTTGAAGTCTGGGAGTGTGATGCGTCCATTCCCTTCTTTTTTTTTTCAGGAGAGCTTTGGTTATTCAGGGTTTTTGGTGATTCCATATGAATTTCATCAATAATTGTTCTATTTCTTTGAAGAATGACATTGAAATTTTTATTGGAATAGCATTGAATCTGTATATTGCTTTTGGTAGGATGGCCATTTTAATAATGTTTATTCTTCCAATCCATGAACAGGGGATGTCTTTCCATTTCTTTGTGTCTTCTTCTATTTCTTTTAACAGTGTTTTATAGTTTTCTTTGTATAGGCCCTTTACCTCTTTTGTTAGATTTATTCCCAAGTATTTGATTTTTTTTGTTTCGATAATAAAAGGGATTTTTTTTTTATTTCTTCTTCTTCAGATTTATTGTTTGTGTATAGGAAGGCTACTGATTTTTGTGTGTTGATTTTGTATCCTGCCAATTTACTGAACTGATTAATTAGTTGAATTAGTTTTTCTGTGGAGTTTTTGGGGTTCTCTATGTATTTTATCATCTCATCTGCAAATAGTGATAGTTTAACTTCTTCCTTCCCTATTTGGATTCTTTGTATGTCTTTCTCTTGTCTTATTGCTCTGGCTAGGACTTCCAGGATTATATTGAAAAACATTGGTGAGAGTGGACATCCTTGTCTTGTTCCAGATCTTTTTTTTTAATAGAGGCATGTTATTTATTTATTTATTTATTTGTTTTTGTTTGTTTATATATACACTGGGTATAGTCAGAAGTGCAGGAGGGTGAGAGAATTCACCAGAGCCAGAGCGGGGAGCAGAGCAGGCAGAAGGACTGAAGAACACTGCTGAGGGGAGCAGCGGGTGGAAGGAGAGGTCTGCGCGCCATGTGGGACCCTCCTCCAGTGGCCGGGGAGCAGCCGGGGATCAAACCGGCACAGCAGAGGCCACAGGCAGCTTCGCAACCCAGCACTCAACCGCTGCCTCACCGGGGAGGCTCTTGTTCCAGATCTTAATGGGAATGCTTTCAGCTTTTCACCATTGAGAATGATACTGGCTGTTGGCTTGTCATATATGGCCTTTATGATGTTGAGGTATGTTCCTTGTAACCCAAGAATTTCAAGGGCTTTTATCATGAATGGGTGTTGCACTTTGTTGAAAGCTTTCTCTGCATCTACTGATAATCATATGGTTTTTATATTTCTTTTTGTTGATGTGTTAGATAATGTTGATTGATTTTCAGATGTTGAACCATCCTTGTGTTCCTGGAATGAATCCTACTTGGTCGTGGTGAATTATCTTATGGATACATTGTTGGATTCTGATAGCTAAAATTTTATTGAGAATTTTTGCATCAGTGTTCATTAGGGAGATTGGCCTGTAATTTTCTTTTTTTGTGTTGTCCTTGTTCGGTTTTGGTATTATTGTAATGTTGGCTTTATAGAACGTGTTTGGTATTATCCCTTCAGAAGAAGACGTTTTCTAAAGAAGCCCAGAAGAGAGACAAGGTTTGGGTGACCCTAAAAGTGGCAGCCAAAAACAAACAAACAAACAAACAAAAAAACACCCTCTGGGTGAATTAGGGGCCACTTATTCTACCTTTCTCCATTTTCCTTAGGCTGGCCTACTAATGATTAGCCTGAGCCAGGATACCATCATACTTCTGGTAAGATGAAAACAAAAATGAAGTTATTAAAAAATATCTGCATTATAGATGACCTTATAGGCAGGACAAGGGCTTAGTAGGCTACAATCAATCTTGGATTCTATAGCAAACCAAATTCTGTCCTGGTTGATGCTCTTGCTGGCTCCCTCACTAATTTTATTTATGATTTTCTTGCTTGGACCTTGCATCCTCAACACCCTTGGCAGAATCATCTTCTGTGGCCTCAAAGCCAGCAGACGTCAGATGGTCCTTCATATGGAGCCTGATAGGACGCCTACACCATCCTTCCTTCCAGGGCCCTTAGAATGCTGCCCTGCAGTGGCACCCTGACTGCTCACCTGCATCACCCATTTTCAGCAGGAAGCAGTTACTGGTCAGACTGACACCCTCTGTCCTAACAGCAATGAGAGGCTCCATCTATAGAAGGGTAGTGAGTATCCAGCTAGTTAGAGTCAAGTAGGTAGCTTCAGGGACAGCACAGGCAGGAGAGGTAAAGAGGTAAAGAGGCCTCTGAAAGTGCTTCTGAAATTAAAAGTACTAACCAACGCATACACCGCAGCTGAGGTCATAAAGTCTAGGAGGACTAAACAAAAGCAGTACACCAGACAGTGCCTGGTGACTGACTGTAGTTTCTCTTACACACACTGGAACCCTAAATAAAACTGTCTTTGAAAGCTGCACCCAGAGATCTGAGCAATAATAGATTTGATGGAATAAAAAGTAAAAAGGGGGAAATGAAGTGGAAAATGTCAGGCTGACTGTGGATGAGCTGAAGTTGGGACAGAGCCTGTAGACTGAGAATTTCAGGGAACACCTGCAAGCCCTCTGAAAAGTACATGTACCCTGATTCATGCATTCCAGATGACTGTATCCCTTGCTTTTGTCAATAAATACTCTGTAACCTAGTTGCTCAGGCTCAGATTTTGGAGAGAGGTCTCCTCCAGGCTTGCTCGTAGAAATCCCTGCTGTGTAAATAAAGAGAATTTCTCCTCTCTGAGTGCCGTATAATTCGCTAATGAAAATCTACCACAACAGTTCAGCCTTAAAAAACAGGCAACTCCAATACGTGTTACAAAATGCATGAGCCAGGAAGACACTATGGTCCAAGACAAAAGGACAATATTTTCATGACTCTTCTTAACCTAGTCAGATGTAAAAACAGTATGTGGAATGGGGCAACCAGGTGACAGGAGGGACCCAGGGACACTGTTTACTGGGGAGAGTATCAGGTTGGGAGGATGAACCTGTTGTGCAGATGGAGAGTGGAGATGAGGGCTCTACTTGTGAGGCTGATGTCATAAAGTCAATTTTTAAGATGGGGAGCAGGTACATTTGTGATATGTTTTAACATTTTTTCCTACTCCCCCATCACACACACACAGAAAAGTCTGTTCAGCTACAAAGCCACTCTTCACATGAGTCCTCTGAAGTGGGGGAGTGTGCAACGTTTACTGCTGCTGGATCAACTGGGAGGCTGTCATAATTCTCTTTATCGGCATCATCTTTACACTGTGGTGCCACAATCGCCATTCTTCATCTGCAAAAATAGCTCATCCTTCCCACACGAAACCTTCTACCACCTGGTATCCACCAGGTAGAGCGTATGTAAATCTCCATTTCTGAGGGAGTTTGTGATAGAAGGCTTTTGCTGAGTATTACCAACAAAGCTGGTAGGTGACTCCCATGCACTTAGAGGTTAGGTATGGGGGACAGAATTTGATCATAGTTACTGCCCTTAAGTATCCACCCAACAAGAGATTTTTAGCATCTGTGTTATGACCAGCAGAAAGCAAGCGCCCATCTGGTGGGACAACCTTTAATTTGGCAGATACAGAACTGCAGTTTCCATGGCTACACTATCAGCTCATGCAGTGTGGCAGTGACTGAGATACTGTGGTCAAGGTCACTGACCAGGATGAAATGGGATCAGGATGAAATGGAAGATGAGGAGACAGCAGCTCAAACTCTAGCATTGACGTGGTTTCCCTTCATGTCTGTAACAATGGAGGCTCTCCCTGCTACCCAACACCCTAAAATGAGGGACATGTGACTGAACTTTAACACCTATACACAAGGGATTAGTGCAGAGTCTGGAAGACACCCCTGAGAGAGGAGGATGACTAAATAGTCTGGAGCACTAACTGCCAACTGAGGGATGACCTCAATCTTTTGCTCAAGGCTGGGTTCTCTTCCCAGGAGAGGGGCAGCTATGGAAAGTCTCAGAGACCCCCAGTGCGCATGAGCTGCAGCAGCTCTGTCCTCATCGCCAGCCTTAGGAGCTGCAGGGATATGAGCTCACCTTTAAGGACCTTGTTCTTACTGCTCGCAAACAGTGGTGTGTGGAACAGGGAGGAGGCAATGTGGAGGGCAAATGCAAACCCTGTATGGTGGTGAATGTGTCAAAGTGCCATGTTTGAGGTGTTCAAGTCATGAAGATTTTTAACATTTCGTTTTTTTAATCTGAGGTATTTATAATGTGAAACCCAGTCTAGGATGTTCTATGCAAGAAAGAACAAAATTCTGTCCCTACAGGCTGAGCTGCTGGGCATCTGAACCAATCAATATTGTAAGGGTGAAAAGATACAGAGCCATTCTCAGAGTCACCAGGGACAAAAAAAATAAAGCATGTTGCTTCTTTGGGTGTCATCTATTTCTCATGGGCTGCTGAGAATAAACCATCAAGTTTATGTTCTCCCCAACCACGCCCTCTGTGTATATTCTAGGATGGAAAAGACTCAACTTCTTACCTCCCGTTCTCTTGCTTGTTCACTTGACTTAAAGTTCCGACTGTTAGACTGAGCTAATAGTTCTTGCAGTTTTGTCTGAGCCTCCTGGAGTTTTTCCTGATCAAAATTGGGAGAAGACAGAAAGTGTAGTTAAGATGACAGCTTCATCAGATTCCTGAGAGGAATCCCCGCCTTCCAAGAGACTAGAATGACATGAAATATCGTTGAATCCTTACACTTTCAGTATAAGAGCCCCGAGGACTGTGCAGTGATATAGTTGACCCTTATTCCTAGAGCACGTACCAGGATGGCTGCCATCATGTCTGCTGTAGAATCACAGGCTGGGGAAGGGGTAACTAACCTACCCAATGGCTATGACTATCAGCTTTTTGAACATCACGTGCTGACCCTCAGGCACATCTACATGGACTCTACAGCCTCGCCAGGAAACACTGCACACAGAACAAGACAGTAATCACCTGAAAGAAGCCTTTTTCCACCTCCTATATGTGGAAAATTGTCTGTGTCCATCAGGATTCTCTTCCAGAAAGATCCCTAGATTCATCCCAAATTGGTGGGATCTAACCCACGTGAAGGAACTCTAAGCAGTCTTCTTTTGCTGCTTGGTTTAACCTAGTAGATTTCAGGAGAAGTAAAATCTGATGGTCTCTGTGCCAGTTTTGGGAATCTGTCACATGACCTTGCATAGCATTGCTTCTCTAATGTTACTCACATGTGAAGATAAAAAGTCTGGCTCGTATTTCAACAACTGTATTCTACAGCATGGGTTGATCATGGCAGGAATGAATAGGGACAAGACTCTCCCCATCCTTGAAAGTCCATGTGGACCATAGCATAATATTTTGGGGAAATGTCTGAGAGTACAGGGTCAGCCCAAACCACAAGCCAAGATGGGAGGACAGGTTTGACTGTCAGCTGCCTCTGACTATGAAGAAGCAGGTACAGGAGAAGAAGACATTTTCTTAAGAAGCTCAGTGGTGAGACAAGACTCGGATGACCCTAAAAGTGGCAGACAAAAATAAATCACCATCTTGGTGAATAAGGAGCCACTTATACTGCCTTGATCCACTTTCCTTAGAGTGGCCTACTGATGACTAGCCTGAGCAGGACACTTTAACACTTCTAGTCAGATAAAAGAAAACCAAAAGTGAGACCATCCGTTATTTTTCTTTTTCTTTCTGGCTTATTTCTCATAGCAGGAATTTAGAAAACCTAAATAAGGGACCAGGAAAAAGACTAATGATAATAAAGTAAAAATCAAAATCAATAAGCAACTATAAACCAGACACACACTACCCTGTGGGGGGGAAGTGAGGAAGAATTAGGGTCAAAGTGAGGGGGGGTGCAATTGTATGGGGAATATAACCAAAATGAAAATGCATACATTGTGCAAAAATGAAAAATGATGTAAGAAATATATAAAATAAAATATTAAAAAAACCCAAAAGATATTTAAAAATATCTGTATTACAGATGGCCTTACAGGCAGGACAAGGGCCTACTAGGCTACAACCAATCTTGGCTCTATAGAAAACCAACTTCTGTCTTGGTTGCTCCTCATTCTGGCTCCCTAACTAATTTTCCTTTTGATTCTCTTGTTTGGGCCTTCATCTTCAACATCCTGGTCAGAATCATCTCCTATTGCCTGAAAGCCAGCAGACTTCACATGGTTCCTCATACAGAGCCTGATAGGTCGCCTCCTCCATCCTTTCTCCCAGGTCCCTTAGATCACCGCCCTGTAGTGGCGCCAACTGTTGCCCGCGTCACCCATTTTCAACAGGAAGCAGTGACTGGTCAGATTGATGTCCTTTGTCCTAACAGAAGTTCAGGCTCGATCAGCAGAAAGAACACTGAGTCCCAGGACAAGTTAGGGTTAAGTAGCCAGCTACAGGGACAAAGCAGGCAGGGACTTCAGAAGAGTTAGAGGCTTCTGAGACAAGGGCAGTATTTTTTTTTTCTTTTTTTTTAGTTTTATTTATTTACTTATTTTATATATTTTTTACATCACTCTTCACTTTTGCACAACGCATGCATTTTCATCTTGGTTATAGTCCCCATACAATTCCCACCCCCCTTATTTTTACTCTGATCTCTCCTCCTCCTGCCCCCCATAGTGTGTGTCTGGTTTATAGTTGTTTGTTCATTTTTATTTTTTCTTTATTATAATTAGTATTTTTCCTGGTCACTTATTTAGGTTTTCTAAATTCCTGCTATGAGTGAGACCATCTGGTATTTTTCTTTTTCTTTCTGGCTTATTTTGCTGAGCATGATCCCTTCTAGCTCCATCCATGTTGCGGCAAATTACAAGAGTTTATCTTTTTTGATTGCTGAATAATATTCCATTGTGTATATCTACCACATCTTTTTTTTTTTTTTTTTTTTATAAATTTTATTGTTATATTCCCCATACAATTGCAGCCCCCCCATTCTGACCCCAATCCCTCCCCTCCCGCCCCCGCCCCCCTAAAAGTGTCTCTGGTTCATAGTTTTTTGTTGATTTTGATTTTCACTTTCTACCACATCTTGATCCAGTCATCTATTTTGGGGCATTTGGATTGTTTCCATAGCTTAGCTATTGTAAATAGTGCTGCTATAAATACAGGGGTGCAGGTGCCCTTTTGAATTAATGTTTCTGTGTCCTTTGGGTAAATACCTAGGAGTGGAATTGCTGGATCATATCAAAGCTCCATCTTTAGCAAGTTGAGGAGTCTCCAGAGAGCTTTCCACAGTGGTTGGACCAGTTTTCACTCCAACCATCAGTGCAGGGGAGCTCCTTTTTCTCCACATCCTCACCAACATTTGTTGTTGCTAGTTTTTTTTAGTATGTGCCATTCTCACTGGTGTGAGATGGTATCTCATTTTAGTTTTGATTTGCATTTCCCTGATTGCAAGTGATGCTGAACATTTTTTCATATGCCTGTTAGCCACTTGCATTTCCTCTTTGGAGAATTTCCTTTTTAGCTCTTCTGCCCATTTTTTGATTATTGACTTTTTTGTTTATAAAGATTTATTTTTATTCATTTACACAAGAACCAGGGTACAGGCCAGATGTGCGGGAAGATGAGAGGATTCACCAGAGACAGAGTGGGGAACAGAACAGGCAGACTGACGAAATACACTGCTGAGGGGAGCAGTGGGCGCAACAGGAGAGGTCTGCGCTCCACGTGGGACCCTCGCTGGCTGGCCAGGATCGAACCGGCACTGCAGAGGCTGTGGACAGCTTCACAGCACAGTGCTAAACCACCTGCGCCACCAGGGAGGCCCTTGACTTTGTTTTTTTTTGAGACTCTTCAGCTCTTTGTATTTTTGTGATAAGTCCTTTATCATTAGAGTTGTGTGCAAAAATTTTCCCCCAGTTGGCGGGTTGTCTGTTTTGGTTACTGAAGGACCAGAAATTCTAAGTACTAGCCAAAACACGCACCAGAGGTGAGGTCAGAAAGTCCAACAGGTACACTGGACAGTGCCTGGTGACTAACTGTAGTGTCACTTACACACACTGGACCCTAAAAAAACTGTCTTTGAAGGCTGCACCCTAGATCTGTGTCCCATAGATATGAGGGAATAAAATGAAAAAGGGGGAAATGAAGTGGAAAATGTCAGGCTGACTGGATGAGCTGAAGCTCCGACAGAGCCTGTAGACTGAGAATTTCAGGGAACAATGGATAAGCGCTTTCAAGGCCACACGCACACTGATTCATGCATCCCCAGCTGCTGTGTCCCTTGCTTTACTCCATAAATACTCTGTAACCTGGTTGCTCGGGCTCAGATTGTGGCGAGAGATCTCCTCCGGGTTGCGGGTGTGAAGCCACCAGCGTAAATAAAGAGCTTCCCTCCTCCTCTCTGAGTGCCTCCTGCTCCCTCATGACAATCTGCCAGAATAGTCACCCTTAAAGACAGGAAACTCTTCTGTGTGTTACCACATGGATGAGCTGGGAAGATACTATGGTCAGAGACAAAAGGGCAGTATTTTCACGAGCTAGTCAGATGTAAAAACAGAACATGGACTGGGGGGACCAGGTGACAGGAGTGACCCGGGGACACAGTTTACTGGGGGAGAGTTTCAGGTTGGGAGGAGGAACCCATTGTGTAGATGGAGAGTGGAGATGGGGGCTCCACAGGCTGATGCCATAAAGACAATGTGTAAGAAGGGGAGCAGGTACATTTGTGATTTGTTTACCATTCTCCCCTATGCCTCTATCAACACACACAGAAAAGCATGTTCAACTTCGAAGATACTCTTCACATGAATCCTTGGAGGTGGAGGAACATCCAACGTTTACTGCTCCTAAATCAACTGGGAGGCTGTCATAATTCTCTTTATTGGCATCATCTTCTCATTGCGGTGCCACCATCTTCACTCTCCATTTGCACAAATAGTTCATCCTTTCCACACAAAACCCACCCACTAAACACCATCACCTTTGTTTCTCTTCCCACCTGCTTTCTACCAGGCACAGGGATGTGTAAATCTCCATTCCTGAGGGAGTGTGTGAAGGGAAGGCTTTTGAGGAATATCACAAAGCAAGGCTGGTAGACGACTCAAGAGGGGAGGTCTAGTGGGCAGACTGTGATCATAGTTACCAGCAATAAGCATCCACCCAGCCAGAGTCCATTTAATATCCATGAGTTTAGACCAGCAGAAACCAAACCGACTATCTGGTAGGACTCGCTTTAATTAGGCAGACACAGAACTGCAGTTTCCATGGCTATACTATCAGCTCACACAGTGTGGTAGTGACTGATATACTGTGGTCAAGGTCACTGATTAGGATGAATGGAACGTTTGTGGAGGAGAGAACAGCTCCCACTCTGGCACTGACGTGGTTTCCCTTCATGTCTGTAACAATGGAGGTTCTCCCCGCTACCCAAGACCCTAAAATGAGGGACATGTGACTGTCCTTTGAGTGTGAACTTTAACACCCACACACATGGGATTAGTGCAGAGGCTGGAAGACACCCCTGAGAGAGGAGGATGACTAAAGCACTAACTGCCAATTGAGGGATGACCTCAATCTTTCGCTCAAGGCTGGTTTCTCTTCCCAGGAGAGCGGCAGCTATAAAAGTCTTAGACACACCCAAGTGTGCAGGAGCTGCAGTAGCTCTGTCCTCATCGCCAGCCTCATGAGCTACAGGGACATTAGCTCTTCTGGATGGACCCTGTTCTCTCTGCTTGCAAGAATGGTTCGTGGAACACGGGGCAGGCAATCTGGGGGGCAAATGCAAACCCTGTATGGTGGTGAACATGTGAAAGTGATATGTTTAAGGTCTTCAAGTCATGAAGTTATTAAAAATCTCAGTTCTTTAATCTGAGGGATCTATAATGTGATACCCATTCTACATGTTGTATGCAAGAAAAATCAAAATTCTGTCTCTATAGGCTGAGGTGCTGGACAGCCTAACCAATCACGATTTTAAGGCTGCAAAGATACAGACATATTCTCATAGACACTAGAGACATAGAAATAAAGCATGTTGTTTCCTTGGCTGTCACCTATTTCTCATGGGCTGGTGAGACTGAACCATCAAGTTTAGCTCTGCACAACCACACTCACTGTGTATGCTCTAGGATGGAAAAGACTCAACTTCTTACCTCACATTCCCTTATTTGTTCTCCTGTGCTCAACTTCAGACTGTCACATTGTTCTTCCTGTTCCCTCGGTTTTGTCACAACCTCCTGGAGTTTTTCCTAACCAAAATTGGGTGAAGAAGTAAAGTGTAGTTAGGATGACAGATTCATCAAGTATCGGAGAGAAATCCCTACTTCTCAAGAGAATAGAAGAAAATGAAATATTGCAGAATCCTTACACTTTCAGTATAAGCGCACTGAGGACCATGTGCAGTGATACAGGTGACCCCTTATTCCCAAAGCACATGGCAGGATGGCTGCCATCATGTCTGCTGTAGAATCGGGGGCAGGGGAAGGGGTAACTAACCTGCCCAAGGGCTATGACTATCGGCTTCTTGAGCCTCATGTGCTGACCCTTAGGCAGAGTTATATGGACCTCTACAGCCTCGCCAGGAAAATGGTGCACCCAGAACAAGACAGTAATCATCTAAAAGAAGCCTTTCTCCACCTCCTCTATGTGGAAAGTTGTCTGTGTCCATCAGGACTCTCTTCCAGGAAGCCCCCAAGATTCAATCCCAGATTGGTGGGGCCCAAACCCACATGAAGGATCTCTAGGGAATTTTCTTTTGCTGCTTGGTTTAACCTAGCAGACTGCAGGAGAAATAAAATCTGGTGGTCTCTGTGCCTGTTTGGGAATCTGTCACATGAAATTGCATATCCTGGGTTCTTTAATGTTACACACATAAAGATAAAACAGGCTGGGCGTGTTTGGACATCTGTATTCTACAGCAGGGGGCATCACAGCAAGAGTGAACAGGGATGAGACTCTCCCCATGCTATGAAAGTCCATACAGACCAAGGGAATATATTTTGGGGAACTAACGTGTACTAATTTTCAGAGGAATGAGATGAAGAAACTTTATTTCTGGGTCACAATCTCGGGTTTCAGCTGAAATAACCATGGATCTGGGAGTTTAGCCTTAGAGAGGGGGCTGCTGCAGGACTCAGGGGCACTACTCACCTCAGAGCCTGGACACGTATCTTTGACAAGATGGTTGTGTCCGCTTTGCTGGGGGGACCACGCAGAACCCCTGCACATGAACTGCCCAGTGTCCTCACTGAGCTGGTGGGGCTGGTCCCCATGACCTTCCCACGGCCTCTCACACTCCAGCTCCAGTTTGGCTTCAATGCTGCCTAGTGTTCTAAGCAGGTCTCTGTACATTTCCACGTCTACCGGACAGGAAGGACAGTCCAAGCTCCACGATGATTCCTCTGGTTGCTCCTCAAGGCTGCCCCCGGCATACCTGCGGCAGCAGCTGTGCCCACAGGAGAAGCTCACAGGACCTGTTGTTAGCTCATGGCAGATGGGGCACGTGGCTTCCATCCTCATCCTCTTGGCTGCGGGGGCTGAGGCCCAAGCTCCTCCTGGAAAGCTCCAAGTTGTGGTTAGAGGCAGAGAAGAAACAGACACAATTCTTCACAGTGAAGGACACGCAGGTGACCTGGGCTTTTGTGCCTCCAAAAATACCGTTCAATTGATGACAGTTTATTTGTAACAATTACTGTAAGAAATGTCTTAATAATGAGGGCTTTTAAAAGAAAAAGAATCCGTTATGGGCGACAGAAGCTGACTTCAGAAATACACTGAATCATACTGTAATGTCTTGTGTAAATGGTAACAGCAGATAAATCAACTCATTGAAATCTGAACACAAGTTACATCAATTCCTGCTTTTCCCTTCCATGCATCTTTATTGGATCAAAACCAGAGATACTCTATTTAAAATTGCTGGCGGAGAAGACAGGGGAGAGGAACCACACACAGTTTCAAAATCCCTTATCTGAAATCCTTGAGGCAAAATATAAAAATTCAGAATATTTTGAGGTTATAATGACAATGTGCAGATCCTCTAAACTATGTGCCCACCGCTAGCAGGGTCTGCCATAGCCTTGAATCAACACATCCACAGTCCTGCAGCAGGTAGGAGTAATAAAGATTTTAAGCACAGTTATATGAGTGCAGATCAGGGTGACCACAATGGAGGGCGACTCCAGGGCGCTTGCATGATCGCTGCCCCCTCATTGTCCCAGCCTTATAAAATTCCTTCCAGGTGAGTGTGGGCATAACCTGAGAATTACCTCTGAGCAATGGCAAACACGTATCTTTGACAAGATGGTTGCCATTATGGTCATGTTGCCTTACATCAGGCCCCATACTACAGTTGACTTAATTTAAAGACTATCTTCTCAGCTCAGATCACTTAAAAGAAATAACTGGCCATGTGGAAAGCCCATGTACCATTATTGTGGTAGCTTCCAGAAGCTGAGGCAGCTCTCAGGTGATAAGAATCAGGGCCAAGCCCTTTATCCACAAAGAAACAAATTCTTCCAACAACTGGAAGAATATTGGGAGAGGATTATTCCCCACAGGAATTAACAGATGACACACAGTCCAGCACCATAACTGCTCTTTGTGACCCCACCTTAGGTGTACCCAGAATTCCCACACACAATTCTTTCAGAAAATGTGTGTATTTAGCTATAAGCCACTGAAGTGTTAACAGCAACATATAACTGAAAAAGACAGTAAATAATTTCTGTTTCAGGCTAATTTAGCAGAGATATGAGTCAGGGGAAACACTGAGCTTTTTCGAACATTAGAACTCTGTAATTGTGGATGAGGGATTTGAAAATGTCATTTGCGCAAGGTCCTAATATTATTTGCATCATCTACACGTAGGTATTGTTGTCAGACTTACTGAAATATGAACAGTAAACTTTATGGACCAGCGACTGTGCTAAACTCCTTAAAAAGGTTGAGGCACTTAATTTTTATGACAACCGGTAAAAGGAAAACTGGAATCAAGGAATTGATTCACTTGGGGGACATAGTTAATCAATGTGTAGGAATCTGAAGAGTCCCCAGAGGTCCACAGTATCCTGTGTCCAGAGGAAGCTCTGGGGCATCCTGAACCCTCCACTGCAACAACTAAAGAAACTGTCTGCTGTCACCCTGCCCAGGGGTAGGTTGGCAACGTAGTTAACACTGAAGAATTCTTGACTTTCCATACCTTCGTCGGTTTTTAATTTTTTCCTCTCCTCACAGTGGAGCTCAGAATTGTTGCAGTCTGTGTGAGGTTCTGAAGACACGGACTCTGGGACTGAACTCCTAGACTCAGAAGAGGACAGATTTCCTCAGCAGGACATCCCGTGAGCTCTATGCACTCAGACCCCTTCCCTCCAAATAAGGATAGCACTTACGTGGCCAAGGAGTCTTTCATGTCCTACAAAGACACAAGGACAAAAGGTGAGTTAGGGAATCCCCATGTCATGGGGCTTGGCATGAGGGATGTCTCTGTAAATCCTCCATCCAACAAAAAAAGCAGTGAATTCCACCTGGATACTGATGGAGGCCCAGGTCTGATGAATCCCATCCCCACCCACAGGGCCCAGAACAGGAGAGCAAGTTGATCCTCCCAGAGCCCAGTGCAGGTGGAGCAAGTTAGGTGACACTGAAATATTTCAGTGAGACTGAGTGGTAACTAAAGTGAACAGCTCCCACAATTAATGTTTCTGAGGTTGATCCCTCATGCCTTAGAAAAAGGTCCAAAAAGGCCTCTTGGAGCAAATGAGCTATCCACAAACAAGGGAGTAAGTTCTCACACACGTGGCTGCCCAAAAACTCTGGTTGCACCAGTCATCACAAGGCGTCTTTCAGGAGAGTTTGAAAATCAGGGTCTGTGCACATGGGACTGAGATGAATCCGTATAGTAAAAAAAGAAAACTGTTCTCTTTGAAAACATGTGTTTCCATCTAAGTCATCTATTTCAAAGAGATCATAGTATCATGGCTATTGCAATGTCTTACTAAAAACAGAGGATGTAATAATCCTAAATGAAAGTACAGTGAGATGTGCGTTTGAAAGAAAAAATTGTATTAAGTATGGATGTTTTCAAGGTCTGAAAGAGGGATCTCAGAAAAAGTAAGAAGGTAAAAGCAAGTGTTAAAAGTCTAAAAGATAGCGAGAGTGTTTAAAGAAAGCAAAAGCAAGAGTTGAAGGTTTGAGAGGGAGGAAAAATCTTTTTTTTTTTTTTTTTGGTGGGACCCTCGCCAGTGGCCAGGAAACGAACCGGCGCTGCAGAGGCTGCAGGCAGCCTTGCAGCCCAGCGCTCAACTGCTGCGCCACCAGGGGAGGCCCAGGAAAAGAAATTTTGAGAAAATGTTAAAAAGGCTAAAGCAAGAAGTAGTAAAAACACAAAAGCAGGTAGGTCTGAGAAAGGAAGGAAATTTTTAAGAAAGCAATAGAAAGTGTTAAAAAGTAGTGTTGCAAGAAAGGAAGAAAAAATAAAGAAAGCAAAAGCAAGTGTTAAAGAAAAGTAAGAAAGCAAAGAAAATATTTAGGTGTGAGAGAGGGATCTTAGGGAAAACAAATGTGTATGTGCTGCAGTGACTCACTACAAACTAAAAGGACTAGTGATTCTACTGGTTTATTTCATTAGCTGAAGATTAAACATTACCTTGAGGCCTACATTGACAGGGAGGAGACCAGTCAGACTGAGGAAAAACAGAAAAATAAAAGGAGAAGGACAAGAGAAGGGCCTAGTATATGGCAGCGGGCACAGCCAGCCCCCTGCCACCTCAGACTTGCTTTGGACCAAATCGTCCAAGGCATTCAGGCCCTCACCCCGTTCATGGGCTGCCAGCCTGCTTCTACTGCCAGTAGCAGGACAGCTCAGCCATGAGTATCTGAAGAAGGCACCCTCCACGCCATGCCCTCAGTGCTATTGCACAGAGTACTACAAGAGGGACTGTTCTACCCTGAGAGCCAGAGTGTCAGTCGAAACCACAGGCCAAGATGGGGGGACAGGCTTGACTGTCAGCTGTCTCTGACTATGAAATCAGCTACAGGAGTAGAAGTTTTCTAAAGAAGTCCAGAGCTGAGAAAAATCTCAGGTGACCCCAAAAGTGTCAGGCAAAAAAAAAAAAAAAAAAAAATCACCCTCTTGGTGAATCAGGGCCACTAAATCTGCCCTGCTCCATTCTCCTTAGACTGACCTAGAGATGACTAGCCTGAGCCAGACACATTAATGCTTAGAATGATATAAAAGAAAAACCAAAGTTATTAAAAAGAAATCTGTATTACAAATGGCTTCACAGGTGGGACAAGGGTCTAGTAGGCTACAATCAATCTTGGCCCCTATAGGAAACCAACTTTTGTCCTGGTTGCTATTCTTGCTGGTTCCCTCACTAATTTTTCACTATCATTTTCTTGTTTGGGCCTTGCATCCTCAAACCCTCGTCAAAATCATCTCCTGTAGCCTCAAAGCCAACAGACTTCAGATGGTTTTTTTACAGAGCCTGACAGGATGCTTCCACAGTCCTTCCTGCCAGGCCTTTCGCCACCCTGCAGTGGAGCCCTGACTGCTCGCCCGCATCACCCATTTTCAGCAGGAAGCAGTGACTGGTCAGATCGACGACCTTTGTCCTAACAGCAGTGAGGGGCTCCGTTTATACAATGGGTACTGAGTCCCAGGGAATGTTACGGTTAAGAAGGCAGCTTCAGGGACAGTGCAGGCAGGGACATCAGGAGAGTTAAAGAGGCTTCTGAGACAAGGACAGTAAATTCTAAGTGCTAACCCACACATACACCAGAGGGGAGGTCAGAAAGTCCAGGAGGACGAAACAAAAACAGTACACTGGGCAGTGCCTGGTGACTGACTGTAGTTTCTCTTACACACACTGGAACCCTAAAAATAACTGTGTTCGAAGGCTGCACCCTGAGGTCTGTGCACCATAGATATGATGGAATAAAAATTAAAAAGGGGGAAATGAAGTATAAAATGTTAGGCTGACTGTGGATTAGCTGACATTGGGACAGAGCCTGTAGATTTTGAATTTCAGGGAACATCGGTTAAGTGCCCTTAAGGCTACATGCATCCTGACAAGTGCATTCCTAGCTGACTACATATATCCCTTGCTTTAGTCAATAAATACTCTGTAACATAGTTGCTCAGGATTCAGATATTGGAGAGAGATCTCCTCTGGGATTGCTGGTGTGAAGCCTGCCATTATGAATAAAGAGCTTCGTTTCTCCTCTGTCAGTGCTGCCTGCTTCCCTAATGAAAATCGTCTATAACACTTCCACCTTAAAAAAACAGGAAACGCTGCTGTATTACAACATGGATGAGCCAGGAAGATCCTATGGTCAGACACAAAGGACAATATTTTCATGATCTAGTAGGATTTAAAAACAGAATGTGGATTGTTTCCATAGCTTAGCTATTGTAAATAGTGCTGACATAAGCATAGGGGTGCAAGTGCCCTTTATAATCAATGTTTCTGTTCCTTTGGGTAAATACATAGGAGTGGAACTGCTGGAAACAACCCAAATGCCCAAAAATAGATGACTGGATCAAGAAGATGTGGTCCATATACACAATGGGATATTACTCAGCAATCAAAAAAGATAAACTCATGCCATTTGCAGCAACATGGATGGAGCTGGAAGGGATCATGCAAAATAAGCCAGAAAGAAAAAGAAAAATACCGGATGGTCTCACTCATAGCAGGAATTTAGAAAACCTAAATAAGGGACCAGGAAAAAGACTAATTATAATAAAGAAAAAAATAAAAATCAACAAGCAACTATAAACCAGAAACACACTATGGGGGCGGGGGGGGGTAAGGAATCAGGGTAAAAATAAGGGGGGTGGGAATTGTACGGGGAATATAACCAAAATGAAAATGCATACATTGTGCAAAAATGAAAAATGATATAAGAATTATATAAAATAAAATGTATTAAAAACAAAAACAAAAAACCAAAATGTGGAATTGAGACATCACCTTACACCAGTGAGAATGGCACATATCAAAAAAACAAGCAACAACAAATGTTGGCAAGGATGTGGTGAAAAAGGAACTCTCCAACATTGCTAGTGGGAGACCATTGTGGAAAGCTGTCTGGAGGTTCCTCAGTCTACTAAAAATGGAGCTACCGTATGACCTGCCAATTCCACCCCTAGGGATCTACCCAAAGGACACAAAAACATTGATTCAAAAGAACACCTGTACACCTATTTACAATAGGTAAAACCTGGAAACAACACAACGCCCCAAAATAGATGACTGGATTAAGAAAATGTGGTACATATACACAATGGAATATTATTCAGCAATCGAAAAAGATAAACTCATGCCATTCGCAGCAACGTGGATGGAGCTGAAAGACATCATGCTCAGTAAAACAAGCCAGAAGGAAAAAGAAAAATATTCCACTTATAGCAGGAATATAGGGGAACCAAATAAGACATCAGTGTAAAAAAACAATAACAGCACAAAACACAACAAAGCAAAAACAGATAATTATAAACCAGAGACAACCTGCAAGGGAGGAGGAGGGAGGAGCACAGGGGACTAAGGTGATGGGTGCACAGGTGAACTGGTGAAGGAAACTCTATGCGGACTACACCTGAGGGGGTGGGGGGAAGCAAAAATTGTTTAAAAATGAACAATGATGTAAAAAATTAAAAAATTAATAAAAAAATAAAAAACCCCAAAAAACCCCAGAACATGGGATGGGGGGAGCAGGTGACAGGAGGGACCCAGGGACACTGTTTACTGGGGAAAGTTCCAGGTTGGGAGGAAGAACCCCTTGTGCAGATGGAGAGTAGAGAGGGGGGCTCCACCGTGTGACGCTGATGCCAGGAATGACAATGGGTAAGTTGGGGAGCATGGGGAATTTTATGATTTGCTTATTTGAACACTCTCCCCTATGGCCCCAACAGACACACACACAGAAAAGCCTGTTCAGCTACAAAGACACTCTTCACATGAGCCCTAGGAGGTGGAGGAATGTCATAAGTTTGCTGCTGCTGAATCAACTGGGTGGTGTCATAATATCCTTTATCAGCATCATCTTCACTCTGTGGTGCCGCCATCTCCACTCTCCATCTGCACAAATAGTTCCTTCCCACATGAAACCCACCCACTAAACACCATCACCTTTGTTCCTCCTTCCACCTGCTCCCCACCAGGCACAGGGATGTGTAAATCTCCATTCCTGAGGGAGTGTGTGAAGGGAAGGCTTTTGCTGAACATCACCAAGCAAGGCTGGTTGGTGATTCCCCGGTACTCAGAGGGGAGGTCTGGAGGGCAGAATGTGCTCATAGTTACCAGAAAGAAGCATCCACACAGCCAGAGGCCTTTTACCATCTGTGAGTTTACAACCACCAGAAAGCAAACCACCCATCTGGTGGGACTTGCTTTAATTGGGCAGATACAGAACTGCAGTTTCTACGGCTACACTATCAGCTCACGCAGTGTGGCAGTGACTGAGATATTGTGGTCAAGGTGCTGACCCAGATGAACTGGAACGTTGGTGGAGGAGGAGAGAGCAGCTCCAACTCTGACACTGATGTGGTTTCCCTTCATGTCTGTAACAATGGAGGTTCTCTCCACTACCCAACACCCTAACATGAGGGACGTGTGACTGTCCTTTGAGTGTGAACTTTAACACCCACACACAAGGGATCAGTGCAGAGGCTGGAAGACACCCCTGAGGGAGGAGGATGACTAAAGAGTCTAGAGCACTAACTGCCAACTGAGGGATGACCTCAATATTTGCTAAAGTCTGTGTTCTCTTCCCAAGAGAGGGGCAGCTATGGAAAGTCTGAGACCCCCAGTGCACAGGAGCTGCAGCAACTCTGTCCTCATCATCAGCCTCACGAGCGGCACGGACTTGAGCTCACCTGGAGGGACCCTGTTCTCACTGCTTGCAAAAATGGTTTGTGGAACATGGGGGAGGCAGTGTGGGGGGCAAATCAAACCCTGTACGGTGGTGAATGTGTCAAAATGATGTTTGAGGTCTTCAAGTCATGAAGTTATTGAACACTTCAGTTCTTTAATCTGAGGTATTTATAATGTGAAACCCAGTCTAGGATGTTGTATGCAAGAAAGATCAAAATTCTATCTCTATGGGCTTAGATACTGGGTATCCTAAACATTATTGAAAGGTTGAAAAGATACAGACAAATTCTCATAGACATTAGGGACATAAAAGAATGCATATTTCCTTGGCTGTCATCTATTTCTCATGGGCTGGTGACAACAAACCATCAAGTTTATTATCTGCCCAACCACACCCTCTGTCTACGTTCTAAGATGGAAAAGACTCAATTTCTTACCTCCCATTCTGTTGTTTGTTCTCTTGGCTTCAACTTCCAACTCAGGTCTCTCAGTTTTGTCTTAGCCTCCTGGAGTTTTTCCTGATCAAAATTGGGTGAAGACAGAATGTGTAGTTAAGACAACAGATTCATCAGGTTCCTGAGAGGAATCCCTGCCTCCCAAGATACTAGAATGACATGAAATATCACTGAATCCTTACACTTTCAGTATAAGCGCCCCAAGGACTGTGTGCAGTGATACAGGTGACCCCTTATTCCCAGGGCACGTGGCAGGATGGCTGCCATCATGTCTGCTGTAGAATCGGAGGCTGGGGAAGGGGTAACTAACATACCCAAAGGCTCTGACTATCGGCTTTTTGAGCCTCATGTGCTGACCCTCAGAAACAGCTATATGGACCTCTTCAGCCTCGCCAGGAAATGCTGCACCCAGAACAAGACAGTAAACCATAAAAGAGGCTTTCTCCTCCTCCTGTATGTGGACAGTTGTCTGTATCCATCAGGACTCTCTTCCAGGAAGCTCCCAGGATTCACACCGAAATTAGTGGGGTACAAAACCACGTGAAGGAACTCCAGGGAGTTTTCTTTTGCTGACTGCTTTAGCCTTGCAGAGTGCAGGAGAAATAAAATCTAATGGTCTCTGTGCCTGTTTTTTGAATCTGTCACATGACCTTCACATTGTGATTTCTCTAATTTACACACGTGAAGAGAAAACAGGCCGGTGTGTTTGGACAACTGTATTCTCCAGCAGGGGGCATCACAGCAGGAGAGAACAGGGACAAGACTCCCCATCCTATGAAAGTCCATATGGACTGCTGGGGAATTAACATGAAGTAATTTTTCGAAGAATGAGATGATTAAAGTTTTATTTCTGGATCACAATCTTGCGTTTCAGCATCAATAACCTTAGATCTTGGAGACCAGACTCAGATCACATTCTGTTGCAGGATTGGGGCCCTCACTCACCTTGGAGCGCAGAGGCAAATCTTTGGCAAGGACATGGTCATGTCCACTGTGCTGGGGAGACTGTGCACAGCCACTGCAGATGAGCTGCCCGGTGTCCTCACAGAACAGGCGGAGCTGCTCTCCGTGTTCCTCACACAGCTTCTCACTCTCTAACTTCCTGTGGGCTGCACTGATGTATTCACCTAAACACTCCATATATTTCTCACCCATTGATGCCCGAAGCAAACGGTAGTCAGAGGCCCATCTCCACCTTGATCTCCTCCTCTCTGGTTGCTCCACTGATGTCCCTGGTTGCTCCCCTGACTTCTCTTGTTGCTCCTCAATGCTGCCCTCTATGCACTGGTGGCAAAAGCTATGCCCACAGTCAAAGCTCACAGGCTCTGTCATCAGCTGCAGGCAGATGGAGCATGTTGCTTCCTCCCTCTTCCTCTTGTTAATCGGGGCCGGGGCCATTGCTCTTCCTGTAAAGCTCCAAGTCAATGTGAGAGGCAGAGATGAAGTAGACACAATTCTTCACAGGGAAGGACACGCAGTTGACCTGGGCCTCTGTGGCTCCACGAGTCTGGAAATCTGTCCAGAAAAGAAAACTTCGGGGATTTGGAGATGCTCGTCATGTGCATGTGTTGTACAAAACACTAATCTCCATCACATCTGGCCCCTTAAACAGAAGTTATTTAAAAGTGATAGCATTTAAATTTCAGCCCTTCAGCCCCATGAGCTGTGTTTCTCTGGCTTCATGTCAGCCCATGGATGTGGCTCCATCACACCCAGACATACCACATCCCCTCACTGCAGAGACTTTCCTTGGGGAAGAGCTAAGAGAGACAGAGAAGAGAGGAGACTCCTCACAAAAGTTGCAACAGGAGAAAATATATAGCAATACAGGCTCACATCAAGAAACAAGAAAGAACTCAAAGAAACAACCTAATCTCACATCTCAAAGAACTAGAAAAAGAACAACAACAACAACAACAACAACAAAACCCTAAAACAAGTAGAAGAAAGGAAATAATAAAAATCAAAGCAGAAATAAACAAAATAGAAACTAAAAATAAATCCAAAAGCTCAATGAAACTGAAAGCTGGTTCTTTGAAAAAATAAATAAAATAGACAAACCCCTAGCCAGGCTCACAAAGGAAAAACAGGAGAAAACACAGACAAAGAGCATCAAAAATGAAAGAGGAGAAATCACAACAGACACAGCAGAAATCAAAAGAATAATCAGAAACTACTATGAAGAGTTACATGCAAAAAAGTTCAACAATCTACAAGAGATGGGCAAATTCCTTCAACTTTATAATCACCCAAAGCTAGATAAAGAAGAAAAAGAACACCTAAACAGCCCAGTTACAAGCAGAGAAATTGAAATGGTAATCAAAGCCCTCCCCCAAAACAAAAGCCCAGGACCTGATGGATTTACAAATGAATTCTACCAAACATTCAGAAAGGAACTAGTGCCTGTCCTTCACAAACTCTTTCAAAAAATTGAGAAGGAAGGGACAATACCAAACACGTTCTATGAAGCCAACATTACACAAATACCAAAACCAAACAAGGACAACACACAGAAAGAAAATTATAACCCAATCTCTCTAATGAACACTGAAGCAAAAATCCTCAATAAAATTTTAGCTAACAGAATTCAACAATGTATCCATAAGATATTTCACCACAACCAAGTAGGATTTATTCCAGGGACACAAGGATGGTTCAACATCAGAAAATGATAGAGGCCCTTGAAATTCTTGGGATACAAGGAACATACTTCAACATCATAAAGGCCATATATGACAAGCCCTTACCTAATATCATTCTAAATGGTGAAAAGTTAAAAGCATTGGGTCTCCCTGGTGGCGCAAGGGGTTCTGCACTGCACTATGAAGCAATCCACAGCCTCAGCAGCATGAGTTCAATCCCCGGCCAGCCAGAGAGCAACACACATGGCGAAGCAGACCTCCCCTGTCTCACCCGCTGCTCCCCTCAGCAGCGTATTTCAGTAAGTTTGCCTGTTCTGTTCCCTGCTCTGCCTCTGGTGAATCCTCTCACCTCCCACATCTTTGGCCTGTACCCTACCTCTTGTATGCATAAATAAATAAATATTAAAAAAAATAAAATAAAAATAAATAGAAGAACACTTTTTATTTTAAAGATTTATTTATTTTTACAAGAGCTGGGGTATAGGCCAGAGGCACAGGAGGGTGAGAGAATTCACCAGAGACAGAGCAGGGAGCAGAACAGGCAGACTGACAAAATACACTGCTGAGGGGAGCAGCGGGCAAGACAGGAGAGGTCTGCCACACCATGTGGGAATCTCCCTGGCCGCCAGGAATCGAACTGGCACTGCAGAGGCTGTGGACAGCTTCACAGTGCTGCGCTCAAACTGCTGTGCCACCAGGGAGGCTCAACAGAACACTTTTTTAAAAAAATTAATAACATTTCCATAAAGATCTGGAACAAGACAAGGAAGTCCACTCTCACCACTGCTTTTCAATATAATACTGGAAGTCCTAGCCAGAATAATAAAACAAGAGAAAGACGTACAAGGAATTCAAATAGGGTAGGAAGAAGTTAAACTATCACTATTTGCAGATGATATGATAATATACATAGAGAACCCCAAAAACACCACAGAAAAACTAATCAAACTAATCAATCAATCAGTTTAGTAAAGTTGCAGGATACAAAATCAACACACTAAAATCAGTAGGCTTCCTATACACAAACAAATCTGAAGAAGAAACCAAGAAAACCATCCATTTTATTATTGAAACAAAAAAAAAATCAAACACTTGGGAATAAACCTAACAAAAGAGGTAAATAACCTATACAAACAAAACTATAAAATACTGTTAAAAGAAATAGAAGTCACAAAGAAATGGAAAGACATCCCCTGATCATGGATTGGAAGAATTAACATTATCAAAATGGCCATCCTACCAAAAACAATTTGCAGATTCAATGCTATTCCAATAAAAAATTTCAATGACGTTCTTCCAAGAAATAGAACAAATATTGATGAAATTTATATGGAGCCACCAAATAACCCGAATAGACAAAGCTCTCCTGAAAAAAATAAACGGGGGGGATGGAGGTATCACACTCCCAGACTTCACACTATACTACAAAGCCATAATAATCAAAACTGAAAGGTATTGGAACAAGAACAGACACACGAACCAATGAAACTGAATAGAAAATACAGAAATAAACCCACAGATTAACGGTCAACTAATCTTTGACAAAGGAGCAAAGAATATGCAATGGAGCAAAGAAATTTTATTCAATAAATGGTGCTGGGAAAACTGGGTCATTACATGCAAAAGAATGAAGCTTGACTACTACCACACACAAATGCACAAAAACCAACTCAAAATGGACTAAACAACTAGACATAAGACTTGAAACCATAAAATATATAGAATGAAATATAGGCGAAACACTACGTGATATGCACATCAAAGACATCTTTACAGACACATCACCCAAAGCAGTGATAGTGAAGGCAAAGATAAACAGCTGAGACATCAAATTAAAGAGCTTTTGTATAACAAAAGAGACAGTAACCAAAACAAAGAGACACCCCACCAACTGGGAGAAAATTTTTGCACACAACGCTAATGATAAAGGACTGATCACAAAAATTTACAGAGAACTGATGAGACACAACAAAAACAAAGTAAATAATCCAGTCAAAAAATGGGCAGAAGAGATAAAAAGAAACTTCTCTAAAGAGGAAATGCAAATGGCCAACAAGCATATGAAAAAATGTTCAACATCACTTATAATCAGGGAAATACAAATCAAAACTACAGTGAGATACCATCTTACACCAGTGAGAATGGCACATATTAAAAAAGCTAGCAACAACAAATGTTGTCGAGGTTGTGGAGAAAAAGGAACTCTCCTGCACTGCTGGTGGGAGTGCAAACTGGTCCAATCACTACTACTAAAGATAGAGCTCAACCTACTAAAGATAGAGCTTCCATATGATCCAGCAATTCCACTCCTAGGTATTCACTCAAAGGACACAGAAACATTAATTCAAAAGGGCACCTGCAGGGCCTCCCCGGTGGCGCAGCGGTTGAGCGTTGGGTTGCGAAGCTGCCCGCAGCCTCTGCGGCGCCGGTTCAATCCCCGGCTGCTCCCCAGCCACTGGAGGAGGGTCCCACATGGCGCGCAGACCTCTCCTGCCGCCCGCTGCTCCCCTCAGCAGTGTACTTCGGTCCTTCTGCCTGCTCTGCTCCCCGCTCTGGCTCTGGTGAATTCTCTCACCCTCCCATGCTTCTGACTGTACCCAGTGCTTGTATAAAAACAAACAAACAAACAAATAAATAAAACATGCCTCTATTAAAAAAAAAAAAAAAAAAGATTTTTACAAAAGGGCACCTGCACCCCTATGTTTATAGTGTTAGGGGGAAAGGATATTCTGAGCTAATCCCATACAGGCTTTGTGGACTCCACCCCTACTCCAGACCAAAGTCATCAGGACATTGGGAAAAACAAATCCCGTCACCACCAAAGGGAAGGTAGCTGGGACCTGAGGGTGGAGTTAAGCAGCCAGGTTAGGTATAAAAACCAAACACATGGGCCTTGGGGTCTCTCGCTCTGTCGCTTGCCTCCTGGCTTCATGGCTCCTGGCTTGCGGCCAGCTCTCAGAGTGCCATTTGGGATCCCAGATTGGCGGATTGGGTAGGACGCATTTAAAACTTTGTCTCCCATTTTTCTCCCTGAGCTGTACATTTCCTCATTTGCCCTTCCCTTGTAAATAAACCTTTTATTAACCTTTCGTGTGTGCCTGCAGTAGAGCATTGATAAGTCCTTTTAAGCACGTGGGTGAGGACCCACAGTCAGGCAACCCGTTTTGTATCAGGGCTGCCCTATAACAATAGCAGCACTATTTACAATAGGTAAGCTATGGAAACAATCCAAATGCCCCAAAATAGATGACTGGATCAAGATGAGGTACATATATACAATGGAATATTACTCAGAAATCAAAAAAGATAAACTCATGCCATTTGCAGCAACATGGATGGAGCCAGAAGGGATCATGCTCAGCAAAATAAGCCAGAAAGAAAAAGAAAAACACTGGATGGTCTCACTCATAGCAGGAAAACCTAAATAAGGGACCAGGAAAAAGACTAATTATAATAAAGTAGAAATCAAAATCAACAAGCAACTATAAACCAGAGACACAATGGGGGGGAGGGGGAATGTGGGAGTAGGGTGAAAACAAGGAGTGGTGGGAATTGTATGGGACTATAACCATGACAAAATGCATACATTGTACAAAAATGAAAAATGATGTAAAAATATATAAAATTAAAAAAATAATATAAAATAATTAAAAAAAAATCAGGATGACCCACTGCCTCCATAGAGAATTTTTCCTAGAGACTTTGATCCTTGGCAGGTTAATCTCCCGCCCCAGGCCTCCTGCCCCAGGATGTATTGGCCTTCTCTTGCTGCCAAGGAGCACTGCACTACTGCACAGAAGCTCCCTGTTGTTCTATGAAGCCGAAATTATACTAATACCAAAACCAAACAAGGACAACACAAAAAAAGAAAACTACAGGCCAATCTCTCTAATGAACACTGACGCAAAACTCCTCAATAAAATTTTAGCTAATAGAATCCAACAATGTATCCATAAGATAATTCACCACGACCAAGTAGCATTTATTCCAGGGACACAAGAATGGTTCAACATCAGAAAATCAAGGGTACAGTGGTGGGCCTCCACTCACCTTTTGAATCTTCTGAGGTGGGGCATGTGGTCTGTGAAAGCGAGAGCGAGAAGGGGAAACCATTAAAAGCAAGTTCTGACCACTTTCAGATCCATGGCCACCCTTACTGCCTCGCATAAAACACACACACACACACACACACACACACACACACACACAGAGGCATGTTAGCAGTTCTTTTAAAAATGTTGGCCTGGATTTGGTCACTCCCTTCACCACTCAGCACAGTCCCAAATTCATGGCAAGCCCCTCTACACTGCGATTTCTGGTAGTTACAATGAAGAAGTTAACTTTGACTGTAAAACTCAGAAATAAAAATAACATGGGGGTCAGAGTCTGGACATTAAGAGGGATCTTGTGGCTTTGTCTGTGTGTTTGGTACTCAGCTTGTCCCAAGAGGATGTGGGACACAGTAGAAATAATGCCCTTCATTTGTAGCAATAGAAAAATGTGACTACATAGTGAGCAAGAATCTTCTATCACAAAATGTAGAGATTTAAATGAACATCCAGTGGGCTGTAAACTAAACATCTTTCAAATAAATGAAATTGACCAAATGCATGAGAAGACATTCCATGTTCATACACTGCGGATTCATACTATGAACCATGCTTCCCTGAGAGTCACACAGATTCAGGGCACTCCCTATAAATGCAAGCTGTGGTTCTTTTTCGCTGTTGTTGTTACTTTGACGTTTCATTTTGTTTTCGTCTTTGTAACATCAGTCAATTCATCCTAAAATTCACTGGAAAATCAAGGAATCCAAGAGAGCCGGAATAATCTTAATAAAGATCAACCTTGCAGGAGTCACATCTTGCGATTGCAAATGTATATGACTACAATGTTCAAGACTATTAAGGCTCCCTGCTGAGCAAGGGGTTAGGATACAAACTCTGAAGCTGTTTGAAACCACTGCAGCAGGAGTTTGATCCCCGGCCAGGGAGCAACCCACATGGCACAGAAGACCTCTCTTGTCTCGCCCGCTGCTCCCCTCAGCAGTGTATTTCTTCAGGCTGTCTGTTCTGTTCCCCACTCTGTCTCTGGTGAATCCTCTCAACCCCTGCACCTCTGGCCTATAAGCCCATTCTTGTATGCATAAATAAATCGTTAAAAAAAAGACTATTAAAAGTATTAGCATAATGATAGACATATAGATCAATGAAATACAATTGTCTAAAAATAAACCCATACATTTATCCTCAATTAATTTTGACAGTTGTCATGACAATCCAATGTGCAAGGAAGAATCATCCTATCAAATGATTGTGCGGAAAGTACATTCCCACAACAAAAGAATGCATTTGAACGCCTGCCTCAAATCACATACAAAACTTAATCAAAATGTATAAAGTTCTAAATGTAAAAACTGAAATGATTAAAAGCTTTTGCAAGAAAACTTCAGGGACAAATGCGTGTTTCTTACCATGGACTAGTTAATGGATGACATCAAAGACCAACAATGAAAAAAAAAAAAAGATAGATGGGGAGGACAGCAGATTCTTGAACTTACAGTACTCTGGCAGGAATGTGAAAAGAACTCAGAGAATGACAGACAATTTTTGAAAATCATGTATCTGATAAGGGACACACCTAGAATTATCACTAGTATATAGTGAGTTCCTACAAACCAACAATAGACACAAATAACCCAACTTAAGATAGGCCATGGATCTGAATAGACATTATCCCCCAAAAGATATAAAATGGACAATAAATGTGTGGAAAGAGGCTCACATCATCAGTGATTAGAAAAATGCAAACCAAAACCACAATGGGATAGCACTTTATAGTCATAGGACAGGTAAGCTTCAAAATACCCACAATGACAAGTAGAAAAATGGGAAACACATATGTGGCTAGTGGAGATATAAAACGGTGCAGCTTCTTTGGGAAACAGACAGTTCCTTTAGAAGTTAAAGAGTGACCACATGACACAGCAGTTCTACTCCTAAGTATATATTCCACACTTGATCTTCACCAAAATGCTGCGAAACGATCTCCTAAGTATAGATTCCAAAATGGAAACATACTCCACAAAACCTTGTACATCACTGTTCACAGTGGCATTACTCAAATTAGCCCCAAAGTGGAAACCCAAATGTCCATCCAGTGATGAACTGGCACAGACAATGTGTGAAATTCACACAGCGAAGATGAACCGTGTAGGATTAACATATTGCAATTTCAAATCTATAGGACTATATTCATTCATAGAAGCCAACAAAATACCAATTAATGCACCAACATTGATGAGTCCTGAGAACACTGTATTAATGGACAGAAGCCAGACACATGTCACGTGTTAACTGCCTAAAACAGGCAAATTCAGAAAGAGAGAAGATAGGTGAGTCCTGGTGGGAGTATGAAAGTAGGGGGAGGGGAGTTAGGATATGAGGCCTGTGTGTGAGGAGATGAAAATGTTTTGAAATTTAAATGGTGGTAACTGTTGTACAGATTTGTGAATACACTATAACTTTACACTGGGACGCTTTGTAGACGTAGATTTTATGCTCCACAAAATACATCTTGACACAAAATTTAGGTCCTCGGACAAAGTATCCACATATGCAAAGAAACAAGAGACTGACTCATAATAAAAAGAAAAATCAATTAATCAATCAATCAAAATTTATCTGGATTGATACAGTTGTTATAAACAGAAAAAAGAACCTTTAGGTGTTATTTAACTGCATTTCACAATCCAAATTTACACAGACACCTAAAATTAATTTTATTTTTTTTTTTTTTTTTTTTTTTGTTTTTGTTTTTTTTTATAGAGGCATGTTTTATTTATTTATTTATTTATTTGTTTTGTTTTTGTTTGTACATGCACTGGGTACAGTCAGAAGCGCGGGAGGGTGAGAGAATTCACCAGAGCCAGAGCGGGGAGCAGAGCAGGCAGAAGGACCGAAGTACACTGCTGAGGGGAGCAGCGGGCGGCAGGAGAGGTCTGCGCGCCATGTGGGACCCTCCTCCGGTGGCCGGGGAGCAGCCGGGGATCGAACCTGTGCCGCAGAGGCCGCGGGCAGCTTCGCAACCCAGCGCGCAACCGCTGCGCCACGGGGGAGGCCCTAAAATTAATTTTAAAAACCCTAGAGGTACCCCTGGTGGCGCAAGGGGTTAAGACACAATCTATGAGGCTGTCCACAGACACTGTAGAAGGAGTTCGAGCCCCAGCTGGCCAGGGAGCTACCCACATGGCACAGCAGACCTCTCCTGACTCGCCCCCTGCTTCCCTCAGCAGTGAATTTCAGTTGATCTGCCTTTCCTGCTCCCCACTCTGTCTCTGGTGGATCCTCTCAACCACCACACCTCTGGCCCATACCCCAGTTCTTGTATGCATAAATAAACAAATCTTTAAAATAAACATAAAACCCTAGAAAAGGTAAGTCTGGCATATACTGTAAAGGTACAATGAGTGGGATTAATGATTGACTTTGCCTTTTGAGAAAACAAATTAAGAAGTAGAAAGTGGGCCTGCCTGGTTAAGCACAGCACTATGAAGGGGTTAAGCACAGCACTATGAAGCTATCCATAGCCACTGCAGCGTGAGTTTGATCCCCAGGCTGGACAGGGAGATACCCACATGGCACAGCAGACTTCTCCTGTCTCTCCTGCTGCTCCCCTCAGCAGTGTATTTCAGCAGATCCGCCGGTTCTGTTCCCCGCTCTGTCTCTGGTGAATATTCTCACCACCCCCCCACCTCTAGTCAGTACCCCAGTTCTTGTATGCATAAAGAAAAGTTTAAATAATTTTTTTTATAGAGGCATGTTTTATTTATTTATTTGTTTCTTTGTTTGTTTATACATGCACTGGGTACAGTCAGAAGCGCGGGAGGGTGAGAGAATAAACCAGAGCCAGAGCGGGGAGCAGAGCAGGCAGAAGGACCGAAGTACACTGCTGAGGGGAGCAGCGGGCGGCAGGAGAGGTCCGCGCGCCATGTGGGACCCTCCTCCTGTGGCCGGGGAGCAGCCGGGGATCGAACCGGCGCCGCAGAGGCTGCGGGCAGCTTCGCAACCCAGCGCTCAACCGCTGCGCCACCGGGGAGGCCCTTAAAAATTTTTTTTTTAATCAAAAAACAAAAACGAAGTAGAAGGCACAACAGAAACTCTAGACAATGAAACCGAAAGAGAATAACAACAAAACAATGCCCAGGGTATCCGTGAACTGCGCCACCGGCCTTGTGTAAAGGGGGACGAACAGGGGAAAGAGCACAAAGAACACGAGGAGAAAGAACATAGGAGAAATAGCTGGAAACATGTTAAAGCTTTCCCTGAAACGACCCAGGGCGCCCCCAGGAGAAAGAGTGACCAGGGGGTGGGTCCGCCCCGCCCAAAGCTGAGTCACCTAGAGAATGAAGGGGCAGAAGTTTTATTTACAGAAGTAGTTAGAGAAGGGGGAGGGGTGGAGGGGGAGGGGGAAGAGAGCCGAGGGGGGAGGGAAAGGGAAGGGAGAGCAAGGGGGAAGGGCAGGAGGGAGAGCAGATGGCAGAGGGGGAAGGGGGTGGGGGAGAGAGCAGAGGGGGCCTGGGAGTGGGGGGAGAGGCAGGGAGAGGGAAGGGGGAAGGGGAGGGGGAAGGGGAGGGGTAAGAGGAGAGTAAGGGAGAGAGTGAGGGGGAGAGAAGGGGAGGGGGAGAGGGAAGGCAGGAGAGGGAGGGGGAGGGGAGGGGAGGGAGCTGGCTCTGGCCAACACCTGGTCCAAAACTCTCCCTCCCGCCCACATGTAATGTACCTGGCATCCAAAGCGGCTTCTAGAGCACTGTGGCCACCCGGAAGTCCCCGCAGGGCCTGCTGGGAAAGGCGACTCAGGCCGGAAGGGGGGGGCTGAGGGAGTATGGAGTGGGGTGGGCGGGGTGTGGCGAGGGTGGGGGGGGCGGGGGGGGGAGGATGAGACTTGTGGTGCAAGTGCACCCAGATTGAGGCTGAACCACTTCCTGGTGTTGCCGGCCCCGCCCCGTGTCCGGAGACTCCCCTGAAAGACACCCGTGACCCTTCCGGTCCTGATCAGGCCCTCCCGGAGCAGGGCTGTGCTGGAGGGCGAGAGGGCATCCTGAGTTCAACTTCTCGTTTCTCAGAAGCATCTGAGGGAACAGGGAAATGTTCACTTTTTTTGTTAATGTGAGGGTTGAACACGTGATTTGCATCACGCTACTTTTTCATCTTCCACCAGCATCACCACAGTCACTGCAGAGGAAGCTGCAGGGGGAGGGGGGGTTCTCTGGCTCAGCACCAGCCTGGCCCCCAGGACCCCGATTCTGTCTCCCCCTCCTCTGCTCCCCGGGCAGACCCACCCCCACCCCACAAGGACACCCTCATTCCCTTCTCTTCACTCCCCCAGTCAGACTCGGTTTCTCCCTTTTCCAGACCTGCCTCCAGGGGCTGCAGGATGAGGGCTGGAAGAGCAGGCCCAAAAAGGCAGGGTCACTGCGGCAGGGCAGGGCATGGGGCCAGACAGCATGCAGATTGGTTGCAGGAGGGTGTTGGGAGGGTAAAGCACCCCTTAGGCACTCAAGGGAGCTTTGTTTTCCCATAGATGCTGGCAGTGCCCTTGCTTGTTCTCCTCCCTCTGCGTGTTGTGGGGACTGGAAAGCGCAGCCCCCCCTGTTTAAGCAGCCCCTGCCTCTGTGCTCTTGTTTCTCATCTGCGGGCGTCTCCTCAATAACTGACCATCCCGTGAGAGAATCACCCAAGAGCATGGCGGGTTGTTCTTAGACAAAAACCTGTCATGACAAGCATCTTTATCAGAGATCAACTTGCCCCACGGCCTTTCATCACTTTAGTTTCCAGGACTGTGTCGCTGCCAATGCCAGGGACAGGCTGTCACTGAAATTCCTGCATCATCCCAGGCAACGGTCCTTGTCAGCTCATGGGCTGTGCAGAGCTGGATTTCATCCTCTGCTATGGGTTCCCTGTAGGTGGAAGTGGGCTCTGAGGTCGAAGACAGCCCCAGGTGCTGCCCTGCCTCCATGCTGTTCACCTGTGGCTCAGGAATGTCCCCACCTCAGGGGCCCCAGGATAGAGGCCAGACCCTGGGTGTTACCTTGCATGTCTGCAGCTCCCACAACATGTTCATAGGGGGTGCTCCGTGAGGGGGGCTTGCAGTCAAATCATTCACCCCACTCCCTGGGAGCCTCACGTGGACCTGAGTAAGGAGAAAGAAGTGACCATCCACTTCTGGGAAAAGAAATCCTCCATGTCCCTGTGGAAGCTCCACTACATGGCAGCCCTCTGCCTGGGGCCTCTTCACGGTCTTTTGAATATGTGTGGCCCAGGCTGAGGGTCACTGTGTTATCAGGCAGCTTCCCAGGTGACCGGGATACACAGCAAGGGACAAGGACCTCTAATCTGGGCTAAGTCCAACCCAGGAAGGAATCCTTTCCTCTGTCTGTTCTAAACTGAAGTTCTATTTGTTTCTGGAGAAATGGATCTCAAAGAAGGGAGAAAATTCCCTGGGAATCCACAAAGATGAAATGATGGTGCCCAAGGAACCCTCATTAGCAGGTCACACATGTGAAAGTGCTTTGCATCTTTATATGAATTAAGACCCCCAAACCTTTTTTTATCCTCTATGCCTCAGGCTTTGTGTCTAAGCACTTCTCACAACAACCTGGAAGTAGAGACCCAATACTACATGGAGGAAACTGAGGCCTACATGGATGGTATCACTTGTCCAGTTTTAAAGAAAATCCAATCAGACATAAACCAGGCTCTGCATTGGAAGGTGAATAAATTTATTTTTATCTCCATCAAGTATCTTCCTCAGAGCCGGCATGTCCATCTCACTAAAACAAGTGCTCAGAATGGTAGCATCATGTAAAGACAACCAACCCCACACATTCTCACCATCCTCTGAGAGTTCAGTCCTGGAAGAACAGAGAAGTAGGAGAAGGCAGCTGAAAGACAAGGTTGCAGGAAGGAGCAGTCTGAAAACTGAAGTCCCTGCCTGTGGACAGGAGTGAGTCATAATAAAGAAAGGGAGGAATTAATCAAAATTTACCAGGACTGATGCACCTACTGGAATTAGAAAAGGACTTTTATGGGCCTCCCTGGTGGCACAGCGGTTGAGCGCTGGGTTGTGAAACTGCCCACAGCCTCTGCAGCACTGGTTGGATCCCCGGCCTCCAGGCGAGGGTCCCACATGGTCCCACATGGCGTGCAGACCTCTCCTGCTGTCCACTGCTCCCCTCAGCAGTGTACTTCATCAGTCTACCTGTTCTGCTCCCTGCTCTGGCTCTGGTGAATTCTCTCACCCTCCCACGTTTCTGACTGTACCCAGTGCTTTATAGATAAATAAATAAATCTTAAAAAAAAAAAAAAGAAAAGGACTTTTAGGCAGTTTTATACCTGCATTCCATGTTCACAAGTCACACACAAGAGGGTTTTCTTCCCAAATATTTTACTTAGTTATATTTGTTTAGAAGAACTGGGTGTAAGCCAGAGGTACTGCGGTGAGAGAATGCACCAGAGACAGAGTGGGGAGTAGAACAGCCGGGTTTGCTGAATATACCGCAGAGAGGAGCAGAAGGCAAGACAGGATCTGCTGTGCCATGTGGGTTAACTCCCTGAGGATCGTACTCAAAACATCAAGGTGGATCTTCATGGTGGTAAAATTGAGACTTTACACCTAAGCCACCAAGGAGGGGCTAAGAGGATTTTAAAAAACCCAAATTAAACTTCTATGAAAAAAAATAAACTAGGGCATATGACAGAAAGTTACATGATGGGATCAGTGACTGATGAGACACTGCAAAAGAAACAATTAGGAACTGGAAGGCACAGGACTAAAAATTATAGAAAATAAAATCCAGAGACAGAGGGAAATCACAAAGAGTGGACATGAATGAGCTGGGCATCTGCCTTGGGGAAGCAGAGGAAGCTTGGGCAAGGAGCAGAAAGGATTGAAAAAATAACAGCCAAATATGTTCAAATTGGGTGAAAACTAGAAACCTACTAATCCAGGCATCTCAATGAACCCAATGTCAGAGCATGGCTGCACTGAGGGGGTCGGCTCATTCTTCCTTCAGTCTCATGCTCCCCTTTTATTTCCGAGAAATCTGATCCAATAATGACGTGTTCACTGTTCTGAATCTGACTGTGACTCTGCAGGTTTGAGTGACATGACTGTTTGCATGTTCCCGTTAGACAGCTGTCAGAGGAGAGCCAGTGACTGCAGACCAAGGCCACAGGCTGGAGGGATAGAGGGTTCTCTGGCTCAGCATCAGCCTGGCCCCCAGTTTGGAGTCTTCTTGCCATTCCCCACTCCCAAAAGCACCTTGGGGGTCTCTCCACTCACCTCACCTCTTTTTTCTTCCAGGTAGTCACACCTGCAGTCCCCAAATGATCACCTGCAGTTTCCTTTAGAGTCAGCAATTTTCTGAGTTTTCACCTGTCAAAGGTGCAGAAAAGCCTCCCTGCAGACACTCAGGACATCCTCGGGGAGCTGCCTCCAGCAACTCTAGGTGAGGGTGGTGAATGGCCTACCAGGTGCAGGGATCTGGGTCTGTGCAAGGGAGCTGGCTTGTCACAGGTCCCAGAACACAAGGGCTGTGTGGGAGCACACAGTGTGGCTGAAGGCTGTAGGGGGCAACTTTGAAGGGACAAGCTTTGAGGGACAATGTGTGTTTACTTTCCCTTAAAGTAAAAGCAACAAAATGTGCAGGGAGAGCCATCCCATTTCTAGTTATCCATATGCTATATTTTTCATGATGGTTTTCAAAGACTTCTAATTGTTTTTAACCATCAATTGATGTTGTTCATAATCGAAGTGTAGAATGGCACATAATTTCCTGTGAGCACAGTACTTCCTACTGATGTGCACAGAGGAGGGAGCCTGCCCTGGGCTGGGAAGGCCACACTGGGCTGAGACAGGCCTGCAGGACACCTAGAGGCAAACATGGGCTTGGGGAGACTCAGAGAGTTTCTAGAGCTGGGAGGTGGGGCCTCTCACTTCAGTTGTGTCCACTGACTTGCCTCCAAGACACCCAAACGGATGGGGAAAAAGCCCCCACATCTGGTGTCAGCCATGAAGTGTGTGTGGTCGTGGGCGCGCAAAGGAGAAAGTGGGGACTTTTCCCAAACACAGGTGCCTCCTGCATGGACATGGAGACCTGGAGGAAAAGCTCAGAGGGGTGGTTACAGCTTGGACTGAGGGAATTTTCAGTAAAGAATAGAATTTTTTTTTAATGCACTGACAAGACAAAGGAAAATGACCTTCTTTGTAGGTGGGGAGCTACGGGAAGGCGCCTCTGTGGTGAGAACGGCAGACCAGGGTCAGGGTCAACAGGTGTGTTCTGTGTCTGCCCCTGGTGTGGTCTCTGGGCTGAGGAGGGTCAGAAGGTCTCTGGTGATAACTTCTGTCCTTCTGATAAGAAGAGATGATGACATCATACAAATGTATTTCCACAATTCGGCAGCAGGAAGAGCGCAGAGAACTTTTCTTCATCTGACTTTTCTCAATAGGCTGCACTCACCATTATTCTGTGTCAAAGATGCATATTGGAGGGGTCTGTTCTGCAATCCGTCACTTCAAGTCACAAGCTGACTCTAGGAGCCGGACTTGAGGCCCTCTGGTGCTGGGGATGCAGGAGATAGGCGTATCCGTGCTATTCTTCCCAGAATTCACTCCTGTTCTCTATGTGCATTTTCCTAATAACTAGAAAAAGTTGTTCTGGCAGTAATGTATTCATTTGCATAAACAAAAACACAATTGCATGCTCTTTGCGTGTCCTTTGTTCCTATCTTTACTAAAAGCTTGGGCTGGGAGAGTGAATGGCACAGTTGCTCCCCATGGCTCTCCCCAGCTGCAATTTCGTTTAGACTCTGAGGAGTCATCATTCATAGCTGAGAACCTCTCATCAGTGGTCAGCAGGAGCTGCCTACACCATGGTGCTGCCTTTGCCAAGTCAGGAAATGTAGGCGTGACAAAGAATGTACCTGTGAGCAAAGGTCTGTGTGATCATATCTCAGTCATTAAAAGACTATCAACAATTCTGCCATGGATAAATATTTTTTGAGGTTTCCTAATATTTCAAGATAACTGGCACCAGCAGAGCCTGGCACATATCTGCTTTTTAGGTACTGAGACACCAGGAAATTTCATATTTACACTTAAGTTCCTCCCCATCGGGAGCCTCTCACTAGACCTCCTTAAGTCTTCTCTCACACGTCACTCCGTTATCACCCAAGTAGACTTGCTAAGTCTGGTCATTGTCTGCACTTGGGAGTCACCCAGGACTACAGTTCAGATTAACCATCCACATGGCAGTGGTTAAAAGAATCTAGGCCACACCTGCTTATCCTTTCCTTTTTTCAGTTGACAGAGCCAACTACAGCTTCACCTCCTCCCCACACATGTCTTTTAATGGCATCAAACACACTGGAGCACTCAGCCCTCCAGGCCGCTGGCCACCCTGCTGCTCAGAGAAGGACCCTTGGAAATGAGGCCTCTGACCCCACTGAAGAGGGATGGAGAGGATGATGTGTGATCACAGCTTGTATCTTGCTCCCCCCCAGCACAGGCTGATCATCTACAGCATTTTGAGTCTTCACACCCATTCGTTCCATGCAGGTTTATTATTGATTATTCACTGACAGCTCAGCATACTCCAGGTATAGGGAAATCAAATAAAGAAAACAGATAAATTTTCTGCCCTCAAGTGTTTCTATTTTCTTCTGTACGAGGGTTAAACCAAAAATTTTACTCTTTTCCTGACGCATCTGCAGAGGCAGGAATAAAGAAGAGTGTTTACCCTGAAAAAGGGCTGGAGAGTATCAGGGAAGGAGGCCCATGTGAAGGTGAACATGTGGAGGCCAGCTGTCATGTTGTGAAAGGACACACGTCCAGACTCACAGTCCAGAAAGCTCCCACAATCTGGGATGGCTCCCAAGGAAGAAGACAAGTTGAAGGACCAATCAGGTGAATGTGGTCATTTTTTCTACACTTGATGAACCAGAAACCAGACTGAGGCTCCAGCATCCCCTCCACGTCCCTGGGTACATCCTCCAGACAAACTCCCAAATCACACTCAGCTCCTTCTCCCATGTCCCCTGCAAAGTAACATCTCCCTGAGGTGAAGCCCTCACAGCCCAGGACACAGGGTCACATGCTAAACCTCCTAGAAGTGTGATGCTTCTTCTCAAGGATGTGTCCATAAGTCACCTTTCTCTGGTCCTCATAGAGAATTAGGTTACCCTGAGTTGTGTCTGGATCCAGAGGCACGCTGACTGAAAAAGTGAGCAAACATAAACCAAAAAAGACATGCAGACATGCTTATCACCTACTGACATTTTACCTCAAACAAAAACAGCTTGTGTTCAAATGTAAGCTTGGTTTCCCAGTAGCTGTGTGAGTCATTCTCTGCACCTCTGTTAAATATAAAGTAGACACTGCCCCCGGGTCACCAAGATGAAGGGGGAAGACAGGGGTTGAGCTAATGTGAGCTTGCTTGTGCTGTGGGAACTCATGGCATGTAGGAAATGAGCAATAGGAGGGAGCATTATCAGTATCATCATCACCATCTCAGACACTGAGGACCTGAACGACCCAGACTTGATGGAGACACTGTCCTCCCCAAAGCCCTTCCTCTCCCGTGAAGGACAAAGAAGCATCAAGGAGACTGGGAGAGAACAGGCCCTTCCCGTCTTCCCCAACAACCACCCACCCCGAGGATCAGAGAGGAAAATAACGTGGCTCATGTCACAGCTTGTGACTGAGGTCCCAGGATTTCCCCAGGTCTCAGGACACACGCCAGCCCCACGGCTTGTTAGGGTGAGCTCTGTCCTGCTTCAGGTGATGTTCCTTGGGGATCAGCATCAGGAAATAACCTCCACACCAGTGTAGCAAAAACAAATACCTGGAAGTCAAGTAAAGTGGCAGCAGGTGTGCTAGCTGACATGTGTTAGTGTCCTCTGGGGTGATGGGAAAATGAACAATGATCAGGGCGTGTTAGCCGCTGTGTTTACAACTCACTCACTGTGTTACTGGATGAAGCACTGACGGCTGGGCTAGAAGGAAGCAGTGAGGGAAACCAAGGGGCAGAAACACTTCCTGTCCTGGGGCATGCTTTTTTTTCCCCAGCCAGGTCACTCCCCACCTCTCTGGACTCTGCTGCCCCCAGAAAGGGGGACCCCTGTGCACACACCCACCAGACTCCATCCCCTCTTACTCCTGTTTGTTTCAGTCAGTAGGAAGCACTAGAGACCAGGGGCTAGAAGAGTTTGCATCTTTGTTTGGGAGCACATGACAGCTAGGTGAGAATCAGTAATTAAAGGTTGAATTATCAATGCAGACATAGAAAAATAATATCTATAAGTATATATGTATCCAGAGGAACTTTTTCTGTTAGGAAATCATAATGACTCTATGTCAGAACTTGAAGACATGGAGAACCTATCAATAATAAAATGAAACAAAAAATAATACAATGAAAAATTTCCAGGCAGAATTTTCAGGAAAATCAGCCTTTATAAGCACATTTTAGAAAAAGAAGTTTACAGCCACTGCACTCTGAAGCAAATTGAAATTAGAAAATGGAAAGATAAGCCCAAAGAGAATTGTCTAATAAGGAAAAATACAAATACAAATTAAACAATAATGAAGGTCAAAAAGTAAAGAAAGCTGCAGAGAAGTGAAAGAAAAAGTGGTCTCTCCTTGTCCCTGCGACAAGAGGGATCCCAGGAATAAGGAAGTTTGAAAATTAACAGAATTGAGGATAATCTTTATGCTACTAGGAAATTGAGCACAACTGGCAAAATGAATCACTTTATGTAGAAACATTTCTTAGTAAAACTTACTCAAAAGTCAACATCGATGTGAGTAAACCAGTAGCAAAATGATCATTGATTTAACATCTATAAACAGATAAGAAATGGGAATATACATGACTCCACCCCCACTCCAGACCAAAGCCAAAAGACACTGGGAACTCCAAATCCCATCACCACCCAAGGGAAGGTGGCTGGGACCTGAGGGTGGGGTTAAGCAGCCAGGTTTGGTATAAAGCCAGACTCGTGGGCTTTGGAGGGGATCCCCATTTTGGCTCCCCACCAGCTCACAGTGTCTGGCCAGCTCTGAGAGTGCCTTTGGGTTTCCAGGTCGGCATATCGGGTAGGACGCATTAAAGACTTTATTTCCCTATTTTCTCCCTGAGTTGTACATTTCCTTAATTCCCTTTCCCTTGTAAATAACCTTTTATTAACCTTGTGTGTGCCTGTAGTGGAGTATTAATAAGTCCCTTTTAAGCGCGTGGGTGAGGACCCACAGCCAGGCAACCCGTTTTATATCGGGGTTGCCTTAACCCATTTATATCGGGGTTGCCCTATAACAAGATGAGTGCAACTCAGGGGGGACCACAATAGAGGGTGACTCCAGGGTGTTGGCATGATCCCTGCCTCCTCATTTTCCTAGCCTTGTATAACTCCTTCCACGTGAGTGTGTACATAACCTGAGAATTGCCTCTGAGCAATGGCAAACATGATGGGATGCGCCACTATGGTCATATTTCCTTACATCAGACCCCATATTACAGTTGACTTAATTTGAAGACTATCTCCTCAGCTCAGCTCACTTTAAAGAAATAACAGGCCATGTGGAAGGCCCATGTGCCATGTGATAAGTCGTGGCTTCCAGAAGCTGAGGCAGCTCTTAGGTGACAAGAGTTAGGGCCAAGTCCTTTATCCACAAAGAAACAAATTGTGTCAACAACTGGAAGTAGATGGGGAGAGGATTATTCCCCAAATTAGTCACCAGATGACACGCAGCCCAGCCAGCACCATAACTGCTCTTTGTGACCCCACCTGAGCTGTGCCCAGATTTCCCATAAAGATTCTCTGAGAAAATGTGTAATTAGTTGAAGCCACTAAAGCTTTTTCAGAAATGTATAAGTGAAAAAGCCAGCAAATAATACCCTTCATTTGTAGCAACAGAAAAAAGTGACAAAATACTGAGGAGAAATTTTCTTTCACAACAAGTAGAGATTTAAATGAACATCCAGTGGACTGTAATCTGAACATCTTTCAAATAAATGAAATTGACCAAATACATGAGAAGACATTCAGTGCTCACAATTTGTACGTTAATATAGTGAGGTTGACGATACTTCCCTAAGAGTCATACAGATTCCGGGCATTCCCTATAAATACAAGCTGTGGTTCTTTTTGGCTGTTGCTGTTTTGCTTTTGTTTGCTGTGGTGTTTTGCTTTTGTTTTCATCTTTGTAACATCAGCCAATTTATTCTAAAATTCATCTGAAATTCAAGGAATCCAGAACAGCCAAAACAACTTGACAAAGATCAACACTGCAGGATTCACTATTTGCAACTTCAAATCTACATGACTACAATGGTCAAGACTACGAAAAAGTACTCGCATAAAGAAATATGTATACATCACTGAAATGTAACAGTCCAGGAAAAACCCCATACATTTATACTCAATATTTTTTTGACCGGCGTCAAGACAATCCAAAGTGCAAAGAAGAATGGTCTATCAAATGACTCTGGGGAGAGTACATACCCACAAGCAAAAGAATGAATTTGATGCCTGCCTCAAATCACATACAAAACTTAAATCAAAATGTACAAAGTTCAAAATGAAAAAAACTGAAATAATTAAAACCTGTTCTAAGAAAACTTCAGGGACAAACGAGTGTGTGTTACCTTGGACTAGTTATTTGGATGACATCAAAGACCAACAATGAAAAAAAGATGGGGAGACAGCGGATTCTTGTACTTATAGTACTCCATCAGGAATGTGAAAACAACTCAGAGAATGACAGACAATTCTGAAAATCATGTATCTGATAAGGGAGTTATCTAGAATTATAATTAAAATATAGTGAGTTCCTACAAATCAGCAAAGACAGAGAACCCAACTTAAAAGAGGCCATGGATCTGAATAGACATTATGCCAAAAATGATACAAAATGGACAATAAATACATGGAAAGGTGCTGACATCACCAGTCATTAGAAAAATGCAAAACAAAACCACAACGGGAGAGCACTTAACAGTCACTAGGACAGGTAAGCTTCAAAATGCCCACAATGACAAGCAGAGAAACGGGAAACACATGCATGGCCAGTGGAGATGTAAAACGGCGGAGCTTCTTTGGGAAACAGTTTCTTCAGCAGTTCTACTCCTAAGTATATATCCCACACTTGATCTTAGCCAAAAGGCTGAGATTCGATCTCCTAAGCATATATTTCATAATGGAAATTTTGGAAATTTCCCACAAAAACTTGCACATAAGTGTTCACTGTAGCATTATTCAAATTAGCCCCTAAGTGGAAACCCAAATGTCCATCCAGTGATGAACTGGCGCATACAATGTGTGAAATTCACACAGCGAAAATCAAGCTTGTAGGATTCACCTCTTGCAATTTCAAATCTAGATGACTTTATTTATCCATAAATATGTACAAAATACCAATTCGTGCTCCAACATTGATATATTTTGGAACACTGTAGTAATGGACAGAAGCCAGACACAGATGTCACATATTGTATGGTCATTTTTGTTAACTGTCCCAAAGGCAGATTCAGAAAGAGAGAAGGCAGGTGAGTCCCTGTAGAAGTATGAAAGTAGGGGGAGGGAACTTATTTGCTTTAGGATATGGGGCCTGTGTGTGAGGAGATGAAAATGTTTTGGAATTTCAATAATGTTAAGTGTTGTACAGATTTGTGACTACACTGTAACTTTACACTGGGACACTTTGTAGAAGTAGATTTTATGTTCCACAAAAATAGATCTCGATAAAAAATTCAATTCCTGGAAAAAATATGCACATATGCAAAGAAACAAGAGACTGTGACCCATAATAAAGAGAAGAATCAATCAAAATTTATCAGGACTGATACAGTTGTTATAAGCAGAAAATAGTCACTTTAGGTGGTTATTTTAACTGCATTTCATACGTTCCAAAGTTAGACACACACACACACACACACACACACACACACACCTAAGAGGATTTTATTTTTTTTCCCCAAAGTTTTATTTATTCTTGCATAGAAGAACCAGGATACAGGCCAGAGGTGCCAGGGGTGAGAGCGTTCACCAGAGACAGAGTCGGGAGAAGACCAGGCAGATTTACTGAACTACACTGTGGAGGGGAGTAGCAGGCAAGAGAGGAGAGGTCTTTGTGCCATGTGGGTTAACTCCCTGAGGATAGACCTCAAAACATCAAGGTGGATCTTCATGGTGGTCACATTAAGACTTAATCCCTAGGCCACCAGGCAGTGCTAAGAGGATTTTAAAGACCCAAAATCAACTTCTACAAAAGGAATCCATGGCATATGACAGAAAGGTACATGATGAGATCAGTGACTGATTAGACACTGCAGAAGAAACAATTAGGAACTGGAAGACACAGGACTAAAAACTATAGAAAATGAAACCCAGACACAGAAGGAAAACACAACAATGAGCAGGCATCAGTGAGCTGTGCCCCTGGCCTTGGGGAAGCAGAGGAAGCTTGGGCAAGGAGCAGTAAGGACTTTTGAAGAAATAACAGCTGGACATGTTTTAAATTGAGTGAAAACTGGAAACCTGGACCACCACATGCAAAAAAAAAATGAAACCAGATCACTACCTTTCACCGTGCACAAAAATCAACTCAAAATGGATAAAATAACTGGACATAAGACCTGAAACCATAAAATATATAGAGGAAAATATAGGTAAACACTACAAGACATACATGCAATAATGTCTTTAAAGACTCATCACCCAAAGGAAAGAAAGTCAAGAAAAATATAAACACCTGGGATTACATCAAACTGAAAAGCTTCTGCACAGCAAAAGAGACATTAACCAAAACATCCTACTCTTTTATTTCTGAAAACAGTCTGATCCAATAATATGTTAACTGTTCCTAATCTGATGTGTATCTGCAGGTTTGAGTGACATGACTGTTTACACGTTCCCATTAGGAATCTGTCACAGATCTGGTGACTGTAGACCACGGCCACAGGCAGGAGGGGCAGGGGGTTCCTGGCTCAGCATCAGCCTGGCACCCAATATGGAGACTTCCTACCATCCCCCACTCCCCACAGCACCATGGGGGTCACTGCACTCACCCCACCTCTTTTCTCTCCCATGTAGTCACACCTGCAGTCCCCAAATGATCACCTGCAGTGTCCTTTAGAGTCAGCCATTTTCTCAGAGCTTTCACTTTTCAAAGGAGCAGAAAAGCCTCCCTGGAGACACACAGGACATCCTCAAGGAGCTGCCTCCAGCCCCTTTAGGTGAGGGCAGTGAGTGGCCTACTAGGTGCAGGGATGCTGGTCTGTGCAAGGGAGCTGGCCTGTCACAGGCCACAGAACACAAGGCCTGTTGGGGAGCACCCAGGGTGGCTGGAGGCTGTAGGGGGAAGCTTTGACAAGTAATGTGTGTGTACATTCCCTTCTTAGAGAAAAAGCAACAAAGTTTGAAGGAGAGCCATCCCATTTCTAACTCTCCATATACTATATTTTTCATTATAGTTTTCTAAGACTTCTAATTATTTTTAATTTCCTTGGCTGAATGATGACTTAACTATCAATTCTTGTGGTTGCTGATAATCTTAAGTGCAGAAGGGCACAGAATTTCCTGTGAGCACAGTACTTCCTACTGACGCGCCCACAGGAGGGAGCCCCCCGGCTGGGAAGGCCACACTGGGCTGAGACAGGCCTGCAGGACACCTAGAGGCAAAGATGGGCTTGGGGAGACTCAGAGTTTCTAGAGCTGGGAGGTGGGGCCTCTCACTTCAGTTGTGTCCACTGAGTTGACCTCCAAGACACCCAAGGTGATGGGGAGAAAGCCCCCACATGGGGTGTCAGCCATGAGTGTGTGGTAGTGGGAGCGCAAAGGAGAAAGTGGGGACTTTTCCCAACACAGGTGCCTCCTTCATCCACATGGAGCCCTTGGAGCTCAAGGGGCAGTTACAGCTTCTGCTGTGAAATTTTTTTTTTAAAGATTTATTTATTTATTTATACAAGCACTGGGTACAGTCAGAAGCATGGGAGGGTAAGAGAACTCACCAGAACCAGAGTAGGAAGCAGAACAGGCAGATGGATGAAATACACTGCTGAGGGGAGCAGCAGGTGGCAGGAGAGGTGTGCGCGCCATGTGGGACCCTCGCCCGGCGGCCAGGATCGAACCTGCGCTGCGGAGGCTGCGGGCAGCTTCACAACCTAGAGTTCAACCGTTGCACCACCGGGGAGGCCCCTCTGCTATGAATTTTAACTAATGAACAGATTCTTTTCTTTACTTTTTTTTTAAGATTTATTTATTTATGCATTCAAGAACTGGGGTACAGGACAGAGGTGCGGGGAGAGATAGGAGTCACCAGAGACAGCGGGAACAGAACAGGCAGACTGACTGAAATACACTGCTGAGGGGAACAGCAGCCGAGACAGGAGAGGTGTGCTGTGCCATGTATGTAGCTCCCTGGCTGCCCAAGGATGCAGAGGCTGTGGATAGCTTCACAGTGTTGTGCTTAACTGCTTGCGCCACCAGGGAGGCCCATCTATTATATTTCTATGAGGGTTAAACCAAGGGAAGAATTTACTCGTTTCCTGATGCATCTGGCAGAGGCAGGAATACAGAAGAATGATTAACCCTGAGAAAGGGCTGGAAAGTGTGATGGAAGGAGGCCTTTGTGAAAGTTTCGATGTGGGAGCCAGCTGTCATGTTGTGAAAGGACACACATCCAGACTCACAGTCCAGAAAAACCCCAAATCTGGGATGGCTCCTGAGGAAGAAGAGAAGGTACAGGACAGTCAGGTGAATGTGGCCATTGTTTGTGCTCTTGATGGCCCAGAAAGCAGACTGAGGCTCCAGCATCCCCTCTACATCCCTGGGCACATTGTCCAGACAAACTCCCCAATCACACTCAGCTCCGTCTCCCACATCCACTGCAAAGTTATGTCTCCCTGAAGTGAAGCCCTCACAGCCCAGGACACAGGGTCACACGCTAAACCTCCTAGAAGTGTGAAGCTTCTTCTCAAGGTGTGTCCACAAGTCACTCTTCTCCAGTCCTCAGACAGAATTAGGTCATCCTGAGCTGTGTCTTCATCCAGAGGCACGCTCACTGCAAAAGTGAACAAACATAAACCAACAATGACATCTTTATCAGCTAACAATAGTTCACCTTAAATAAAACCAGCATATATTTAATGTAAGTTATTGGCTTTTTGAGCCTCATCTGCTGACGCTTAGGCGGAACTATAGGGATTGCTACAGCCTCACCAGGAAATGCTGCACCCAGAACAACACAGTAACCAGGGAAAGAAGTCTTTTTCCCCCTCCTATATATGGAAAGTTGTCTGTGTCCATTAGGAATCTCTTCCAGGAAGCTCCCGGATTCACTCCCAACTTTGTGGGGTCCAAACCCACCACCCACATCAAGGTCTCTGGGCAGTCTTCTTTTGCTGACTGCTTTGTCCTAGCAGACTACAGGAGAAATAAAATCTGGTGGTCTCTGTGACTGTTTTGGGAATCTGTCACATGACCTTGCACATCGTGGTTTCTTGAATTTTACACACATGTGAAGACAAAACAGGCTGGCACGTGATGGGACAACCGTTTTCTACAGCAGGGGGAATCTTAGCAAGAGTGAATAGGGACGAGACTCTCCCCATCCTGTGAAAGTCTATATGGACCATGGGATTGATTTTAGGGAAACAACATGAAATAATTTTTAGAAGAACGAGAGGATAAAACTTTCATTTCCAGGTCACAATCTCAGGTATCAACCTAAATAACCATAGATGTGAGCGCTGACCTGGGAGCAGGTGCTGCTACAGGAGTCTGGGGCGCTCACTCACCTCATAGCCTGGGCACACATCTTTGGCAAGGACATGGTTGTGTCCGCTGTGCTAGGGGGACTGTGCACAGCTTCTGCAGATGGGCTGCCCAGTGTCCTCACACAACAGGGGGAGCTGCTCACACAGCTTCTCACTCTCTACCTCCTTGGGGGCTCCCCTCTCGGCTTCTAATGTGGCTTCCATTTCAGGCTGGAGCTTCCATATGATTTGCTCCCTCACATGAAGAATAGTTGAAGGACGGCCTCCTCCACCATCATCATCTCCTCCTTGGTGCTCCCCGTTGTCCCTGGTTCCTACCCTGTTTTCCATGATTCTTCGTCTGACGTCCCTGGCTCCTCCTCTGATGTCCATGGCTCCTCGTCTGATATCACTGGCTCCTCGTCTGACATCCTTGGCTCCTCCTCTGACATCCATGAATCCTCATCTGAAGTCCATGATTCCTCCTCCTCCAATGTCCCTGAATCCTCCTTTGGCGTCACTGGCTCCTCTGATGTCCATGAATACTCGTCTGAAGTCCATGATTCCTCCTCTGATGTCTCTGGATCCTCCTCAGACGTCCCTGTTTTTTCCCCTGAAATGGTCCAAATCATGGTTAGAGGCAGAGAAGAAATAGACATAATACTCCACAGTGAGGGACATGCAGGTGACCTGGGCCTTTGTGCCTCCACAAATACCGTTTAATTGATTACAGTTTATTGGTAACAATTATGTAGTAAAAAATGTGTTAATAATGAGAGATTTTAAAAGAGTAAGAATTCTTTAGGGGCAAGACAAGCTTATTTCAGAAATACATTGAACCGTAACGCAAAGTCTTGTGTAAAAGATAGCAGTAGATAAATCAGCTCAGTGAAATGTGAACATGAGTTCTATCAATTCCTGCTTCTCCCTTCCATGTGCCTTTGTTGGATTAAACTCAGAGATACTCTATTTTAAAATGGTGGCGGTATTCACATATTGGGACAGGGGAGAGGAATCACTTACAGGTTCATAATCCCTTATCTGAAACCCTTAGTGCCAAATATAAAAATTCACAATATTTTGAGGTTGTAATGGCCTAATGTATAGAACCTCTAAATTATGTGCCCACCCCAGCAGGGTCTGCCAAAGCCATGAATCTGTACATTGATAGTCCGGCACCAAGTAGGAATAATAAAGATGTTAAGTATTGTCAGATGAGTGCAATTCGGGGGGGGGGGGGACCACAATGGAGGGCGACTCCAGGGTGTTGGCATGACTCCTACCTCCTCATTTTTCCAGCTGTGTAAAACTCCTTCCATGTGAGTGTGGGCATAACCTGAGAATTGCCTCTGAGCAATGGCAAACATGATGGGATGAGCCACTATTGTCATGTTTCCGTACATAGGACCCCATATTACAGATGATTTAATTCAAAGACTATCTCCTCAGAACAGCTCACTTTCAAGAAATAGCTGGCCATGTGGAAGGCCCATGTGCCATGTGGTGAGTGGTGGCTTCCAGAAGCTGAGGCAGCTCTCAAGTGACAGAATCAGGGCCCGAGTCCTACACTCACAAAAATAGGAATTCTACCATCAACTGAAGAAGATGGGGAGAGGATTATTCCCCACATTAGTCACCAGATGACACGTGATCCAGCAAACACCATAATTGCTCTTTGTGACCCCAGCTGAGCTGTGCCCAGATTTCCCACACACGATTCCTTGAGAAAATGTGTGTCTAGCTTTAAGCCACTGAAGTGTTTTACAGCAACATAGAACTGATTAAGCCAGTAAATAAATTCTGGTTAGGGTAAATTTAGCAGAGATATGATTCAGGGGAAACATTGAGATTTTTGAGCCTTACAACTCTGTAATTGTGGATTAAGGATTTGACAATGTCATGTGGGTCAAGGTCCTAAAACTATTTACATCATCTACTTTTCTTGTATTGTTCTCAGACTTCCTAAAATATTAAGTATAAACTTTATGGCCAAGTTACTGTACTAAGCTCCTTACAAAGGTTGATGTACTTAATTTTTATGACAACTGGTAAAATGGCAACTGGAATCAAGGAATGGATTCACCTGAGGGGACACAGTTAATCAATGTGCGAGCAGGCATCTCAGGGATCCCCAGAGGTCCCCAGTATTCTGTGTCCCTGAGGAAGCTCTGAAGCATCCTGAAATCTCCACTGTGAGCATGGTTAACACTGACGAGTTCTTGACTTTCCATACCTTTGATGGTCTTTAACTTTTTGCTCTCATCACAGTGGAGCTCAGAATCATTGCAGTCAGTGTGAGGCTCCGAAGACGCGGACTCTGGGACTGAACTCCTAGACTCAGAAGAGTATGGATTTCTTCAGTGGGACATCCCGTGAGCTCTATGTACTCAGACCCCTTCCCTCCAAATAAGGATAGCGCTTACCTGGTCAAGGTGTCTGGCTCATCCTACAGAGACACAAGGATAAAAGGTGAGTTAGGGAATCCCCATGTTTTATGGGCATGGGCGTGAGGTATGCTCTCTGTAAACCCTCTGTCCAACAAGGAAAGCAGCGAGTCCCACCAGGATAGTGATGGACGCCCAGGTCTGATGAGTCCCATCCCCACCCCAAGGCCCAGAGCATGACAGCAAGTTGATCCTGCCAGAGCCCGGTAACCTGCCCCCTGTGACTGTAATCACAGCCCTGTGTGGGTGGCCTGAGGAGGAGGCCGAGAGACCCTGTGCTCCCCCTACAAGACATTCTTTCAGGGACCTGCCTGCCTTCAGATGAGTCTACATTAAATCACTTATCACACAGGCCTTTCTTTAGTGAAAATCCACATACACCTCATGAGAATGGGCCACTGTGTTGGTGGTAGGTGGCCCGTGCAGGTGGCGCAAGTAGGTGACATTGAAACCTTTCAGTGGGACTGAGTGGCAACTAAAATGAACAGCTCCCACAACTAATGTTTCTGGGGTCGATCCCTCATGCCTCGGAAAAAGATCCAGAAAGGCCTCTTGGAGCAAGTGAGCTATTAAAAAACAAGGGAGGACGTTCTCATTCACGTGGCTGCCCAACAACTGTGGTTACACCAGTCATCTCCAGGAGTTCTCAGGAGAGAGTTTGATAATCAGGGTTCTGTACATAGTGTATTGACAAGAATCCTTACTGTAAAAAAAGAAAACTATTCTCTTTAAAACATGTGTTTCCATCTAAGTCACGTATTTCAAAGAGTTAATAGTATCATGCCTATTGCAATGTCCTACTAAAAACAGAGGATGTCATAACCCTAAATGAAAGTAAAGTGAGATGTGCATTTAAAAGAAAAAAAACGGTATTGAACATGGATATTTTAAAGGTCTGATAGAGAGACCTTAGAAGAAGGGAAGAAGGTAAAAGTAAATGTTAAACATCTTAAAGAGAGTGAGAGTACTTAACAAAGCAAAAGCAAGTGTTGAAGATCTGAGAGAGAGGGAGGAAAAGAAATTTTAAGAAAGTGCTAAAAAGGCCAAAGCAAGAAGTGAAAAGACAAAAAAGCAAGTAGGTCTGAGAAAGGAAGGAAATTTTTAAGAAAGCAAAAGAAAGTGCTAAAAAGTAGTGTTGTAAGGAAGAAGAAAAAGCAAAAAAAGGCAAAAGCAAGTGTTAAAGAAAAGTAAGAAAGCAAAGAAAGTGTTTTGGTGTGAGAGAGGGATCTTAGGGGAAACAAATGACTACATACTGCAGTGACTCACTACAACTATAAAAGGACAAGCGATTCTAGCAGTTTCTTTCATTAGCTCCAAAGACTGGACATGGCCTTCAAGACCTACATTGACAGGGAGGAGACCAGTCAGGCTGAGGAAAAACAGAGAAAAATGGGGCAGAAGGACAAGAGAAGGGCCCAGTATATGGCAGTTGGCACAGCAGCCCCTTGCCACCTCAGACTCACCCGAGGCCCCATCGTCCAAGACATTCGGGACCTCACCCTGGTTGTGGGCTTCAGCCTGCTTCTACTGCCAGCAGCTGGGACACCTCATCCACGAGTGTCTGAAGAAACCACCCCCATGCCGGCCCTCAGTGCCATTGCACAGGGCACTGCAAGAGGGACTGCTCTACTCTCTGAGAGAGACGGGGGGGCAGCCCAAACCAAGGCCAAGATGGGAGGACAGGCGTGACTGTCACCTGCCTCTGACTATGAGGAACCAGCTACAGGAGAAGACAGCGTTTTCTAAAGAAGCCCAGAGGTGAGACAAGCCTCAGGTGACCCTAAAAGTGGCAGACAAAAATAAATCACCATCTCTGCCTTGCTCCATTTTCCATACACTGGCCTACTGATGACTAGCCTGAGCCAGGACACTTTCACACTTCTAGGGAGATGAAAGTAAACCTAAACTTATTAAAAAATATCTTTAGTATAGATGGTTTTACAGGTGGGACAAGGGTCTAGTAGGCTAAAATGAATCTTGGCCTCTACAGGAAACCAACTTCTGTCCTGGTTGCTATTCTTGCTGGTTCCCTCACTAATTTTTTTATGATTTTCTTGTTTGGGTCTTGCATCCTCAACACCCTCCTCAGACTCATATCCTGTCACCTCAAAGCCAGCAGACGTCAGATGGTCCTTAGACGGAGCCTAATAGGACGCCTCCTCCGTCCTTCCTTCCAGGGCCCTTAGATCGCTGCCCTGCAGTGGAGCCCTGACTGCTCACCCAAGTCACCCATTTTCAGCAGGAAGCAGTGACTGGTCAGATTGACACTGTGAGGGGCTCCATCCGTAGAAGGGGTACTGAGTCCCAGGGCAAGTCAGGGTTAAGTAGGCCGCTTCAGGGACAGTGCAGGCAGGGACTTCAGGAGAGTTAAAGAGGCTTCTGAGACAAGGACAGTGAATTCTAGGTGCTAACCCACACACACACCACAGGGGAGGTCAGAAAGGCCAGGAGGATGAAACAAAAGTAGTACACTGGGCAGTTCCTGGTGACTGACTGTAGTTTCACTCACACACACTGGAACCCTAAAAAAAAAAAAATGTTTTCAAAGGGTTTACCGGTGATCTGAGCACAACAGATGTGATGGAATAAAATATAAAAAGGGGGAAATGAAGTAGAAAATGTCAGTCTCACTGTGGATGAGCTGAAGTCGGGACAGAATTTCAGGGAACAACGGATAAGCGCCCTCAAGGCCACATGTGCCCTGAGTCACGCATCCCAGCTGCTGTGTCCCTTGCTTTGCTCAATAAATAATCAGTAAAATAGTTGCATGGGGCTCAGATTTCGGAGAGAGATCCCCAACAGGCTGCTGGTGTAAAGCCCATCAGCTTAAATAAAGAGCTTCCCTCATCTCTCTGAGTGCTCCTGCTCCCTCATGACAATCTTCCATAACAGTTGAATTTTAAAAAAACTGGATACTGCTATGTGCTACAGCATGGCTGATCGGGGAGACACTAAGATCAAAGAGAAAAAGACAGTATTTTCTTGAGTGTTGTAACCTAGTCAGATGTAAAAAGAGAAGGTGGGATGGGGTGACCAGTTGACAGGAGGGACCCGGGGACACTGTTTACTGGGGAGAGTACCAGGTTGGGAGGAGGAACCCATTGTGCAGATGGAGAGTGGAGATGGGGGCTCCACAGTGTGACGCTGATGCCAGTAAAGACAATGTGTGAGATGGGGAGCAGGGGGATTTGTTTATATGAACACTCGCCCCTATGCCCCCATTACACACACAAAAGTCTGTTCAGCTATGAAGACACTCTTCACATGAGCCCTTTGAGGTGGAGGTGGAATGTCCGACGTTTACTGCTGCTGGATAAATGGGAGGCAGGCACTTATATGTGGGAGAGGCCGTCGTAATTCTCTATGGCCACCAGAGTAATTTCCTTTTTCTTCAGTCCAGGTACAAGAGAACAAAGGACAGATCCTGGACAATTTCATTAGCAGCCACCAACAAGGTGAAACACTAGGTAAACCCAGGTTTTCCTGAGATGCAGTCTCAAAAGTTTACCATTCTCCCATCTACTCGTTCTCTTTATTGGCATCATCTTCCATTGTGGTGCCCCCATCTCCACTCTCCATCTGCACAAATAGTTCATCCTTCCAAAATGAAAGCCACCCACTAAACACCATCACCTTTGTTCCTCTCCCACCTGCTCCCCATCAGGTGCAGGGATGTGTAAATGTCTATTCCCTTGGGTGTGTGTGAAGGGAAGGCTTTGGATGAACATCACCAAGCAAGGCTGGTAGGTGACTCCCCTGTACTCAGAGGGGAGGTCTGTGGGGCAGAAGCTGATCATAGTTACCAGCAATAAGCATCCACCTAGCGTGAGTCCATTCATTTGATGAGTTTAGACCAGCAGAAATTAAACCACCCATCTGGTGGGACTCGCTTCAAACTGCAGATACAGAACTGCAGTTTCCATGGGTACACTATTAGCTCATGCAGTGTGGCCGTGACTGAGATACTGTGGTCAAGGTCATTGATCAGGGTAATTGGCACTTTTGTGGAGGAGCAGAGAACAGCTCCAACTCTGGCACTGACGTGGTCTCCCTTCATGTCTACAACAATGGAGGTTCTCCCCACTACCCAAGACCCTAAAATGAGGGATGTGTGACTGTCCTTTGAGTGTGAACTTTAACACCCACACACAAGGGATTAGTGCAGAGGCTGGAAGACACCCCTGAGAGAGGAGGATGAGCACTAACTGCCAACTGAGGGATAACTTCAATCTTTCCTTCAAGGCTGGGTTCTCTTCCCAAGAGAGGGGCAGCTACGCAAAGTCTTAGACACTCCCAGTGCGCATGAGCTGCAGCAGCTCTGTCCTCATCGCCAGCCTCATGAGCGGCAGGGACATGAGCTCACCTGGAGGACCCTGTTCTCACTGCTCACAAAGAATGGCTTGTGGAACATGGGGGAGTCAGTGCGGGGGGCAAATGCAAACCCTGTATGGTGGTGAATGTGTCAAAGTGCTATGTTTTGAGTGCTGAAGTTATTTAATATTTCAATTTTTGAAACAGAGGGATCTATAATGTAAAACCCAGTCTAGGATGTTCCATGCAAGAAAGATCAAAATTCTGTCTCTAAGGGCTGAGGTGCTGGGCATCCTAACCAATCACTATTATAAGGCTGAAAAGATGCAGAGAAATTCGCACAGACACCACAGACATAGATAGAAAGCATGTTTCTTTGGGTGTCATCTGTTTTCATGGCCTGTTTACAATAAAGCATCAAGTTTATGCTCAGCTTAACTAGGCCCTCAGTGTTTGTTCTAGGATTGAAAAGACTCAAATTCTTACCTCCTGTTCACTTGTTTCTTCTGTTTCATTCAATCTCAAAAGTTCATCTAACAATTTTCTTAAAGAAGTCCGAGACTCCAGGAGTTTTTCCTGATTAAAATTGCATGAAAGAAGAAAGATTAGTTAAGATGACAGATTGATTTTGTTCCTGAGAGGAATCCCTGCCTTCCAAGAAACTAGAATGTCATGAAATATCATTGTATCCTCACATTTTCAGTATAAGCGCCTTGAGGACTGTGTGCAGTGATACAGGTGACCCCTTATTCCCAGAGCACGTGACAGGATGGCTGCCATCATGCCTGCTGTAGAATCGGAGGCTGGGGAAGGGGTAACCTACCTATCCTATGCTATGTCTATCCTCATCTTGAACCTCATATGCTGGCCCTCAGGTGGAGCTATACAGAACTCTCCAGCCTCGCCAGGAAATGCTGCACCCAGAACAAGACAGTAACCACCTGAAAGAAGCCTTTTTTCACCTCCTATATGTGGGAAGTTGTCTGTGTCTATCAGGAATCTCTTCCCAAATTGGTGGGAACTAAACCATTATGAAGGAACTGCAGGCACCATTCTTTTGCTAATAGGTTTATCCCCGCAGACTGCAGGAGAAATAAAATCTGGTGGTCTCTGTGCCTGTTTTGGTAATCTGTCACATGACCTTGCATACTGTAGTTTCTCTAATGTTGCACGCATGTAAGGATAAAAAAGGATGGAGCGTATTTCGACCACTTTATTTTACAGCAGGGGTCATCACGACAGGAGTGAATAGGTACGAGACTCTCCCCATGCTGTGCACGTTCATACGGACCATAGGATAGTATTTTGGGGAAACATCCAAAAGACAGGGGTCGGCCCAAACCGCAGGCCAGATGGTAGACAAGCTTGACCATCAGCGTCCTCTGACTATGAAGAACCAGCTACAGGTTAAGAAGACATTTTCTAAAAAGTCCAAAGGTGAGACAAGAATTGGGTGACCTTAAAAATGGCAGACAAAAAAAAAAAAAAATCACCCTCTTGGTGAATCAGGGGGCACTTTGCTTTTCTCTATTTTTCTTTATTTTTTATAGACTTCTCTATTTTTTATGTCCTGGCCTACTGATGATTAGCTAGGCCAGGACACTTCAACACTACTAGTGAGATGACAGAAAACCTAAAATCAATTAAGAATATCTGTATTACAGGGCCTCCCCGGTGGCGCAGCAGTTGAGCGCTGGGTTGCGAAGCTGCCCGCGGTCTCTGCAGCGCCGGTTTAATCCCCGGCTGCTCCCCGGCCACTGGAGGAGGGTCCCACATGTGCACAGACCTCTCCTGCCACCCGCTGCTCCCCTCAGCAGTGTACTTTGGTCCTTCTGCCTGCTCTGCTCCCCGCTCTGGCTCTGGTGAATTCTCTCACCCTCCCGCGCTTCTGACTGTGCCCAGTGCTTGTATAAACAAAACAAACAAACAAACAAATAAATAAATAAAACATGCCTCTATAAAAAAAAAATATATATATATATCTGTATTACAGATGGCCTTACAGGCAGGACAAGGGCCAAGCTGGCTACAATCAAGCTTGGCCTCTACAGGAAACCAACTTCTGTCCTGGTTGCTGTTCTTGCTGGTTCCCTCACTAATTTTCTTTATGATGTTCTTGTCTGGGCCTTGCATCCTCAACAACCTCCTCAGAATCATCCTCCACCATCACCCTTCCTCCCAGGGCCCTTAGATCACCACCCTGCAGCAGAGCCCTGACTGCTCGCCCAAGTCACCCATTTTCAGCAGGAAGCAGTGACTGGTTAGATCAAACCCCTTATCCAAAGAGCAGTGAGGGGCTCCATCCGTAGAAGGGGTACTGAGTCCCAGGGCAAGTTATACTTAAGTAGGCAGCTTCAGGGACAGTGCAGGAAGGGACTTCAGGAGAGGAAAAGAGGCTTCTGAGACAAAGACAGTAAATTCTAAGTGCTAACCAACACATACAACAGAGGTGTGGTCAGAAAGTCCAGGAGGATGAAACAAAAGCAGTACACTGGGCAGTGCCTGGTGACTGACTGTAGTTTCTCTCACACACACTGGAACCAGGTTGGGAGGAGGAACCCGTTGTGAAGATGGGGTGTGGAGATGGGGGCTCCACAGTGTGACGCTGATGCCAGTAATGACAATGTGTAAGATGGGGGCCGGTACATTTGTGATTTGTTTATGTGAACACTCTCCCCTATGCCCCCATCACACACACACAGAAAAATATGCTCCACTGCCAAGGCAGTCTTCACATGACCTCTTTAAGTTGGAATAATTTCCGATACTCACTGCTGCTAAATCAACTGGAGGCAGGCACTTTTATTGGAAGAGGCCGTCATAATTCTCTATAGTTACCAGAACAATTCCCTTCTCCATTAGACAAGATACAAGAGAACAAAGAAAAAATGCTTGACAATTTCATTGTGTAACTACAGCCAAGGTGAAACACCACTTAAACCCAGGTTTTTCTGAGATGCAGCCTCAAAAGTTTACCATTCCCCACAACTACTTGTTCTCTTTATTGGCATCATCTCCTATTGTGGTGCCGTCATCTCCACTCTGCATCTGCACAAATAGTTCACCCTGCTGACATGAAACCAAACTACTAAACAGCATTTCCTTTGTTCTTCAGCCCGCCTGCTATACACCAGCCAGAGGGATGTGTAAATCTCCACTTCTGAGGCAGTGTGTGAAGGGAAGGCTTTTGATGAACATCACCAACCAAGGCTAGTAGGTGACTCCCCTGTACCCAGGGGGGACGTAGAGGGGTCAGAATTTGATCATAGCTACCAGCAATAAGCATATGCCCAGCCAGAGTCCATTTATCATTGGTGAGTTTAGACCAGCAGAAAGTAAACCACCCATCTGCTTGGACTTGCTTTAATTTGGCAGATAATGAAGTGCAGTTTCCATGGCTACACTCTCAGCTTACGCAGTGTGGCAGTGACTGAGATACTGTGGTCAAGGTCACTGACCCAGATGCATTGGGATGTTTGTGCAAGACGAGGAGACAGCAGCTCGAACTCTGGCTACCCAAGACCTTAAAATGAGGGACGTCTGACTGTCCTTTGAGTGTGAACTTTAACATCTACACACAAGGGATTAGAGCAGAGGCTGGAAGACATCACTGAGAGTAGAGGATGACTAAATAGTCTGGAGCACTGACTGCCAACTGAGGGATGACCTCAATCTTTTGCTCAAGGCTGGGTTCTCTTCCCAGGAGAGGGGCAGCTGTGGAAAGTCCCAGAGACCCCCAGAGCCATGAGCTGCAGCAGCTCTGTCCTCATCGCCAGCCTCATGAGCTGCAGGGACATGAGCTCACCTGGAGGGACCCTGTTCACACTCTCGCAAACAATGGTTTTTAGAACATGGGGGAGTCAGTGTGGAGGGAAAAAGAGAACTCTTTGGGGTAGTGAATGTGTCAAAGTGCGATGTTTGACGTCTTCAAATCATGAAGTTACCTAACATATTAATTCTGTAATCTGAGGTATTTATAATGTGAAACCCAGTTCAGGATGTTCAATGTGAGAAAGATCAAAATTCTCTCTCTATGGGCTGAAGTGCTGGGCATCCTAACCAATAACTTAAATTAGAAGGCTGAAAAGATACAGAGAAATTCACATAGACACTAGGGACATAAAAAGAAAGCATGGTGCTTTAGTTGTCATTATTTCTCATAGGCTGCTGAGAATAAACCATTAGTTTATGCTCTGCCCAACCAGGCCCTCTGGGGTGTTGTGGGATAGAAAAGACTCAGTTTCTTACCTCCCGTTCTCTTCTTTGTTCTCTTGACTTCAAGTTCAGACTCAACCACTGGTCTAACAGGTCTCTCACTTTTATCCTAGAATCCTGGTGTTTTTCCTGATCAAATTGGATGAAGAAAGAAAGCATAATTAAGATGACAGATTCATCAGGTTCCTGAGAGGAATCCCTGCCTTCCAAGAGACTAGAATGGCATGAATTATTATTGAATCCTTACACTTTCAGTATAAGCACCCCTAGGACTTTGTGGACTAATACAGGTGACCTTTTATTTGCAGAGCATTTGGCAGGACGACGCCATCATACCTGCTGTAGAATCAGGGCTGGGGAAGGGGTAACTAACCTGCCCGAGGGCTGTGACTATTGGCTGACCCTCAGGTGGAGCTGCGGACCTCTGCAGCCTCGCCAGGAAAAACTGCACACAGAACAATACAGTGACCATCAAAAAGAAGCCTTTCTCCACCTCCTATATGTGGAAAGTTGTTTGTGTACATCAGGACTCTCTTCCAGGAAGCTCCCCAGATTCACTCCCAAATTGGTGGGAACTAAACCCATATGAAGGAACTCCAAGCAGTCTTCGTTGGCAGATTGCTTTATCCTCGCAGACTGCAGGAGAAATAAAATCTGGTGGTCTCTGTGCCTGTTTTGGGAATCTGTCTCATGACCTTGCACATCGTCATTTCTCTAATTCTACACACATGAAGATAAAAAAAGGTGGCGCGTATTTCTACAACTGTATTCCATAGCAAGGGGTGATCACAGCAGGAGTGAATAGGGATGAGATTCTCATATCCTATGAAAGTCCATAAGGACCATGGATTATATTTTGGGGAAATGTCTGAGAGACAGCGGTCAGCTAAAACCACAGGCTAAGGTAGGAGGACAGGCTTGACCATCAGCTGCCTCTGACCATGAAGAACCAGCTACAGGTTAAGTAGACATTTTCTAAAGAAGCCCAGAGGTGAGACAAGCCTTGGGTGACCCTGAAAGTAGCAGACAAAAAAAAAAAAAAAAATCACACTCTTGGTGAATCAGGGGCCACTTACTCTGCCTTGCTCCATTTTATTCACTGGGCTACTGATGGCTAGCCTGAACCAGGATTCTTTAACACTTCTAGTGAGATAAAAGACAACCTAAAGTTATTGAAAAACATCTGTATTACAGATGGCCTGACAGGCGAGATAACGGCCTAGTAGGCTATAATCAATCTTGGCCTCTATAGGAAACCAATTTCTCTCCTGGTTGCTCCTTTTGCTGGTTCCTTCGCTAATTGTCATTATTATTTTTTTCTTTGGGCCTTATATCCTCAACACCCTTGTTAGTATCATCTCCTGTTGCTGCAAAGCCAGCAGACGTCAGATGGTCCTTCAGATGGAGCCTGATAGGATGCCTACACCGTCCTTCCTACCAGGGCCCTTAGATCGCCACCCTGCAGTGGAGCCCTGACTGCTCGCCCGTATCACCCATTTTCAGCAGGAAGCAGTGACTGATCAGATCGACACCCTCTGTCCTAACAGCAGTGAAGGGCTCCATCCATAGAAGGGGTACTGAGTCCCAGGGCAAGTTCGGGTTAAGTAGGCAGCTTCAGGGACAGTGCAGGCAGGGACTTCAGGAGAGTTAAACAAGCCTTTGAGAAAAGGACAGTAGATTCTAAGTATTTAAAAAAATATACACATAGGGCCTTCCCGGTGGCGCAGCGGTTTAGCACTGGGTTGTGAAGCTGCCCACAGCCTCTAGCGCCAGTTCTATCCCTGGCCACTGGGCGAGGGTCCCACATGGCGAGCAGACCTCTCCTGCTGCCTGAGGCTCCCCTCAGCAGTGTACTTCGTTAGTCTGTCTGTTCTGCTCTCCGCTCTGGCTCTGGTGAATTCTCTCACCCTCCTGCGCTTCTGACTGTACCCAGTGTTTGTATAAATAAAATAAATAAATCTTAAAAAATATATATACACATAGAGGTGAGGTTAGAAAGTCTAGGAGGACTAAAGAGCCTGTAGATTGAGAATTCCAGGGAACAACAGATAAGCGCCCTCAAGGCCACACGCACCCTGAGTCACGCATCCCCAACTGCTGTGTCCCTTGCTTTACTCCATAAATACTCTGTACCCTAGTTGCTGGGCTCAGATTGTGGAGAGAGATCTCCTCCGGGCAGCGGGTGTGAAGCCGCCAGTGTAAATAAAGAGCTTCCCTCCTCTCTGAGTGCTCCTGCTCCCTCATGATAATCTTCCAGAACAGTCAACCTTATAACAACAGAAAACTCTGCTGTGTTACAGCATGGATGAGCCAGGGAGACACTACGGTCAGAGACCAAAGGACAATATTTTCATGACTTAGTCAGCTTTAAAAACAGAATGTGGAATGGGGGGGACCAGCTGACAGGAGGGACCCGGGGACACTGTTTACTGGGGAGAGTACCAGGTTGGGAGGAGGAACCCGTGCAGATGGAGAGTGGAGATGGGGGCGCCACAGTGTGACGCTGATGCCAGTAAAGACAATGTGTGAGATGGAGAGCATGGGGAATATTGTGATTTTTTTTAACACTCTGCCTTATGCCCCCACCACACACAGAGAGAAAAGTCTGTTCAGCTTCGAAGACACTCTTCACATGACCCTCTGAGGTAGAGGAATGTCTGACGTTTACTGCTGCTGAGTTAACGGGGAGGCAGGCACTTAGATGTGGGATAGGCCGTCATAATTCTCTATGGCCATTAGAGTAATTTCCTTTCTTCAGTCAAGATACAAAAGGAGAAAGGACAGATGCTAGATAATTTCATTGTGTAACTAGGGAAAAGGTCAAACACTAGGTAAACCCAAGTTTTCTCTGAGATGCAGTCTCAAAAGTTTATTATTCTCCCACCTATCTGTTTCTTTATTGGCATCATCTATTCACTGTGGTGCTGCCATCTCCACTCTCCATCTGCACAAATAGTTCATCCTTCCAACATAAAACACAACCCACTGAACAACATCACTTTTTTTCCTCTCCTACCTGGTCTCCACCAGGCACAGGGATAAGTAATTCTCCACTTCTGAGGGAGTTTGTAAAGGGAAAGCTTTTGAGGAACTTCATCAAGCAAGGCTGGTAGGTGACTCCCATGACTCAGAGGGGAGCTCTGGGTCCCAAAATGTGATCAGAGTTACCAGCAATAAGCATCCACCAACCAGAGCCCATTTACCATCTGTGAGTTTACAACCAGCAGAAATGAAACCACCCATCTGGTGGGGCTCCCTTTAATTTGGCAGATACAGAACTGCAGTTTCCACGGCTACACTATCAGTTCATACAGTGTGGCAGTGGCCGAGATACTGTGGTCAAGGTCACTGATCAGGATGAATTGGTACATTTGTGGAGGGCGGGTTGAGAGCCTTCAATGTGGTTTCCCTTCATGTTTGTAACAATGGAGGTTCTTCCCACTACCCAAGACCCTAAAATGAGGGATGTGTGACTGCTTTGAGTCTGAACTTTAACATCCACACACGAGGGATTAGTGCAGAGGCTGGAAAACACCCCTGAGAGAGGAGGATGACTAAATAGTCTGGAGTACTAGCTGCCAACTGAGGGATGACCTCAATCTTTCCTTCAAGGCTGGGTTCTCTTCCCAGGAGAGGGGCAGCTATGGAAAGTCAGAGACCCCCCCGTGCGCATGAGCTGCAGCAGCTCTGTCCTCATCACCAGCCTCATGAGTGGCAGGAACATGAGCTCACCTGGAAGGACCCTGTTCACACTCTTGCAAACAATGGTTTTTAGAACATGGGGGAGTCAGTATGGCGGGAAAAAGCAAACTCTGTAGGGTAGTGAATGTGTCAAAGTGCGATGTTTGATTGTCTTCAAGTCATGAAGTTACCTAACATTTCAGTTCTTCAATCTGAGGTATTTATAATGTAAAACACAGTCCAGGATGTTCAATGCAAGAAAGATCAAAATTCTCTCTCTATGGGTTAAGGGCCTGGGCATCCTTACCAATCACTGTTAGAAGGCAGAAAAGATAAGAGAAAGTCTCATAGACGCTACGGACAAAAAATAAAGCAGGTTTCTTCTTTGGCTGTTATCTATTTCTCACGGGCTGCTGAGAATAAACCCATCAAGTTTATGCTCTGCCCAGCCATGCCCTCCGTGCATGCTCTAGGATGGAAAGGACAACTTCTTACCTCGCATTCACTTGTTTGTTCTCTTGACTTCAACTTCAGATGCAACCACTGGTCCAAGAGTTCTCTCAGTTTTGTTATAGCCTCCTGGAGTTTTTCCTGATCAAAGTTGGGTGAAGAAAGAAAGTATAGTCAAGATGACAGATTCAGGGCCGCAGGTGGTTGAGTACTGCACGGTGAAGCTGTCCGCAGCCTTTGCAGCCTGGGTTTGATCCCAGCCGGCCAGTGAGAATCCCACACAGTGCAGCAGACCTCAACTGTCTCGCCCGCTGCTCCCCTCAGCAGTGTATTTCTTCAGTCTGCCTGTTCTATTCCCCGCTCTGTCTCTGGTGAATCCTCTCACCCTCCCATGAATGTAGCCTGTACCTTGGTTCTTGTATAAAAATAAATTAGTCTTAAAAAAAAGATGACAGATTCATCAGTTTCCTAACAGGAATCCCTGCCTTCCAAGAGACTAGAATGACATGAAATATCGTTGAATCCTTACACTTTCAGTATAAGCACCCTGAGGACTGTGTGAAGTGATGTAGGTGACCCCTTATTCCCAGAGACGTGGCAGGATGGCTGCCATCTCATGTCTGCTGGAGAATCGGAGGCTGGGGAGTGGGTAACTAACCTACCCAAGGGCTATGCCTATTGGCTTCTTGAACTTCATGAGCTGACCCTCAGGCAAGCTACATGAGCCTCTAGACCCTGGTCAGGAAACACCACACACAGAACAAAAGAGTAACCATCTAAAATAAACCTTTCTCCACCTCCTGGATGTGGAGAGTTGTCTGTGTCCATCAGAATTCTCTCCAGGAAGCTCCCCAGATACACTCCTAAATTGGTGGGAACTAAACCCACATGAAAGATCTCCAGGCAGTCTTCTTTTGCTGATTGCTTTAGCCTTGCAAATTGTAGAAGAAATAAAATCTGGTTGTCTCTGTGCTTGTTTTGGAAATGTGTCACAAGACCTTGCACATCATGGTTTCTCTAATGTTACACATTTGTGAAGATAAAAAAGGCTGGTGCATGTTTCGAAGACTGTATTTACAGCAGGTGTTCATCATGGCAAGAGGGAAGAGGTACGAGACTCTCACCATATTATGAAAGTCCATATGGACCATGGGATTGTATTTTGGGGAAAAGTTCAAGAGACAGGGCCTCAGTAATAACCATAGGCCAAGACAGGAGGACAGTCTTGACCGTCAGCTGCCTCTGACTATGAAGAACCAGCTGCAGGTTAAAAAGAGGTTTTCTCAATAATCCCAGAGGTGAGACGAGAATCGGGTGACCGTAAATGTGGCAGACAAAAAAATAATCACCCTCTTTGTGAATTAGGGGCCACTTAATCTGCCTTGCTCCATTTTCCTTACACTGGCCTACTGATGACTAGCCTGGGCCAGGACACTTTCACACATCTAGTGAGATAAAAGACAACCTAAAGTTATTAAAAAATATCTGTATTTCACATGGCCTTACAGGCGAATCTAGGGCCTATTAGACTACAACCAATCTTGGCCTCTACAGGAAACCAACTTCTGTCCTGATTGCTATTCTTGATGGTTCCCTCACTACTTTTATGATTTTCTTGTTTGGGTCTTGCATCCTCAACACCCTTGTCAGAATCAGCCCCTGTAGTCTCAAAGCCAGCAGATTCCAGATGGATGGAGACTGATAGGACGCCTCCACTGTCCATCCTCTGAGGTGCCTTAGATTGCCGCCATTTTTCCTTAAAGCAGTTAGGAGATCTATCTGTAGAAGGGGTACTGAGTCCCAGGGCAATTTAAGGTTAAGTAGGCAGCTTCAGGGACAGTGCAGGCAGGGACCTCAGGAGAGTCAAAGATGTCTCTGAGACAAGGATGGTACATTCTAAATGCTAACCAACACATACACCAGTGGGGAGGTCAGAAAGTCCAGGAGGACAGAACAAACAGTACACTGGGCAGTGACTGGTGACTGACTGTAGTTTCTCTTACACACACTGGAACCCTAAAAAAAAAAAAAATGTATTCAAAGGGTGCACCGGTGATCTGAGCACAATAGATGTGATGGAATAAATATAAAAAGGGGGAAATGAAGTGGAAATGCTCTGTAACCTAGTTGCTCAGGCTCAGATTTCAGAGAGCTCTCCTCCGCGCTGTGGGTGTGAAGGCACCAACATAAATAAATAGCTTCCCTCCCTCTCCCTGAGTGCACATCAGCAGCAGCAGCTCTGGCCTCATTGCCAGCCTCATGAGTGGCAGGAACATGAGTTCATCTGCAGGTACGCTGTTCTCACTGCACCCAAAGAATGGTGTGTAGAACATGGGGGAATCAGTGTGGGGGGAAAATGCAAACCCTCTCTGGTGGTGAATGTGTCCAAGTGCCATGTTTGAGGTCTTCAAGTCATGAAGATAGTTAACATTTCAGTTCTTGAAACTGAGGGATCTATAATGTGAAACCCAGTCTAGCATTTTCCATGCAAGAAAGATCAAAATTCTCTCTCTACCAGCTCGGTGCTGGGCATCCTAACCAATCACTACTAGAAAGCTGAAAAGATACAAAGAAATTCATATAGACAATGGGGACATAAATATAAAGCATGTATCTTTTGGTGTCATCTATTTCTCATGGGCTGGTGACAATAAACCACCAAGTTTATGCTCTGCCCATCCACATCCTCTGTCTATGTTGTAGGATGGTAAAGACGCAACTACTTACCTCCTGCTCTCTTGATTGTTCTCTTATCTTCAAGTTCAGACTCAACCACTGGTCTAACAGGTCTTTCTGTATTGTCATTGCCTCCTCGAATTTTTCCTGATCAAAATTAGGGGAAGAAAGAAAGCGTAGTTAAGATGACAGATTCATCAGGTTCCTGAGAGGAATCCCTGCCTTCCAAGAGACTAGAATGACATGAAATATCATTGAATCCTTACACTTTCAGTATAAGCACCCCAGTACTGTGTGCAGTGATACAGGTGACCCCTTATTCCCAGAGCACTTGGCAGGATGGCTGCCATCATGTCTGCTGTAGAATCGGAGGCTGGGGAAGGGGTAACTAACCTACCAGGAAATTCTGCACACAGAACAAGAGAGCAACCATCAAAAAGAAATCTTTCTTCACCTCCTATATGTGGGAAGTTGTCTGTGTCCATCAGGACTCTCTTCCAGGAAGCTCCCCAGACAGATTCCCAAATTGGTGGGGCCCAAACCCACATGAAGGAACTCCAAGCAGTCTTCGTTTGCTGATTGGTTTATCTGGCAGACTGCAGGAAAAATAAAATCTGGTGGTGTCTATGCCTGTTTTGGGAATCTGTCACATGACCTAGTACATTGTGGTTTCTCTTATGTTACACACATGGAAGATAAAAAATGTTGGTGCGTATTTCGACAACTGTATTCTACAGCAGGGGGTCATCATGGCAGGAGTGAAATTGAGGAGACTCTTACCATAATATCAAAGTCCATACGGACCATGAGATAGTATTTTGGGAAATGTCCAAGAGACAGGGGTCAGCCCAAACCACAGGCCAAGAAGGGATGGCTTGACCGTCAGCTGCCTCTGACTATGAAAAAACCAGCCACAGGTTAAGAACATAATTTCTAAAGAAGCCCAGAGGTGAGACAAGCCTTGGGTGACCCTAAAAGTGGAAGTCAAAAAAAAAAATTATCCTCTTGTTGAATCAGGGGCCACTTACTCTGCTTTGCTCTGTTTTCTTTAGACTGGCCTACTGATGATTAGGCTGAGCCAGGACACTTTAACACTTCTAGTAAGATGAAAAACAAGCTAAAGTTATTAAATGCATCTGTATTATAGATGGCCTTACAGGAGGGGCAAGGACTTCAATCAATCTATGCCTCTAAAGGAAACCAACTTTGTCCTGGTTGCTCTTCTTTCTGGTTTCCTCAATAATTTCTTTATGATTTTCTTGCTTGGGCCTTGCATCCTCAAACCCTCCTCAGAATCACATACTTTCGCCTCAAAGCCAGCAGATGAAGATGGTCCAACAGATGGATCCTGATAGGACGCCTCCACCATCCTTCCTGCCAAGGCCCTTAGATCACCCCCCTGCAGTGGAGCCCAGACTGCTCGCCCACATCACCCATTTTCAGTAGGAAGCAGTAACCGGTCAGATCGACGCCCTTTATCCTAACAGCAGTGTGAGGCTCCACCCCTAGAAGGGGTAGAGAGTCCCAGGGCAGTTCAATTAAGTAGGCAGCTTCAGGGACAGTGCAGGCAGGGACTCCAGGAGAGTTAAAGAGGCTTCTGAGAGAAGGACAATAAATTCTTTTTTCTTTTTTTTTTTTAATCATCTTTTCACATTTTTTTAGACATTATTTGCTTCCCCCCATCCCCTCTGAGTCCCCATAGAATTTCCTTCCCCAAGGCACCCGTGTACCATCACCACAGAGTCCCCTGTGCTCCTCCCTCCCTCCCTTTCATCCCTCTCCCTCCTCCTCCCCTACAGGATGTCTCCGGTTTATAATTGTCTGTTTTTGCTTTGTTGGGTTTTGTACTGTCATTATTTTTTTTACGCTGATGTCTTATTTGATTCCTCTATATTCCTGTGATAAGTGAAACCATCCGATATTTTTCTTTTTCCTTCAGGCTTATTTCACTGAGCATAATTCTGGCTAGCTCCATCCACGTTGCTGCGAATGGCATGAGTTTATCTTTTTTGATTGCTGAATAGTATTCCATTGTGTATATGTACCACATCTTCTTGATCCAGTCATCAATTTTTGGGCATTTGGGTTGTTTCCAGGTTTTACCTATTGTAAATAGTGCTGCAATAAACATAGGTGTACAGGTGCTCTTTTGAATCACTGATTTTGTGTCCTTTGAGTAGATCCCTAGTATTGGAATTGCCAGATAGTATGGTAGCTCCATTTTTAGTAGACAGAGGAACCTCCAGACAGCTTTCAATAGTGGTTGGACCAGTTTGCTCTCCCACCAGCAATGTAGGAGAGTTCCTTTTTCACCACATCCTCACCAACATTTGTTGTTGCTTGTTTTTTTGATATGTGCCATTCTCACTGGTGTAAGGTGGTATCTCAGTATGGTTTTGATTTGCATTTCCCTGATTATAAGGGATGTTGAACATTTTTTTCATGTGCCTGTTGGCCATTTGCATTTACTCTTTGGAGAAATGTCTTTTGAGTTCTTCTTCCCATCTCTTGACTGGATTGTTTATTTTGTTTTTGTTGAGCCGTGTGAGTTCTTTGTATATCATTGTGATCAGTCCCTTATCAGTTGGATGGAGTGCAAAGATTTTTTCCCAATCAGTGGAGTGTCTCTCTGTTTTGCCATCATGTCTGCTATAGAAATAGAACAAATACTGATGAAATTCATATGGAACCACAAAAATATCATGAATAGCCAAAGCCCTACTGATGAAAACAAAGGATAAAGGAGGTATCACACTTCCAAACTTCAAGCTGTACTACTAATGTCTCTTTGGATGTGCAGAAGCTTTTCAGTTTGATGTATCCCAGGTGTTTATCTTTGCCTTCACTGTCACAGCTTTGGGTGATGAGTCTTTAAAGATGTTTCTGAGATGTATGTCTTGGAGTGTTTTACCTATATTTTCTTCTGTATAGTTTATGGTTTCAGGTCTTGTGTCCAGTTCTTTTATCCATTTTGAGTTGATTTTTGTGCATGGTGAGAGGTAGTGGTCTAGTTTCATTTTTTTACATGTGGAGGTCCAGTTTTCCCAGCACCATTTATTGAACAAAGTGTCTGTGTTCCATTGCGTATTCTTTGCTCCTTTGTCAAAGATTAGTTGTTCATGTAAGTGCATCTCTATATCTGGGCTCTCTATTCAGTTCCATTGGTCCGTGTGTCTGTTTTTGTTCCATTACCAAACTGTTTTAATTATTATGGCTTTGTAGTATAGCTTGAAGTTTGGAAGTGTGATACCTCCTTTATCCTTTGTTTTCATTAGTAGGGCTTTGGCTATTCATGGTATTTTTGTGGTTCCATATGAATTTCATCAGTATTTGTTCTATTTCTTTGAAGAATGTCATTGGATTTTTATTAGAATAGCATTGAATCTGTATATTGTTTTTGGGAGGGTGGTCATTTTAATAATGTTGATTCTTCCAATCCATGAGCAGGAGATATCTTTCCATTTCTTTGTGTCTTCAATTTCTTTTAACAGTGTTTTATAATTTTCTTTGTATAGGTCTTTCACCTCTTTTGTTAGGTTTATTCCCAAGTATTTGACTTCTTTGGTTTCAATTATAAAAGGGATTGTTTTCTTGATTTCTTCTTCTTCAGATTGATTGTGTATAGGAAGGCTACTGATTTTTGTGTGTTGATTTTATATCCTGCTACTCTACTGAACTGGCTGACTATTTTGAGTAGTTATTCTGTGGAGTTTTTAGGGTTCTCTATGTGTATTATCATATCATCTGCAAATAGTGATAGTTTTACTTCTTCTTTTGCCATCTGTATTCTTTGTATGTCCTTCTCTTGTCTTATTGCCCTGGCTAGGACCTCCAGTATTATATTGAAGAGCAGTGGTGAGAGACAACATCCTTGTCTTGTTCCTGATCTTAAAGGAAAGACCTTCAGCTTTTCAACATTGAGAATAATGTTGGCAGTGGATTTGTCATATATGGCTTTTATCATATTAAGGCATTTTCCTTCTATCCCGAGAATTTCAAGGGCCTTCATCATAAATGGATGTTGGCCTTTGTCGAATGCTTTCTCAGCATCTATTGATATGATCATATGATTTTTCTTTTTCTTTTTGTTGATGTGTTGGATTACACTTATTGATTTTCATAAGTTGAACCATCCTTGTGCCCCAGGACGAATCCCACTTGATCGTGGTGTACTATCCCTTTGATGCATTGTTGGATTATGCTGGCAAGGACTTTGTTGAGGATTTTTGCATCAGTGTTCATTAGGGAGATTGGCCTGTAATTTTCTTTTTTTGTGCAGTCTTTGTTTGATTTTGGTATCAATGTAATGTTGGCTTCGTAGAACGTATTTGGTAATATTCCTTCTTTTTCAATTTTTTGAAAGAGTTTGTGTAGGATAGACACTAATTCACTGCTGAACGTTTGGTAGAATTCATTTGAGAAGCTGTCTGGGCCTGGGCTTTTGTTTTTGGGGAATGCTTTGATTACTGCCTTAATTTCACTGTTCTGTTGTTCTATTTCTTCTTTGTCCAGCTTTGGATGATTATATCATTCTAGGAATTTGTCCATCTCTTCTAGGTTGTTGAATTTGTTTGCATATAAGTGTTCATAGTAATCTTTGATTATTCTTTTGATTTATACTGAGTCTGTTGTGATTTTTGCTCTTTCATTTGTAATCCTATTTATATGTGTTTTCTCCCATTTTTTTCTTTGTGAGCCTGGCTAGAGGTTTGTCTATTTTGTTTATTTTTTCAAAGAACCAACTTTTGGTTTCATTGATCTTTTGGATTGTTTTTTTAAATTGCCAATTTGTTTATTTCTGCTTTGATTTTTATAATCTCCTTCTACTGGCTTTAGGGTTCCTTTGTTCTTTTTCTGCCTCTTTGAGATGCAAGATTAGGTTGTTTCTTTGAGTTCTTTCTTGTTTGTTGATGTGAGCCTGTGTTGCGATATATTTTCCTCTTATTACTGCTTTTGCTGCATCCCATACATTCTGGAAAGTGGTGTCCTCCTTGTTGTTCAACTCAAAGTATTTTTTAATTTCTTCTTTGACTCGAGGAGTGGGGATTTCAATCTCCATGAAGTGGGAGGGTTCCTTGTTTTTTTTTCATGATTGATTTCTAGCTCAATGCCATTATGATCGGAGACAGTTGGAATGATTTTGATCTTCATGTATCTGTTGATGTTTGTCGTGTGGCCCAGTATGTGATCGATTCTGGAGAATGATCCATGGCACTTGAGAAAAATGTGTACTTGGATTTTTTTGGGTACAGTGTACTATAGATGTTTGTTAAGTCCTTGAGTTCTATGTCTTTATTTAGGGCTCTAGTGTCTTTGTTTATTTTTGTCTCATTGATCTGTCCATTGGTGAGAGTGGGGTGTTGAAGTCTCTCCTCCACTATATATGTATTTTCTTTAATGTCTCTTTTCAGAGCTGATAATAATTGGAAGGACAATAAATTCTAAGTGCTAGCCAACACATGCACCAGAGGGGAGGTCAGAAAGTCCAGGAGGATGAAACAAAAACAATACACTGGGAAGTGCCTGGTGACTGACTGTATTTTTTCTTACACACACTGGAACCCGAAAAAAAAAAATGTCTTATAGGCCTGCATCTGAGATCTGAGCACCATAGATATGATGGAATAAAAATTAAGGGAGAAATGAAGTGCAAAGTGTTAGGCTGACTGTGGATGAGCTGAAGTCAGGACAGAGCCTGTATACTGAGAATTTCAGGGAAAAACGGACAAGTGCCCTCAACGCTACATGCATCCTGAGTCATGCATCCCCAGCTGGCTGTCCCTTGCTTTGCTCAATAAATACTCTGTAACCTAGTTGTTTGGGTTCAGATTATGGAGAGAGATCTCCTCCAGGCTGCTGGTGTGAGGCCACCAGCGTAAATAAAGAGCTTCCCTCCTCCTCCCTGAGTGCTCCTGCTCCCTCATGACCATCTGCCAGAACATTTCACCTTAAAGACAGGAAACTCCAATACGTGTTACAACCTGGATGAGCCAGGGAGATACTATGGTCTATGGTCAGAGACCAAAGGACTATATTTTCGTGACTGTTTTTAACCTAGTCAGATGTAAAAACAGAATGTGGAATGGGGGGACCAGGTGACAGGAGGGACACGGGGACACTGTTTACTGGGGAGAGTACCAAGTTGGGAGGAGGAACCCGTTGTGCAGATGGAGAGTGGAGATGGGGGCTCCACAGTGTGACACTGATGCCAGTAATGACAATGTGTAAGATGGGGAGCAGGTACATTTGTGATTTGTTTGTATTAACACTCACCCCTACGTCCCCACCAACACACACAGAAAAGTCTGTTCAGCTACGAAGACACTTTTCACATGACCCCTTTGAGGTGGAGGAGTGTCCAATTTTCACTGCTGCTGGAAAAACTGGTAGGCAGGCAGTTAGATGTGGGAGAGGCCATCATAATTCTCTATGGTCAATAGAGTGATTTCCTTCTTTTTTTTTTTAAAGATTTAATTTATTTATTTATACAAGTACTGGGTACAGTCAGAAGTGTGGGTGAGAATTCACCAGAGCCAGAGTGGGGAGCAGAACAGGCAGACTGATGGAAGTACACTGCTGAGGGAAGCAGCGGGCGTGGCAGGAGAGGTCTGCGTGCCATGTGGGACCCTCGCCAGCGGCCGGAGATCGAACTGGCGCAGAGGCTGTGGGCAGCTTCACAGCCCAGCGCTCAACCTCTGCACCACCGGGGAGGCCCTAGAGTGATTTCCTTATTCTTCAGTCAAGATACAAGAGGACAAAGGACAGATGCTAGATAATTTGACTGTGTGACAGGGCAAAGGTCTAACACTAGGTAAAGCCAGGTTTTACAGCAGTCTCAAAAGGTTACCATTCTCCGATCTACTCATTCTCTTTTTTGGCATCGCTTCCCATTTGGGTGCCACCATCTCCACTCTCCATCTGCACAAATAGTTTGTCCTTCCAACATGAAACCCCCCCACTAAACACCATCACCTTTGTTCCTCTCCCACCTGCTCCCCACCAGGCAGAGGGATGTGTAAATCTCCAGTTCTGAGGGAGTGTGTGAAGGTAAGGATTTTGATGGACATCACCTGCAAGGCTGGTAGGTGACTCCCATGTAGTAGAGGGGACATCTGGGTCCCAGAATGTGATCATAGTTACCAGAAATAAGCATCCACCCAGCCAGAGCCATTTACATCTTTGAGTTTACGATTAGGAGAAAGCAAACCATCTATACACTGGGACTCTCTTTAATTTGGCAGATACAGAACTTCAGTTTCCATGGCTATACTATCAGCTCACACAGTATGGCCATGACTGGAGTACTGTGGTCAAGGTCACTGATCAGGATGAATTGGGACGTTTGTGCAGGACAAGGAGAGCAGCTCGAACTCTGGCATTAATGCAGTTTCCCCTCATGTTTGTAACAATGAAGGTTTTTCCCACTATCCAAGACTCTAGCATGAGGGACGTGTAACTGTCTTTTGAGTGTGAACTTTAACACCCACACACAAGGGATTAGGGCAGAGGCTGGAAGACACCCCTGAGAGAGGAGGATGACTAAATAGTCTGGAGCACTAACTGCCAACTGAGGGATGACCTCAATCTTTCGCTCAAGGCTGGGTTCTCTCCACAGGAGAGGGGCAGCTATGGAAAGTCTCAGAGACCCCCAGCGCACATGAGCTGCAGCAGCTCTGTCCTCATGGCCAGACTCACGAGCGGCAGGAACATGAGCTCACCCGAAGGGACCCTGTTCTCACTGCCTGCAAAGAATGGTTTGTGGAACATGGGGGAGGCAGTGTGGGGGGCAAATGTAAACCCTTTACAGGGGTGAATATGTCAAAGTGCCATGTCTGAGGTTTTTAAGTCGTCAAGTTATTTAACATTTCAGTTCTTTAATCTGGGGTATTTATAATGTGAAGCCAAGTCTAGGATGTTAGTGCAAAAAGATTAAAACTCTGTCTCTATAGGCTGAGGTGCTGGGCATCCTAACCACTATTATAAGGGTGAAAAGATACAGAGAAATTCTCATAGACACTAGAGTAATAAAAATAAAGCATATTGTCTTTTTTGGCTGTCATCTATTTCTCATGGGTTGGTGACAATAGAGCATCAAGTTATGATCTCCCCAACCAGGCCCTCTCTGTATGCTCTACGATGGAAGAGACTCAACTTCTTACCTTTAGTTCTCTTCTTTGTTTTCTTGACTTCCACTTCTCACTCTTAGATTGGTCTAACAGTTCTCTTACTTTTGTCACAGCCTCCTGGATTTTTTCCTGATCAAATTTTGGTGAAGAAAGAAAGCGTAGTTAAGATGACAGATTCATCAGGTGCTTGAGAGGAATCCCTGCCTCCCAAGAGACTAGAATCACATGAAAAATATTTAAATCCTTACCCTTAGAGTATAAGCACCCCAAGTACTGTGTGCAGTAATATAGTTGACCCCATATTCCCAGAACACTTGGCAGGATGGCTGCCATCATGTCTGCTATAGACTCGGAGGCTGGGGAAGGGGTAACTAACCTCCCCGAGGGCTATTACTATTGGCTTCTTGAGCCTCATGTGCTGACCCTCAGGCGGATCTACACGGACCTCTACAGCCTTGCCAGGAAATGCTGCACAAAGAATAAGACAGTAACCATCTGTAAGGAGCCTTTCTCCACCTTGTATATGTGGAATGTTGTCTGTGTCCATCTGGACTCTTGTTCAGGAAACTCCCCAGAGTCAACCCAAATCGGTGGAAATAAACCCATATGAAGGAACTCCAGGCACTCTTCTTTTGCTGATTGATTTAGCCTCTCAGGCTGCAGGAGAAATAAAATCTGGTGGTGTCTCAGCCTGTTTTGGCAATCTGTCACATGCCCTTGCAAATCACCATTTCTCTAATGTTACACACATGTGAAGATAAAAGGAAGCTGGTGCATATTTCAACAACTGTTTTTACAGCAGAGGATCAAACACTAAGTAAACCCAGGTTTTACAGGTGATGCCAGTCACAAAAGGTTACCATTTAGTCCATCTACACGATCTCATTATTGGCATCATCTTCATATTGTGGTGCCGACATCTCCACTCTCTATATGCACAAATAGTTCATCCTTCCAACATGAAATTCAACCCATTGAACAATGTTATTTTGTTCCTTCTACCACCCGGACCCCACCAGGTACAGGGATATATAAATCTCCATTCCTGAGGGAGTTTGTGAAGGGAAGGCTTTTGATGAACATCACCAACAGGGTGGTAGGTGACTCCCATGACTCACAGGGGAGATGTGGGTCCCAGAATCTGAGCATAGTTACCAGCAATAAGCATCCACCAGGGCAGAGCGATTTACCATCTGTGAGGTTATGACCAGCAGAAAGGAAACCACCCATCTGGTGGGACACCCTTGAATTTGGCAGATCATAATTGCATTTTCCATGGCTACACTATCAGCTCACGCAGTGCAGCAGTGACTGAGATATTTTGGTCAAGGTCACTGACCCAGATAAATTTGACATTTGTGCAGGACAAGAAGAGAGCAGCAACTCTGGCATTGACTAGGTTTCTCTTCATGTTTGTAACAATAGATGTTCTCCCCACTATACAACACACTGAAATGAGGGACGTGTGACTGTCCTTTGAGTGTGAACTTTAACACCCACACACAAGGGATTAGGGCAGAGGCTGGAAGACACTCCTGAGACAGGAGGATGACTAAATAGTCTGGAGCACTAACTGCCAACTGAGGGATGACCTCAATCTATTGCTCAAGGCTGGGTTCTCTTCCCAGGAGAGGGGCAGCCGTGGAAAGTCTCAGAGATCCCCAGTGCGCATGAGCTGCAGCAGCAGAAACACGAATTCACCTGGAAGAACCCTGTACTCACTGCTAGCAAAGAATGGTGTGTGGAACATGGGGGAGGCAGTGTAGAGGGCAAATGCAAACCCTGTATGGTGGTGAATGTGTCAAAAGTGCCATGTTTGAGATCTTCAAGTCATAAAGTTAGTTAACACTTCAGTTCTTTAATCTGAGGTATTTATAATGTTAATCTCACTCTAGGAAGTTCTATGTAAAAAAGATAAAAATTCCGTCTCTACGGGCTGAGCTGTTGGGTATCCTAACCAAAAACTATTGTAAGGCTTAAAAGATACAGACATATACTCATAGACAGTAGGGACATAAAAATAATGCAAGTTTCTTTGGCAGTCATCTATTTCTCACAAGCTGGTGACAATAAACCATCAGGTTTATACTCTGCCCAGCCCCGCCCACTGCATTGTTCTAAGATGGGCAAAACAACTTCTTACCTCCTGTTCTTCTGTTTTTTCTCCTAACTTCAAATTCTGACTCTCCGTCAGGGGTAAGAGTTCTATCAGTTTCTTCACAGCGTTGTGGAATTTTCTCTGATCAAAATTAAGTGAAGACATAAAGCACAGTTAAGATGACAGATTCATCAGGATCATGAGAGGAATCCCTCCCTTCAAGAGACTATAATTACATGAAATATCATTGAATCCTTATATTTTCAATAAGCGGCCCGAGGACCGTGTGCAGTGATACAGGTGACCCCTTATTCCCAGAGCACGTGGCACGATGGCTGCCATCATGTCTGCTGTAGAATCAGAGGCTGGCGAAGGGGGTAACTAACCTGCCTGAGGGCTTTGACTATCGGCTTCTTGAGCCTCATGTGCTGACCCTCAGGCAGAACTATATGGACCTCTACAGCCACAACAGGAAATGCTGCACACAGATTAAGACAGTAACCATCTAAAGGAAACCCTTTCCCCCTCCTATATATAGAAAGCTCTCTTGTCCTCAGGAATCTCCTCCAAGAAGCTCCTCAGTTTCACTCCCAAAATGTTGGGCTCCAAACACACATGAAGGAACTCCAGGGAATTTTCTTTTGCTGATTTGTTTAGATTCCAGGACTGCAGGAGAAATGAAAAGTGGTGGTCTCTGTGCCTGTTTTGGGAATCTGTCACATGATGATGCACATCGTGGTTTCTCTAATATTGCACACATGTGAAGAGATAATGGCTGGTGCATATTTCGACAACTGTATTCTACAGCAAGGAGGCATCACAGCAGGAGTGAACTGGGACGAGATTCTCACGAACTATGAGTGCCCATATGGACCATGGGATAGTATGTTGGGGAAATGTCCGAGAGCCAGGGGTCAGCCCAAACAAAAGGCCAAGATGGGAGGACAGGCATGACCGTCAGCTGCCTATGACTATGAAGAACCAGGTATAGGAGAGAAAACATTTTTTTAAGGAGCACAGAGGTGAGACAAGCCTCAGGTGACCCGAAAAGTGGCAGACAATATAAATGACAACCTTGGTGAATGAGGGGCCAGTTATTCTGCCTTGCTCCATTTTCTTAGACTGGCCTACTGATGACTAGCCTGAGCCAGGACACTTTTACACTTCTAGTGAGATAAAAGAAAACCTAAAGTTAATAATAATAATAAAAAAAAAACCCTATTGCATAGATGACCTTACAAGTGGGACAAGGGCCTAGCTGGCCTATATAAGAAACTAACATCTGTGCCAGCTGCTCCTCTTTCTGGTTTCCGCACTATTTTCTCTATGATTTTCTTGTTTGGGCCTTGCATCCTCAACACCCTCATCAGAATCATCTCCTGTAGTCTCAAAGCCGGCAGACATTAGGTGGCCCTTCAGACAGAACTTGATAGGAAGCTCTACTATCCTTCCTCCCAGGGCCCTTAGATCGCAGTGGCGCCCTGGCTGCTTGTGCACGTTACCCATTTTCAGCAGGAGTCAGTGACTGTTCAGATCAATGCCCTCTGTCCTAATAGCAGTAAGGGGCTCCTCTGCAGAAGGGGTATTGAGTCCCAAGGCAAGTTACGGTTACATAGGCAGCTTTAGGGACAGTGCAGGCAGGGACATCAGGAGAGTTAAAGATGCTTCTGAGACAAGGACAGTGAATTCTAAGTGCTAACCCACACATACACCAGAGGGGAGGTTAGAAAGGCCAGGAGACAAAACAAAAACAGTACACTTCTCTCACACACACTAGAACCCTAAAATAAACTGTCTTCGAATGCTGCACCCTAAGGTCTGTGCACCATAGATATGATGGAATAAAAATTAAAAAAGGGGGAAATGAAGGGAAAAATGTCAGGCTGACTGTGCATGAGCTGAAGTCAGTACAGAGCCTGTAGACTGAGAATTTCAGGGAACAAGGGATAAGCGCCCTCAAGGCCACATGCGCCCTGAGTCGCACATCCTCAGCTGCTGCGTCCCTTGCTTTACTCAATAAATACTCTGTAACCTAGTTGCTGGGGCTCAGACTGTGGAGAGAGATCTCCTCCGGGCTGCGGGTGTGAAGCCGCTAGCGCAAATAAAGAGTTTCCCTCCTCCTCTCTGAGTGCTCCTGCTCCCTCATGACAATCTGCCAGAACAGTCACCCTTAAAGACAGGAAACTCTGCTGTGTTGCAACATGGATGAGCCGGGGATACACTATGGTCAGAGACAAAAGGACAGTATTTCATGACTTTTTTTTTTAACTTAGTCAGATGTAAAAAAAGGACGTGGAATGGGGGTCCCGGTGACAGGAGGGACCCGGGGACACTGTTTACTGGGAGAGTTTCAGGTTGGGAGGAGGAACTCGTTGTGCAGATGGAGAGTGGGGATGGGGGCGCCACAGTGTGACGCTGATGCCGGTAATGACAATGTGTGAGATGGGAAGTATGGGGGATTTTTGTGATTTGATTATTTTAATACTCACCTCTACACCCCCATCACACACACACACACACACACAGAGAAAAGTCTGTTCAGCTAAGAAGACACTCTTCACATGAGTCCTTTTACTTGGAGGAATGCCTGAAGCTTCCTGCTGCTAAATCAATGGGAGGCTGTCATAATTTTCTTTATTGGCATCATCTTCACACTGTGGTGCCACCATCTCTGCTCTCCATGTGCACAAATAGTTCATCCTTCCAGAATGAAACCCACCCACCAAACACCATCACCTTTGTTTCTTCTCCCAGCTGGTACCCAGAAAGCACATGGTTATGTAAATCTCCAATTCTCTGGGAATTTGTGAAGGAAAGAATTTTGATGGAATCACCAAGCAAGGCTGGTAGGTGACTCCCATGTAGTCAGAGGGGAGGTCTGGGTCCCAGAATATGATCATAGTTATCAGCAATAAGCATCCACCCAGCCAGAGTCCATTTATCATCCATGAGTTTAGACCAGCAGAAAGAAACCACCCATCTGGTGGGATTCCCTTTAATTTGGCAGATATAGAACTGCAGTTTCCATGGCTACACTATCAGCTCACACAGTGTGGCCATGACTGGAATACTGTGGTCAAAGTCACTGATTCGGATGAATTGGGATGTTTGTGCAAGATGAGGAGACAGCAGCTCGAACTCTGCATTGACATGGTTTCCCTCATGTTTGTAACCATGGAGGTTCTCCCCGCTACCCAGACCTGAATATCATGAAAGTGTGACTCTGCTTTCAGTGTTAACTTTAGTATGCACACAAAAGGGATTAGTACAAAGTCTGGAAGACACCGCTAGTAAGACAGATTGAAAATAGCCTGTAGCACTAACTGCCAACTGAGAATTGACCTCAATCTTTCCTGAAAGGCTGGGTTCTCTTCCCAGAAGAGGGGAAGCTATGGAAAGTCTTAGACACTCCAGGTCTGTATGAGCTGAAGCAGCTCTGGCCTCATCACTAGCCTCATGAATGGCAGGGACATGACCTCAGCTGGAGGGACCCCATTCTCACCGCTTGCAAATAATGGTTTGTGGAACATCAGGGCAAATGCAAAGCCTTATGGTGGTGAATGTGTCAAAGTGTAATGTTTGAGGGTTCTTTTAATTTTTTTAAATTTTGTTTTAACATTTATCATTTTTACATTTTTAAAACAATATTTGCTCCCCCTCACCCCCTTAGATTGAGTCCCCACAGAATTTCCTTCCCCAAGGCACCCATGCACCATCACCACAGTCCCCTGGGCTCCTCCCTCCCTCCCTCTGATCCCTCTCCCTCCTCCTCCCCTGCAGGATGTCTCTGGTTTATAATTGTCTGTTTTTGCTTTGTTGTGTTTTGTACTGTTATTATATATATATATATATATATATATATATATATATATATATTTTATACTGATGTCTTATTTGGTTCGCCTATATTCCTGTTACAAGTGAAACCATATGCCTGCTAGCCATTTGTGGTTTTATTTTATTATTTTTAAAATTTTTATTTATTTATTTATACAAGCACTGGGTACAGTCAGAAGCACAGGAAGGTGAGAGAATTCACCAGAGCCAGAGAGGGGAGCAGAACAGGCAGACAGACGGAGGACGCAGCTGAGGGGAGCAGCAGGCATGACGGGAGAGGTCTGTGCGCCATGTGGGACCCTTGTGGCAGCCGGGGATGGAACTGGTGCTGCAGAGGCTGCGGGCAGCTTCGCAGCCCAGCACTCAATCACTGCGCCACTGGGGAGGCCCCCATTTGAGGTTTTAAAGTCATCAAGGTAGTTAACATTTCAGTTATTGAAACTGAGATATTTATAATGTGAAACCCAGTCTCGGATGTTCTATGCAAGAAAGATCAAAATTCTGTGTCTACAGGCAGAGGTGCTGGGCATCCTAACCAATCACTATAATAAGGTTGAAAAGATACAGAGATATCCTCATAGACATTAGAGACATAAAAATGAAGTATGTTGGTTTTTATGCTGTCATCTATTTCTCATGGGCTGCTGAGAATAAAGCATTAAGTATATGTTCTCCCCAATCACGCCTCTCTGTATGCTCTAGGATGGAAAAGAATCAACTTCTTACCCTCCGTTCTCGTCTTTGATCTCTTAACTTCAACTTCTGACTCTCAAACTGGTCTAACAGGTCTCTCACTTCTGTCACAGCCTCCTGGAGTTTTTCCTGATCAAAATTGGGTGAAGAAAGAAGATGACAGATTCATCAGATTCTTGAATGGAATTCCCATCTTCCAAGACACTAGATGTAATGAAAAATCTTCGAATCCTTACACTTTCAGTATAAGGGCCCCGAGAACTGTGTGCAGTGACACAGGTAACCCTTTATTCCCAGAGCACTTGCCCATTATGTTTGCTGTGGAATCGGAAGACCATGTGCAGGGATACAGCTGACCCCTTATTCCCAGAGCACATGGCAGGATGGCGCCCATCATGTCTGCTGTAGACTCGGAGGCTGGGGAAGAGGTAACCAACCTGCCCAAGGGCTATGACTACCGGCTTCTTGAGCCTCATGTGCTGTCCTTCAGGCATCACTATATGGACCTCTACAGCCTCGCCAGGAAACGCTGCACAGAACAATACAGCGACCATCTAAAGACTTTCTCTGCCTCCTATGTGTGGAAAATTGTCTGTGTCCATCAGGACTCTCTTCCAGGAAGCTCCCGGATTCACTCCCAAATTGGTGGGAACTAAACCCACATGAAGGATCTCCAAGCACTCTTCTTTTGCTGATTGGATTAGCCTCAGAAACTGCAGGAGAAATAAAATCTGGTGGTGTCTGTGCCTGTTTTGGCAATCTGTCACATGGCCTTACACATCACAGTTTCTCCAATGTCACACACACGTGAAGATAAAAGAAAGCTGGTGCATATTTCCACAACTGTATTTAGAGCCGAGGGTCAAACATTAGGTAAACCCAGGTGTTAATGGAGATGAAGTCAAACAAGGTTATCATTTGCCCCATCTATCATTCTCTTTATTGGCATCATATTCATATTGTGGTGCTGACATTACCACTCTCCATTTGCACAAACAGTTCATCCTTCCAACATATAATTCAACCCACTGAAGAAAGTCACTTCCTTCCTGCTCTCCACCAGTTAAAGGGATATGTACATCTCCATTTCTGAGGGAGTATGCGAAGGGAATCCTTTTGATGACCATCACCAACAAGGCTGCTATGGGACTCCCCTGTACTCAGAGGGGAGGTCTAGGTCCCAGAATCTGATCTTAGTTACCGGTAAAAAGCATCTACCCAGGCAGAGCACTTTAGCATCTGTAAGGTTATGACCAGCTGAGAGGAAACCACCCATCTGGTGGGACACCCTTTAATTTAGCAGATACATAATTGCATTTTCCATGGTTACACTATCAGCTCACTCAGTGCAGCAGTACTGAGATATTTTGGTCAAGGTCACTGACCCAGATAAATTTGACGTTTGTAAAGGACAAGAAGAGAGCAGCAACTCTGGCATTGACTAGGTTTCTCTTCATGTTTGTAACAATAGATGTTCTCCCTGCTACACAACACGCTAAAATGAGGGACATGTGACTGTTCTTTGAGTGTGAACGTTAACACCCACACACAAGGGATTAGGGCAGAGGCTGGAAGACACCCCTGAGACAGGAGGATGACTAAATAGTCTGGAGCACTAGCTGCCAACTGAGGGATGACCTCAGTCTTTCACAAAAGGCTGGGTTCTCTTCCCAGGAGAGGGGCAGCTATGCAAAGTCTTAGATACCCCCAGTGCGCATGAGCTGCAGCAGCTCTGGCCTCATCGCCAGCGTTAAGAGCGGCAGGAACATGAGCGCACCTGGAGGGACCCTGTTCTCACTGATTACAAAGAATAGTGTGTGGAACATGGGGGAGGAAGTGCAGAGGGCAAATGCGCACCCTGTATAGTGGTGAATGTGCCAAAGAGATATGTTTGAGATTTTCAAGTCATAAAGTTAGTTGGTATTTCAGTTCTTTAATCTTAGGTATTTATAATGTAAAATCCAGTCTAGGATGTTCTATGCAAGAAAGATCAAAACTCTGTATCTATGGGCTGAGGTGCTGGGCATCCTAATCTGTTGCGAGCCAGCCGCAGCAGTCTGGGTGTCAGGGGTTCCTGAAGGGTGGGAAGGCGTTGGCGCAATTGTAGAGAATGATAAGGGAGGGGAATGAGGAGATGCAAACACTTGGTCAGGGTGCAGACATAGCCCTACTGAGGGTCTCAGCAGTTCTTTATTTATACTAAGCAAATCGTGAGTGCATAAGTGCTGCAGGGGGCCTTGTTGCTCCAGCCAGGTAAGACACTGGGAAGCAGCTAAGAAAAGGGCCTCACACCGTGGGGCCAAAGCAACCTTGTGCCTCACACCATGGGGCTGAAGCCTTACCATCCCTTTGTTTTCTGTTCTTGGTCATAAAAAGAGATAAATTTACCAGAAAGTACATTAGGCAATAAATTAAATGTATTAGCATATTGTAAGTAAATGGCACGGAAAATTATCTGTTTAGAAATTAGTTATTAAACAATTTGGCCCACTTGACAATGGAAGACAATTTAGTGTACATGCCTGACAAGCAATCCAGCACAACTATTATAGTAAGTCCTTCTTTTGCTTTTTTAAAGAAGTTTCTTGGGAAAGTTTTCAAATGAAGTTATTTGACTTAAGGAGTCTCTAGGTAGAAAAAGTTCTGATAGCTGAGTCTCTGGCTGAAGGCCATGCGAGTAAGAAAAATCTTTTCTTGCTTAGGCTTTAGCTGATAGGAATGTACTGGTGGCTATCAACTGTCTTAGGTTATTGTTTAGCTGAAACAATGAGTTTTACTGTAAGGCTTAGTTTTTTTGTTTTTTTTTTTTAGAGGCATGTTTATTTATTTATTTATTTATTTTGTTTGTTTGTTTTTGTTTATACATGCACTGGGTACAGTCAGAAGTGCGGGAGGGTGAGAGAATTCACCAGAGCCAGAGCGGGGAGCAGAGCAGGCAGAGGGACCGAAGTACACTGCTGAGGGGAGCAGCGGGCGGCAGGAGAGGTCTGCGCGCCATGTGGGACCCTCCTCTGGTGGCCGGGGAGCAGCCGGGGATCGAACCGGCGCCGCAGAGGCCGCGGGCAGCTTCGCAACCCAGCGCTCAACCGCTGCGCCACCGGGGAGGCCCTGTTTTTTTTTTTTTTTTTTTTTAAACTAATCTATTAACCTTAAAGACTGCCTTCTTGCTGAGAGCACGTAGCAGCCAAAAGTCCATGGAAAAGAATGCACTGAATGTTTCCACTCTGCTTCTATGTACATGATGATGTCATTTCTTTGCTTGCTAAAAAAGTATAAATAAAGACCTACTGAGCCGCTCGGTAGAAGATACTTGCACCTCACCGAGTGTCAGTGTCTCCTCATCTACCTCATCCCCTTCACCTCAGCCCTTAACATTTCCCCGATGCCGTCTCATCCTTTCAGGATCCCCTGACACAACATTTTGCCGAAAGCTGGTCTGCGGCACATAAGCCTATGCATTAAGGTAGGAAGATAACAATTATCACGTGTTTTTTCAAGAGCAGCCAAAGGTCTGTTTGTCATCCTGCAGAGGTTATGACATTTATCATTCTTTGTCTTGCGGAAGGTACAGTTGCTAAACAAATGTTTTTTAGAATAGTTATTTACTTTAAACAACCCAATAGTTATTACTAGCAAAAAGCCTATGTGACTGCAACTTAACATTTCTAAGTTTGCCATGGTGAACGATTAAGTAAGGGCTGGGGGAAACAAAGGGCGGAGAGTAACCTGGGAGAAGGGAGATAAAGGGAGATTATTTAACTAACCTATAAAGTTTAGACTAACATATAACCAAACAAACAAAGCAAAGAACAGAAGGCTATTATATAGAAATCATCATTTATAGTATATTGTTTTAATATTGATTCGATATTAAGGAACCAAGGGCCTGGAGGGCGTTAATGCCAAGGCAAGCCGCACTGACTCTTCCCTAGGCCCCGGCTCTCAATTAAGGGAGGAATTCTCCTAATCTAACAAAAGAGTTTTCTACCTATTACTCCTCTATTTATCTAGTCAGCCTAGTTTCCTTATCTAACTTTAAGATCAAGGGACAAATTCCTTTTCCATAAGATTGCTGGTTGTTGTTTTAAGGAACTACAAATATTTCATCAGGGGCAGGGCCGGAGGTGGTTATAGCTTTTGGTTCCCAGAATGGTTAATACGGGGCATATCAGTAATTGCAACATTGACTATTTCCAAATGCATTATTTGTGCCACGGTTATTAGCTTAACCAGTAACAAAATTGTTGTTGACTTATTCTCGAAGGCATACTCTAACAGCTACCATATCAATTGTTACATCCAGGGGAATTAGCCCTAAACAAACAGGAAAAATTTAGCAGGAGCCAGCTATGGGTCTCCTGGCTTAATAAGAATTTTCTTAAGGACTTTGGCCAAGAGATGTTTACAGCCTTTTGTTCCCAGAAGTTTTTTCACTTTGTTAATGTAAGGCCGAATGTTGAAGGCCGAATTACTGCCTTTTGGCAGAGAACTACTAATTTTATAAAAATGTAATATTTGTATCACGCAGTGCCAATTGCCATCAAATTGGCTATTCAGTAATTGATTAAACACTATTTGCAGTCTTACTTTTAAATGCGTATTTTAACAATGGTAGAAACTAGCCATAAACAAATGAGGAGAATCTAGGAGTCAGCTAATGAGATTCCTGATTTTTCAGAAATCTGCCCCATGCCCAGACTTTTGTCAGACTACATGAGTAGCGTGGCTCCCAGCACTAACCAATCACTATTTTAAGGCTGAAAAGATACAGAGAAATTCTCATAGACACTCGGACATAACAGTAAAGCAAGTTTCTTTGGCTGTCATCTATTTCTCATGGGCTGGAGATAATAAACCATCAGGTTTATACTCTGCCCAGCCTGGCCCACTGCGTTGTTCTAGAATGGGCAAGACTCAACTTCTTACCTCCTGTTCTCTTAGCTTCAACTTCTGACTCTTACTCGGGGCTAAGAGTTCTATCAGTTTCCTCACAGCGTCCCGGCATTTTTCCTGTTCAAAATTGAGTGAAGAAAGAAAGCATAGTTAAGATGACAGATTCATCAGGTTCCTGAGAGGAATCCCTGCCTTCAAGAGACTAGAGTGACATGAAATATCATTGAATCCTTACACTTTCAGTATAAGCATCCTGAGGACTGTGTGCAGTGATACAGGTGACCCCTTATTCCCAGAGCACGTGGCAGGATGGCTGCCATCATGTCTGCTGTAGAATCAGAGGCCTGGGAAGGGGTAACTAACCTACCCAAGGGATAAGACTATCAGCCTCTTGAACCTCCTGTGCTGGCCCTCAGGCAGAGCTATATGGACCTCTACAGCCACAACAGGACCACTGTATGCAGAAAAAGACAATAACCATCTTAAGGCTTTGTTCACCTCCTATATATCGAAAACTCTTCCATCAGGAATCTCTTTCAGGAAGCTCCTCAGTTTCACACCCAAACTGTTGGGCTCCAAACACACATTAACAAACTCCAGGGACTTTTCCTTTGCTGATTTGTTTAGCCTCCCAACTGCAGGAGAAATAAAATCTGGTGGTCTCTCTGCCTGTTTTGGGAATCTGTCACATGGCCTTACATATCATGGTTTCTCTAATGTTGCGCACATGTGAAGATAAAAAAGTCTGGCGTGTATTTTGACAACTGTATTCTACAGGAGGGACATCATGGCAGGAGTGAATAGGGACGAGACTCTCCCGATCTTATGAGTGCCCATATGGACCATGGGATAGTATGTTGGGGAAATGTCCTAGATCCAGGGGATCAGCCCAAACTAAAGGCCAAGATGGGAGGACAGGCATGGCCATCAGCGGCCTCTCACTATGAGGAACCAGGTACAGTAGAAGAAGACATTTATAAAGAAGCACAGAAGTGAGACAAGTCTCAGGTCACCAGAAAAGTGGCAGGCAAAAATAAATGACAATCTTGGTGAATGAGGAGCCAGTTACTCTGCCTTGCTCCATTTTCCTTAGACTGGCCTACTGATGACTAGCCTGAGCCAGGACACTTTCACACTTCTAGTGAGGTAAAAGAAAACTTAAAGTTATTTTAAAAAAACAAAAAACCTATAGCATAGATGGCCTTACAAGTGGGACAAGGGCCTAGTTGTCTATAATCAATCTTGGCCTCTATAGCAAACCAAGTTCTGTCCTGGTTGCTCCTCTTTATGATTTTATTTGCACCTTGAATCCTCAGTACCCTCCTCAGAATTATCTCCTGTTGCCTGAAAGCCAGCAGACATCAGATGGTCCTTCAGACGGAGCCTGACAAGACTCTTCCACCATCCTTCCTCCCAGGGCCCTTGGATCACTGCCCTGCCGTGGAGGCCTGACTGCTCACCCATGTCACCCATTTCAGAAGGAAGCAGTTAGAGATCAATTAACATCCCTTGTCCTAACAGCAGTGAGGGGCTCCATCTGCGGAAACAGCACCAAGTCCTAGGCAAGTCAGGGTTAAGTAGGCAGCTTGAGGGCAGTGCACGCAGGGACTTCAGGAGACTTAAAGAGGCTTCTGAGACAAGGACAGTGAATTCTAAGTGCTAACTAACACATACACCAGAGGGGAGGTCAGAAAGTCCAGGAGGATGAAACAAAAACAGTACACTGGGCAGTGCCTGGTGACTGACTGTAGTTTCTCTTATACACACTGGGACCCTACAAAAAATCTGTCTTTGAGGGCTGCACCCAGAGATGTGAGCACCAGAGATATGAAAGAGTGATATCAAAAAGGGGGAAATGAAGTGGAACATGTCAGGCTGACTGTGGATGTGCTGAAGTTGGGACAGAGCCTGTAAACTGAGAATTTCAGGCAACAGCGGATAAGTGCCCTCAAGGCCACACACAATCTGAGTCATGCATCCCCAGCTGGCTGTCCCTTGCTTTACTCAATAAATACTCTGTAACCTAGTTGCTGGGGCTCAGATTGTGGAGAGAGATCTCCTCTGGGCTGAGGGTGTGAAGCCACCTGCGTAAATAAAGAGCTTCCCTCCTCTTCCCTGAGTGCTTCTGCTCCCTCATGACAATCTGCCAGAACAGTCACCCTTAATGACAGGAAACTATGCTGTGTTACAGCATGGATAAGCCAGGGAGACAAAGGACAATATTTTCCTGACCTAGATAAAAGGACAATATTTTCCTGACCTAGTCAGATGTAAAAACAGAATGTGGAATGGGGGGACCAGATGACAGGAGGGACACGGGGACACTGTTTACTGGGGAGAGTTTCAGGTTGGGAGGAGGAACCCGATGTGCAGATGGAGAGTGGAGATGGGGCTCCACAGTGTGACGCTGATGCCAGTAATGACAATGTGTGAGATGGGGAGCATGGGGGATTTTTTAATTTGTTTATTTGAACATTCTCTCCTAAGCCCCCATCACACACACACGCAGAAAAGTCTGTTCAGCTAAGAAGAAACTCTTCACATGAGTCCTTGGAAGTGGAAGAATGTCCAAAGCTTACTGCCGCTGAATCAACAGGGAAGCTGTCATAATTCTCTTTATCGGCATCATCTTTATATTATGGTGCCCTCAACCACTTCCATTTTCACAAATAGTTCATCCTTCCAGTATGAAACCCACCTGCTAAACACCAGCACCTTTGTTCCTTCTCTCAGCTGGTACCAACCAAGCACAGGGATGTGTAAATCTGCATTCCTGAGGGAGTTTGTAAAAGGAAGGCTTTGGAGGAACATCACCAAGCAAGGCATTTAGTTAGGTGACTCCCATTTAGTCAGAGGGGAGGTCTGGGGGGCAGAATGTGATCACAATTATCAGCAATAAGCATCCATCCAGCCAGAGTCCATTTATCATCTGTGAGGTTAGACCAGCAGAAAGCAAACCACCCATCTGGTGGGACTCCCTTTAATTTGGCAGATACAGAACTGCAGTTTCCATGGCTATACTATCAGCTCACGCAGTGTGGCCGTGACTGAGATATTGTGGTCAAGGTCACTGATCAGGATGAACTGGGACGTCTGTGTGGGATGAGGAGGAAATAGCTCCAACTCTGGCATTGATGTGTTTTCCCTTCATGTTTGTAATAATGGAGGTTCATCCCACTACCCAAAGACCTGAATATGAGGAAAGTGAGACTCTGTTTTCAGTGTTAACTTTAACATCCACACACAAGTGATTAGTGCAGAGGCTGGAAGATACCCTTGGTGAGGCAGACTGAAAATAGCCTGTAGCACTAATGGCCAACAGAGGCAAGACCTCAATCATTCATGAAAGGCTGGGCTCTCTTCCCAGGAGAGGGGCAGCTATGCAAAATCTTAGATACTCCCAGTGTGCATGAGCTGCAGCAGCTCTGTCCTCGTCGACAGCTTTATGAGTGACAGGGACATGAGCTGACCTGGAGGGACCCTGATCTCACTGCTCACAAAGAATGGTGTGTGGAACATGGGGAGGCAGAGTGGGGAGCAAATTCAAACCCTTTTTAGTGGTGAATGTGTCAAAGTGCCATGTTTGAGGTTTTTAAGTAATTGAGTTAGTTAACACTTCAGTTCTGAGGAATTAATAATGTGAAACCCCATTTAGGATGTTCTAGGCAAGAAAGGTCAATATTCTGCCTCTATGGGCTGAGATGCTGGGCATCCTAACCAATCACTATAATAAGGTTGAAATGATACACAGAAATCCTCAGAGGCATTAGAGACATAAAATAAAGCATGTTGCTTCTTACGCTGTCATCTATTTCTCATGGGCTGCTGAGAATAAAGCATCAAGTATATGCTCTCCCAACCATGCTTCTCTGTATACTCTAGGATGGACAAGAATCAACTTCTTACCTCCTGTTCTTGTCTTCGTTGTCTTGACTTGAACTTCTGATTGGCCTCCTGCTCGAACAATTCATTCACTTTTTTCTGAGACTCCTTGTATTTTTCCTGATCAAAGAGCGAAGAAAGAGAGCATAGTTAAGATGACACGTTAATCAGATTCTTGAATGGAAATCCCTGCTTTCCAAGACACTAGCATGTAATGAAATATCTTGGAATCCTTACACTTTCAGTATAAGCACCCTGAGGACTGTGTGCAGTGATACAGGTGATCCCTTATTCCCAGAGCACATGGCAGGATGGCTGCCATCATGTCTGCTGTAAAATAGAGGCTAGGGAAGGAGTAACTAACCTGCCCAAGGGCTATGACTATTGGCTTCTTGACCCTCATGTTTTGACCCTCAGGCAGAGCTATATGGACCTCTACATGGAACAAGACAGTAACCATCTAAAAGAAGACTTTGTCCACCTTCTATATGTGGAAAGTTGTCTGTGTCCATCAGGGCTCTCTTCCAGGAAGCTCCCCAGATTCACTCCCAAATGGTGGGAACTAAACCCACAGGGAAGGAACTCCAGGCAGTGTTCTTTTGCTGATTGGATTAGCCTCAGAAACTGCAGGAGAAATAAAATCTGTCCTTTGAGTGTCCGTGCTTGTTTTGGCAATCTGTCACATGGCCTTGCACATCACAGTTTCTCCAATGTTACACACACGTGAAGATAAAAAAAAAGACTGGTGCATATTTCTACAACTGTATTTACAGCAAAGGGTCAAACATTAGGTAAACCCAGGTGTTAAGGGAGATGAAGTCAAAAAAGTTTACCATTTGCCTCATCTACCCGTTCTCTTTATTGGCATCATCTTCATATATTGTTGCCGACATTTCCACTCTCCATCTGCACAAATAGTTCATCCTTCCAACATGAAATTCAACTCACTGAAGAAAATCACTTTCTTCCTTCTCCCACTTGGTCCCTACCAGGTACAGGGATATGTACATCTCCATTTCTGAGGGAGTTTGTAAAGGGAAGGCTTTTGATGAACATCACCAAGCAAGGCTGGTAGGTGACTGCCCTGTACTCAGAGGGGATGTCTGGGTCCCAGAATGTGCTCATAGTTACCACCAATAAGCATCCACCCAGGCTGAGGGATTTAGTATCTAGAGGTTATGACCAGCAGAAAGGAAACCATCCATCAGGTGGGACACCCTAAATTTGGAAGATACAGAATTGCATTTTCCATTGCTACACTATCAGTTCATGCACTGTGGCAGTGATCGAGTCATAGTGGTCAAGGTTACTGACCCGGGTGAATTGGGATGTTTGTGCACGACAAGAAGAGAGCAGCAGAACTCTGTCATTCACATGGTTTCCCTTCATGTTTGTAACAAAGGAAGTTCTCCCTGTTACCAAAGACCCTAAAATGAGGGACGTGTGACTGTCCTTTGAGTGTGAACTTTAACATCCACACACAAGGGATTAATGCAGAGGCTGGAAGACACCCCTGAGAGAGGAGGATGACTAAACAGTCTGGAGCACTAACTGCCAACTGAGGGATGACCTCAATCTTTCACTAAAGGCTGGGTTCTCTTCCCAGGAGAGGGGCAGCTATGGAAAATCTCAGAGACCCCCAGTGTGCATGAGCTGCAGCAGCTCTGTCCTTTCGCCAACCTCAAGAGCAGTAGGACCATGAATTCATCTGGAGGGACCCTGTTCTCACTGCTTGCAAAGAATGGTTTGTGGAACCTGGAGGAGGCAGTCTATGGGGCAAATGGAAACCTTGTAGGGTGGTGAATGTACCAAAGTAATATGCTTGAGGTCTTCATGTAATCAAGTTAGTTAACATTTCAGTTCTGTAATCTGAGGTATTTATAATGTGAAACTCAGTCTATGATGTTCTATATAAGAAAGATCAAAATTCTGTCTCTACGGGCAGAGCTGCTGGCCTCCTAACCAATCACCATTAGAAGGCTGAAAAGATACAGAGAAATTGACATAGACACTAAGGACATAAAAATAAAGCATTCTTTGGCTGTCATCTATTTCTTATGGGCTGGTGACAATAAACAATCAGGTTTATACTCAGCTCAGCCCTGCCCTCTGTGTATGCTCTAGGATGTGCAAGACTTAACTTCTTACCTCCGGTTCTCTTGTTTCTTCTCTTGACTTCACCTTCTGACTCTCAGATTGGACTAAGAGTTCTATCAATTTTGTCACAGCTTCCCACCGTTTTTCCTGATCAAAATTGAAGAAAGAAAACGAGTTAAGATGAAAGATTCATCGGGTTCCTGAGAGCAATCACTGCCTTTCAGGTGACTGGAATGAAATGAAATATCATTGAACCCTTACACTTTGAGTATAAGCGCCCCGAGGACTGTGTGCAGTGATACAGCTGAACCCTTATTCACAGAGCATGTGGCAGGATGGGTGCCATCATGTCTGTTGTAGAATCGGAGGCTGGGGAAGGGGCAACTAATCTACCCAAGGGCTATGACTATCAGCTTCTTGAGCCTCATATGCTGACCCTCACGCAGAGCTATATGGACCTCTACAGCCTCACCAGGAAATGCTGCACCCAGAAAAAGACAGTCACCATCTGAAAGAAGCATTTGTCCACCTTCTATATATCTAAAGCTCTCTTGTCCATCAAGAATCACTTCCAGGAAGCTCCTCAGTTTCACTTCCAAATTGCTGAGCTCCAAACCCACATTAAACAACTCCAAGAAATTTTCTTTTGCTGATTTGTTTAGTCCCAGACTGCAAGAGAAATAATATCGGGTGGTCTCTGTGCCTATTTTGGGAATCTGTCACATGACAACGCACATGGTGGTATCTCAATGTTACACACATGTGAAGATAAAAAGGGCTGGTGTGTATTTTGACAACTGTATTCTACAGCAAGGGGGCATCACGACAGGAGTGAAGAGGGACAAGACTCTCCCCATCTTAATAAAGTCCATATGGACCATGGGATAGTATGTTGGGGAAATGTCTGAGAGCCAGGGGTCAGCCCAAACTAAGGCCAAGATGGGAGGACAGGCACGACTGTCAGCTGTCTCTGACTATGAAGTACCAGGTACAGCAGAAGAACACAATTTTAAAGAAGCAGAGAGGTGAGACAAGCCTCAGGTGAACTGAAAAGTGGCAGACAAAAGATCAACGAAACCAAGAGCTGGTTCTTCGAAAAAAATCAATAAAATAGACAAACCCCTAGCCAGGCTCACAAAGGAAAAAAGGGAGAAAGCACAAATAAACATGATCATAAATGAAAGAGGAGAAATCACAACGGACACAACATAAATCAAAAGCATAATCAGTAACTACTATGAACAGTTATATGGAAACAAGTTCAACAATCTAGAGGAGATGGACAAATTCCTACAACTCTACAATCACCCAAAGCTAGATAAAGAAGAAATAGAACACCTAAACAGACCAATTACAAGCAGCGAAATTGAAATGGTAATCAAAAACCTCCCCAAAAACAAAAGCCCAGGACCTGATGGATTTACAAATGAATTCTACCAAACATTCAGAAACAAATTAATGCCTATCCTTCACAAACTCTTCCAAAAAATTGAGAAGGAAGGGACAATACCAAACACGTTCTATGAAGCCAACATTACACTAATACCAAAACCGAACAAGGACAACACAAAAAACGAAAACTACAGGCCAATCTCCCTAATGAACACTGATGCAAAAATCCTCCATAAAATTTTAGCTATCAGAATCCAACAATGTAGCCATAAGATAATTCACCACGACCAAGTTGGATTCATTCCAGGGACACAAGGATGGTTCAACATCCAAAAATCAATCAACTTTATCCAACACATCAACAAAAGAAATATAAAAACCATATGATAATATCAGTAGATGCTGAGAAAGCTTTCGACAAAGTGCAACACCCATTCATGATAAAAGCCCTTGAAATTCTTGGGATACAAGGAACATACCTCAACATCATAAAGGCCATATATGACAACCCAACAGCCAGTATCATTCTCAATGGTGAAAAGCTGAAAGCATTTCCATTAAGATCTGGAACAAGACAAGGATGTCCACTCTCACCAGTGCTTTTCAATATAATATTGGAAGTCCTAGGCAGAGCAATAAGACAAGAAAAAGACATACAAGGAATCCAAATAGGAAAAGAAGTCAAACAATCACTATTTGCAGATGATATGATAATATACATAGAGAACCCCAAAAACTCCACAGAAAAACTAATTCAACTCATCAATCAGTTCAGTAAAGTGGCAGGATATAAAATCAAAACGCAAAAGTCAGTAGCCTTCCTATACACAAACAATAAATCTGAAGAAGAAGATATCAAAAAAACCATCCCTTTTATTATCAAAACAAAAAAAATCAAATACTTGGGAATAAATGTAACAAAAGAGGTAAAGGACCTATACAAAGAAAACTATAAAACACTGTTAAAAGAAATAGAAGAAGACACAAAGAAATGGAAAGACATGCCCTGCTCATGGATTGGAAGAATAAACATTATTAAAATGGCCATCCTACCAAAAGCAATCTACAGATTCAATGCTATTCCAATCAAAATTTCAATGTCATTCTTCAAAGAAATAGAACAATTATTGATGAAATTCATATGTAATCACCAAAAACCCTGAAAAGCCAAAGCTCTCCTGAAAAAAAAAGAAGGGAATGGAGGCATCACACTCCCAGACTTCAAACTATACTACAAAGCCATAATCATCAAAACTGCATGGTATTGGAACAAGAACAGACACACTGACCAATGAAATTTAATAGAAAATCCAGAAATAAACCCACAGATTTATGGTCAACTAATCTTTGACAAAGGAGCAAAGAACATGCATTGGAGCAAAGAAAGTTTGTTCAATAAATGGTGCTGGGAAAACTGGGTCACTACATGCAAAAGAATGAAGCTTGACCACTACCTCACACCATACACAAAAATCAACTCACAATGGATTAAAGAACTAGACATAAGACCTGAAATCATAAAATACATAGAAGGAAATATAGGCGAAACACTACGTGATATGCACATCAAAGACATCTTTACAGACACATCACCCAAAGCAGTGATAGTGAAGGCAAAGATAAACAACTGGGACTACATCAAATTAAAGAGCTTCTGCACAGCAAAAGAGACAATAACAAAAACAAAGAGAAACCCCACCGACTAGGAGAACATTTTGCACACAACACTAATGATAAAGGACTGATCACAAAAATCTACAAAGAGCTGATGAGACTCAACAAAAACAAAGAAAATAATCCTGTCAAAAAATGGGCAAAAGAGCTAAAAAGAAACTTCTTTGAAGAGGAAATGCAAATGGCCAACAGGCATATGAAAAAATGTTCAACACCACTTATAATCAGGGAAATGCAAATCAAAACTACCATGAGATACCATCTTACACCACTGAGAATGGCACATATTAAAAAAACTAGCAACAACAAATGTTGGCAAGGTTGTGGAGAAAAGGAACTCTCCTGCACTATTGGTGGGAGTGCAAACTGGTCCAAGCACTATGGAGAGCTGTGTGGAGATTTCTGGACCTACTAAACATAGAGCTTCCATATGATCCAGCAATTCCACTCCTAGGTATTTACCCAAAGGACACAGAAACATTAATTCCAACGAGCACCTGCACCCCTATGTTTATAGCAGCACTCTTTACAATAGCTAAGCTTTGGAAACAACCCAAATGCCGAAAAATAGTTGACTAGATCAAGAAGATGTGGTACAGGGCCTCCCCGGTGGCGCAGCGGTTGAGCGCTGGGTTGCAAAGCTGCCCGCGGCCTCTGCGGGCGCCGGTTAGATCCCCAGCTGCTCCCCGGCCACCAGAGGAGGGTCCCACATGGCGCGCAGACCTCTCCTGCCGCCCGCTGCTCCCCTCAGCAGTGTGCTTCGGTCCTTCTGCCTGCTATGCTCCCTGCTCTGGCTCTGGTGAATTCTCTCACTCTCCCGTGCTTCTGACTGTACCCAGTGCATGTATAAACAAAAAACAAACAAATAAATAAAAAACATGCCTCTATAAAAAAAAAAAAAAGAAGATGTGGTACATATATACCATGGAATATTACTCAGCATTCAAAAAAGATAAACACATGCAATCTGCAGCAACATGGATGGCGCTGGAAGGGATCATGCTCAGCGAAATAAGCCAGAAAGAAAAAGAAAAATACTGGATGGTCTCACTCATAGCAGGAATCTAGAAATCTTAAATAAGGGACCAGGAAAATGAGTAAGAATAAGAAAGTGAAAATCAAAATCAACAAAAAAAATATGAACTAGAGACACTCTATGAGGGGTGGGAGTGGGGAGGGGAGGGATTGGGGTCAAAATAAGGGGGTTGCAATTGTATGGGGAATATAAAAATAAAATTTATTTAAAAAAAAAAAGTGGCAGGCAAAAATGACAACCTTGGTGAATGAGGAGCCAGTTACTCTGCATTGCTCCATTTTCCTTACACTGGCCAGTGATGACTCGCCTGAGCCAGGACACTTTAACACTTCTAGTAAGATAAAAGAAAACTTAAAGTTATTTTTTTTAATATTTATTAATTTATTTATACAAGCACTTGGTACAGTCAGAAGTGTGGGGGGCGGGGGTGAGAGAATTCACCAGAGACAGAGCGGGGAGGAGAACAGGCAGACTGATGAAATACACTGCTGAGGGGAGCAGCGGGCACGACAGGAGAGGTCTGCGCACCACGTGGGACCCTCGCCGAGGCCGGGGATCAAACCGGCGCTGCAGAGGCTGCGGGCAGCTTCACAGCCCAGCACTCAGCAGCTGCGCCACAAGGGGAGGCCTGAAAATTTAAAGTTATTAAAAAAAAAAAACCTATAGCATAGATGGCCTTACAAGTGGAACAAGGGCCTACTTGGCTACAGTCAATCAGCCGCTGTAAGAAACTAATTTCTGTTGTCATTCTAGGTGACACTAGAATGTAATGATATATGTTTGAATACTTACACTTTTAGTATAAGCGCCCCGAGGACCATGTGCAGTGACCCCTTATTCCCAGAGCACGTGGCAGGATGGCTGCCATCATGTCTGCTGTAGAATCGCAGGCTAGGGAAGGAGTAACTAACCTGCCCAAGGGCTATGACTATTGGCTTTTTGATCCTCATGTTCTGACCCTTAGGTGAAGCTATATGGACCTCTGCAGTCTTACAAGGAAACACTGCAGTCAGAACAAGACAGCAACCATCTAAAAGAAGCTTTTGTTTACCTCCTATATATGGAAAGTTGTCCATCAGGAGTCTCACACTCCTGTGTCCATGAGGAATCTCACCCAGGAAGCTCCCCGGATTCACTCCCAAATGGTAGGAACTAAACCCACAGGAAGGAACTCCAGGCATCTTCTTTGCTGACTAGATTAGCCTCAGAGATTGCAGGAGAAATAAAATCTGGTGGTATCTGTGCCTGTTTTGGGAATACGTCACATGGGCCTTGCACATCACAGTTTCTCCAATGTTACACACACGTGAAGATAAAAAAAAAAAAAAGGCTGACAACTGTATTAATAGCAGAGGGTCAAACATTAGGTAAGCCCAGGTCACAAAAAGTTACCATTCACCCCATCTACTCATTCTCTTTATTGGCATCATCTTTATATTATGTTGCCTACAATTCCACTCTCCTTCTGCACAAATAGTTCATCCTTCCAACATGAAATTCAACCCACTGAAGAAAATCAGTGGGTTCAACCCACTGAAGAAAATCACTTTCTTCCTTCTCACACCTATCCCTGTGGGTCCCCACCAGTTACAGGGATATGCACTTCTCCATTCCTGAGGAAGTGAGTGAAGGGAAGGTTTTTGAGGAACATCACCAGGCAAGGCTGGTTGGTGACTCCTATGTAGTCAGAGGGGAAGTCTGGGTCCCAGAATGCTATCATTGTTACCGCAGTAATATCCAACCAGACAGAGTCCATTTATCATCGGTGAGTTTAGACCAGCAGAAAGTAAGCCACCCATCTGGTGGGAAATATTGTGGTCAAGGTCACTGATCAGGATGAACTGGAACATTTGTGGGCGAGAAGAGAGCAGCTTGAACTCTGGCACTGACGTGGTTTCACTTCATGTTTGTAACAATGGAGGTTCTCTCGGCAACCCAAGACCCTAAAATGAGGGACGTGTGACTGTCCTTTGAGTGTGAACTTTAACATCCACACACAAGGGATGAGTGCAGAGGCTGGAAGACACCCCTGAGAGCGGCAGGATGGCTAAATAGTCTGGAGCACTAACTGCCAACTGAGGGGTGACCTCAATCTTTCACAAAAGGCTGGGTCCTCTTCCCAGGAGAGGGGCAGCTATGGAAAGCCTCAGTGCGCATGAGCTGCAGCAGCTCTGTCCTCATCGCCAGCCTCATGAGCAGCAGGAACATGAGCTCACTGGAGGGACCCTGTTCTCACTCCTCTCAAAGAATGGTTTGTGGAACATGGGGGAGATATTCTGGGGGGCAAATGTAAACCCTGTATCGTGGTGAACGTGTGAAAGTGCTATGTTTGAGGTCTTCAAGTATGAATTTATTTAACATTTCAATTCTTGAAACTGAGGTACTAATAACGTGAAACCCAGTCTACATGTTCTATACAAGAAAAATAAAAACTGTCTCTACGGGCTGAGGTGCTGGGCATCCTAACCAATCACTATTTTAAGGCTGAAAAGATACAGAGAAATTCTGATAGACGCTACGGACATAAAAATAAAGCACGTTGTTTCTTTGGCTGTCATCTATTTCTCATGGGCTGGTGACAATAAACCATCAAGTTTATGCTCTGCCCAACCATGCCCTCCAAGGATTTTCTCAGATGGAAAAGATTCAACTTCTTACCTCCCATTCCCTTGTTTGTTCTCTTGTGCTCAACTGCAGACTGTCACATTGTTCTGTCTCTGCCCTCAGTTTTGTCACAGCCTCCTGCAGTTTTTCCTGATGAAAATTGGGTGAGGAAAGAAAGCGTAGTTAAGACGACAGATTCATCAGGCTCCTGAGAGGAATCCCTGGCTTCCAGGAGACTACAATGACATGAAATATCATCGAATCCTTACACTCTCAGTATAAGCGCCCCGAGGACTGTGTGCAGTGATACAGGTGATCCCTTTTCACAGGGCACTTGACCGGATGGCTGCCATCATGTCTGCTGTAGAACTGGAGGCTGGGGAAGGAGTAACTAACCTGCCCAAGGGCTATGACTATCGGTTCTTGAGCCTCATGTGCTGACCCTCACAGAGCTACAAGAACCTCTACAGCTGTACCAGGAAACGCTGTATGCAGAACAAGACAGTAACCATCTAAAAGAAGCCTTTGTCTACCTCCTTTATGTGGAAAGTTGTGTGTGTCCATCACGACTATTCCAGGAATCTCCCCGGATTCACTCCTAAATTGGTGGGGCCCAAACCCACAAGAACGAACTCCAGGGCGTTTTCTTTTGCTGATTGGTGTAGCTTCGCAGACTGCAGGAGAAATAAAATCTGGGGGTCTCTGTGCCTATTTTGGGAATCTGTCTCATGAACTTGCACATCCTCTTTTCTCTAATGTTACACACATGTGAAGATAAAACAGACCAGGTGTGTTTGGTCTACACCCCATGGTCTACAGCAGGGGGTGATCACGGCAGGAATGTACAAGGACAAGACTCTCCCCACCTCATTAAAGTCCATATGGACCAAGGGACTATGTTTTGGGGAACTAACATGTCTCAATTTTCAGAGGCATGAGATGATGAAAGTTTTATTTCCAGTCACAATCTTGGGTTTTAGCTGAAATAACGATGTATCTGGGAGTTCAGTTTTAAGTGCGGGCTGCTGCAGATCAGGGGTGCTACTCACCTCGGAGTCTAGACATGTCTCTTTGACTAGATGGTTGTGTCCGCTGTGCTGGGGGGACCGCACAGAGAGCCTGCACGTGAGCTGCGCAGTGTCCTCAATGACCTGGTGGGGCTGGTCCCCGTAACCCTCACACGGCCCCTCACGCTCCAGCTCCACTTTGGCTTCAATGAGACCTAGTACTGTAAGCAGGTCTCTGTCCATCTCCAAATCTGCCTGACACGAAGGATAGTCCAAGCTCCACGATGATTCCTCTGGTTGCCCCTCAACACTGCCTCCTAAGTACCCGCGGCAGCAGCTGTGCGCGCAGGAGAAGCTCACAGGATCTGTCATCAGCTCATGGCAGATGGGGCACGTGGCTTCCATCCTCATCCTCTTGGCCGTGGGGTCTGAGGCTGTGGCTCCTCCTGGAAAGCTCCAAATGGTGGTTAGAGGCAGAGATGAAGTAGGCACAATTCTTCACAGTGAAGGACACACAGTATGTGGGCCTTTGGGCCTCCAAAAATACCATTTAATTGATTACAGTTTATTTCTAATAATTACAGGTAAGAAATGTTTTAGTAATGAGGGTTTTTAAAAGAAAAAGAATTCTTTAGGGGCAAGACAAGCTTTTTCAGAAACACACTGAACCATAATGTAATGTCTTGTGTAAAAGATAACAGTAGATAAATCAACAAGTGAAATCTGAACGCGAGTTATAGCAATTGCTGCTTTTCCCTTCATTTGTCTTTGTTGGTTCAAAATCAGAGATACTCTAATTTAAATTGCTGACGGAATTCATTTGTCTGACGGGGAGAGGAATCATTAACAGGTTCATAATCCCTTATCTGAAACCCTTGTGGCAAAATATAAAAATTCAGAATATTTATGAGGTTATAATGGCAACGTACAGATCTTCTAAATTATGTGTCCACCTGTACCAGTGTCTGCTATAGCCTTGAATCAATGCATCAACTGTCCTGCAGCAGATAGGGCTAATAAAGATGTTAAGTAAAGTCAGATGAGTGCAGTTCAGGGGCAGAACAACAGAGGGTGCCTCCAGGGAGTTTGCATGATCCCTGCCTCCTCATTTTCCCAGCCTTGTAAAATTCCTTCCATGTGAGTGTGGGCATAACCTGAGAATTGCCTCTGAGCAATGGCAAAAATAATGGGATGCACCACTATGGTCATGTTTCCTTACATCAGACCCCACATTACAGTTGATTATTTAAAGACCATCTCCTCAGCTCAGCTCACTTTCAAGAAATAACAAGCCATGTGGAAGGCCCATGTGCCATGTGATGAGTGGTGGCGTCCAGAAGCTGAGGCAGCTCTCAGGTGACAGAATCAGGGCCTAACTCCTACACCCACAAAAAACAGGAATTCTACCAACAACTGGAAGAAGATGGGGAGAGGATTATTCCCCACAGGAATCAGCAGATGACATGCGGCCCAACCAGCACTGTAACTGCCCTTAGTGACCCCACCTGAGCTGTGGCCAGATTTCCCACACACGATTCTTTCAGAAAATGTGCGTATTTAGCTCCAAGCTACCAAAGTGTTTTACAGTAACATATAACTGAATAAACCAGCATATAATTTCTGGACAGGGCTAATTTAGGAGATAAATGAGTTAGGGGGGAACGCTTAGCTTTTTAGTGCCTTTGAACTCTGTAATTGTGGATGAGGGATTTGAAAATGTTATTTGTGTCAAGGTCCTAAAACTATTTCCATCATATTCCTTTAGGTATTGTTCCCAGACTTACTGAAATATTAAGTGTAAACTTCATGGCCCAGTTACTGTACTAAGCTCCTTACAAAGATTGATGCACTTAATTCTTTCGACAACCTGTAAAAGGGAAACTGGAATCAAGGAATTGATTCACTTGGGGGACACATCTAACCAATGGGCGAGCAGGCATCTGAAGAGTCTCCAGAGGTCCCCAGTATCCTGTGTCCCTGAGGAAGCTCTGGAGCATTCTGAAATCTCTACTAGAAGAACAACTACACACCCTGTCTGCCTGTCAGCCTGCCCAGGGTAGTTTATGAACCTTGTCACTAAAGACTTCTTGACGTTCCATACCTTTGTCGGCCTTTAATTTTTTCCTCCCATCACATTGTCGCTCAGAATTGTTGCAGTCAGTTTGAGGCTCCGAAGACATGGACTCTGGGAATGAACTCCTAGACTCAGAAGGGGACGGATTTCTTCAGTGGAACATTCCATGAGCTTACGTACTCAGACCCCTTCCCTCCAAATAAAGAAAACGCTTACCTGGTCAAGGTGTCTTTCACGTCCTGCAGAGACACAAGGAAAAATGGTGAGTTAGGGAATCCCCATGTTTTATGGGGCTTGGCATGAAGGGTGTCTCTGTAAACCCTTGATCTAACAAGTAAAGCAGTGAGTCCCACCCGGATAACGATGGATGCCCAGGTCTGATGAATCCCATCCCCACCCCCAAGGGCCCAGAGCACGGCAGCAAATTGCTCCTGCCAGAGCCCAATAACCTGCTCGCTGTGACTGTGATCACAGCAGCGTGTGGGCTGGTGGAGGAGGACGTCGGAAGATCCTGTCCTGCATATGTTCTTTCAGTGGACCTGCCTGCCTTCAGATGAGTCTATGTTAAATCACTTACACACAGGACTTTCCTTAGTGACGAATCCACACACAGCTCATGAGAACGGGCCACTGAGTTGATGGCTGGTTGCCCGTACAGGTGGAGCAAGTCAGGTGACACTGAAACTTTTCAGTGAGACTGAGTGGTTTTTAAAATAAATAGCTCCCAGAATTAATGTTTCTGGGGTAGATCCCTCAGGCCTTGGAGAAAGGTCCAGGAAGGCCTCTTAGAGCATGTGAGCTATCCACAAACAAGGAAGGAAGTTCTCAAACACATGGCAGCCAACAATGGATGTTTGCACCAGTCACCTCGTGGAGTCTCTCAGGAGAGAGTCTGATAGTAGTCTTTGTGATTTATTTTAACACTCTCCCCTGTGTCCCCATCACACACACACAGAAAATTCTGTTCAGCTACAAAGACGCTCTTCACACGAATCCCTGGAAGTGGAGGAATGTCCAAACTTTACTGCTGCTGAATCGATGGGGAGGCTGTCATCATTCTCTTTATTGGCATCATCATCTTCATGTTGTAGTGCCGCCATCTCCACTCTTCATCTGCACAAATAGCTCATCCTTCTGACATGAAACCCACCCACTAAACACCATGACCTAGGTTCCTCCTCCCACGTGCTCCCCACCAGGCACAGGGACACATAAATCTCCATTCCTGAGGGAGTGTGTTTGAGGGAAGGCTTTTGAGGAACATGACCAAGCAAGGCTGGTAGATGACTCCCATGTCCTCAGAGGGGCGGTCTGGGGTGCAGACTGTGATCATAGTTACCAGCAATAAGCATCCACCCAGCCAGAGCCCATTTACATCTGTGAGTTTAGACCAGCAGAACCGTAACCACCCATCTGGTGGGACTTGCTTTAATTTGGCAGACACAGTAATGCAGTTACCATGGCTACACTATCAGCTCACACAGGGTGGCAGTGACTGAGATACTGTGCTCAAAGTCACTGATCAGGATGAATTAGAACCTTTGTGGAGGAAGAGAGAACAGCTCCAATAGTGGCATTGACATGGTTTCCCCTCACGTCAGTAACAACGGAGGTTCTCCCCACTATTCAAGACCCTAAAATGAGGGATGTGTGACTGTCCTTTGAGTGTGAACTTTAACACCCACGCACAAGGGATTAGTGCAGAGGCTGGAAGACACCCCTGAGAGAGGAGGATGACTAAATAGTCTGGAGCACTAACTGCCAACTGAGGGATGACCTCAATCTTTTGCTCAAGGCTGGGTTCTCTTCCCAGGAGAGGGGCAGCTATGGAAAGTCTCAGAGACCCCCAGTGTGCATGAGCTGCAGCAGCTCTGTCCTCATCGCCAGCCTCCTGAGCAGCAGGAACATGTGCTCACCTGGAAGGACACTGTTCTCACTGCTCCCAAGAATGGTTTGTGGAACATGGGGGAAGGAATATGGGGGGCAAATGCAAACCCTGTATGTTGGTGAATGTGTCAAAGTGATATGATGAGGTCTTCAAGTCATGAAGTTATTGAACACTTCAGTTCTTTAATCTGAGGTATTCATGATGTGAAACCAGTCTAGGACTGTCTATATAAGAAAGATGTGCTGGGCATCCTAACTACTCACTATGATAAGGCTGAAAAGATACAGAAAAATTCTCATAGAAACTAGGGATGTAAAAATAAAACATCTTTCTTTGGCTCTCATCTATTTCTCATGGGCTGGTGAAAAGAAATCATCGAGTTTATGTTCTGCCCAACCATGCACTCCATGTATGCTCTAGGTGGAAAGAAAACTTCTTACCTCCAATTCTCTTGTTTGTTCACTTGACACCAACTTCTGAATCTTACACTGGTCTAACAGTTCTCTCAATTTTGTCCTGGACTCCAGGAGTTTTTCCTGATCAAAATTGGGTGAAGAAATAAAGTGTAGTTAAGATGACAGATTCATCAGGCTCCTGACAGGAATCCCTGCCTCCAAGAGACTAGAATGACATGAAATATCATTGAATCCTTACACTTTCAGTATAAGCACCCTGAAGACAGTGTGCAGTGATACAGGTGACCCCTTATTTCCAGAGCACGTGGCAAGATGGCTGCCATCATGTCTGCTGTAGAATCAGACTGGGGAAGGGATAACTAACCTACACAAGGGCTCTGTCTATCAGCATCTTGAACCCCATGTGCAGAGCTATACAGACCTTTGGGCAGAGCTATATGGACCTCTACAGCCTCCCAGGAAAAGGTGCACACAACAAGACAGTCACCATAAGAGAAGCCTTCCTCTACCTCCTATAAAAGGAAAGTTGTTTGTGTCCATCAGGATCTAATCCTAGAAGCTCCCTGTATTCACTCCCAAATTAGTGGGGCCCAAACCCACAGGAAGGAGCTTCAGGAAGTTTTCTTTTTGCTGATTGGTTTAGCCTCGCAGACTGCAAGAGATATAAATTTTAGTGGTCTCTGTGCCTGTTTTGGGAATCTGTCACACGACCTTCACATCGTGATTTCTCTAGCTTACACACACGTGAAGATAAATAGGCCAGTGTGTGTTCAGAGAACTGTATCTAGAGGAGGGGACATCACAGCAAGAGAGAACAGGGACAGAGTCTCCCCATTCTATGAAAGTCCATATAGACCGTGGGATGTGTATTGTGGAACTAACATGAACTAATTTTCCAAAGAATGAGATGATGGAAGTTATATTTCCAGATCACCATCTTGGGTTTCAGCCTAAATAACCTTAGATCTGGGAGTTCAGCCTCAGATCACGTGCTATTGCAGGATCGGGGCCCTCACTCACCTTGGAGCGCAGACACGCATCTTCGGCAAAGACATGGTTGTGTCCGCTGTGCTCGGGGGACTGTGCACAGCCACTGCAGATGAGCTGCCCGGTGTCCTCACACAACAGGTGGAGCTGCTCTCTGTGTTCCTCACACAGCTTCTCACTCTCTAACTTCCTGTGGTCTGCACTGATGTATTCACCTAAACGCTTGATAACTTCCCTACGCATTGATACCCGAAGCAAATGATAATTGGAGGCCCATCTCCACCTTGGTCTGCTCTCCCTTGGTTGCTGCCCTGACATCCCTGGTTGCTCCGCTGACATCTCAGGTTGCTCTGATGTCCCTTGTGGCTCCTCAATGCTGCCCTCTATGCACCGTTGGCAAAAGCTGTGCCCGCAGTCGAAGCTCACAGACTCCATCATTAGCTGCTGGCAGATGGCACACGTGGCTTCCTCCCTCTTCCTCTTGTTAGTCGGGGCTGAGGCCATGGCTCTTCCTGAAAAACTTCAAGTCGAGTTGAGAGGCAGAGATGAAGTAGACACAATTCTTCACAAGGAAGGACACGCAGGTGACCTGGGCTTTTGTGTCTCACAAGTCTGGAAATCTGTCTGGAAGAAAAAACTGGGGATTTGGAAGATGCTCGCGCTGTGCATGTGCTGTACAAACACTGATCCCCTGTCACATCTGACCACTAAAATAGAAGTTATTGAAAAGTAAAGGCATTTAAATTTCAGCCCCTCAGCCCCATGAGCTGTGTTTCAATGGCTTCATGTCAGCCCGAACGCAGCTCCATCACACCCAGACACACCATATCCCACCACTGCAGAAACTCTCCTTGGGGAGGAGCTGACAGAGACAGAGAAGAGAGGAGACTCCTCACAAAAGTTGTAGTTGGAGAGAGACCTCAGCGAGGGGGAGTGAGACTCTTTCCTACTGGATTGAACGTCCAGAGAATCAGCGGCTGGAACCGCTTCTCTGTGAGCAGTAGGGCCACTTAGGGCAGGGTCTGTGAGGGATTCCAGTGAGACAAAATACATCTGACCCTACTGACCTCCAACTCCCAGGTCTCCTGCCCCAACTCACACACCCAGAGGACAAAATAAACAGTTTCGTGAAGTGGATAATAATAAACTCAACAAGACAATGAGAAGCTGTTTGTCCTGTCGTTTTCAGTGACTGGAGAGAAAGAGAATTGGAAAGAGCTGGAAGACGAGGTGGTGCTGGGGCCGAGCTCCAGGACACCCTGGGGGACACCTGTCCCTTCTGAACCATGACTCCTCCCCAGAGCAAGTCCCTGGGGAATGGAATCCAGGGTTGGCTCCACCCAGGGGTGGGGAGGTGGGAAGCAGTGGGGGGGCAGGTCTGGTGGGGACACTAGGGACTGGACCCCCTAGATTCTTCATAACCCGCATCTGAGAGCCAGACAGGGGAGGAGGAACAGGAGCCAAGGGGCCTCCTCCCTCAGCCCCTGCTCAGGGAACTTAGTGTGCCCCCCTCCCTGCTGTGGGCTGGGGGGAGACAGTGGAAATGGAGGAAACTTTAGTAAGATTTTCTTTGAATTGACAGTGCTCCGAATTAAAATCTGGAATTCAGCTAAATTACTGATCAGGCTACGCCCCTCAAAAATCAGGACAACCTTCTGCCTTCACTGAGAATTTCTCCTAGAGATTTTGATCCTTGGCAGGTTAATCCCCAGTCCCCCGCCCCAGGATGTGTTTGCCTTCCTACTGCCAAGGGGCACTGCAATCCTGCACAGAAGCTCCCTCCTCTGACCCAGGGGCTGAGGTGGTGGCCCTCACTCACCTTATGACCTGGGTCTGCTGAGGTGGGGCCTGTGGTCTGTGAAAGAGAGAGACAAGGGGAAGCCATTAAAAGCAAGTTCTAACCACTTTCAGATTCTACGGGCACCCTCACTGCCTCCCATAAAACACACACACACACACACACACAGGCATGTTAGCAGTTCTTTTGAAAATGTTGGCCTGAATTTGGTCACTACCTTCACCACTTGCCACAGTCTCAGGCCCCTCTACACCGCGATGTCTGATGGTTACAATGAAGAAGTTAACTTGGACTGTAAAACTCAGAAATAAAAATAACATAGGGGTCAAACTCTGGACATTAGGAAGAATCTTGTCGCTATGCCAGAGTGTTTGGTACTCAGCTTGTCCCAAGAGGAAGTGGACACAATATAAATGATACCCTTCATTTGTAGCAATGGAAAAATGTGACTGTATAGTGAGCAATACACTTCTCTCACAAAATGTAGAGTTAAGTGAACAGTCCAGTGGACCGTAAACTAAACATCTTTCAAATAAATGAAATTGACCAAATACATGTTCATAAACTTCAGGTTCAAAAAGAAAAATCAATCAATGAATCAATCAAAATTTATCTGGATTGATAGTTATAAACAGTAAAAAGAACCTTCAGGTGGTTATTTTAACTGCATTTCAGAAGTTCCAAAGTTACACAGACACCTAAAATTAATTTAAAAGACCCTAAGGGCCTCCCTGGTGGCACAAGGGGTTAAGACATAACCTATGAAGCTATTCCCAGCCACTGCAGCACAAGTTCTATCCGCCCCACCCCAGCTACCCACATGGCGCAGCAGACCTCTCCTGACTCGATGCACCCCTGACCTGCTGCACTCCTGACCCCCTGCACCCCTCAGCAATGTATTTCAGTCAGTCTGCCTGTTCTGCTCCCTACTCTGTCTCTGGTGAATTCAATCCTCTCACCCCCCACACCTCTAGCCAGTACCTCAGTTCTTGTATGCATAAATAAATCTTAAAAAATAAAAATAAAAACTGAGAAACAAAAATGAAACAGAAGGCACAGCAAAAGAAACTCTAAAAAACAAAACCGAAAGAGAATAAAACCAAATAATGACCGAGGTACTTGTGAGCTCTGCACCTGCAACTGGCCTGTGTGTAAAGGGGGACCAACAGGGGAGGAGCAGCAAGAACATGAAGAGAAATAACAGCTGGAAACATGTTAAAGCTTTCCGGAAACGACCCAGGCCGCCCCCAGGGGAGAGAGTGACCAGAGGGTGGGGCCTCCCCTGCCCAAAGAGACTCAAGAGACTCAGGGAGTCTACAAAAGTAGAAAAGGGGAGACAGGGAGTGGGTGAGGGGTACAGGGGGAAGGGGAGAAAGCCAAGGGGGGGTAAAGAGGGGGGAGCAAGGGGGAGGGGTGGGAGGGAGAGCAGATGGCAGAGGTGGAGGGGAGAGGAGGGAGGGGGAGAGTTAGGAGGAGGCTTGGGAGAGGGAAAGTGAGGGGGAGGGTGAAGGAGCAAGAGAAGGGGACGGGGGAGGAAGGGGGATGGGGAGGAAGGGGGAGGGAGGGGGAGGGAGAGCAGTAGGCAGGACAGGGAGAGGGAGCTGGAGGGCAGGAGGGGAGGAGCAGGAGGGGGAGGGCAGAGGAGGGAGAGGGAGGGAGAATGAGGGAGAGGGAGGGAAGGGGGAGGGAGGAACAGAGTGGGGAGAGAGGGAGGGGGAGGGAGGGAAGGAGATGGGGAGGGGGAGGGAGGGGAGGGGAGGGAGGGAGAGGGAGCAGGCTCTGGCCAACACCTGGGCACACACTCTCCCTCCCGCCCACCTGTACCTGGCACCTGCAGAAGCAGCATCTCCCGGGCTGGAGACCACAGTCCTCCAGAGCTCAGGCCACCCGGAAGTCCCCGCAGGGCCTGCTGGGAGCGGTGACTCAGGCCGGAAGTGGGGGGGCTGGGGGGGACATAGAGGGGAGGTGCGGGGGAGGAAGAGATTTGTGGTCCAACTGCACCCGGCTTGAGGGGGAACCACATCTCCACTTCCTGGCGCTGCCGGCCCCGCCCGTGTCTGGAGACTCCCCTGAAAGACACCCGTGACCCTCCCGGGCCTGATCAGGCCCCTCCCAGGGCAGGGCTGTGCTGGAGGCCGGGGGCTTCCTGAGTTCACCTTCTCGTTTCTCAGAACCACCTGAGGGAACAGGGAAATGTTAACTTTTTTTGTTAATGTGAGGGTTGAACACGTGATTTGCATCACGCTACTTTTTCATCTTCCACCAGCATCACCACAGTCACTGCAGAGGAAGCTGCGGGGGGAGGGGGGGTTCTCTGGCTCAGCACCAGCCTGGCCCGCCCCCTCCACCCTGATTCTGTCTCCCCCTCCTCTGCTCCCCGGGCAGACCCGCCTCACCCCACAAGGACACCCCCATTCCCTTCTCTTCACCACCCCCAGTCAGACTCGGTTTCTCCCTTTTCCAGACCCGCCTCCGGGGCTGCAGGGGGGGAGGGGCCAGCGGGGTGGGGGCGGGGCCAGCACTGGGGCGGGGCTCCCGGAGGGCGGGGAGAGGGGAGGAGGAGGGGAGGGGGGAGGAGGGGGGGGGAGGGGGAGGGAGGGAGGAGGGGGAGGGGGGAGGGGAGGGAGGAGGGGAGGGAGGAGGGGGAGGAGGAGGGGGAGGGAGGAGGGGGGAGGGTGGAAGAGGTGGGGAGGAAAGAGCCCCCAGTAGGCGCTCCCTGGAGCTTTCCTTTCCCATAGATGCTGGGGGGGCCCGTTGCTTGTTCTCCTCCCTCTGCGAGTTGTGGGGACTGGAAAGCGCAGCCCCCCCTGTTTAAGCAGCCCCTGCCTCTGTGCTCTTGTTTCTCATCTGCGGGCGTCTCCTCAATAACTGACCATCCCGTGAGAGAATCACCCGAGAGCATGGCGGGTTGTTCTCAGACAAGAGCCAGTCATGACAAGCGTCTTTATCAGAGATCAACTTGCCCCACGGCCTTTCATCACTTCAGTTTCCAGGACGATGTCGCTGCCAATGCCAGGGACAGGCTGTCACTGAAATTCCTGCATCCTCACAGGCAACCGCCCTTGTCAGCTCATGGGCTGTGCAGAGGCTGGATTTCATCCTCTGCTATTGGTTTCCTGTAGATGGAAGTGGGCTCTGAGGTCAAAGACAGCCCCAGGCGCCGCCCTGCCTCCATCCTGCTCACCTGTGACTCAGGAATGTCCCCACCTCAGGGGGCCCAGGGTAAAGGCCCTAGTGGGGTGTTACCTTGAATGTCTACAGCGCCCACAACATGTGCACAGGGGGTGCTGTGTTGGGGAGGGTTGTACTCAAATCATTCACCCCACTCCCTGGGGGCCTCTCGTGGACCTGAGTAAGGAGCAAGAAGTGACCATGGGCACCACTTCTGGGAAAAGAGACCCTCCGTGTCCCTGTGGACACTACATGGCAACCCTCTGCCTGGTGCCTCTAAAAGGCCTTTTGAATATGTGTGGCCCAGGCTGAGGGTCACTGCGTTATCAGGCAGCTTCCCAGGTGACCGGGATACACAGCAAGGGACAAGGACCTCTAATCTGGGCTAAGTTCAACCCAGGAAGGAATCCTTTCCTCTGTCATTTCTGACTAAAGTTCCCTCTTTTCTGGGGAAATGGATCTCAAAGAAGGGAGGAAATTACCCAGGAATCCACAAAGATGAAATGATGGTGCCCAAGGATCCCTCATTAGCAGGTCACACATGTGAAAGTGCTTTGCAGGTTTTATATGAATTAACCCCCAAAACCCTGTTTTTGTGCTCCATGCCTCAGGCTTTGTGCCTGAGCACTTCTCACAACAACCTGGGAGTAGAGCTCCAGTATCACATGGAGGAAACCGAGGCCTGGATGGATGGTGTCACATGTCCAGTTTTACAGAAAATCAAATCAGACATAAACTAGGCTCTGCATTGGAAGGTAGAAAAACTTAATTTTATCTCCTTCTAGTATCTTCCTCTGATACAGCGTGTCCATCTCACTAAAACCAGCTCTCAGGAGTGGTAGCGTCATGTAAAAACAACCAACCCCACACATTCCCACCGTCCTCTGAGAGTTCAGGGCTGGAAGAACAGAGAAGTAGGAGAAGAGCGGCTAAAACAGGCAGGCCAAATTTACAGTGTTAAATTTTTTAGCAGGTATTTTTCGTGTACCATGTGCTTATAATATTTTTATACATAAACTTGATTGCCCAATGTATTTTCTGAGAAGTTTTTTTTTTTATATGACCAGGAACAAAAAACAAAGGGATGTTAAATCTTCAGCCCCACGGTGTGAGGCACAAGGAATCTTCAGCCCCACGGAGTGAGGCTATTTGAGCTTCGGCCCCACAGTGTGAGGCCCTTTTCTTAGCTGCTTGCCAGTGTCTTACCTGGCTGGGGCAGCAAGACCCCGGCAGCATAAAACAACACTTATATGGATAATTGATCTTTGACAAAGGAGCAAAGAATATGGAATGGAACACGGACAGTTTGTTCAATAAATGGTGCTGGGAAAACTGGCCCACCACATGCAAAAAAATGAAACTAGACCACTACTTTTCACATGCACAAAAATCTACCCAAAATGGATAAAAGAACTGGATGTAAGACCTGAAACCATAAAATATATAGAAGAAAACATAGGGAAAGACAACATACATGCAACAAGATCTTTAAAGACTCATCACCCAAAGCAAAGAAAATCAAGGAAAAGATAAACACCTGGGATTACATCAAACTGAAACGCTTCTGTACAGCAAAAGAGACATTAACCAAAACAGAGAGACTCCCCACTGATTGGGAAAAAAATCTACCTTCATTTTCATCCTACTCTTTTATTTCTGAAAATCGTCTGATCCAATATAGTGACATGTTAACTGTTCCTAATCTGATGTGAATCTGCAGGTTTGAGTGACATGAGTGTTTGCACGTTCCCGTTAGAAATCTGTCACAGATCCAGTGACTGCAGACCACGGCCACAGGCAGGAGGGGTACAGGGTTCTCTGGCTCAGCATCAGCCTGGCCCCCAGTTTGGGGAACTCCTGCCATCTCCCACTCCCCACAGCACCATGGGGGTCACTCCACTCACCTCACCTCTTTTCTCTCCCATGTAGTCACACCTGCAGTCCCCAAATGATCACCTGCAGTTTCCTTTAGAGTCAGCCATTTTCTCAGAGCTTTCACTTTTCAAAATGGAGAAGAGTCTCCCTGGAGACACACAGGACATCCTCGGGGAGCTGCGTCCAGCTCTTCTAGGTGAGGGCGGTGAGTGGTCTACCAGGTGCAGGGAGACTGGGTCTGTGCAAGGGAGCTGGCCTGTCAAAGGCGCCAGAACACAAGGACAGACGCCCTGGGTATCTAGAGGTTGTAGGGGCCTTTGGAAGGGACATGTAATATATTGTGTACATTCCCTTCCTAGAGCAAAAGCACAGACTTTACAGATAGATCAATACCACCACCTCCACACCAAGCCTTTCCAAAGCCAATCACTTAACAACTTCTGTTGCCATTGTTGAGTTGGACTGTGCACCTTTATGAAAGCAGCATGTGTTAGTTGTTAACGTTTTCTTCCCTTTCTTGAGACAGTTAAGTCAGTCTTTTCAGAAGCACTTAACCACGGGTTTTAATTTAATTTGCAATTTGTTCTTCAAGTTACTCTCAAAATTATAATTTCCAGTATATGCTCTTGCATGCTTTAGTTCGTTCCCATGTACTCCTTGTTAAAAAATCTCTGGGTAGCCAGTGGTTTATCTAAAAAAGAGAGTTTTCCCCCTAAAGACCAACAGAGCCTGTTTTTCTTTCTATAATTTGCCTGCAACTAAGAGTTTCTAATTTTCCCTTTACTATATTTTTTGTTATGGTTTTCACAGAATTGTTCTATTTTCCTTGTCTGAATGATTTCTTTACCATCAATTTTTGTTGTTGTTGTTCAAAATCTTAATGTTGAAGGGAACATAATTTCCTCTGAGCACAGTAATTTGCATTGGCCTGCCCAGAGGAGGGAGCTGCCCCTGGCTGGGAAGGTCACACTAGGCTGAGACAGGACCCAGGACACCAGGAGGGGAGGGGAGACTCAGAGAGTTTCTAGAGCTGGGAGGTGAGGCTGTTAACCTCACTTGCGTCCATTGAGTTGACCTCCAAGACACCCAAACTGATGGGGAAAAAGCCCCCACATCTGGTGTCAGCCATGAAGTGTGTGAGGTCATGGGAGCGCAAAGGAGAAAGTGGGGACTTTTCCCCAACACAGGTGCCTCCTGCACGGACATGGAGCCCTGCAGGAAAATCTCAGAGGGGTGGTTACAGCTTGGGCTGAGGGAATTTTCAGTAAAGAATAGAATTATTTTTATGCATTGAGAAGACAAAGGAAAATGACCTTCTTTGTAGGTGGGAGCTACGGGAAGGCGCCTCTGTGGTGAGGACGGCAGACAAGGGTCAGAGTCAGCAGGTGTGTTCTGTGTCTGCCCCTGGTGTGCTCTCTGGGCTGAGGAGGGTCAGGAGGTCTCTGGTGATAACTTCTGTCTTCTGATAAGAATAGATGATGACATCATAGAAATGTATTTCCACAATTCGGCAATAGGAAGAGAGCAGAGAACTTTTCTTCATCTGATTTTTCTCAATAGGCTTCAGCTCAGCAATTATTCTGTGTCAAAAATGCATATTGGAGGAGTCCATTCTGCAATCCTTTACTTTCAAGTCACAAGCTGACTCCAGGAACATGGCTGGAGACCTTCTAATGCTGGGGATGCGGGTGATAGCATTGATGCAATGTCTGGTGACTGCACCTGACATCCATGGTATAACATGGGCGTGTGTGTATGTGTTTACTTAATTACTTTTTTATTTTTTCAATTTATTTGTTACACCATTGTTCATTTTTAAACAATATGTGATTTCCCCACCCCCTCAGGTGTAGTCCCCATAGAGTTTCCTTCACCAATGCACCTGTGCACCATCATCTCAGTCCCCTGTGGTCCGCCATCCCTCCCTCTGGTCCCTCTCCCTCCACCTCCCCTGCAAGATGTCTCTGTTTTATAATTCTCTGTATTTGTTTTGTTGTGTTTTGTATTGTTATTATTATTTTTTATTTTAATTTTTTTAAAGATTATTTATACAAGAACTGGGGTACAGGTCAGAGGCAAGGGAGGGTGAGAGAATTCACCAGAGTGGGGAGAAGAAAAAGCAGATGGAACGAAGACACTGCTGAGGGGAGCAGCAGGCAAGACAGGAGAGATCCGCCACATCATGTGGGTTTCTCCTTGGCCAGCCAGGAATCAAATGCATGCTGCAGGGGCTGTGGACAGCTTCACAGTGCAGTGCTCAACCCACTGTGCCACTGGGGAGGCCCTATTATTTTTTTTTAGTACACACTAGGTATGAAAGCAGTATATGGCTGTATTTCAGCTAAATGGTGATTGGTTAGGATGCCCAGCACCTCACCCCAAAGGGACAGAATTTTTTTTTTTTTAATTTTATTTTATGTAATTCTTACCTCATTTTTCATTTTTGCACAATGCATGCATTTTCATTTTGGTTATGTTGCCCATACAATTCCCACCCCCTCCTTCCCATATTGACCCTAATCCCTCCTCTCCTCCCCCTCCCCCATAGTATGTCTCTAGTTATAGTTGCTTATTGATTTTGATTTTTACTTTATTGCAATTAGTCTTTTTCTTGGTCCCTTATATAGGTTTTTAAATTCCTGCTATGAGTGAGACCATCCACTATGGAGAGCTGTGTGGAGATTCTTCAACCTACTAAAGATGGAGCCTCCATATGATCCAGCAATTCCACTCCTAGGCATTTAACCAAAGGACACAGAAACGTTAATATTTTTTTACACTGATTTTTCTCTTTGACTTCACTACCCCTTTCCTGGGCCAATGATTCACAAGACTTCAATGTCAACAAAAACGGGTGTTTTTATATCAAAAATCATTATAGTAATGTTTGGCAACTCAGTTTTTATTCTGTCATCATTGATGCTGTGTCATCAGTCTGACTACACCATGGTGCTGCTGTCCTTACACAAATCAGGTCAGGAAATTTAGGTGCGACAAGGCCTATTTGATCATATCTTTATCATGAAAAGACTATGAACAACACTATGGATGTATGTTTGAGATGTTCTAAAAATTCAAAATAACTGGCACTAGCACAGTCTGGTATAGAGCGGCTTCTTTTCCAGCACTGAGACCCCAACAGATTTCATGTTTATACATAACTTCCCCTTCATCGAGACCCTCGCACTAACCTCTGTAAATTTCTCCATGTCACTCCATTGTTGCCCAATAGACTTGCTAAGCCTGGTCATTGTCTGTAATTGGGAGTCACCCAGGACTACAGTTCAGATTTACCATCCACATGGCAGTGGTTAAAAGAATCACCACAGGCTTATCCTGGTTTCTGCAGTTGATGGAGGCAATTACCACTTCACCTCCCCCCACATGCCTTTTAATAGCATCAAACACACTGGAGCACTCAGCCCTCCAGGCTGCTGGCTACCCTGCTGCTCAGAGAAGGCCCATTGGAAATGAGGCCTCTAAGACGTGTGATCACAGCTTTTATCTTCCTTGCTCCCAGCACAGGCTGATCTTCTAGAGCATTTTGAATCTTCATACCCATTCATTCCATGCAGATTTATTTTTTTATTTTTTAAATATTTATTTATTAATACAAGAGCTGGGGTACAGGCCAGAGGAACAGGAGGGTGAGCGGATTCACCAGAGACAGAGTGGGGAGCAGAAAAGGCAGATGACTGAAAACAATGCTGAGGAGAGCAGCGGGTGAGTCAGCAGAGGTCTGCCATGCCATTTGGGTATCTCCCTGGCCGGCCAGGAATCAAACCTGCGCGGCAGAGGCTGCAGACAGATTCACAGTGCTGCGCTCAACCGCTGTACCACCTGGGAGGCCCTCTATGCAGATTCATTACTGATCAGTCACTGACAGCTCAGCACTGTTCCAAGTATAGGGAAAATAAGTAAAGAAAGCAAATGAAATTTCTGCCCTCAAGCGGGTCTATTATATTCCCTATGAAGGTTAAAGCAAGGTAAAACCAAGAGTAAACCAAAGATTTTACTCTTTTCTGATGTTTCTGGTAGAGGCAAGAATAAGGAAGAATGACTAACCTTGTAAAAGGCTCGGAGAGTATCACGGAAGGAGGCCTAAGCAAAAGTTTCCATGTGGGAGCCAGCTGTCATGTCCAGCCTCACAGTCCAGAAAGACCCCCCAAAAGTGGGATGGCTCCCGAAAAGAAGAGAAGTTGCGGGACCAGTCAAGTGAATGTGGTCATTGTGCATTTAATGGCCCAGAAAACAGACTGAGGCTCCAGCATCCCCTCTACATACATCCCTGGGCATATTCGCCAGACAAACTCCCAAATCACACTCAGCTCCTTCTCCACGTCCGCCGCAAAGTAATGTCTTCCTGAGGTGAAGCCCTCATAGCCCAGGCCACAGGGTCACACGTTAAACCACCTAGAAGTGTGAAGCTTCTTCTCAAGGGTGTGTCCATAAGTCACTTCTGTCTGGTTTTCAGACAGAATTAGATCATCCTGAGTTTTGTCTTCATTCAGAGGCACGCTGACTGCAAAATTGAACAAACATAAACCAACAATGACATGTTTATCAGCTAACAATAGCTCACCTTAAATAAAACCAGCCTATGTTTAATGTAAACTATCAGCTTCTTGATCCTCATCTGCTGAAGCTCTTATGGAACTAGAGGGACCTCTACAGGCTCTCCAGGAAACACTGCACACAGAACAAGTCAGTAACCAGGAAAAGAAGTCTTTCTCCACCTCCTCTATGTGGAAAGTTGTCTGTGTCCATCAAGACTCTATTCCAGGAAGCTCCCTGGATTCACTCCCAACTTACTGGGAGCTAAACCCACCATCTACTTCAAGGTCCCCGGGCAGTCTTCTTTTGCTGACTGGTTTGCCTCAACACACTACAGAAATAAAATCTGATGGTCTCTGTGCCCATTTTGGGAATCTGTCACATGACCTTGCACATCGTGGTTTGTCGAATTTTACACACATGTGAACATAAAACAGGCTGTTACGTGATGGGACAACTGTATTCCACAGCAGGGGACATCACAGCAAGAGTGAATAGGGACGAGCCTCTTCCCATCCTCTGAAAGTCCATATGGACTGTGAGATTGTATTTTAGGGAAACAAAATGATCTAATTTTTATAAGAACGAGAGGATGAAACTTTTATTTCCGGGTCACAATCTCAGGTATTGACCTAAATAACCATAGATGTGAGCGCTGACCTGAGAGCAGGTGCTGCTACAGGAGTCTGGGGCGCTCACTCACCTCATAGCCTGGACACACATCTTTGGCAAGGACATGGTTGTGTCCGCTGTGCTGGGGGGACTGTGCACAGCTCCTGCAGATGGGCTGCCCAGTGTCCTCACAGAACAGGGGGAGCTGCTCACACAGCTTCTCACCCTCTACCTCCCCGGGGGCTACTCTCTCGCCTTCCAATGGGACTTCCATTTCAAGCTGGAGCTTCCATAGGATTTGCTCTCTCACAAGAAGAATATTTGAAGGGTGGCCTCCTCCACCATAGTCATCTCCTCCTTGGTGCTCCCTGTTGTCCCTGGTTCCTACCCTGTTTTCCCTGATTCCTCCTCTGATGTCCCTAGTTTCTCCTCTGATTTCCCTGGCTCCTCCTCTGACATCCATGAATCCTCCTCTGATGTCCATGAATCCTCATCTGATGTCCATGATTCCTCCTCTGATGTCCCTGGTTGTTCCCCTGAAATGATCCAAATTGTGGTTAGAGGCAAAGAAGAAATAGACACAATTCTTCACAGTTAAGGACACACAGGTGACCTTGCCCTTGTGCCTCCACAAACACCATTTAATTGATTATAGTTTATTGGTAACAATTATGTAGTAAGAAATGTTTTGATAATGAGGACTTTTGAAAGAAGAATTCTTTAGGGGCTACACAAGCTCATTTCAGAAATATACTGAACTATAACGCAAAGTCTTGTGTAAAAGATAACAGTAGATAAATCAGCTCAGTGAAATCTGAAAACAAGTTACATCAATTCTTGCTTTTCCTTTCCATGTGTCTTTGTTGGATCAAACTCAGAGATACTCTAATTTATTTTATTTTTTAAAGATTTATTTATTTATTTATACAAGAACTGGAGTACAGGCCATTGTGCAGGAGGGTGAGAGGATTCACACAGAGAGAGTGGGAAACAGAACAGGCAGACTGACGAAATACACTGCTGAGGGGAGCAGCAGCATGACAGGAGAGATCTGCCTCGCCATGTGGGACCCTCACCGGCTGGCTGGTATCAAACCAGCGCTGCAGAAGCTGCGGATAGCTTCACAGCATAGAGCTCAATTGCATGGACCACGAGGGGAGGCCCAATACTGTATTTTAAAATGATGGCAGTATTCATATAGTGGGACAGGGGAGAGGAATAACTTACAGGTTCATAATGCCCTATCTGAAACCCTTGGGGCCAAATATAAAAATTCACAATATTTTTTGAGGTTATAATGGTCTAATGTACAGAACCTCTAAATTACGTGCCCACCCCCAGCAGGGTCTGCCAAAGCCATGAATCAGTACATTGCCTGTCCTGCACCAAGTAGGAATAATAAAAAAGTTAAGTAGAGTCAGATGAGTGCAGTTCAAGGGGGACACAATGGAGGGTGAATCTAGGGTGTTGGCATGATCCCTGCCTCCTCATTTTCCCAGTCTTGTAAAATTCCTTCCATGTGAGTGTGGGCATAACCTGAGAATTGACTCTGAGTAATGGCAAACATGATGGGATGCACCACTGTGGTTGTATTCCCTTACTTAGGACCCCATATTACAGTTGACATAATTTAAAGAGTATCTCCTCAGCTCAGCTCACTTTAAAGAAATAACTGGCCACGTGGAAGCCCATGGGCCATGTGATAAGTGGTGGCTTCCAGAAGCTGAAGCAGCTCTCAGGTGACAGAATCAGGGCCTCATTCCAACACCCACAATGAAACAAATTCCTCCAACAACTGGAAGAAGATGGGGAGAGGATTATTCCCCACATGAGTCACCAGATGACACACAGCCCAGCCAGCACCATATCTGCTCTTTGTGACCCCACCTGAGCTGTGCCCAGATTTCCCATGCACGATTCTCTCAGAAAATGCATGTACTTAACTTTAAGCCACTAAAGAATTTTACTGTAACATATAACTGAATAAGCCAGCAAATACTTTCTGGTTAGGACTAATTCAGCACAGAAATGAGTTAGAGGGAAACATTGAGCTTTTTAGAGCCTTAGAACTCTGTAACTGTGGGTGAGGGATTGGAAAATGTCATTTGGGTCAATGTCCTAAAACTATTTGCATCATCTACCTTTCTTGTATGTTCTCAGACTTCCTGAAATATGAACAGTAACCTTTATGGCCCAGTTACTGCACTGAGATCCTTACAAAGTTGATGCACTTAATTTTTATAAGAACCGGAAAAAGGGAAACTGGAATCAAGGAATTGATTCACTTTGGGACACAGTTAATCAATGGGTGAGCAGGCATCTCAGGGATCCCCAGAGGTCCCCAGTATCTTGTGTCCCTGAGTAAGCACTGGAACATCCTGGAATCTCCACGGCAAACATGGTTAACACTGAAGAATTCTTAACTTCCCATACCTTTGTCGGTCTTTAACTTCTTGCTCTCGTCACAGCTGAGCTCAGAATTGTTGCAGTCAGTGTGTGGCTCCGAAGACGCAGACTCTGGGACTGAACTCCTAGACTCAGAAGAGGATGGATTTCTTCAGTGGGACATCCCATGAGCTCTATGTACTCAGACTCCTTCCCTCCAAATAAGGATAGCGCTTACCTGTTTAAGGTGTCTGGCTCATCCTACAGAGACACAAGGACAAAAGGAGAGTTAGGGAATCCCCACGTCATGGGGCTTGGCATGAGGGGTGTCTCTGTAAACCCTCCATCCAACAAGGAAAGCAGTGAGCCCCACCTGGATGCTGATGGACACTCCAGTCTCTTGAGTCCCATCCCCACCCCCGAGGGCCCAGAGCACCGCAGCAAGTTGATCCTCCCAGAGATCACAGCAGTGTGTGGGTGGCCTGAGGACTTGGCTGGGAGACCCTATGCTCCCTCTGCAAGACATTCTTTCAGAGACCTGCCTGCCTTCAGATGAGTCTACATTAAATCACTTATCACACAGGCCTTTCCTTAGTGAAGATCCACACACGGCTCATGAGAATGGGCCACTGCAGTGGGACAGGTGGCCCGTGCAGGTGGAGCAAGTCAGGTGACATTGAAACCTTTCATTGGGACTGAGTGGCAAAAAAAATAAACAGCTCCCACAATTCATGTTTATGGGGTTAATCCCTTATGCCTCAGAAAAAGGTCCAGACTGGCCTCTTTAAGTGAGCGAGCTATTCACAAACAAGGGAGGAAGTTCTCATACACGTGGCTGTCCAACTGCTGGTGGCTGCACCAGTTACCTTGAGGAGTCTCTCGGGAGAGAATTTGACAATCAGAGTTCTGTGCATACGGGACTTACAAGAATCCTTACTGTAAAAAAAGAAAACTATTCTCTTTTAAAACATGTGTTTACATCAAAGTCATATTTTAAAGAGATAGTAGTATCATGGCCATTGCAATGTCTTACTAAACACAGAGGATGTCATAACCCTAAATGAAAGTTAAGTGAGATGTGCATTTAAAAGGAAAAAAAAAAAGGTATTAAACATGGATATTTTGAAGGTCTGAAAGCAGGATCTTAGAAAAAGGAAGAAGGTAAAAGCAAGTGTTAAATGTCTTAAAGAGTGTGAGAGTGTTTGAAGAAAGCCAAAGCAAGTGTTGAAGGTCTGAGCGAGAGGGAGGAAAAGAAATTTTCAAAAAGTGTCAAAAAGGCAAAAGCAAGAAGATGTGAAAAGACAAAAGAAAGTAGGTCAGAGAAAGGAATTTTTTTTTTTTAAGATTTTATTTATTTATACAAGCAGTACAGGGCAGAGGTGTGGGAGGGTGAGAGAATTCACCAGAGAAAGCAGGGAGCAGAACTGGCAGATGGACTGAAGACACTGATGAGAGGAGCAGCGGGTGAGGCAGGAGAGGTCTGCCGCGCCATGTGGGTTTCTCACTGGCCGGCTGGGAATTGAACCTGTGCTGCAGAGGCTGTGGACAGCTCTACAGCATGGTGCTCAACGCACTGTGCCACCAGGGAGGCCCAAGAAAGGAAATTTTTAAGAAAGCAAAGTAGTGTTGTAAGAAAGGAAGAAAAAGTGAAAAAAGCCAAAAGCAAGTGTTAAAGAAAAGTAAGAAAGCAACGAAAGTGTTTAGGTGTGAGAGAGGGATCTTAGGGAAAACAAATGTCTACATGCTGCAATGACTCACTACAAATGCTAAAAGCTCCAGTGATTCTAGCAGTTTCTTCATTAGCTCCAGAGGTTGAACATGGCCTTGAAGACCTACACTGACATGGAGGAGACCAGTCAGGCTGAGGAAAAACAGAGAAAAATGAGGGAGAAGACAAAAGAAGGCCCCAGTATATGGCAGTTGGCGCAGCGAGCCCCCACCACCTCAGACTCGCCTGAGGCCCCATCATCCCAGGCATTCAGGACGTCACCCTGTTCATGGGCTGCCAGCGTGCTTCTACTGCCAGCAGCCAGGGCACCTCAGCCACGAGTGTTTGAAGAAGCCACCCCCATGCCTGCCCACAGTGCCACTGCACAGGCCACTGCAGGAGGGACTGTTCCACTCTGAGAGAGACAGGGGTCAGCCCAAACCACAGGCCAAGACGGGAGGAGAGGCTTGACCATCAGCCACCTCTGACTATGTAGAACCAGGTAGAGGAGAAGAAGATGTTTTCTAAAGAAGCCCAGAGATTAGATAAACCTTGGGTGACCCTAAAAGTGGCAGACAAAAACAAATCACCCTCTTGGTGAGTAAGGGACCACTTACTCTGCCTTGCTCCATTGTCCCTACACTGGCCTACTGATGACTAGCCTGAGCCAGGACACTTTCATACTTCTAGTGAGATAAAAGTAAACCTACTTGTTAAAAAAAAAATCTATATTATAGAAGGCCTTACAGGTGGGACAAGGGTCCTGTAGGCTAAAATCAATATTGGCTTCTATAGGAAAACAACTTCTGTCCTGGTTGCTCCTCTTTATTATTTTATTGTTTGGGCTGTGCATCCTCAGCACCCTCATCAGAATCATCTCCTGTCGCCGCAAAGCCAGCAGACTTCACATGGTCCTTCAGATGGAGCCTGATAGGACGCCTCTACCGAACTTCCTCCGAAGCCCCTTAGATTGCTGCCCTGCAGTGGAGCCCTGACTGCTCGCCCACGTCACCCATTTTAAGCAGGAAGTAGTAACTGGTCAGATCTGTCCTAACAGCAGTGAGGAGCTCCATTCGTAGAAGGGGTACTGAGTCCCAGGGCAAGTTTGGGTTAAGTAGGCAGTTTCAGGGACAGTACAGGCAGGGACTTCAGGAGAGTTAAAGAGGCTTCTGAGACAAGGACAGTAAATTCTAAGTGCTAACCCACACATACACCACAGGGGAGGTCAGAAAGTCCAGGAGGATGAAACAAGAATGGAATATTAGTCAGCAATCAAAAAAGATAAACTCATGCAATTGCAGCAACATGGATGGAGCTGGAAGGGATCATGCTCAGTGAATTAAGTCAGAAAGAAAAAGAAAAACACCAAATGGTGTCAGTCATAAGAGGAATTTAAAAATAATGGACCAGGAAAAAGACTAACTATAATAAAGAAAAAGTCAAAATCAACAAGCAACTATAAACCAGAGACATATTATGGGGGGTGGGGGTGGGTAGAGGAAGGATTAAGGTCAAAATAAGGGGATGCAATTCTATTGGGAATATAACCAAAATGAAAATGCATACATTGTGCAAAAATGAAAAATGATGTAAGAATTATATATAAAAAAAAAAATTAAAAAAAAAATTCTGTCCCTAGGGAGTGAGGTACTGGGCATCCTAACCAATCAGTGTTATAAGGCTGACAGATACAGAGACATTCACATAGACACCACGGACATAGAAATAAAGTATTTTTCCTTGAGTATCATCTATTTCTCATGGCCTGGTGACAATAAACCATCAAGTTTATGCTTGGCCCAATCAGGCCCTCAGTGTTTGTTCTAGGATGGAAAAGACTCAAATTCTTACCTCCTGTTCACTTGTTTCTTCTGTTTCACTCAAGTTCAAACAGTCGTCTAACAATTCTTTCATTTCTCTCCTAAACTCCAGGACTTTTTCCTGATCAAAATTGGGTGAAGAAAGAAAGCATTGTTAAGATGACATATTCATCAGGTTCCTGAGAGGAATCCCTGCATTCAAGAGACTAGAATGACATGAAATATCACTGAATCCTTACACTTTCAGTGTAAGCGCCCTGAGGACTGTGCGCGGTGATACAGGTGACCCCTTATTCTCAGAGCACGTGGCAGGATGGCTGCCATCATGTCTGCTGTAGAATTGGAGGATGAGGAAGGGGTAACTAACCTACCCAAGGGCTATGACTATTGGCTTCCTGAACCTCATGTGCTGACCCTCAGGCAGAGCTATATGGACCTCTACAGCCTCGCCAGGAAACGCTGCACACAGAACAAGACAGTAACCATCTGAAAGAAGCCTTTCTCCACCTCTTATATGTGGAAAGTTGTCTGTGTCCATCAGGACTCCAAAATTGGTGGGCCTGACACCCACATGAAGAAACTCCAGGCACTCTTCTTTTGCTAATAGGTTTATCCTCACAGGCTGCAGAAGAAATAAAATCTGGTGGTCTCTGTGCCTGTTTTGGCAATCTGCCACATGACCTTGCACATGTGGTTTCTCTAATGATTCATACACGTAAGGATAAAAAAAGGCAGCGCGAATTTTGACTACTATATTCTACAGCAGGGGGTCATCACGACAGGAGTGAATAGATATGAGACTCTTATCATCCCATGAAAGTTCATAAGGAGCATGGGATAGTATATTGGGGAAATGTCCGAGAGACATGGGTCAGCCCAAACCACAGGCCAAGATGGGAGACAAGCTTGACCGTCAGCTGCCTGACTATGAAGAACCAGCTACAGGTTAAGAAGACGTTTTCTAAAAACACCCAAAAGTGAGACAAGAATCAGGTCATCTAAAAGTGGCAGACAAAAAAAAAAAAATCACATTCTTGGTGATTCAGGGGGCACATACATACTTTGCCTTTCTCTATTTTCTTTAGACTGGCCTGCTCATGACTAGTCTGAGCCAGGTCACTTCAACACTTCTAGTGAGAGCAAAGAAAACGTAGTCATTTAAAAATGTCTGTATTACAGATGGCCTTACAGGCAGGACAAGCACCAAGTTGGCTACAATCAATCTAGGCCTCTACAGGAAACAAACTTCTATCCTGGTTGCTCCTCATTCTGGTACCCTCACTAAATTTATTTATGACTTTCTTGTTTGGACCTTGCATCCTCAACACCCTCGTCAGAATCATCTCCTGTTGCCTCAAAGCCAGCAGATGTCAGATGGTCCTTCAGATGGAGCCTCCATCCATAGCTTAGTTAAGATGGTCTCCTTAACTAATCTCCTCGGCCCTTACATCACCACCCTGCAGTGGAGCCCTGACTGCTCGCCCACATCATCCATTTTCAGCAGGAAGCAGTGACTGGTCAGATCAACAGCATCTGTCCTAACAGCAGTGAGGGGCTCCGTCCGTACAAGGGGTACTGAGTCCCAGGGCAAGTCAGAGTTAAGTAGGAAGCTTCAGGGCCAGTGCAGGCAGGGATTCAGGAGAGTTGAAGAGGCTTCTGAGACAAGGACAGTAAATTCTAAGTGCTAACCAACACATACACCATAGGACAGGTCAGAAAGGCCAGGAGGACGAAACAAGAACAGTACACTGGGCAGTGCCTGGTGACTGACTGTAGCTTCTCCTACACACACTGGAACCCTGAAAAAAAAGAAATTGTCTTTGAAGGCTGCACCCTGAGATGGGAACACCACAGATATGAGGGAATAAAATAAAAAAGGGGGAAATGAAGTGAAACAGGTCAGGCTGACTGTGGATGAGCTGAAGTCGGGACAGAGCCTGTAGACAGAATTTCAGGGAACAACGGAGAAGCGCCCTTAAGGCCATACACGCCCTGAGTCACGCATCCCCAGCTGCTGTGTCCCTTGCTTTACTCAATAAATACTCTGTACCCTAGTGGCTCTGGCTCAGATTTTGCAGAGATCTCCTCCGGGCTGCTGGTGTGAAGCCACCAGCATAAATAAAGAGCTTCCCTCCTCCTCTCTGAGTGCTCCTGCTCCCTCATGACAATCTGCCAGAACAGTCACCCTTAAAGACAGGAAACTCTGCTGTGTTATAGCATGGACGGGCTGGGGAGACACCTCTGTCAGAAAGAAAAGGACAATATTTTCATGTGCTAGTGGGATTTAAACAGAATGTGGGATGGGGGACCAGGTGACAGGAGGGACACGGGGACACTGTTTACTGGGGAGAGTTTCAGGCTAGGAGGAGGAACCTGTTGTGCAGATGGAGAGTGGAGATGGGGGCTCCACAGTGTGATGCTGATGCCTGTAATGACAATGTGTGAGATGGGGAGCAGGTACATTTGTGATTTTTTTATTTTAACAGTCTCCCCTACACCCCCATCACACACACAGAAAAGTCTGTTCAGCTACGAAGACACTCTTCACATGAGTCCTTTGAGGTGGAAGACCAGTAAACAGTGTCCCCGTGTCCCTCCTGCCACCTGGTTCCCCCATTCTACGTTCTGCTAAATCAACTGGGAGGCAGGCACATATAAGTGGGAGAGGCCGTCATAATTCTCTATATTCACCAGGGTAATTTCCTTCTTCTTCAGTGAAGATACAAGAGAACAAAGGACAAATGCTTGACAAATTAATTGTGTAACCACTGCCAAGGTGAAACATTAAGTAAACCCAGGTTTTCCTGAGATGCAGCCTTAAAAGGTTACCATTCCGTACAACTACTCAATCTCTTTATTGGCATCATCTCCCATTATGGTGCCACCATCTCCACTCTGCATCTGTACAAATAGCTCATTATTCCCATATGAAACGAAAACACTAAACAACATCTCCTTTGTTCCTAGCCCAGCTGCTATATACCAGCCAGAGGGATGTGTAAATCTCCATTTCTGAGGGAGTGTGTGAAGGGAAGGCTTTTGATGAATATCAACAAGCAAGGCTGGCAGGTGACTCCCATGCACTCAGAGGGGAGGTCTGGGGGGCAGAATCTGACCATAGTTACCAGCACTAAGCATCTACCCAGCCAGAGACATTTACAATTGCTGAGTTTAGACTAGCAGAAAGTAAACCACCCATCTGGTGGGACACCCTTTAATTTGGCAGATACAGGACTGCAGTTTCCATGGCTACACTATCAGCTCATGCAGTGTGGCCGTGACTGAGATATTGTGGTCAAGGTCACTCATCAGGCTGAATCAGAACCTTTGCGGAGGAGGAGAGAGCAGCTCCAACTCTGACACTAACGTGGTTTCCCTTCATGTCTATAACATTGGAGGTTCTCCCCACTACCCAAGACCCTAAAATGAGGGACGTGTGACTGTCCTTTGAGTGTGAACATTAACACCCACACACAAGGGATTAGGGCAGAGGCTAGAAGACACCCCTGAGAGAGGAGGATGACTAAACAGTCTGGAGCACTAACTGCCAACTGAGGGATGACCTCAATCTTTCACTCAAGGCTGGGTTCCCTTCCCAGGAGAGGGGCAGCTATGGAAAGTCTCAGAGACCCCCAGTGCGCATGAGCTGCAGCAGCTCTGTCCTCATCGCCAGCCTCCTGAGCTGCAGGGACATGACCTCACCTGAGGGGACCCTGGTCTCTCAAAGAATGGTTTGTAGAACATGAGGGAGGCTGTGTGGAGGGAAAAAGTGAACCCTGTAGGGTGGTGAATATGTCAAAGTGCCATGTTTGAGGTCTTCAAATCATGAAGTTATTTAACATTTCAGTTCTTCAATCTGAGGTATTTATAATGTGAAACCCAGTCTAGGTTGTTCTATGCAAGAAAGAATAAAATTCTGTCTCTACGGGCTGAGGTGCTGGGCATCCTAACCAATCACTATTACAAGGCTGAAAAGATACAAAGAAATTCACATAGACACTAGGGACATAAAAATAAAGCAGGTTTCTTTGGCTGTCATCTATTTCTCATGGGCTGGTGATAATAAATCATCAAGTTGATGCTCTGCCCATGCATGCCCTCTGTGTATGTTCTAGGATAGAAAAGACTCAAGTTCTTACCTCCTGTTCTCTTGTTTGCTCTCTTGACTTCAACTTCAGACTCAACAACTGGTCTAACAGGTTTCTCACTTTTGTCCTAGAATCCTGGAGTTTTTCCTGATCAAATCGGGTGAATAAAGAAAGTATAGTTAAGATGACAGAGTCATCATGTTCCTGAGAAGAATCCCTGCCTTCCAAGAGACTAGAATGACATGAAATATCATTGAATATTTACACTTTCAGTATAAGCACCCTGAGGACTGTATGCAGTGATACAGGTGACCCCTTAGACCCAGAGCACTTGGCAGGATGGCTGCCATCATGCTGCTGTAGAATTGGAGGCTGGGGAAGGGGTAACTAACCTGCCCTAGTGCTATGACTATCAGTTTCTGGAACCTCATGTGCTGACCTTCAGGCGGAGCTATATGGACCTCTACAGTCTCACCAGAGACTTGTTCTGCACACAGAACAAGAACGTAACCATCTAAAAGAAGCTTTTCTCCATCTCCTATATATGGAAAGTTGTCTGTGTCCATCGGGACTCTTCCGGGAAGGTCCCCAGATTCACTCCAAGTTGGTGGCAACTAAACCCACATGAAGGAACTCCAAGCAGTCTTCGTTTGCTGATTGGTTTAACCTCGCAGACTGCAGGAGAAATAAAATCTGGTGGTGTCCATGCCTGTTTTGGCAATCTGTCACATGACCTTGCACATTGTGGCTTCTCTAATGCTACACACATGTGAAGATAAAAATGGCTGGTGCGTATTTCGATAACTGTATTCTAGCGCAAGGGGTGATCATGACAGGAGTGAATAGGGATGAGATTCTCACATTCTATGAAAATCCATAAGGACCATGGCTTATAATTTGGGGAAACGTCCGAGAAACTGTGTTCAGCCCAAATGAAAGTCAAGATGCCCATAATTTGGCAGATACAGAACTTCAATTTCCATGGACATGCTATCAGTTCACACAGTGTGGCAGTGACTGAGATACTGTGGTCAAGGTCACTCATCAGGATGAATTGGAACCTTTTTGGAGGATGAAGAGAGAGCAACTCGAACTCTGGCATTGACGTGTTTTCCCTTCATGTCTATAACAATGGAGGTTCTCCCGAGACCCTAAAATGAGGGACGTGTGACACTCCTTTGAGTGTGAACTTTAACACCCACACACAAGGGATTAGTGCAGAGGCTGGAAGACACCCCTGAGAGAGGCAGGTGACTAAATAGTCTGGAGCACTAACTGCCAACTGAGGGATGCCCTCAATCTTTCGCTCTAGGCTGGTTTCTCTTCATAGGAGAGGGGCAGCTATGGAAAGTCTCACAGACGCCCTGTGCACCTGAGATGTAGCAGCTCTGTCCTCATCGTCAGCCTCATGAGCAGCAGGAACATGAGCTCACCTGGGAAGGACCCTCACTGCCTGCAAAGAATGGTTTGTGGAACATAGGGGAGGCAACGTAGAGGGAAAGAGCAAACCCTGTAGTGTGGTGAATATGTCAAAGTGGTATGTTTGAGGTCTTCAAGTCATGAAGTTATTTAACATTTTAGTTCTTCATTCTGAGGTATTTATAATGTGAAACCCAGTCTACATGTTCTATACAAGAAAATCAAAACTCTTTCTCTACGGGCTGAGGTGCTGGGCATCCTATCCAATCACTATTATAAGGTTGAAAAGATACAGAGAAATTCTCATAGACACTACAGACATAAAAATAAAGCAGGTTTCTTCTTTGGCTGTCATCTATATCTCATGGGTTGCTGAGAATAAACCGTCAAATTTATGCTCTACCCAACCACGCCCTCCGTGCATGCTCTAGGATGGAAAAGGACAACTTCTTACCTTGCATTCACTTGTTTGTTCTTTTGACTTCAACTTCAGATGCAACGACTGGTCTAAAACTTCCCTCAGTTTTGTTATAGCCTCCTGGAGTTTTTCCTGATCAAAATTGGGTGAAGAAAGAAAGCGTAGTTAAGATGACAGATTCATCAGGTTCCTGAGAGGAATCCCTGCCTTCCAAGAGACTGGAATGACATGAAATATCATTGAATCCTTACACTTTCAGTATAAGAGCCCCGAGGACTGTGTGCAGTGATACAGGTGACCCCTAATTCCCAGCGCATGTGGCTGGATGGCTGCCATCAAGTCTGCTGTAGAATTGGAGGTGGGGAAAAGGCTAACTAACCTACCCAAGGACGATGACTATTGGTTTCTTGAACCTCATGTGCTGACCCTTAGGCAGAGCTATATGGACCTCTACAGCCTCGCCAGGAAACGCTGCACACAGAACAAGAGAGTAACCATCTAAAAGAAGCCTTTCTCCACCTCCTATATGTGGAGAGTTGTCTGTGTCCAGGACTCTTTCTGGGAAGCTCCTCAGATACACTCCCAAATTGGTGGGAACTAAACCCATATGACGCATCTCTAGGCAGTCTTCTTTGCTGTTTGGTTTAGCCTTGCAGATTGCAGGAGAAATAAAATCTGGTGGTCTCTGCTTATTTGAGAATTTGTCACAAGACCTTGCATATCATGGTTTCTCTGATTTTAAACATGTTAAGATAAAAAAGGCTGGCGCATGTTTCGAAAACTGTATTTACAACAAGGGTTCATCATGGCAAGAGGGAAGAGGGAGGAGACTCTCACCATATTATGAAAGTCCATATGGACCATGGGATTGTATTATGTGGAAACATTCAAGAGACAGGGGGTCAGCCCTAACCACAGGCCAAGATGGGGAGGACAGGCTTGACAGTCAGCTGCCTCTGACAATGAAAAACCAGCTGCAGGTTAAAAAACGATTTCTAAATAAGCCCAGATGTGAGACAAGAAGCAGGTGACCCTAAATGTGGCAGACCCAAAAAAAAAAAGACTTAGACTGCCCTACTGATGACTAGCCTGAGACAGGACACTTTAACACTTCTAGTGAGACAAAAGAAGAACTAAAGTTATTTAAAATATCTGTATTACACATGGCCTTCCAGCTGGGACAAGGACCTGTAGGCTACAACCAATCTTGGCCTCTACAGAAAAACAACTTCTGTCCTGGTTGCTCCTCTTGCTGGTTCCTTCACAAATTTTCATTATTCTTTTCTTGTTTGGGCTTGCATCCTCAACACCACTCTCAGAATCATCTCCTGTCACCTCAAAGCCAGTAGACTTCAGATGGTCCTTCAGAAGGAGCCTGATAGGAGTCCTCCTCTGTCTTTCCTCCTGGGTGCCTTAGATAGCCACCATTTTTCCTAACAGCAGTGAGGGGCACCATCTGTAGAAGGGGTACTGAGTTCCAGGGCAAGTCAGGGTTAAGTAGGCAGCTTCAGAGATAGTGCAGGCAGGGACTTCAGGAGAGTTAAAGAGGCTTCTGAGAAAAGGACAGTAAATTCTAGATGCTAACCAACACATACAGCAGAGGGGAGGTCAGAAAGTCCAGGAGGATGAAACAAAAACAGTACACTGGGCAATGCCTGGTGACTGACTGCAGTTTCTCTCTCACACATAGGAACTATAAAAAAAAATGTGTTGAAATGGATGCATCAGTGATCTGAGCACAATAGATATGATGGAATAAATATAAAAATGGGAAAATGAAGAGGAACATGTCAGGCTGACTGTAGATGAGCTGAACTTGGGACAGAGCCTGTAGACTGAGAATTTCAGGGAACAACGAATAAGCGCCCTCAAGGCCACAGGAAACCTGACTCATGCATGCCCAGCTGCTGTGTCCCTTGCTTTACTCAATAAATACTCTGCACCCTAGTTGCTGGGGCTCAGATTGTGGAGAGAGATCTCCTCCGGGCTGCGGGTGTGAAGTTGCCAGCGTAAATAAAGAGCTTCCCTCCTCCTCTCTGAGTGCTCCTGCTCCCTCAGGACAATCTGCCAGAACAGTCACCCTTAAAGACAGGAAACTCTGCTGTGTTACAGCATGGATGAGCCCAGGAGACACCTTGGTCAGAGACAAAAGGACCGTATTTTCATGACTTCTTTAACCTAGTCAGCTTTAAAAATTGAACGTGGAATGGGGGGACCAGGTGGCAGGAGGGACCTGGGGACACTGTTTACAGGGGAGAGTTTCAGGTTGGGAGGAGGAACCCGTTGTGCAGATGGAGAGTGGAGATGGGGCTCCACAGTGTGAAGCTGATGCCAGTAAAGACACTGTGTAAGACGGGGAGCATGGGGAATTTGTGATTTGTTTTTTTGACACTGTTCCCTAAGCCCCCATCACACACACTGAGAAAGGTCTGTTCAGTGACAAAGACAGACTTTACGAGTCCTTTGAGGTGGAGGAATGTCCAACATTTTCTGCTGAATCAACAGGGAAGCCGGCACTTATATGTGGAGACGGTGTCATAATTATCATAGTCACCAAAGTAATTTTTTTCTTCTTCAATCAAAATACAAGAGGACAAAGGACAGATGCTAGATAATTTCATTGTATAACTATCTGCAAAGTCGAAACTAGGTAAACCCAGGTTTTCTCTGAGATGCAGTCTCAAAAGATTACCATTCTCCCATCTACATGTTCTCGTTATCGGCATCATCTTCTCATTGTGGGCGGCCTTCTCCACTCTCCATCTGCACAAATAGTTCATCCTTCCGACATGAAACCTACCCATTAAAGAATATCACCTCTGTCCTTCTCCCACCTGGGAACCACCAGGTAGAGGGATATGGAAACATCCATTTCTGAAGGAGTGTGTGAAGAGAAGGCTTTTGCTAAACATCAACAAGCAAGGCTGAGAGGTGACTCCCATAACTCAGAGGGGAGGTCTGGGTTGCAGTATTTGATCATAGTTACAAGCAGTAAGCATTCACCCAGCCAGAGTCCATTTATCATCCATGAGTTTAGACCAGCAGAAACAGAAACACCCATCTGGTGGGAAACCCTTTAATTTGGCAGATACAGGACTGCAGTTTCCATGGCTACATTATCAGCTCACGCAGTGTGGCCATGAGTGAGATACTGTGGTCAACTCACTGACCACGATAAATTGGAATATTTGAGGACAAGGAGAGAACAGCTTGAACTCTGGCATTACCATGGTTTCACTTCATGTTTGTAACAATGGAAGTTCTCTCTGCTACCTAAGACCCTAACATGAGGGATGTGTGACAGTTCTTTGAATGTGAACTTTAACACCCACACACAAGGGATTAGTGCAGAGGCTGGAAGACACCCCTGAGAGAGGAGGAGGACTAAATAGTCTGGAGCACTAACTGCCAACTGAGGGATGACCTCAATCTTTCGCTCAAGGCTGGGTTCTCTTCCCAGGAGAGGGGCAGCTACGGAAAGTCTCAGAGACCCCCAGTGCACATGAGCTGCAGCAGCTCTGTCCTCATCGCCAGCCTCATGAGCGGCAGGAACACGAGCTCACCTGGAGGGACCTTGTTCTCACTGCACCCAAGGAATGGTTTATGGAACATGGGGGAGGCAGTGTGGGGGCAAATGCAAACCTTCTTCGGTGATGAATGTGTCCAAGTGTCATGTTTGAGGTTTTCACATGAAGATATTTGAGGTTTTCACATGAAGATATTTAACACTTCAGCTCTTGAAACTGAGGGATCTATAATGTGAAACCCAGTGTAGCATTTTCTATGCAAGAAAGATCAAAATTCTCTCTCTACTGGCTGCAGTGCTGGGCATCCTAACTAATCACTATTATAAGGCTGAAAAGATACAAAGAAATTCACATAGACAGTAGGGACATAAATATAAAGCATGTTTCTTTGGCTGCCATCTATTTCTCATGGGCTGGTGACAATAAACCACCACGTTCATTCTCTTCCCATCCACATCCTCTGTCTATGTTCTAGGATGGAAAAGATGCAACAACTTACCTCCTGCTCTCTTGATTGTTCTCTTATCTTCAAGTTCAGACTCAAACATTGTTTTAACATGTCTCTCTCTTTTGTCATCGCCTCCTGGATTTTTTCCTGATCAAAATTGGGTGAAGAAACAAAGTGTATTTAAGATGACAGATTCATCAAGTTCTTGAGGAGTCCCTGCCTTCCAAGAGACTAGAATGACATGAAATAGTGTTGAATCCTTACACTTTAAGTACATGTGCCCTGAGGACTGTGTGCAATTATACAGCTGACCTCTTATTCCCAGGGCACTTGGTGGGATGGCTGCCATCATGTATGCTGTAGAATCGGAGGCTGGGGTAATCAACCTGCCCAAGGGCTATGACTATCAGCTTCTTGAGCCTCATGTGCTGACCCTCAGGCAGAGTTATATGGACCTCTACAGCCTCGCCAGGAAATGCTTCCTACTCAGAACAAGAGAGCAACCATCTGAAAGAAACCTTTCTCCACCTCCTATATGTGGAAAGTTATCTGTGTCCATGAGGACTCTCTTCAGGGAGCTCCCCAGATTCACTCCCAAATTGGTGTGTCCCAAAACCACTTGAAGGAACTCCAAGCAGTCTTCGTTTGCTGATTGGTTTATCCTTGCAGACTGCAGGAAAAATTAAATCTGGTGGCGGCTATGCCTGTTTTGGGAATCTGTCACATGACCTTGCACATTGTGGTTTCTCTTATGTTACACACATGGAAGATAAAAAATGTGGGGTGTGGGGCCTCCCCGGTGGCACAGCAGTTGAGCGCTGGGTTGCAAAGCTGTCCGCAGCCTTGGCAGCGCCAGTTCGATCCCCGGCTGCTCCCCGACCACCAGAGGAGGGTCCCACATGGTGCGCAGACCTCTCCTGCCGCCCGCTGCTCCCCTCAGCAGTGTCCTTCGGTCCTTCTGCCTGCTCTGCTCCCCGCTCTGGCTCTGGTGAATTCTCTCACCCTCTGGCGCTTCTGACTGTACCTAGTGCTTGTATAAATAAATAAATAAATAAATAAATAAATAAATCTTTAAAAAAAAAAAATGTGGGGCGTATTTCCATAACTGGATTCTACAGCAGGGGGTCATCACAGCAGGAGTGAAAAGGAGGAGACTCTTACCATACTATCTAAGTCCATATGGACCGTGAAATTGTATTTTGGGGAAACGTCTGAGAGATGTGGGGTCAGCCCAAACCACAGGCCAAGAAGGGATGGCATGACTGTCAGCTGCCTCTGACTATGAAAAACCAGCCACAGGTTAAGAACACAATTTCTAAAGAAGCCCAGAAGTGAGGCAAGCCTTGGGTGACCCTAAAAGTGGCAGTCAAAAAAAAAATTATCCTCTTGTTGAATCAGGGGCCACTTACTCTGCTTTGCTCTGTTTTCTTTGCACTGGCCTACTGATGATTAGGCTGAGCCAGGACACCTTAACACTTCTAGCAAGATGAAAAACAAGCTAAAGTTATTAAATGTATCTGTATTACAGATGGCCTTACAGGAGGGGCAAGAGCCTAGCTGGCTTCAATCAATCTATGCCTCTAAAGGAAACCAACTTCGTCCTGGTTGCTCTTCTTTCTGGTTTCCTCACTAATTTTCTTTATGATTTTCTTTTTTTTTTAAACTTTTTTTTTTAAAGATTTATTTATTTATACAAGTACTGGGTACAGTCAGAAGCGTAGGAGCGTGAGGGGAGCAGTGGGAGGCAGGAGAGGTCTGTCGCGCCACGTGGGACCCTTGCCCAGCGGTTGGGGTTTGAACCAGTGCTGCAGAGGTTGCGGGCAGCTCCGCAACCCAGCGCTCAACCGCTGCACCACCAGGGGAGGCCCATTTTATGATTTTCTTGTTTGGGCTTTGCATCCTCAACACCCTCGTCAGAATCATCTCCTGTCGCCTCAAAGCGGGAGACAAAAGATGGTCCAACAGATGGAGCCTTGATAGGATGCTTCCACTGTCCTTCCTACCAAGGCCCAGAGATCACCACCCTGCAGTGGAACCACATCACCCATTTTCAGTAGGAAGCAGTTATTGGTCAGATTGATGACCTTTATCCTAACAGCAGTGAGGGGCTCCACCAGTAGAAGGGATAGAGAGTCCCAGGGCAAGTCAATTAATTAGGCAGCTTCAGGAACAGTGCAGGCAGGGACCTCAGGAGAGTTAAAGAGGCTTCTGAGATGAGGACAATAAATTCTAAGTGCTAACCCACACATACACCAGAGGGGAGATCAGAAAGTCCAGGAGGACAAAACAAAAACAGTACACTGGGCAGTGCCTGGTGACTGACTGTAGTTTCTCTCACATACACTGGAACCCTAAAAAATACTGTCTTCAAAGGCTGCACCCTGAGATCTGAGTGCCACAGATACGATGGAATAAAAATTTAAAAAAGGGGAAATGAAGTGGACAATGTCAGGCTGATTGTGGATGAGCTGAAGTTGGGACAGAGCCTGTAGACTGAGAATTTCAGGGAACAACAGATAAGCGCCCTCCAGGCCACACGCACCCTGAGTCACGCATCCCCAACTGCTGTGTCCCTTGCTTTACTCAATAAATACTCTGTAACCTAGTTGCTGAGGCTCAGATTGTGGAGAGAGATCTCCTCTGGGCTGCAGGTGTGAAGCCGCCAGCGCAAATGAAGAGCTTCCCTTTGCTCCTGCTCCCTCATGACAATCTGCCAGAACAGTCACCCTTAAAGACAGGAAACTCTGCTGTGTTACAGCATGGATGAGCCGGGGAGAGACTATGCTCAGAGACCAAAAGACTATATTTTCATGACGGGGACCAGGTGACAGGAGGGACACGGGGACACTGTTTACTGGGGAGAGGTTCAGGTTGGGAGGAGGAACCCGTTGTGCAGTGGAGAGTGGAGATGGGGGCTGCACAGTGTGATGCTGATGCAGTGCGTAAGATGTGTAAGATGGAGCACTAGCTGCCAACTGAGGGATGACCTCAATCTTTCATCAAGGCTGGGTTCTCTTCCCAGGAAAGGGGCAGCTATGGAAAGTCTCAGAGACCCCAGGTGCGCATGAGCTGTAGCAGCTCTAGCCTCATCGCCAGCCTAATGAGTGGCAGGGACATAAGCTCACCTGGAGGGCACCTGGTCTCACTGATGATAAGTAATGGTTTGTGTAACATGGGGGAGGCAGCTTGGGGGGGCAAATGTAAACCCTTTACGGTGGTGGAAGTGTCAAAGTGCCATGTTTGAGGTTTTCAAATCATCAAATTATTTAACATTTCAGTTCTTTAATCTGGGGTATTTATAATGTGAAACCAAGTCTAGGATGCTCAGAGCAAAAAGATAAAAATTCTGTCCCTACGTTCTGAGCTGCTGGGCATCCTAACCAATCACTATTATAAGGGTGAAAAGATACAGAGAAATTCTCATAGACACTAGAGTAATAAAAATAAAGCATGTTGCTTTTTTGGTTGTCATCTATTTCTCATGTGCTGATGAGAATAAAGCATCACGTTTATGATTTCCCCAACCAGGCCCTCTCTGTATGTTCTTGGATGGAAAAAACTCAACTTACGTCCTGTTCTCTTCTTTGTTCTCTTGACTTCAACTTCTCACTCTTAGACTGCTCTGACAGTTCTCTCACTTTTGTCACAGCCTCCTGGATTTTTTCCTGATCAAATTTGGATGAAGAAAGAAAGTGTAGTTAAGATGACAGATTCATCAGGTTCTTGAGAGGAATCCCTGCCTTCCAAGAGACTAGAATCACATGAAAAATATTTAAATCCTTACCCTTACAGTATAAGCACCCCAGGACTATGTGTGGTGTTATAGTTGACCCCGTATTCCCAGAGCACTTGGCAGGATTACTGTCATCATGTCTGCTGTAGAACTGCAGGTTGCAGAAGGGTTAGCTAATCTACCCAAGGGTTATAACTATCAGCTTCTTGAACCTCATGTGCTGACCCTCAGGCAGAGCTATACGGGTCTCTACAGCCTCACCAGGAAACACTGCACACAGAACAAGCAGTACCCACTAAAAGGAATCTTTCTCCACCTTGTATATGTGGAAAGTTGTCTGTGTCCATCCAGACTCTCTTTCAGGAAGCTCCCCAGATTCAATCCAAAATGGTGGAAATACCCACTAAAGGAACTCCAGGCAATCTTCTTTTGCTGAATGGTTTAGCCTCACAGACTACAGAGAAGAAATAAAATCTGGTGGTCTCTGAGTCTGTTTTGGCAATCTGTCACATGGTGTTGCACATCGCGGATTCTCTAATGTTACACACATGTGAAGATAAAAGAAAGCTGGTGCATATTTCGACCACTGTATTTACATCAGAGGGTCAAACACTAGGTAAACCCAGGGTTTATTGGAGATGCAGTCGCAAAAGGTCACCATTAGCCCCATCTACTCATTCTCATTATCGGCATCATCTTCATATTGTGGTGCCGACTCTATATGCACATATAGTTCATCCTTCTGACACAAAGTTCAATCACTGAACAACGTCACTTTGTTCCTTCTCCCACCTGGAACCCACCAGTCACAGGGATATGTAAATCCTCTTTTCTGAGAGAGTGTGTGAAGGGAAGGATTTGGATGAACATCACCAACAGGCTGGTTGGTGTCTCCCCTGGACTCAGAGGGGAGATCTGGGTCCCAGAATCTGATTCATAGTTACCAGCAATAAGCATCACCCAGCCAGAGCATTTAGCATTTGTGAGTTTATGACCAGCAGAAAGCAAACCCATCTGGTGGGACACTCTTTAATTTGGAAGATACAGAATTGAATTTTCCATTGCTACCCTATCAGTTCACGGAATGTGGCAGTGACTGAGACACTGATGTCAAGGTCACTGACCTGGTTGAACTGGGATGTTTGTGCAGGACAAGAAGAGAGCAGCGGAACTCTAGCATTCATGTGGTTTCCCTTCATGTTTGTAACAATGGAGGTTCTCCCCGCTATCCAAGACCCTAACATGAGGGATGTGTGACTGTCCTTTGAGTGTGAACTTAAACACGCACACACAAGAGATTACTGCAGAGGCTGGAGCATACCCCTGAGAGAGGCAGGATGACTAAATAGTCTGGAGCACTAACTGCCAACTGAGTGTGAACTTAAACACGCACACACAAGAGATTAGTGCAGAGGCTGGAACATACCCCTGAGAGAGGCAGGATGACTAAATAGTCTGGAGCACTAACTGCCAACTGGGTTCTCTTCCCAGGAGAGGGGCAACTATGGAAAATCTCAGATGCCCCCAGTGTGCATGAGCTGCAGCAGCTCTGTCTTCATCGCCAGCCTCATGAGTTGCAGAAACATGAGCTCACCTGGAGGGACTCTGTACTCACTGCTAGTAAGGAATAGTGTGTGGAACAAGGGGTAGGCAGTATGGAGGGCAAATGCAAAGCCTGTATGGTGGTGAATGTGTCAAAAGTGCCATGTTTGAGGTCTTCTAGTCATAAAGTTAGTTAACACTTCAGATCTTTAATCTGAGGTATTTATAATGTGAAATCCAGTCTAGGAAGTTCTATGTAAGAAAGACCAGAATTCTGTCTCTACAGGCTGAGCTGGTGGGTATTCAAACCGAACACTATTAGGCAGAAAAGATACAGACAAATTCTCATAGACACTAGGGACATAAAAATAACACAAGTTTCTTTGGCTGTCATCTATTTCTCATGAGCTGGTGACAATAAACCATCAGGTTTATACTCTGCCCAGCCCCATCCACTGCATTGTTCTAGGATGGGCAAGACTCAACTTCTTACCTCCTGTTCTCCTGTTTTTTCTCTTGACTTCAAATTCTGACTCTCAGTCGGGTCCAAGAGTTCTATCAGTTTCTTCACAGCATCCTGGAATTTTTTCTGATCAAAATTGAGTGAAGAATAAAGCACAGTTAAGATGACAGATTCATCAGGCTCCTGAGAGGAATCCCTGCTTTCAAGAGACTATAATCACATGAAATATCATTGAATCCTTAAACTTTCATATAATCAGCCTGAGGACTGTGTGCAGTTGTACAGTTGCAGTTATACATTTATACAGGTTAATCCCAGAGCACTTGGCAGCATTGCTGCCATCACGTCTGCTGTAGAATATGAGGCTGGAAAGGGGTAACTAAACTGCCCAAGGGCTATGACTACCGGCTTCTTGAGCCTCATGTGCTGACCCTCAGGCAGAGCTATACAGACTTTATAGCCTCGCCAGGAAACGCTGCACACAGAACTAGACAGTAACCATCTAAAAGAAGCCTTTGTATAGAAAGCTCTCCTGTCCATCAGGAATCTCTTCCAGGAAGCTCCTCAGTTTCACTCCCAAATTGTTGGGCTCGAAACCCACTGAGGAACTCTAGGGCATTTTCTTTTGCTGATTTGTTTAGCTTCCAGGACTGCAGCACAAATAAAATCTGGTGGTCTCTGTGCCTGTTTTGGGAATCTGTCACATGACGACGCACATGGCGGTTTCTCTAATGTTGCACAAATGTGAAGATAAAAAAGGCTGGCATGTGGGCCTCCCCGGTGGCGCAGCGGTTGGGCGCTGGGTTGCAAAGCTGCCCACGGCCTCTGTGGCACCAGTTCGATCTCCGGCTGCTCCCCAGCCACCGGAGGAGGGTCCCGCATGGCGCGCAGACCTCTCCTGCCGCCCGCTGCTCCCCTCAGCAGTGTACTTCGGTCCTTCTGCCTGTTCTGCTCATTCCTTACTGGCTCTGGTGAATTCTCTCACCCTCCCGTGCTTCTGACTGTACCCAGTGCTTGTATAAATAAATAAATCTTTAAAAAAAAAAAAAAAGGCTGGCATGCATTTCGACAACTGTGTTCTACAGCAGGGGCCATCACAGTGGGAGTGAATAGGGACGAGACTCTCACCACCTTATGAGTGTCCATATGGATCATGGAATAGTATGTTGGGGAAATGTCTGAGAGCCAGGGGTCAGCCCAAACTAGGGCCAAGATGGGAGGACAGGCATGGCCGTCAGCAGCCTCTGACTATGAAGAACAAGGTACAGGAGAAGAAGACATTTTTAAAGAAGCACAGAGGTGAGACAAGCCTCGGGTGACTTGATATTGGCAGACAAAAATAAATGACGATCTTGGTGAATGAGGAGCCAGTTACTCTGCCTTGCTCCATTTTCCTTAGACTGGCCTACTGATGACTAGCCTGAGCCAGGACACTTTAACACTTCTAGTGAGATAAAAAAAACTTAGAGTTATTAAAAAAAAAAAAAACAAAACAAAAACTATAGCATAGATGGCCTTACAAGCGGGAAAAGAGCCTAGTTGGCTATAATCAATCTTGGCCTGTCTAAGAAGCTAACATTTGTCCCAGTTGCTCTTCTTTCTGGTTCCCTCACTATTTTTTTATGATTTTCTAGTTTGGGCCTCACATCCTCAACACCGTTGTCAGAATCATCTCCTGTCCCCACAAAGCCAGCAGACGTCAGATGGTCCTTCAGATGGAGCCTGATAGGACACCTCCACCGTCCTTCTTCCCAGGGCCCTTAGATCGCAGCCCCACAGTGGAGCCCTGACTGCTCACCCACGTCACCCATTTTCAGCAGGAGGCAGTGACTGGTCAGGTCTACACCCTCTGTTCTAACAGCAGTGAGGGGCTCCATCCGTAGAGGGGGTACCGAGTCCTAGGCAAGTTAGGGTTAGGTAGGCAGCTTCAGGGACAGTGCAGGCAGGGACTTCAGGAGAGTTAAAGCTTCTGAGACAAGGACAGTGAATTCTAAGTGCTAACCCACACATACACCAGAGGGGAGGTCAGAAAGGCCAGGAGGATGAAACAAAAAGCAGTACACTGGGAAGTGGCTGGTTACTGACTGTAGTTTGTCTCACACAAACTAGAACCCTAAAATAAACTGTCTTCGAAGCTGCACCAGATATTTGAACACCATAGATATGATGGAATAAAAACTAAAAAGTGGGAAATGAATTGGAAAATGTCAGGCTGACTGTGGATGAGCTGAAATCGGGACACAGCTTGTAGACTGAGAAGGTCACACGCGCCCTGACTCACGCATCCCCAGCTGCTGTGTCCCTTGCTTTACTCAATAAATACTCTGTAATCTAGTTGCTCGGGCTCAGATTGTGGAGAGAGATCTCCTCTGGGCTGCAGGTGTGAAGCCGCCAGCGCAAATAAAGAGCTTCCCTTTGCTCCTGCTCCCTCATGACAATCTGCCAGAACAGTCACCCTTAAAGACAGGAAACTCTGCTGTGTTACAGCATGGATGAGCCAGGGAGACACTATGGTCAGAGACCAAAGAATAATATTTTCATAACCTAGTCAGCTTTAAAAACAGAACGTGGGATGGGGGACCAGGTGGCAGGAGGGACATGGGACACTGTTATCTGGGGAGAATTTCAGATTGGGAAGAGGAACCCGTTGTGCAGATGGAGAGTGGAGATGGGGGCTCCACAGTGTGACCCTGATGCCAGTAAAGACAATGTGTAAGTTGGGGAGCAGGTACATTTGTGATTTGTTTTTTTTAACACTCTCCCCTGTGCCCCCATCACACACACAGAAAAGTCTGTTCAGTGACGAAGACACTCTTCACAGGAGTCCTTTGACTTGGAGGAATGTCTGAAGCTTCCTGCTGCTGAATCAATGGGGAGGCTGTCATCATTCTCTTTATTGGCATCATCTTCACACTGTGGTGCCGCCATCTCCACTCTCCATCTGCACAACTTGTTCATCCTTCCAGTATCAAACCCCACACACTAAACACCATCAACTTTGTTCCTTCTTCCAGCTGGTATCCAGAAAGCACAGGGTTATGTAAATCTCCAATCCTGAGGGAGTTTGTGAAGGAAATAATTTTGATGGAATCACCAAGCAAGGCTGGTAGGTGACTCCCATGTAGTCAGAGGGAAGGTTTGGATCCAGGATGTGATCATAGTTACCAGCAATAAGCTTCCACCCAGCCAGAGTCCATTTATCATCCGTGAGTTTAGACCAGCAGAAAGCAAACCACCCATCTGGTGGGACTCCCTTTAATTTGGCAGATACAGAACTGCAGTATCCATTGCTAGACTATCAACTCATGCAGTATGGCCGTGACTGAGATATTGTGGTCAAGGTCACTGATCCAGTTGAATTGGGACGTTTGTGCAGGACGAGGAAAGAGCAGCTTTAACTCTGGCATTGATGTGTTTTCCCTTCATGTTTGTAACAATGGAGGTTCTTCCCACTACCCAAGATCTGAATATGAGGAAAGAGTGACTCAGCTTTCAGTATCAACTTTAGCATCACACACCAGGGATTAGTGCAGAGGCTGGAAGACACCCCTGAGAGAGGCAGGATGACTAAATAGTCTGGAGCACTAACTGCCAACTGAGGGATGACCTCAATCTTTCATGAAAGGCTGGGTTCTCTTCCCAGGACAGGGGCAGCGATGGAACGTCTTAGACACCCCCAGTCCGTATGAGCTGCAGCAGCTCTGGCCTCATCAACAGCCTTATAAGCAGCAGGGACATGAGCTGACCTGGAAGGATGTATTTCTCACTGCTAGCAAAGAATGGTTTGCAGAACATGGGGCAAATGCAAACCCTTTACGGTGGTGAATATGTCAAAATGCCATGTTTTATGTTTTAAAGTCAAGTTAATTAACATTTCAGTTCTTGAAACTGAGGTATTTATAATGTGAAACCCGGTTTCGGATGTTCTATGCAAGAAAGATCAAAATTCTGTGTCTACAGGCAGAGATGCTGGGCATCCTAACCAATCACTATAATAAGGTTGAAAAGATTCAGAGATATTCTCATAGACATTAGAGACATAAAAATAAAGCATGTTGCTTCTTATGCTGTCATCTATTTCTCATGGGCTAGTGAGAATAAAGCATTAAGTATATGTTCTCCCCAACCACGCCTCTGTATGCTCTAGGATGGAAAAGATCAACTTACCCTCCGTTCTCGTCTTTGATCTCTTGACTTCAACTTCTGATTCTCACACTGGTCCACCAGTTCTCTCACTTCTGCCACAGCCTCCTGGATGTTTTCCTGATCAAAATTGGGTAAAGAGAGAAAGTGTAGTTAAGATAACAGATTCATCAGATTTTTTTTAAAGATTTATTTTTTATCTATATAAGCACTGGGTACAGTTAGAAGCACAGAGGGTGAGAGAATTCACCAGAGCCAGAGCGGGGAGCTGAACAGATTGAGGATTGAGGTACACTGCCTAGGGGAGCAGCAGGTGCGGCAAGAGAGGTCTGCCCACCATGTGGGATCCTTGTTGGTGGCCGGGGATCGAACTGGCGCTGCAGAGAGTGCGGACAGGCTCAGTGCTCAACTGCTGCGCCACCGGGGAGGCCCTCATCAGATTTTTTAATGGAATCCCTGCCTTCCAAGACACTAGAATGTAATGAAAAATCTTTGAATCCTTACGCTTTCAGTATAAGGGCTCTGAGAACTGTGTGCAGTGGTACAGGTGATCCCTTAGTCCCAAAGCACTTGACCATCATGTCTGCTGTAGAATCAGAGGCTGGAGAAGGGTTAAGTAACCTACAGAAGGGCTATGACTACCGGCTTCTTGAACGTCATGTGCTGACTTACACGGATCTCTACAGCCTCGCCAGGAAATGGTGCATGCAGAAGAAGACAGTAACCATCTGAAAAAAGACATTCTCCACCTCTTATATGTGGAAAGTTGTCTGTGTTCATCAGGACTCTCTTCCAGGAAGCTCCTTGGATTCTCTCCCTAATTGATGGGAACTAAACCCACAAAAGGAACTCCAAGGAGTCTTCTTTTGCTGATTCAATTAGCCTCAGAGACTACAGAAGAAATAAAATCTGGTGGTATCTGTGCCTGGTTTGGGAATCTTGTCACACGGCCTTGCATATCACAGTTTCTCCAATGTTACATACACGTGAAGATTCAAAAAAGGCTATTGTGGGGCCTCCCCTGGTGACACAGGCGGTTGAGTGTCGCGCTGTGAAGCTGTCCGCAGCCTCTGAAGCACCGGTTGGATCCAGGCCGACCAGCGAGGGCCCCACATGGGCAGAAGACCTCTCATGTCTTGCCTACTGCTCCCCTCAGCAGTGTATTTCATCAGTCTGCCTGTTAGGTTCCCCGCTTTGTCTCCAGTGAATTCTCTCACCCTCCCGTGCATCTCGCCTATACCCAGGCTCTTATATAAACAAATAAATATATCTTTAAAAAAAAAGGCTGGTGCATATTTTGACAACTGTATTTACAGCAGAGGGTCAAACACTAGGTAAAACCAGATGTTATTGGAGATGAAGTCGCAAAAGGGTACCCTTCGCCCCATCTACTCGTTCTCTTTATCGGCATCCTCTTCATTTGTGGTGCCGCCATTACCCCCTCCATCTGCATAAATAGTTCATCCTTCAAACATGAAATTCAACCCACTGAAGAAAATCACTTTCTTCCTTCTCTCACCTGGTCCCCACCAGTTAGGGGGATGTGTATATCTCCATTTCTGAGGGAGTTGTGAAGGGAAGGCTTTTGAGGAACATCACCAACAAGTCTGGCAGGTGACTCCCCTGTACTCAGAGGGGAGGTCTGGGTCCCAGAACCTGATCTTAGTTACCAGCAATAAGCATCCACCCAGGCTGAGTGATTTAGCATCTGTAAGGTTACAACCAGCAGATGGGAAAACACCCATCTGGTGGGACACCCTTTAATTTGGCAGATACAGAACTGCATTTTCCATGGCTACACTATCAGCTCATGCAGTGTGGCAGTGATCGAGTTACTGTGGTCAAGGTCACTGATCAGGATGAACTGGAACGTTTGTGGAGGAGGAGAGAACAGCTCCAACTCTGGCACTGAGGTGGTTTCCTTTCATGTCTATAACAATGGAGGTTCTCCCCGCTACCCAAGACCCTAACATTAGGGACGTGTGACTGTCCTTTGAGTGTGAACTTTGACATCCACACACAAGGGATTAGTGCAGAGGTTGGAAGACACCCCTGAGGGAGGCAGGATGACTAAATAGTCTGGGGCACTAACTGCCAACTGAGGGGTGACCTCAATCTTTCATTAAAGGCTGGGTTCTCTTCCCAGGAGAGGGGCAGCTATGGGAAGTCTCAGACACCCTCAGTGCGCAGGAGCTGCAGCAGCTCTGTCCTCATCGCCAGCCTCATGAGCTGCAGGGACATGAGCTCACCTGGAGGGACCCTGTCCTCACTGCTCGCAAAAAATGGTTTGTGGAACATGGGGGAGGCATTCTGGGGGGCAAATGCAAACCCTTTATGGTGGTGAATGTGCCAAAGTGATATGTTTGAGGTTTCCAAGTCATAAAGTTAGTTAATATTTTAGTTCTTTAATCTGAGGTATTTATAACGTGAAACCCAGTCTAGGACGTTCTATGCAAGAAAGATCAAAATTCTGTCTCTATGGGCTGAGGGGCTGGGCATCCTAACCAATCACTATTAGAAGGCTGAAAAGATAGAGTGAAACTCTCATAGACACTAGGGACGTAAAAATAAAGCATATTTCTTTGTGTGTCATCTATTTCTCATGAGCTGGTGACAATAAACCATCAGGTTTATACTCTGCCCAGCCCGGCCCACTGCGTTGTTCTAGAATGGGCAAGACTCAACTTCTTCTTTAAAAAAAAAAAAAAAAAAAAAAGATTTATTTATTTAATTATATAAGCACTGGGTACAGTGAAGCATGGGAGGGTGAGAGAATTCACCAGAGCCAGAGCAGGGAGCAGGGCAGGCAGACTGATGAAATACACTGCTAAGGGGCGCACTGGGCATGGCCGGAGAGGTCTGCACGCCGTGTGGAACCCTTGCCTGTGGCTGGGGATCGAACTGGTGCTGCGGAGGCTGAGGGCAGCTTTGCAACCCAGCGCTCAACCACTGTGCCCTGGGGAGGCCCAAGACTCAACTTCTTACCTCCTGTTCTCTTGACTTCAACTTCTGACTCTCAGTCGGGGCTAAGACTTTTATCAGTTTCTTCACAGCATCCCGGAATTTTTTCTGATCAAAATTGAGTGAAAAAATAAAGTGTAGTTAAGATGACAGATTCATTAGGTTCCTGAGAGGAATCCCTGCTTTTAAGACATAGAATGACATGAAATATCTTTGAATCCTTACACTTTCAGTATAAGCACCTCGAGGACTGTGTACAGCTGACCTCTTATTCCCAGAGCACTTGGCAAGATGGTTGCTCTAGAATCGGAGGCTGGGGAAGCATTAACTGACCTACCCAAGGGCTATGACTACCGGATTCTTGACCCTCAGGCAGAATTATGTGGACCTCTACAGCCTCACCAGGAAACGCTGCATGCAGAAGACAGTAACCATCTAAAAGAAGCCTTTCTCCACCTCCTATATATCAAAAACTCTCTTGTCCATCAGGAATTTCCTCCAGGAAGCTCCACAATTTTACTCCCAAATTGTTGGGCTCCAAACACACATGAAGGAACTCCAGGGAATTTTCTTTTGCTGACTTGTTTAGCTTCCCAGACTGCAGGAGAAATAAAATCTGGTGGTCTCTGTGCCTGTTTTGGGAATCTGCCACATGACCTTGCACATTATAATTTCTCTAATGTTACACACGTGAAGATAAGAAAGGCTGGCATGTATTTCGACAACTGTATTCTATAGCAAGGGGCATCACGGCAGGAGTGAAAAGGGACTAGACTCTCACCACCCTATGAAAGTCCATATGGACCATGGTAAAGTATGTTGGGGAAATGTCCAAGAGCCAGGGGTCAGCCCAAACTAAAGGCCAAGATGGGAGGACAGGCATGACTGTCAGCTGCCTCTGACTATGAAGAACCAGGTACAGAAGAGAAGACATTTTTAAAGAAGCACAGAGGTGAGACAAGCCTCAGGTGATCTGAAAAGTGGTGACAAAAATAAATGATGATCTTGGTGAATAAGGGGCAGTTACTCCGTCTTGCTCTATTTTCCTTGGACTGGCCTACTGATGACTAGCCTGAGCCAGGACACTTAAACACTTCTAGTGAGATAAAAGAAAACTTAAAGTTATTTTAAAAAAAACAAAAACCCTATAGCATAGATGGCCTTACAAGTGGGACAAGGTCCTAGGAGGCTACAATCAATGTTGGCCTGTATAGCAAACCAAGTTCTGTCCTGGTTGCTCCACTTTATGGTTTTATTTGGGCCTTGCATCCTCAACACCCTCATCAGAATCATCTCTTGTCGCTACACCACCAGCAGACTTGAGATTTTCCTTCAGAAGGAGCCTGATAGGAGGGTTCCTCCATGAATCCTCCAAGACCCATAGATCGCTGCCCTACAGTGGAGCCCTGACTGCTCCCCAACATCACCCATTTTCAGCAGGATGCAGTTACTGATCAATCAACGCCATTTGTCCTAAAAGCAATGAGGGGCTCCATCTGCAGAAACAGTAGCGAGTTCTAGGAAAGTCAGGGTTAAGTAGGCAGCTTGAGGGCAGTGCAGGCCAGGACTTCAGGAGACTTAAAGAGGCTTCTGAGACAAGGACAGTGAATTCTAAGGGCTAACCCACACACACACCAGAGGGGAGGTCAGAAAGTCCAGGAGACGAACAAAAGCAGTACACTGGGCAGTGCCTGGTGACTGACTGTAGTTTCTTTTACACACACTGGAACCCTAAGATAAAACTGTCTTCGAAGGTTGCATGCAGACACCTGAGCACCATAGATATGAAAGAATAAAGTTAAAAAGGGAGAAATGAAGTTGAAAATGTCAGGCTGACTGTGGATGAGCTGAAGTCGGGACAGAGCCTGTAGACTGAGAATTTCAGGGAACAATGGATAATCGCCCTCAAGGCCACACGCACCCTGAGTCACGCATCCCCAGCTGCTGTGTCCCTTGCTTTACTCAGTAAATACTCTGTAACCTAGTTGCTGGGGCTCAGATTGTGGAGAGAGATGTCCTCCAGGCTGCCTCGTGTAAAGCCCACCAGCTTAAATAAAATAAAGAATGTCCCTCCTCCACTGAGTACCGCCTGCTCCCTCACGACAATCTGCCAGAACAGTCAACCTTATGACAACAAGAAACTCTGCTGTGTTACAACATGAATGAGCTGGGAAGACAATATGGTCAGAGACAAAAGGACAGTATTTTCCTGACACAGTCAGATATAAAAGCAGAACGGGGAATGGTGGGACCAGGTGACAGGATTGACACGGGACACTGTTTACTGGGGAGAGTACCAGGTTGGGAGGAGGAACCCGTTGTGCAGATGGAGAGTGGAGATGGGGGCTCCACAGGGTGACGCTGATGCCAGTAATGACAATGTATAAGAAGGGGAACATGGGAAATTTTTTAATTTGTTTATTTTAACACTCTTCTCTACATCCCGATCACACTCACATAGAAAAGTCTGTTCAGCTACACAGATACTCTTCACAGGAGTCCTTTGACTTGGAGGAATGTTTGAAGCTTACTGCTGCTGAATCAACGGGGAGACTGTCATAGTTGTCTTTTTTGGCATCATCTTCACACTGTGGTGCCATCATCTCCACTCTCCATCTGCACAAATAGTTCATCCTTCCCACACGAAACCCACCCACTAAACACCATCACCTTTGTTCCTTCTCCCAGCTGTACCCACCAGGCACAGGGATGTGTAAATCTCCATTCCTGAGGGAGTGTGTGAAGGGAAGGTTTTTGAGGAAAATCACCAAGCAAGGCTGGTTGGTGACTCCCAAGTACTCAGAGGCGAGGTCTGGGTGGCAGACTGTGATCTTAGTTACCAGCAATAAGCATCCACCCAGCCAGAGTCCATTTATTATCCATGAGTTTATATCAGCAGAAAGCAAACCACCATATGGTGGGACTCCCTTTAATTTGGCAGATACAGAACTGTAGTTTCCATGGCTACACCATCAATTCATGCAGTGTGGCAATGACGGAGATATTGTGGTCAAGGTCACTGATCAGGATGAAGACATTTGTGCAGGACGAGGAGTGAGCAGCTCCAACTCTGGACTGATGTGTTTTCCCTTCATGTTTGTAACACTGAGGTTCTTCCCACTACCCAAGATCGGAATATGAGGAAAATGTGTCTCTGCTTTCAGTGTTAACTTTAACATCCACACACACAGGTTTAGTGCACAGGCTGTATTATACCCCTGGTGAGGGAGATTGACTAAATAGCCTGTAGCACTAACTGCCAACTGAGCGACGACCTCAATCTTTCACAAAATGTGGGGTTCTCTTTGTAGGAGAGGGGAGCTATGGAAAGTCCTAGACACCCCCAGTGCACATGAGCTGTAGCAGCTCTGTTCTCATCGCAGCCTCATGAGAGGCAGGAACATGAGCTCACCTGGAGGGGCCCTGTTCTCACTGCACCCAAGGGATGGTGTGTGGAACATGTGGAGGCAGTGTGGGGGGCAAATTCAAACCCTTTTAGTGGTGAATGTGTAAAAATGCCATTTTTATGTTTTAAAGTCATCAAGTTAGTTAACATTTCAGTTCTTGAGTCTGAGGTATTTATAATATGAAACCCAGTTTAGGATGTTCTAGGCAAGAAAGATCAATATTCTGTCTCTATGGGCTGAGGTGCTGGGCATCCTCACCAATCACTACAATAAGTTTGAAATGATACACAGAAATTCTCATAGACATTAGAGACATAAAATAAAGCATGTTGCTTCTTATGCTGTCATCTATTTCTCATGGGCTGCTGAGAATAGAGCATCAAGTATATGCTCTCCCAACCATGCTTCTCTGTATACTTAGGGATGGACAAGAATCAACTTCTTACCTCCCGTTCTTGTCTTTGTTGTCTTGACTTCAACTTCTGACTGTCATCCTGATCGAACAATTCTTTCACTTTTCTCGAAGACTCCTCGTATTTTTCCTGATCAAAAAGAGTGAAGAAAGAGAGCATAGTTAAGATGATATGTTAATCAGATTCTTGAATGGAAATCCCCGCCTTCCAAGACACTAGAATGTAATGAAATAACTTTGAATCCTTACAAGGAGAGGGGCAGCTATGGAAAGTCTCAGACATCCCCAGTGCACATGAGCTGCAGCAGCTCTGTCCTTATCGCCAGCCTCATAAGCGGCAGGAACATGAGCTCACGTGGAGGGACCCTGTTCTCACTGCTTGCCTTTGAATGGTTTGTGGAACCTGGGGGAGGCAGTCTGCCCCCAGGAAACCTTGTATGGTGGTGAATGTGCCAAAGTTTATGTCTGAGGATTTCAAGTCATCGAGTTAGTTAAAATTTCAGTTCTATAATCTGAGGTATTTATAATGTGAAACCCAGTCTAGGATGTTCTATGTAAGAAAGATGAAAATTCTGTCTCTATGTGCAGAGCTGCTGGGGATCCTAACCAATCACTATTAAAAGGCTGAAAAGATAGAGAAATTTCATAGACACTAAGAACATAAATTAAAGCAAATTTTTTGGCTCTCATCTATTTCTTATGGTCTGGTGACAATAAACTATCATGTTTATACTCAGCTCAGCCCCGGCCCCTGTGTATGCTGTAGGATGGGCAAGACTCAACTTCTTACCTCTGGTTCTCTTGTTTCTTCTCTTGATTTCACCTTCTGACTCTTAGACTGGACTAAGAGTTCTATCATTTTTGTCACAGCTTCCCACCGTTTTTCCTGATCAAAATTGGGGGAAGAAAGAAAGCATAGTTAAGATGACAGATTCATCAATTCCTGAGAGGAATCCCTGCCTTCCAGGAGACTAGAATGACATGAAATATCATTGAATCCTTACACTTTCAGTATAAGCGCCCCGAGCACCATGTGCAGTGACACAGGTGACCCCTTATTCCCAGGTCACGTGGCAGGATGGCTGCCATCATGTCTGCTGGAGAATCGGAGGCTGGGGAAGGGGTAACTAACCTGCCCAAGGGCTATGACTATTGGCTTCTTGACCCTCATGTTTTGACCCTCAGGCAGAGCTATATGGACCTCTATAGCCTTGCTACGCAGAACAAGACAGTCACCATCTAAAAGAAGCCTCTGTCTACCTCCTATAGGTGGGAAGTTGTCTGTGTACATCAGGAATCACTTCCAGGAAGCTCCTTAGTTTCACTCCCAAATTGTTGGGCTCCAAACCCACATAAAGAACTCCAAGGAATTTTCTTTTGCTGATTGGTTTAGCTTCCCAGAAAGCAGGAGAAATAAAATCTGGTGGTCTCTGCCTGTTTTGGGAATCTGTCTCATGACCTTGCACATCGTGTTTTCTGTAATGTTACACACATGTGAAGATGAAACAGGGCAGGTGTGTTTGGACAACAGGTGATCACGGCAGGAGTGAACAGGGATAAGACTATCCCCACCTCATAAAAGTCCATATGGTCAAGGGACTATGTTTTGGGGAACTAACATGTACTAATTTTCAGATGCATGAGATGATGAAAGTTTTATTTCTGGGTCACAATCTTGGGTTTTAGCCAAAATAACCATATATCTGGGAGTTCAGCTTTAAGTGGGGGCTGCTGCAGGTCAGGGGCACTACTCACCTCGGAGTCTGGACATGTCTCTTTGACAAGATGGTTGTGTCCACTGTGCTGGGGGGACCGTGCAGAGCCAGTGCACTTGAGCTGCCCAGGGTCCTCACTGACCTGGTGGGGCTGGTCCCCGTCACCCTCACACGGCCCCTCACGCTCCAGCTCCACTTTGGCTTCAATGAGACCTAGTACTGTAAGCAGGTCTCTGTCCATCTCCAAATCTGCCTGACACGAAGGACAGTCCAAGCTCCACGATGATTCCTCTGGTTGCCCCTCAACACTGCCTCCTAAGTACCCGTGGCAGCAGCTGTGCGCGCAGGAGAAGCTCTCAGGATCTGTCATCAGCTCATGGCAGATGGGGCACGTGGCTTCTATCCTCATCCTCTTGGCAGCAGGGTCTGAGGCAATGGCTCCTCCTGGAAAGCTCCAATGGTGGTTAGAGGCAGAGGTAAAGTAGATACAATTCTTCACAGTGAAGGACACACGGGACGTGGGCCTTTGGGACTCCAAAGAAAAGTTTAATTGATTACAGTTTATTTCTACAATTACAGGTAAGAAATCTTAGTAATGAGGGTTTTTAAAAGAAAAAGAATTCTTTAGGGGCAAGACAACCTTATTTCAGAAACGTAATTTCATGTAATGTCTTGTGTAAAAGATAACAGTAGATAAATCAACTCAGTGAAATCTGAACACGAGTTCCATCAATTGCTGCTTTTCCCTTCATGTGTCTTTGTTGGTTCAAAATCAGAGATACTCTAATTTAAATTGCTTGCCGAATTCACTTGTCTGACAGGGGAGAGGAATCACTAACAGGTTCATAATCCCTTATATGAAACCCTTGTGGCAAAATATAAAAATTCAGAATATTTATGAGGTTATGATGGCAACATACAGATCTTCAAAATTATGTGCCCACCCGTACCAGTGTCTGCCATAGCCTTGAATCAATGCATCAACAGTCCTGCAGCAGATAGGACTAATAAAGATGTTAAGTAGAGTCAGATGAGCAAAGGTCAGGGGTGGCACAATGAAGGGTGAGTCCAGGGTGTTGGCATGATCCCTGCCACCTCATTTTCCCAGCCTTTTAAAACTCCTTCCATGTGAGTGTGGGCATAATCTGAGAATTGCCTCTGAGCAATGGCAAACATGATGGGATGCGACCAAGAGGTCATGTTGCCTTACATCAGACCCCATATTATAGTTGATTAATTTAAAGACTCTCTTTCAGCTCACTTTAAAGAAATAACTGGCCATGTGGAAGGCCCATATGTCATTTGATGTGGTGGCTTCCAGAAGCTGAGGCAGCTCTCAGGTGACAGAATCAGGCCTAACACCTAGACCCACAAAAAAAGGATTTCTACCAACAACTGGAAGAAGATGGGGAGAGGATTAATACCCACAGGAATCAGCAAATGACACGCGGCCGAGCCAGCACCGTAACTGCCCTAAGTGACCCCACCTGAGTTGTGCCCAGAGTTTCCACACACGATTCTCTCAGAAAATGTGAGTATTTAGCTCCAAGCCACCAAAGTGTTTTACAGCAACATATAACCGAATAAGCCAGCAAATAATTTCTGGACAGGACTAATTTAGCAGATAAATGAGTTAGGGGAAATCATTTAGCTTTTTAGTGCCTTTGAACTCTGTAATTGTGGATGAGGGATTGGAAAATGTCATTTGTGTCAAGGTCCTAGAACTATTTGCATCATATACCTTTAGGTATTGTTCCCAGACTTACTGAAATATTAAGTGTAAACTTTATGGCCCAGTTACTGTACTAAGCTCCTTACAAAGGTTGATGCACTTAATTCTTTCGACAACCTGTAAAAGGGAAACTGGAATCAAGGAATTGATTCACTTGGGGGACACATCTAACCAATGGGCGAGCAGGCATCTGAAGAGTCTCCAGAGGTCCCCAGTATCCTGTGTCCCTGAGGAAGCTCTGGAGCATCCTGAAATCTCTACTAGAAGAACAACTACACACCCTGTCTGCCTGTCAGCCTGCCCAGGGTAGTTTATAAACATTGTCACTAAAGAATTGTTGATGTTCCATACCTTCGTCGGTCTTTAATTTTTTCCTCTCCTCACAGTGGAGCTCAGAATCATTGCAGTCAGTGTGAGGTTCCAAAGACACGGACTCTGGGACTGAACTCCTAGACTCAGAAGGGGATGGATTAAGAAGAGGAGTACATAAGCTCTATGTACTCAGACCCCTTCCCTCCAAATAAGGACAGCACTTACCTGGTCAAGGTGTCTTTCACGACCTGCAGAGACACAAGGAAAAATGATGAGTTAGGGAATCCCCATGTTTCATGGGGCTTGGCATGAGGGGTGTCTCTGTAAACCCTTGATCCAACAAGGAAAGCAGTGAGTCCTACCCGGATAACAATGGACGCCCAGGTCTGATGAGTCCCATCCCCACCCCCGAGGGCCCAGAGCACGGCAGCAAATTGATCCTGCCAGAGCCTAATAACCTGCTCACTGTGACTGTGATCACAGCAGTGTGTGGGCTGCTCGAGGTGGAGGCTGGAATATCCTGTTCTGCGATATGTTCTTTCAGGGAACTACCTGGTTTAGATGAGTCTATGTTAAATCACTTACACACAGGCCTTTCCTTAGTGAAGAATCCACACACAGCCCATGAGAATGAGCCACTATGTTTGGTGGCAGGATGCCCATACAGGTGGGGCAAGGCAGGTGACACTGAAACATTTTAGTGAGACTGAGTGGCTTTTAAAATAAACAGCTCCCAGAATTAATGTTTCTGGGGTGGATCCCTCATGCCTCAGAAAAAGGTCCAGGGAGGCTTCTTGGAGCATGTGAGCTATCCACAAACAAGGGAGGAAGTTCTCAAACATGTGGCTGCCCAACAACGGGTGTTTGCACCAGTCACCTTGTGGAGTCTCTCAGGAGAGAGTTTGACAGTCAGCGTTCTGCACACATGGGGCTGAGATGAATGCTTATTGTGAAAAAAGAAAATTGTTCTCTTTTAAAACATGTGTTTCCATCTAAGTCATCTAGTTTAAAGAGAGTATAGTATCATGGCTATTCCAATGTCTTACTGAAAACGAGGATGTCATTATCCTAAATGAAAGTAAAGTGAGATGTCCGTTTCAAAGAAAAAAAAATGTGTTAAATATCATTGTAAAGGTCTGAAAGAGTGATATTCGAAAATGTAAGAAGATGAAAGCAATTGTTAAAAGTCTAAAAGATAGTGAGAGTGTTTAAAGAAAGCAAAGCAAGTGTTAAAAAAAGTAAGAAAGCAAAGACAGTGTTTAGGTTTGAGAGAGAGATCGTAGGGAAAACAAATTTTATCTGCTTCAAAAGACTCACTACAAACTGTAAAAGGACAAGTGATTCTAGTAGTTTCTTTCATTAGCTCCAGAGATTGAGCCTCGCCTGAGACCTACACTGACAGGGAAGAGACCAGTCAGCTTGAGGAAAAAAAGAGAAAAAATGGGAGAAGGACAAGAGAAGGGCCCAGTACAGGGCAGTTGGCTCTGCCAGCCCCCTGCCACCTCAGACTCTCCCGAGCCCCCGTCGTTCCAGGAATTCGGGACCTCAACCCGTACAAGGGCTGCCAACCTGCTTCTACTGCCAGCAGCCGGGAAACCTGTAGGATAAATGATTTTCAGGCTTTTTTACCCTCTGCCATTAGGGGTGCCCTGCTTGATGGGGGCATCTGCATTTTGTTACATTGTTATGTTTAGTTGTGTTGTTTACTCTTGTGGTCCATGGCTGGGGTACTGATACATTCGCCAAGAGAAGCAGAGGCAGGAGAAAGAACAGGAGAGAGAAGGGGAGGAAGAGCTCCAGAGAGCCCAGAATGAAGATTTGCCAGGGGCTGGGAGGACTTCTGGCCTCCTGGCACCCCTGGCACGCCTGCCGGCAATGTATGTGGCTACTGTACTATATGTAAAAGCTCAATAAAAGCCTGAGAAATCCACCGGGGGCTCCAGGACTCTCCTTTACCCAGTTGGCTCCAATCACAGAAAACCTACTCTGTGCCATCCTGGCACTACACTTGGCATAGTCAGCAGGATGATTTGAGGCAGACGGGTGTGGAGCCCTCTGAAGAACTCAGGAGGGACTGAGAAGTAGCAGACCATGAGCCTGTGACAACGCTCGAGGTAACCAATGACCAGGAGCTACGGGAGGAGCTAAAGATGCTGCAGGAGCACAGGAGGTGGACAAGGTCCAAAAGCTGTGGGACAAGACCTCGAGTGGAGGAGGAGACAGCCCAAGAAGACCAGCCCAAGACCCCTAGGCAGCAGAATCGTCAGAGAAGAAAGGACGATGATTGGGAGCTCACCAGTGCTGACACAGGGAACAATGGATGGACTTAGACTGACAATCCCGCCAGAAGGCAGAGGAACTTGAGCAGTTTAATGTTATGTTTTGGGGACCCTGGGGGAGGATAGTATTGTTTGTACACCCCAGGAGATGGGAATCTGGGGGTGGCCAGTGGGCCTCAGTGGCCAAAAGCAGCCAGGCAGACAATATATATAAAAAAGCTAACTTAGAAAGGCAAAAGCTGGTGCTGAGATTGGGAAGTCCTGAGCGGCTGTTAAGCAGCCTAAATATGTTAAATAAGGCCGGTGAGTCTCTTAAAATCACCTGTGGGTGATGCCCTGTTCATTTTCGAGTAAGGGTGATGAGCTGAGGAATTTGCCCATGGGGGGCGGGTGGAGAATGTGGCTTTTAGTGGAGCCCACATCTGACGAGGGGATCCAAGAGAGGCCACATTTGGAGCTTGATCCTCAGATCCCCGACCATGTGCAGGTGCACAGGGTTGGCCTGAGTGCAAGGGTCTGCGTGTCGCGTCGGTGGCTAGGAAAGCGGAGTGTTGGAGTGACCGCAGACAGAAAACCCTGAGGATTGGGCGATTACCCCCAAAGACAGAATCACCAATCCTAGAGGAGTACATCCTGGGGATGGATGTGGTGTGTGGTTTGTGGCCGAGACTACAGCCAGAGAAGGCCAGGGAGCCTAATGGCTCCTGGTGTGTGACCGGAGATGCCTGAGTGGTTCCCCCCTTGTATGAGCAGTGTCTTCGGGCATAGAAGTGGTGGATCATCTGCTGGTGCCAATAATTGTCTTTTGCCACTAGGTTGGTGCCTTGCCTGGACTTATTTGTGTTCTGTTGTTCAGTTGTATTCTATTTTCTGTTCTGGGCCATGGCTGCAGTGTTTATATTTGCTTAGGGAAAATTGTATATAACGTATATGTAGACTGTATGGCAGAAAACCCTGAGGGGTAGACTGTAGGGTAACAGATTTTCAGGCTTTTCTGCTCTCCAACATCAGGATTGTCCTGCCTGATGGGGGTGCCTACATTTTGTTATATAGTTATATTTAGTTGTGCTGTTTACTCTTGTAGGCCAAGGCTGCAGTATTGATATATTCACCAAGAGAAGGCGGGGAGGGGCAGAAGAGGGAGAAAGAAGGCCAGAGAGCCCAGAGTGAAGACTCACAGGTCACATGGAGGCCTTCTGGCCTCCTGGCCCCCTGGCTGCTGGGCACTCCTACCTGCTGTGTACCTGGTTTCTGCACTACATGTAAAAGCTCAATAAAAACTGAGAAAGCCACCGAGGGCTCTAGGATTCAACTTTACCCGGTCTGCTCCATCATAGAAAACCTGCTCTGTGCCATCCTGGCACTACTATACCTCAGTGACAAGTGTCTGAAGAAACCACCCCCACACTGTGTCCTCAGTGCCACTGCACAGGCACTGCAAGAGGCACTGAGAGAGACAGGCGGCAACCCAAGCCACAGGCCAAATGGGAGGACAGGCTTGACCATCAGCCGCCTCTGACTATGAAACCAGCTACAGGAGAAGACAACGTTTTCTAAAGAAGCCCAGAGGTGAGACAAACCTCGGGTGACCTTAAAAGTGGCAAATAAAAGAAAATCACCATCTTGGAGAATCAGGGAACACTTACTCTGCCTTGCTCCATTTTTCTTAACTGGCCTACTGATGACTAGCCTGAGCCAGGACACTTTCACACTTCTAGTAAGATAAAAGAAAACTTGAAGTTATTAAAAAATATCTGTATTACAGATGGCTGTAACAGGCGGGACAAGGGCCTAGTAGGCATCAATCAATCTTTGCCTCTACAGGAACCAACTTCTGTTCTGGTTGCTATTCTTGCTGGTTCCCTTACTAATTTTCTTTATGATGTTCTTGTTTGGGCCTTGCATCCTCAACACCCTCATCAGAATCATCTCCTCTCCCCGCAAAGCCAGCAGACGTCAGATGGTCCTTCAGACGGAGCCTGATAAAATACCTCCGCTGTCCTTCCTCCCAGGGCCCTTAGATCACTGCCCTGCAGTGGAGCCCTGACTGCTCGCCCGCGTCACCCATTTTCAGCAGGAAGCAGTGACTGGTCAGATCGATGCCCTCTGTCCTAACAGCAGTGAGGGGCTCCGTCCGTACAAGGGGTACTGAGTCCCAGGGCATGTTACGGTTAAGTAGGCAGCTTCAGGGACAGTGCAGGCAGGGACTTCAGGAGAGTAAATGAGGTTTCTGAGGCAAGGACAGTAAATTCTAAGTGCTAACCAACACATACACCAGAGGGGAGGTCAAAAAATACAGGAGGACGAAACAAAAACAGTACACTGGGCAGTGCCTGGTGACTGACTGTAGTTTCTCTTCCACAAACTGGAACCCGAAAAAAAAAAAACTGTGTTGGAAGGCTGCACTCTGAGATCTGTGCACCATAGATATGATAGAATAAAAATTAAATGGGGGAAATGAAGTGGAAAATGTCAGGCTGACTGTGGATGAGCTGAAGTCGGGACAGAGCCTGTAGACTGAGCATTTCAGGGAACAACGGACAAGCGCCCTCAAGGCCACACGCGCCCGGAGTCACACATCCCCAGCTGCTGTGTCCCTTGCTTTACTCCATAAATACTCTGTAGCCTAGTTGCTGGGGCTCAGATTGTGGAGAGAGATCTCCTGCAGGCTGCGGGTGTGAAGCCGCCAGTGTAAATAAGAGCTTCCCTCCTCTTCTCTGAGTGCTCCTGCTCCCTCATCACAATCTGCCAGAACATTTCAACCTTTAAAAAAAGGTATATTATTCACCTATCAAAAGGATAAATCATGCCATTTGCAGCAACGTGGATGGAACTAAAATGAATTATGCTCAGTGAAATAAGCCAGAAGGAAGAGAAAAATATCAGATGGTTTCAGATACAGCAGGAAGATAAGGAAACCAAATAAGACATCAGTGTAAAAAAATAATAACAGTACAAAATACAACAAAACAAAAACAGACAATTATAAACCAGAGACATCCTGCAGGGGAGGAGGCGGGAGAGGGATCAGAGGGAGGGAGGGAGTAGCAGGGGACTGAGGTGATGGTGCCTGGGGGACATTGGGGAAGGAAACTCTATGGGGACTACACCTGAGGGGGTGGGGGGAAGCAAACATTGTTTCAAATTGATGAACAATGATGTAAAAAAAAATTTTAAAAGTTAAAAAAAAAGGGAAACTCTTCTGTGTTACAGCATGGATGAGCCTGGGAGATACTATGGTCAGAGACAAAAGGATATATTTTCATGACCTAGTAGGATTTAAAAACACAATATGATTTTTACTTTATTATAATTAGTCTTTTTTCCTGGTCCCTTATTTGGGTTTTCTAAATTCCTGCTATGAGTGAGACCAGTAAAAATCAAAATCAGTAAGCAACTATAAAGCAGAGACACACTACGGGGGGAGGGCAGAGGAGGAGGGAGTAGGATCAAAACATGGGGGGTGGGAATTGTATGGGCATTATAACCAGGATGAAAATGCATACATTGTACACAAATGAAAAATGATGCAAAAATATATGAAATTAATATAATAATATTTATAATAATAAAATGAAAACAGAACGTGGGATGGGGGGACCAGGTGACAGGAGGGACCCGGGCACACTGTTTACTGGGGAGAGTTCCAGGTTGGGAGGAGGAACCCGTTGTGCAGATGGAGAGTGGAGATGGGGCTCCACAGTGTGACGCTGATGCCAGTAAAGACATCGTGTAAGATGATGAGAATAGTAAATTTTGTCATATGTTTCATTTAATATTCCTGACCTCTGCCCCCAAAAACACACACGCATAAATGTAAATGCAGCTACCAAGACCCTGAGCCATGAGCCATCTGAAGTGGAAGAATGTCCAACGTACACTGCTGCTGAGTCAACTTGGAGGCTGTCAGAATTCTCTTTATAGGCATCATCATTATAAGTGGTGCCCCCAGCTCTACTCTCCATCTGCACAAATAGTTCATCCTTCTGACACAAAACCACCCGCTAAACACCATCGCTTTTGTTCTTTCTCCCACTGGTCCTCACCAAGTACAGGGATACGTAAATCTCCATTCCTGAAGGAGTGTGTGAAAGGAAGGCTTTTGAGGCACATCACCAAGCAAGGCTGGTAGGTGACTCCCCTGTACTCAGAGGGGAGGTCTGGGTCCCAGAATATGATCATAGTTTCCAGCAATAAGCATCTCCCAGCCAGAGTCATTTACATCTGTGAGTTTAGACCAGCAGAAGCAAAAACATCCATCTGGTGGAACTTGCTTTAATTTGGCAGATACAGAACTGCAGTTTCCATGGTTACACTATCAGCTCATGAGGTGTGGCTGTGACTGAGATACTTTGGTCAAGGTCACTGATCAGGATGAATTGGAACCTTTGTGGAGGAGGAGAGAACAGCTCCAACACTGGCCTTGAGGTAGTTTCCCTTCATGTTGGTAACAATGGAGATTCTTCCCACTACCCAAAATGAGGGACGTGTGACTGTCCTTTGAGTGTGAACTTTAACACCCACACACAAGGGATTAGTGCAGAGGCTGGAAGACACCCCTGAGAGAGGCAGGATGACTAAATAGTCTGGAGCACTAACTGCCAACTGAGGGGTGACCTCTATCTTTCCCTGAAGGCTGGTTTCTCTTCCCAGGAGAGGGGCAGCGATGGAAAGTCTCAGAGAGCCCCAGGGCACATGAGCTGCAGCAGCTCTGTCCTCAACGCCAGCCTCATGAGTTGCAGAAACATGAGTTCACCTGGAGGGACCCTGTTCTCACTGCTCATGAAGAATGGTTGTGGAACATGGGGAGGCAGTTTGGGGTGCAAATGCAAACCCTGTACAGTGGTGAATATGTCAAAGTGCTATGTTTGAGGTCTTCAAGTGCTGAAGTTAGTTAATATTTCAATTCTTGAAACAGAGAGATCTATAATGTGAAACCCAGTCTAGGATGTTCTATGCAAGAAAGATCAAAATTCTATCTCTACAGGCTGAGTTGCTGGGCATCCTAACCAATTACTATTATAAGGTTGAAAAGATACAAAGAAATTTTCATAGAAACTAGGGACGTAAAAATAAAGCATCTTTCTTTGGCTGTCATCTGTTTCTCATGGGCTGGTGAGAAGAAGCCAGTAAGTTTATGTTCTGCCCAACCATGCACTCCATGTATGCTCTAGGATGGAAAGACTCAACTTCTTACCTCCAGTTCTCTTGTTTGTTTGCTTGACACCAACTTCTCAATCTTAGACTGGTCTAACAGTTCTCTTAATTTTTTCCTGGATTCCAGGAGTTTTTCCTGATCAAAATTGGGTGAAGAAAGAAAGCATAGTTAAGATGACAGAGTCATCAGGCTCCTAAGAGGAATCCCTACCTTCCAAGAGACTAGAATGACATGAAATATTGTTGAATCCTTACACTTTCAGTATAAGCACCCTGAGAACTATGTGCAGTGATACAAGTGACCCCTTAATCCCAGGGCACATGGCAGGATGGCTGCCATCATGTCTGCTGTAGAATTGGAGGTTAGTGAAGGGGTAACTAACCTATCCAACATGACTATTGGCTTCTGAAGCCTCACCTGCTGACCCTCAGGCAGAGCTATATGGACCTCTACAGCCTCCCAGGAAAAGCTGCACACAGAACAAGACAGTAACCTTAAGAGAAGCCTTTCTCCACCTCCTATAAATGGAAAGTTGTCTGTGTCCATAGGGACGAGATTCTCCCCATCCTATGAAAATCCATATGAACGGTGGGAATTTGTTTTGGGGAACTAACATGAAGTAATTCTCTGAAGAAGAGATGATGGAAGTTATATTTCCAGATCACCATCTTGGGTTTCTGCCTAAATAAACTTAGATCTGGGAGCTCTGCCTCGGATCACGTGCCACTGCAGGAGTCCGGCCCTCACTCACCTTGGAGCGCAGACACAAATCTTCGGCAAGGACATGGTTGTGTCCGCTGTGCTGGGGAGATTGTGCACAGCCACTGCAGATGAGCTGCCCGGTGTCCTCACAGAAGAGGCGGAGCTTCTCTTTGTGTTCCTCACACAGTCTCTCACCCTCTAACTTCCTGTGGCCTGCACTGATGTATTCACCTAAATGCTTGATAACTTCCCTGAGCAATGATGCCTGAATCAAACGATAGTTGGAGGCCCATCTCCATCTTGGTCTGCTCTTCCCTGTTTGCTCAGCTGACGTCCCTGGTTGATTTGATGTCCCTGGTTGTTCCCCTGATGTCACTTGTTGCTCCTCAATGCTGCCCTCTATGCACCTCTGGCAAAAGCTGTGCCTGCAGTTGAACTTCACAGGCTCCATTGTCAGCTGCTGGCAGATGGGGCATGTGGCTTCCTCCCTCTTCCTCTTGTTAGTTGGGGCTGAGGCCATGGCTCTTCCTGAAAAGCTCAAGTTGAGGTGAGAGGCAGAGATTAAGTAGACACAATTCTTCACAGGGAAGGACACGCAGGTGACCTGGGCCTTTGTGCCTCACAAGTCTGGATATCTGTCTGGAAAAGAAAACTGGGGATTTGGAAGATGCTCACCATGTGCATGTGTTGTACAAAACAGTGATTCCTGTCACATCTGGCCACTAAAATACAAGATACTGAAGAGTGATAGCATTTAAATTTCAGCTTCTCAGCCCCATTACTGTGTGTCACTGGCTTCATGTCAGCCCGGGGACGTGGCTCCATCACACCCAGACACACCAAGTCCCCTCACTGCAGAGACTCTCCTTGGGGAGAAGCTAAGAGAGACAGAGAAGAGAGGAGAATCCTCACAGAATTTGCAGCCGGGGAGAGAGAAATCTCAGTGAGGGGGAGTGAGACTCTTTCCTACTGGATTGAATGTCCAGAGAATCAGTGCCCAGAACCGCTTCTCTGTGAGCAGTAGGGCCACTTAGGATGGGGTCTGTGAGGGATTCCAGTGAGACAAAATATATCTGACCCTACTGACCTCCACATTCCGGGGTCTCCTGCCCCAACTCACACACCCAGAGGACAAAATAAACAGTTTTATGAACGGGATAATAATAAATCAACAAGACAGTGAGAAGCTTTTTGTCCTTCTGTCATTTTTAGTGATGGAGAGAAAGAGAACTGGAAAGGGCTGGAAGACGAGGTGGTGCTGGGAGCCGAGCTCCAGGACACCCAGGAGACACCTGTCCCTTCGAACCATACTTGTCCCCAGAGCAAATCCCTGAGGAGGGGAATCCAGGGTTGGCTCCACCCAGGTGTGGGGGGTGTGAAGCAGTGGGGAGGACAGGTCTGGTGGGGACACTAGGGACTGGACCCCCTAGATTCTCACAACCCTCATCTGAGAGCCAGACAGGGGAGGAGGAACGGGAGCCAAGGGGCCTCCTCCCCCAGCCCCTGCTCAGGGAACCTAGTGTGCCCCCCTCCCTGCTGTGGGCTGTGGGGAGACAGTGGAAATGGGGAAACTTCAGCAAGCTGTTCTGTGAAGTGACAGTGCTCTGAATGAAACACTGGAATTCAACTAAATTACTGATCAGGCTCCGCCCCTCAAAGATCAGGAGGACCCTCTGTCTCCACAGAGAATTTCTCCTTGAGACTTTGATCCTTGGCAGGTTAATCCCCACCCCCCACCCCAAATATGTCAGCCTTCTTTCGCTGCCAAGGGTCACTGCACTCCTGCACAGAAGCTCCCTCCTCTGAGCCCAGGCTGAGGTGGTGGTCTCCACTCACCTTATGACTTGGCTCTTCTGAGGTGGGGCCTTTGGTCTGTCAAAGAGAGAGAGAGACAAGGGGAAGCCATTAAAAGCAGGTCCTGAATGCTTTCAGAGTCCACAGCCACCCTCACTGCTTCCCATAAAACATACACACACACACACACACACACACACACACACACACACACACAGAGGCATGTTAGCAGTTCTTTTGAAAATGTTGGCCTGTATTTGGTCACTCCCTTCACCACTCAGCACAGTCCAAATTCACTGCAAGCCCCTCTACACTGCGATTTCTGGCAGTTAAAATGAAGAAGTTAACTTGGACTGTAAAACTCAGAAATGAAAATAACATAGGGATCAAACTCTTTTTTTTTTTTTAAAGATTTTTTTTTATTTATTTATACAAGCACTGGGTACAGTCAGAAGCGCGGGAGGGTGAAAGAATTCACCAGAACCAGAGCGGGGAGCAGAGCAGGCAGAAGGACCGAAGTACACTGCTGAGGGGAGCAGCGGGCGGCAGGAGAGGTCAGCGCGCCATGTGGGACCCTCCTCCGGTGGCCGGGGAGCAGCCGGGGATTGAACCGGCACTGCAGAGGCTGCGGGCAGCTTTGCAACCCAGCACTCAACCACTGCGCCACCAGGGAGGCCCAGGTCAAACTCTTGATATTAGGAGTAATCTTGTGGCTTTGCTGTGTGTTTGGTACTCAGCTTGTCTCAAGAGGAAGTAGGACACAGTAGAAATAATACTCTTCATTTGTAGCAATAGAAAAATTTGACTATATAGTGAGCAATAAACTTCTCTCACAAAATGTAGAGATTTAAGTGAACAGTCCAGTGGACTGTTTGAAATAAATGAAATTGACCAAATACTTGTTTATAAATTGCAGGTTCATACTGTGAGGTTGACGATACTTCCCTAAGCATCCTACAGACTCAGGGCACTCCCTATAAATACAAGCTGTGGTCCTTTTTTGCTGTTGTTGTTACTTTGGTGTTTTATTTTGTTTTTGTCTTTTTAACATCAGCCAATTCATTCAAAAATTCATCGGAAAATCAAGGAATCCAAGATAGCCAGAATAATCTTGACGAAGATCAACCTTGCAGGAATCACAGCTTGCAATTTCAAAAGTATACGACTATGATGGTCAAGACTATTAAAACATATTAGCATAATGACAGACATATAGAACAATGAAATACAATAGTCTAGAAATAAACCCATACATTTATACTCAATAAATTTTCACAGGTGTCATGACAATCCAATGTGCAAGGAAGAATCCTGTTATCAAATGATTGTGGGGAAGGTATATTCCCACCACAAAAGAATGCATTTGAATTCCTGCCTCAAATCGCATACAAAACTTAATCAAAATATATAAAGTTCTAAATGTAAAAACTGAAATGATTAAAACCTTCTGTAAAACTTCAGGGACAAATGTGTGTTTCTTACCTTGGACTAGTTAATGGATGACATCAAAGACCAACAATGACAGAAAAAAAAAAGATAGATGGGGAGACAGCAGATTCTCGAACTTACAGTACTCTGTCAGGAATGTGAAAACAACTCAGAGGATGACAGACAATTTTTGAAAACCATGTATCTGATAAGGGACTTACCTAGAATTATCACTAGTATCTAGTGAGTTCCTACAAACCAAATACAGAGACGAAGAACCCAACTTAAAAGAGGCCATGGATCTGAATAGACATTATCCCAAAAAAGATATAAAATGGACAATAAACACATGGAAAAGTGCTGATGTCACCAGTCATTAAAAAATGAAAAACAAAACCACAACAGGATAGCACTTAACAGTCATAAGACAGGTAAGCTTAAAAATACCCGCAATGACAAGTAGAGAAATGGGAAACACATACATGGCCAGTGGAGATTAAAATGGTGCAGCTTCTTTGGGAAACAGATAGACAGTTCCTTTAGAAGTTGAAGAGTGACCACATGATTCAGCAAGTCTACTCCTAAGTATATATCCCACACTTGATCTTAACCAAAATGCTGAGAAGTGATCTCCTAATATATTCCAAAATGGAAACATACTCCATAAAACCTCATATGTAACTGTTCACAGTGGCATTATTTCAATTAGCCCCAAAGTGGAAACCCAAATGTTCATCCAGTGATGAATTGGCACATACAATGTGTGAAATTCACACAGGGAAGAGCACTTCTTATAATTTCAAATCTATATGGCTATATTGATCCATAAAAGTGTAAAAAATATCAATTCATGCTCCAACATTGATGAATCCTCAGAACACTGTATTAATGGACAGAAGCCAGACACAGATGTCACGTGTTGATGATTTTTGTTAACTGCCCAAAACAGGCAAATTTACAGAGAGAAGACAGGTGAGTCCCAGGGGGAGTACGAAAGTAGGGGGAGGGGAGTTACTGCTTTAGGATATGAGGCCTGTGTGTGAGGAGATGAAAATGTTTTGAAATTTAAATAGTGGTAATTGTTGTACAGATTTGTGAATACACTGTAACTTTACACTGGGACACTTTGTAGAAGTAGATTTTATATTCCACAAAATAGATCTTGACACAAAATTTAGTTCCTTGGACAAAGTATCCATATATGCAGAGAAAGGAGACTTATAATAAACCGAAGAATCAATCAATTAATCAATCAACTGGATTGATACAGTTGTTATAAACAGAAAAAAACACCTTTAGGTGGTTATTTTATAAGTTCCAAAGTTACACAGATACCTAAAATTAATATAAAAGATCCTAGAGGGCCTCCCTGGTGGCAAGGTTTTAATACACAATCTATGAAGCTATCCACAGCCACTGCAGCAACGCCCAGGGAGCTACCCACATGGCGCAGCAGACCTCTCCTGAGTCGCGCGCTGCTCCCCTCAGCAGTGTATTTCAGTCAGTCTGCCTGTTCTGTTCCCCACTCTGTCTCTGGTGGATCCTCTCACCCCCCACCTCTGGCCTGTGCCCCTGTTCTTGCATGCATAAATAAATAAATCTTTAAAAAACTTTTTATAAAACCGAGAAACAAAAATGAAGTAGAAGGCACAGCAACAGAAACTCTAGAAAATGAAAGTGAAAGAAAATAAAAATCCAACAATGACCAAGGTATTTGTGAGCTCTGCAACTACAACTGGCCTTGTGTACAGGAGGAGGAACAGGGGAAGGAGCAGAAAGAACATGAGGAGAAATAATAGCTGGAAACATGTTAAAGCTTTCCTGGAAACTACCCGGGGCTCCCCCAGGGGAAAGAGTGACCAGGGGTGGGTCCACCCCTGGCCCAAGTGACTCATGGAGAGAATGAAGTTTTATTTACAAAGGTAGTTAGAGAAGGGGAGACAGGGTGGGGGGGAGGGGCCCAGGGAGGAGGGGAGAGAGCCAAGGGGGGGAAAGGAGGGGGGCAAGGGGGAGGGGCTTGAGGGAGAGCAGATGGCATAAGTGGAAGGGGAGAGGAGGGAAGGGGAGAGCGAGGGGGAGGGGTGGAGGTGAGAGCAGAGGGGGACAGGGCAGGTGTTGGGGGATGGAGGAGGGAGGGGGAGGGAAAGTGGAAAGCAGGACAGGGAGAGGGAGCTGGAGGGCAGGAGGAGAGAGGAAGGGGAGCAGGAGGGGGAGAGGGACTGGGAGGAGAAGGGAGAGGGAGGGAGAGTGTGGGGGAGGGGAAGGGGCATAGGGAGGCAGAGGGAGGGGCAAGGAAGGGGCAAGGAAGGGTGAGGAAGGGATAGGGAGGAGGAGGGAGCGGGCTCTACCCACACCTGGGCACACACTCTCCCTCCCGCCCACAGGTACCTGGCAGGGGCAGAAGCGGCATCTCCAGGGCTGGAGCCCACAGTCCCCCAGAGCACAGGCCACCCGGAAGTTCCCGCAGGGCCTGCTGGGAGCGGTGACTCAGGCCGGAAGGGGGGGCACAAGGGGCAGGACAAGACTTGGGGTTCAACTGCACCCCATTGGGGTGAAGCACATCTCCACTTCCTGGCGCTGCCGGCCCCGCCCTTGTCTGGAGACTCCCCTGTATCAACCCCGACCCTCCTAGTCCTCATCAGCCCCTCCCGGAGCAGGGCTGTGCTGGAGGCCGAGGGGCATCCTGAGTTTAACTTCTCAGAAGCATCTGAGCTAAAAGGGAAATGTTCACTTTTTTTTTTTTTAATTGACGGGTGAACACGCAGGTTTGCATCACGCTACTTTTTCATCTTCCACCAGCATCACCACAGTCACTGCAGAGGAAGCTGCGGGGGGAGGGGGGGTTCTCTGGCTCAGCACCAGCCTGGCCCCCAGGACCCCGATTCTGTCTCCCCCTCCTCTGCTCCCCAGGCAGACCCGCCCCACCCCACAAGGACACCCTCATTCCCTTCTCTTCACTCCCCCAGTCAGACTGGGTGTCTCCCTTTTCCAGACCCACCTCCGGGGGCTGCAGGGTGGGGGCGGGGCCAGCGGGGCTGGGGCGGGGTCAGCACTGGGGCGGGGCTCCTGGTAAGGGGGTATAGGCTTGGGAGGGGGCAGTTGGGAGGTGAGGATGGGGGGGAGGTGGGGAGGAAAGAGCCCCCAGTAGGCGCTCCCTGGAGCTTTCCTTTCCCATAGATGCTGGCAGGGCCCTTGCTTGTTCTCCTCCCTCTGCGTGTTGTGGGGACTGGAAAGCGCAGCCCCCCTGTTTAAGCAGCCCCTGCTTCTGTGCTCCCTCATTAGCAGGTCACACATGTGAAAGTGCTTTGCATCTTTATATGCATAACACCTGCAAAACCCTGTTTTTGTGCTCTTTGCCTCAGGCTTTGTGCCTGAGCACTTCTCACAACAACCTGGGAGTAGAGCCCCAGAATCACATGGAGGAAACCGAGGCCTGGATGGATGGTGTCACTTGTCCACTTTAAAGAAAATCAAATCAGACATAAATCAGGCTCTGCATTGGAGGGTAGAAAAATTTATTTTTAGCTCCATCTACAATCTTTATCAGACCCAGCGTGTCCATCTCACTACAACAGGCACTCAGAGTAGTAGCGTCATGTAAAAACAACCAGCCCCACACATTCCCACCATCCTCTGAGAGTTCAGGTCTGGAAGAGAAGTAGGAGAAGGTGGCTGAAACACAAGGTTGCAGGAAGGAGCAGTCTGAAAACTGAAGTCCCTGCCTGTGGACAGGAGTGAGTCATAATAAAGAGAGGGAGGAATTAATCAAATATTACCAGGACTGACACACCTGCTCGAATGAGTAGAAAAGGACTGAGGCAGTTTTATACCTGCATTCCGTGTTCACAAGTCACACACACCAACAGGATTTTTTTTCGAAGATTTTACTTATTTATGTTTATGTAGAAGAACTGGGGTGTAGGTCAGAGGCGCTGGAGCTGAGAGGATTCACCAGAGACAGAGCAGGGAGCAGAATAGGCAGGTTTACTGAATGACACTGCTGACGGGAGCAGAGGGCAACACAGGATCTGCTGTGCCATGTGGGTTAAATCCCTGGGGATTGAACTCAAAACATCAAGGTGGTTCTTCATGGTGGAAGCATTGAGACTTAACCCCAGGCCACAAGGGCGGTGCTAAGAAGATTTTAAAAGACCCAAATTAAACTTCCACAAAAGGAAACTAGGGCATATGACAGAAAGGTGCGTGATGGCATCAGTGACTGATTAGACACTGCAGTAGAATCAATTAGGAACTGGAAGACACAGGACTAAAAACTATAGAAAATGAAACCCAGACACAGAAGGAAAACACAACAATGAGCAGACGTCGGTGAGCTGTGCCCCTGGCCTTGGGTACCCAGAGTAAGCTTGGGCAAGGAGCAGAAAGGACTTATGAAGAAATAACAGCTGAACATGTTTACATTGGGTGAAAACTAGAAACCTGCTAATCCATGCATCTCAAGGATCCCATGTCAGAGTGTGGCTGCACTGAGGGGGTGCGGCTTCTGGATCAGAGAGTGTATCTGCAGGTTTGGCAACCGTGACTGTTTGCAGTTCTCATCAGAAATCTGTCAGAGGAGCGCCAGTGACTGCAGACCAGGGCCACAGGTGGGAGGGGTAGGGGGTTCTCTGGCTCAGCATCAGCCTGGTCCCCAGACTGGAGACTTCCTGCCATCCCCCACTCCCCATAGCACCATGGGGGTCACTCCACTCACCTCACCTCTTTTCTCTCCCATGTAGTCACACCTGCAGTCCCCAGATGATCACCTGCAGTTTCCTTTAGAGTCAGCCATTTTCTCAGAGCTTTTACTTTACAAAGAAGCAGAAAAGCCTCCCTGGAGACACATAAGACATCCTCGGGGAGCTGCCTCCAGCCCCTCTGGTGAGGGCATTGAGCGGCCTACCAGGTACAGGGATGCTGGGTCTGTGCAAGGGAGCTGCCCTAGAACACAAGGCCTGTATGGGGTCACCCAGAGTGGCTGGAGGCTGTAGGGGGCAGTTTAGAAAGGATAAGTACTGTGTGTGTACCTTCCCTTCTTAGAGTAAAAGCACAAGTTTGCAGGGAGAGCCATCCCTTTTCTAATTATCCATTTACTATATTTTTTATTATGGTTTTCAAAGATTTGTAATTGTTTAATTTCCTTAGCTGAATGATAATCTACGTGTAGAAGAGCTAGAATTTCCTGTGAGTGCAGTACTTTCCACTGACCTGCCCAGAGGAGGGAGCCCACCCCGGGCTGGGAAGGCCACACTGGGCTGAGACAGGCCTGCAGGACACCTACAGACAAAGATGAGCTTGGGGAGACTCAGAGAGTTTCCAGAGAGGTGGGGCCTCTCACTTTAGTTGTGTCCACTGAATTGAACTCCACCACACCCAAGTGATGGGGAAAAGCCCCCACATGGGGTGTCAGGCATGAAGGGTGTGTGGTCGTGGGAGCGCAAAGGAGAAAGTGGGGACTTTTCCCAAACACAGGTGCCTCTTGCATGGACATGGAGCCCTGGAGGAAAAGCTCAGAGGGGTAGTTACAGCTTAGACTGACAGGGAATTTTCAGGAGAAAATAGAATATTTTATATACACTGAGAAGACAAAGGAAAACGACTTTCTTTGTAGGTGGGGAGCTACAGGAAGGTGCCTCTGCGGGGAGGACGGCAGACAAGGGTCAGGGTCAGCTGGTGTGTTCTGTGGCTGCCCCTGGTGTGGTCTCTGGGCTGAGGAGGGTCAGGAGGTGTCTGGTGATAACTTCTGTCCTTCTGATAAGAGGAGATGATGACATCACACAAATGTATTTCCGCAATTTGGTGGCAGGAAGAGAGCAGAGAACTTTTCTTCATATGACTTTTCTCAGTAGTCTGCAGCTCAGCATTATTCTGTGTCAAAGAGGCATATTGGAGGGGTCTGTTCTGCAATCCCTCACTTCAAGTCACAGCTGACTCTAGCTGCTGGATGTGAGCCCCTCTGATGCTGGGGATGCAGGAGATAGCAGTATCGATGCTATGTCTGGTAGATGCACCTGACATCCGGGGTATATCATGGGCTCTCTGTGTGTGCATGTGGGTTTGTGTGTGAGTGTGCACACATGGTGTATGTTCATTCAGTTGCTCTTTGACCTCACTGCCCCTTGCCTGGACAGATGATTCAGAAAACTTCAACGTCAACAAACATATATGTTTTTATATCAAAGGCCATTATAGTAACATTTGGGAACTTGATGAGTTTTTATTTTGTCATCATTAATGCTGTGTGGTCAGGCTGACTGTGGTGCCTGCTGCCCTAGAGTGAGCGGAGTTGTCTGAGAGCACCTTTATTCTCTGCACTAGGAATTCCAGGAGGTTAGACATTCTGCAAACAGAACTTCTTCCCAGAATTGACTTCTGTTCTCTGAGGACGTACTGTCTGTTTGCGTTTTCCCCACTAACTAGAAAAAGTTGTTCCAGCAATAATGTATTAATTTGCATCAACAAAAACAAAATTGCATGCTTTTTGCGTGTCCTCTGTTCCTATTTTTAATAAAAGCTTTGACTGGGAGAGTGAAAGGCAGAGTTGCTCCCGATGGCTCTCCCTAGCTGCAAATTCATTTAGACTCTGAGTCATCATTCATAGCTGAGAACCTCTCATCGGCGGTCAGCAGGAGCTGCCTACACCATGGTGCTGCCTTTGCCAAGTCGGGAAATGTAGGTGTGACAAAGAATGTATCTGTGTGAGCAAAGGTCTGTGTGATCATATCTCAATCATAAAAAGACTATCAACAATTCTGCCACTGATAAATATTTTTTGAGGTTTCCTAATATTTCAAGATAACTGGCACCAGCAGAGCCTGGCACATATCTTCTCTTCAGGTACTGAGACCCCAGGAAATTTCATATTTACACTTAAGCTCCTTCCCATCGGGAGCCTCTCACTAGACCTTGGTAACTCTTCTCACATGTCACACCATTATCACACAAGTAGACTCGCTAAGTGTGGTCGTTGTCTGCACTTGGGAGTCACCCAGGACTACAGTTCAGATTAACCATGCACATGGCAGTGGTGAAAAGAATCTAGGTCACAGGCTTATCTGCTGGTTTTACAGTTGACGGAGGCAACACGGCTTCACCTCCTCCCCACAAAGTCTTTTAATGGCAACAAACACACTGGAGCACTCACCCTCCAGGCTGCTGGCCACCCTGCTGCTCAGAGAAGGCCCCTTGGAAATGAGGCCTCTGACCCCACTGAAGAGGGATGGAGAGGACAACGTGTGATCATGGCTTGTATTTTCCTCTCCCCAGCACAGGCTGATCATCTGCACATTTTGAATTTTCATACCCATTCAGTCCATGCAGATTTATTATTGATTATTCACTGAGAGCTCAGCATACTCCAATTATAGGGCAATCAAGTAAAGAAAGCAGATGAAATTTCTGCCTTCAAGTGTTTCTATTATACTCTCTCTGAGGGTTAAACCAAAAATTTTAATCTTA